TCATTGTAATGGGCGCGCAACATTGTGAACATTGCAAGGCATAATAATGTTGGTTTAAGGTCCGTGAGCGCGTCCCTCGCGCGCGAGCGCCGCGCAGTGCACACTCAGGAGTCAGTCCCCATATGTCCTCGCGCTGCGCGCACTTGCGGCGCTCGAACGTGCGGAGGCGGCCAAATGAAGCTGGCACAGAGTACTGAAGAGTATATCATAGTTTACATAGCGGCATATCCTAGTACATTGGTGTCGTCAAGCGGCTCCTCTCCGTTGGTGTCCGCACGGTCGCCGTCAGGTCCATCGGGCGGGTTTGCTGCACCGTCATCACCCGAGCTTTCCGTGTCAGAGCTGACATACCCATAGTCGTGTATCTCATCCTCATCTGTGTCATCATTTGCAACGGCTTCGGCAGTGTCTTGTGGTGCAGATGCGGGTAGGACTGAGTCCTGCTGATTGAGTGAGACCTCGCTCAAGCAGCTACTACTAGTACCAGACAACGTACATCTGAGCGAGCCTCCGTAATCTCTGAAGCGATGTTTGACAGGGGTTGGAGTGCCTGGGGTGTTACAGTTTGATGACCAACTGCACCGCCAAAGAAGCGCATGAAGAGATCGCGGTCCGACCACCTAAGACCCTATATGAGCAACAACATCGCCAGATTACTAGTGGAGAAACTCACATCCCGACGTAATGATATTTCCAATCCTCCTCAAGATCATCGGTTTCAATTCGCGCAACACTGGGTCCTTCGAGTGTGTCGTCCGATCGGCCATGCGCGAAGGCCGGGATGAGATGGACACTACGCAGAACTTGATCCGGGGAGATGAAGTCGAACGCATCCTCGGAGCGGACAAACTTGAGGCGATGAGGTCGGAGAGAATGAAAGCCACCGGGGGCCGAGTTGTCAAGCTCGAACCAGCGGATCCACAAGACGTGGATTGGCCTAGGATCCTCTGTGGTCCGGTAGAGGTGAGCATTAACGTGGAAGACGGAGAGGACACGGGCATAGAGGTATGGGTGACTGGCTCCCTGTGGGGCAACCAACATGATATCGGCGTGATTGCCAGGGTTGATAGAGTCTTGAGCACGTCGCTTGTCGTAGCTTGTGTAGTTAACGCGTATGACCCTGTGAGGATACAAACAGTCATTTCGGATGACAACAGATGCTCTGTCGTGCACGTCTTGAGGCTCATTCCCGGTGAGTCGCTCATAAAGGTGTGTCTTGAGCTTGTACTCGAAGTCCTGTTCGGTGATGTCATGATATAATCACAACTTAGGGTGTAAACGTACGAGACGTACAATGCATGCCGGATCCTCCTCGCCGTCCTTCATGAAAGTGTACAGGTCGGTATGTTCAGATTGCTCAGACGAGATGTAGTGGTGGATATCGGATGGAGTTGTGTGCGGGAGAGCGTCAACCACAGAAGTGGGGGGCTTAAGGCGGCGGCCAAGTTTCCGGTTGAGCTTGCGACGCTTCGTAGGTCGTGGATGTGTCTTGGAACGATCAGGTATGACCTCGTGTAGCAGCGCCTGATGGTGCTGTTGCCGCGCAATCTGGGCGACGAAACCACAGGTCTTGTTTGTGCGAGGGTAGAACTTCTTGACACGATGATGCTCTTGCTCGAGCTATAATCATGCGATCAAGGTCAGTAAATGCGGGCAAACACGGGCAAACGCTGAGCGATGTGCTTACTATCTGCGCAGTCCATCCGTCGGACGTTCCATACATGCGGATGGTGCGGGGGTAGTCGCCCAATCTATGATTCTTGTACGTATTGTAGTCGAGGACCTTGATCTTGGATGGTACTGATATCGCTCCCCTGCCCCGCTTTTGACCTGTGGTCGATGGCCCGCACCGAGCGACTTTTGCAGCTTTTCGTCGGTGTCGAGATGCAGTCTCTTTGGGGAGCTCTTTGGTCGCGTATAATGAGCACACTTTGGAGACGAAAGCGCGCTCAGATGCCCCCAGTAAGCTGGTCGCCTCCTCGAGATGGGTGAGAGTTGTCTCGGAGTGGAGGCGGAGCTTAGCGAGGGCGTGCCATGTTGCGAGGCGGAATAGAAGGTTAAGAACGATCTTATTGCAGGCTGCTGGGAGCAAGTTCTCGAAGCAAGGGATTGCGCACTGTGATCAGAAAGGAACCACGGGTGAGACGGCGACGTGAGGCCGTGATAGCACATGATCACATACCTGGAGTATGTCCTCAAAGTCGCGGGCCGCAAGTTTCTTGAGCGCCGATACATTGCCTCCAAAGCGCCTGATCGTATCCCTTCCAAAGGTTGGGACTTGTGAATATCTGGTTTTCAAGAGCATGAGTATGGATGACAGTTATCACAGCATAGAAACTCACCGACGATCCAGTTGCTGGAGGCCCGCCCCACCGTTTGCAATGAGAATGCGGAGAAGGTGTATGAATGTGGACTTCCACACCCCGAGTTCGAACTCATGCAACAGGTCGGGGACCAGGATTCGATACACATCGAAACCAAACTCGGCCAATCGCGTCGAGAATGCGCTCTAGGAAGGGGGTCAATGCGACAATGTCTGACCAAATGATATGGAACTTACCCGAGTTGACGTTGAGGAATGGTTGTTGAGAGGGGAGTTGTTGACACGCGAGGACTCCGGGTCGATACCATCCTTGAAAACCCAGCGACGGACGGTCTCAATCCACCAGATGAGATGTTCGGAGTATGTGCGGGGCTCCTTCTCGCGGCGCGCCATGTCCCGCTTAGTTCCCAAGAGATATATATTGGACTTTTGGACGTGGCAGTCCGGACACGGGCATTTGGCGAGCGACTTGATGCAGGCGATGAGACACCTGTAGAGCTTGATAAGTATGAAGAAAGCGTGGAATCGTGGCTACGTACTTCTCAGGATAGTCCGCCGAGTACGTGAAAATGCGCGGAAAGATGCGGCGCACGATCTTGTCAGCGCACTCGACAAGTATTCCGTCCCTGTACGCGCGAAGAAAGTCGTCATCAAGAAGGAGCTCCCATATCTTCTGCATGAGCTCCCGCTTGCAAAAGCGGAGTATTGACTCCGTAGCCGGCTCGCCGTAAGTGTCTTCGTACCACTGTTGAATGGTTGTGGGGAGCTACCGACATCATGGTGAGCGTACTATAGGCTAATGAAACAACTGAGCCCTACTTACCGAGGGGATGTACGCAAGGTGGTGCGCTGCGAGAGCATTTGGACGACCGCGCTCGTACTTCGAGAGCCATCCAAACCACGCGTATATAGGCCATAGTGCGGCGCTTCCGAAGTTCGTAAGGTGGGTGGAATCCGAACCTAGCATGATTGGGGCGACCACATACTCGACGTCCGCAGTGTCATCCGGGTGTCGTGGCTGAGAGGATAGCTTCGCATCAGCATCGAGCATGGCCTGCGAATTATAGACCTCTGAATAGAGGCGCTGCGGAGGAGGCGAGGGATGCTCGTTGACGGTTGAACTGGAAGACGGGGCTGAGGATGGTGTAGGTGCAGGTGGTGGAGGGCTCCAGAGGAATTCAAACGGGATCCAGTGAGCTCTTCGTGCGCTTGATGCTGTCGCGGCCGCAACAACAATGTCGACAAGTTTCCGGTACCAGATCCCGGATACAGTGAGCTCAGGCGCCCCTTCCTCTCCCGCCGAACACAGATGGTTCTCCTTCGGCACACGTATCTTCACTGACCCAATATTCCAGCCGTTAGGAGGGGTCGCTGTACCGGTTGGGGGTCCCTGAGCTGCGTCCGCAGAGGTTGAGCCAAGGCGATCGAGCTGCTTCATCGCGCGGTCAGCACTGAAGTCGCGGAGCTCTTCACGATCGAAGTCCTCCGCCAGGATAACTTCTTGGACAAGGCGATTGAGTTCACCAGCGGACTTGTAGACTGAACCGGAGTAAAACCAGTTCATAAGGCGGGCGACCGTGTTGTTGAGGAAAGGTACTCCGGTCTTGCGAGTGGGATCCAGGTTGGAGACGCCAAACGGCTGCAAAGGGACGTGGTCGTCGGGAAGTCGGTGGAGAGTCGGGGCGTCAACGAACGACGTAGATGTTGCGTGTTCTTCAGGGTCACTCTTGGGACGTCGGAAGTAGCGTCGGAAGACCGAGAACGCGTCTCTGGTGGTATCGAGGGGAGGGGAAGGTTGCGTTGACTCCACAGGCTCGTCGAAAGGGAGTTCCACTTGGGGGAGCTCAGGGTTTTCCTGTACGGGAGTGAGAGCTTGTAAACGCGGATCTTGACGCCTCGGGATGTGTTGTGGTAGTCCAGGGAGCGAAGTGGGTATCATATCTCGGATACGAGCAGGGGCTCTGCGCTGCCTCCCGGTCCGGCTCACTGAGTACGTCGCGGCCGCGAGTGCTTCGTTGACAAGGGCCTAAATATATGGGTTGGCCGATGCACACAAAAAATCCCAAAATGTGACATACCTGAGCCTCGAGTTGCTCTGCTTCTACACGTGCTCTCTCTGCCTCTGCCACCAAGGCTGCTTCAATTCTCCTCCGATCGTCCTGCTCCTTCCGCGCCCGAGCCTCACGCTGCTCAGTCAAGCGCTGCTGACGTTCGGCCGAAATTCTTGCCTTGTATTTGGTACACTTGATTTGATGTCCGAGGAGCCTTGTCGGATGGCATTCTTTCCGACATCCGATGCATGTGCTAGCGGTAGTATCCAGAGCGAGACAGATGAGCAGCAATGAACAGATAACCACTAGGCAGAGCCTCATGAAGGGTGATCGAGGGGAAAGAAAGAGAGGGGGGCGAATAATAGTGGTGCATTGTTGAAGCTTGAAGCAGAGAGGCGGTGGAAAAGTCACGATAGCGTGTGCGCGCGTTGAACAAGCGCATAGGCGCACTTCAAACAAGCGCAAATATGATGCGCTCGTCTCCCGGCGGTTTCCCGCACCCAGCCTTCCACCATCGATGTGCTACCCAACTGAGTCCCAAGCTCCTCCCATCCCCGCCTCGCAAGTGCCGTATGCCTCCCCACACCATGAGTCGACGAAGCGCACTACGTCGAGCCCATGTTCGTCAGCGTGAAGCAAACCAAGCCACCCAGGTAAGCCGCCACCGTCGTTTCTCGAGAATTGCACTGAGGTGAGGCAGGACCGCGCTCTTATGCGTGCGGAACACGTTGAGGAGCGCTCGGAGCGCATCACAACCCGCCGCGCGTGGTGCTTGGCCAGCGGCGGTGTGTTGGGGAGCTACCCGCGCCGCTTGCCTGGGATGAACATCCCGCTCGAGGGCGACAGCCCGATGTCCGCGATGTGCATGACGGGCGTCGAGGCCGACGCAGTGCCATTGGACCTTGCCTATAGTGAGAGTGCCCGTGCTCATCTACGAGGTCGGCGCTGTTGCTCATGGTCACATCCGTGAGTGCGCCGGATAGTAGGTGCGCTCCTCTTCAGACAATCTTCGCCGTTTCTCACTTATCTTGTCTGGCGTACAGCCTGCAACCCGCCTGATATCAACATCCAAGCGGCGTTCCTGGTTACTGCTCAGAAGTTGGGTGAAGATGCGACACGGCACGGCCTACATTGTGGCACAAGTCGCCGTTCACAGCTTCTGTCTTCCGCTTTTCCTCTCAGCTGCACCCCCTTCCCCAATGACATCGACCCGGGCCCCTGCTCCACCACAGTCGGCGACAAGCAGCTTGCCCTCAGGCTGCTGGTCGCCAGCCTGGCTTGGTCCCTTTAGGCTCTCTCGAAATTGTAGCAGTGTTGTGTGCGTTTCACCGTAAGTTTGTTTGCTCTTTGATGCGCTAGCTCACCCTGGCGGTCATTTTAACTTTACAGTGGCCGTCTCGGCGTCTCATGCGTCGCGCATGTACTTAGAGGGGCATACCAGGGGTCTGCGAACGCGACTCCTCGCCCTCTCTTCGACTGTCTCATCGACGTATCAAAATGCCTCCCTCATCTCAAGAGAAGTAAGCTCTGAGCTCCATCCGTACGCCAACGTTTCGAGCTAACTACGTGACAGCATTCCTCCCTTCAGTTCTCGCGCATCCGCCGATTCAAGACGCCCTCGGAGCCGTGATCATGACCAGCGCCGCGGCGACTACCGCAGTCACAGTCGTGGTCGTAGCTATGATCGTGTTCACAACCGCGGCGGTTACGACCGCTCTCACTCTCGCTCTGGCCACGAAGGACGTCACTCCCGCACTCGAAACCGCTCCCGGCCCAGGTCTCAACGTCGTACTTCCAGTGCTCGCCGCCGTCGCTCTGCGAGCCCTCTTCCTCGCCGTGAGGACTCACCAGTGCTCGGTCGCGGAGCCAACTCTCAAGTATCTGGTGCTAACGCACAACCTCGCGCTCCTCTCCTGCCCACGGACCAACCCAACATCAACCACGACGCTCCCATAGCCACGAACACTCACTCTCTCGTGCAACTTATCCAGCCTCCCGAAGGCGGCACCCCTGTGCGGCAGACCACTGAGCAAAAGTATGAGTTGCTCTTCGCTGACATCGCCAACTCCAAAGGCCGCGGGAAGTGGAACACCAAGTAAACTCGTTTGTTTCAACCTTGTACCCACCGCTCACTGCATATGTCATCCGTACAGGACGTGTGATGGGAAGCGGCTACAAAAGTATGCGCGCCTCCTGCCGCGCGTCTTTGGGCCCTTCGTGAGGCTACACGCAATTATCACAACGGCAGTCTTCCTCTGTGCAACTAGTGATCCGGAGGAAGAGGCCGAGCGTTCCGACTCGCTCATTGACATGTAAGTCATGCCGTCCTTCGCATAATCTGTATGCGACTTCGACTGACAGGGGACGTGCTTGGCAGTTCTGCGGAAGACAAGGTGTACGCCAAACACGTCTTCGAGTGGCTACTCAAACGAGTTCCGTTCATGCGTCCCATGCTTTCAAGGCTCGACGCTGAGGTTGACGATGTCATCCTTCTCGGTTGCTTTGTAAGTTGTGTCGCTCTCCTCAGTGCCTTGGATCTACGAAGACCAACGGCTTGGTGTCGTTCTGAGGCCACAAAGACCCCACGACGCCTGCCACTGGATGTCGTTCGGAGGCCGCGAGGGACCCAGGGCTGCTCGTGTTCATTGTGCCGGGTCCTGCCAGCATTACTGCTGTTCACCGGAGACGAGTGCTACATATCTGATTGCTTTTACTACAGCTCGATCACCATGCGAACACGACGCGCGGAAACGACATCAACAAAGTCAAAACCCACCTAAGGGAGTTCGTACCTTCGGTGGAGGTCCCACGAACTACTGACAATGTGGACGGGCATGGTCGTCCCCTCGTCATCACGCCAGGCCGCCGCTCTGACGAGGAGAAAGACGGCCTCGGATTCCGGAGCCTATGGTCCCTGCGCCTTCTCATTCCCCAGTCAATGCTTTCACAGTTCATGCGCGATCCTCCCGAGTGCGTCTCTGATCCTTTACTACCCGCACTCCGACGATGCTAACCGAAGACTTACATTTACAGCCTGTACGGGTCGATCAACTCCCGTGGAGCAGCGACGGTGTTCCGTGAGGCTCAAGCTGATGCTTACTATCCCTCATTCCTTTACGACGAGAGCCCCATCTACGACATGAACAATCTCTTCGAGGGCTTGTTCAAGAGCAAGTTTTTGATCACGGTGATTTGCCCTTTTTGTGTGCATCCGCATAGGCACTGATCGCGGTTCTAGATGTACCGTGTCCTCTTCACAAGCTACTCCTCGGTGAAGACCGGACCGTCTGTCAGTGGCACCGGTCGCCCCTCAGTTTCAGAGTCCTTCGGGCTCAGTCAGGTGGCTCCAGAAAGTATTGCTTATGTTGCGTGCTTGGTAAGGCTGTCTTTGGGCACATCAGGCCGTTCTCTCACTCCCCGATGCAGATCTACTTTGTTCTTTCTGACGTCCACCGATGGACGCCGGTGTTGAAAGGCTTCAGCCTTCCACGCTTCTTCCGTAACATTGTCACCATCCTATCCTCCAGTGAGACACCGTTCGGCGCAGAGATTCTCGCATATTGGAAGCGGTGAGTGTCTTCTCTTTTTGAAGATCACCTGACTGACTACTCTCGTAGGGAGGTTTATGGCGAAGATGTGGTGACCGATCCTGTCGAGGATACTGAAGACACCACTGTACTTAACCAGACTGCGCTCATTCTGGAGCAGCTCATCGTGGCTCATCAAAGCCATGTATGAGTGCCAATACACTCGCCCGCCCGTGTTTTCGCTACCGTGATCGGGATCGCTCATTGCCTAGTTACTCTACCGGATCGCTTATATAATAATCAAAGCGTTGTTCATCAATTGCCTTGCCATGTGCCCACATCGTGTCCGAGGTCGTATCCGAATGTAGCATGCCAGCCCGTGACCGACTCACACCAGAATGTGCATGCCAGATTGTAACACCACATAACTGCTGGACTTACTGCAATCCTCGCAATGCCTGTCATCCATTGGGTACATTGTGCCGATATTGCGAGCATTGTGAGAACATTGTGACGACATTGTAATGCTATGGTGGAAAGCGCTTGATATTTAAAGCGGATACACGAATGCGCGCTCCACGGCATACAATATATGGATTGCATGCCAATTCAGCCATTACAAGGACATTATAACCTTTTCGGCGAAACGCTGATGCCTGTCCTGCTCGTGTGCAGGGTATAGACCAACGCGGCGCTGATCGACAAATCCCCGGTCACTTGGATCGAGGACCCTAGTGTTGCGAGCCACTGTCCGAAAGCAAATGAGCACTGGGCTCGATTCGAGTCCAGGCAGCCTAGGTCCGCGCACCGAGTATTGGAGCCACTCCGAGAGTGTGGCCGACCTGAACATCGTGGCCGCCAGCACTGTTCGAGTCTACTCTTCAGTCGTAGGCGCGGAACGGCGCATGTGGGAACGCACCGGAGAAGCACGCTGGAGGAGCGGTTCCGCGGAGGGTGAGTTCGGGAACATCTCTGGTCAGGGACCAAAGCGCGGAGCTTACCGACGTTGCCTGCTATCAGGACCATCTGGGCACTCTGGGTCAGTATAAGGATCCCCGGCGGGTGTCGCACGAGGCACTCACTGCGACGGCGACAAGAATCCGGAATTTGGGCGCAACTGCGGAAAGGTACGGTGCATGAGACGGTGGGGTTCGACCGGGCTTGTAAAGTAGGGCTCACTTAGCCATAACCGGCGAGCGAAGAAACTTTGCACGGGATGTGAGCATATGTGAGACAACATATGGGAAGCTCAGACGGACCTCTGGGAGATGAAGGCCGCGAGGGCCTAGGGAGCAGAAGGATTGAGGACGATGACGAACAGCACAGGAGAAGGTACGTACGGCAGGTGGAGGGAGGACCTGGATGGAAGCGTGAGTATCGGTACCTCTAAAACTACCGGGGGTTACGTACATTGAGAGACCTAGACGGCGGTCAAGATGCGGAACAAAGGATCAGGTCTAAATGAACTTACCAAACCGTCGGGGAGACGAAGAAGTACGTTGGCTCCCAGTATTTGGTCACCATATAGAAGTATCTGCATCCCGAAAACTTCCACATTGAGCGCGCGGCCGACAATCGGCGAAGCAAGACACTCACGCAGTATGTGTGATCAACACCGTGGCCAACGTCTCAAGCACCCTGCGCGAAAGTGAGCACTCCATACGCGATGGAGAGAGACGAGATGCTCACAAAACCACCGCAACCTGCAGAAACCCATTCCGGGATTAGCGCGCTCGAGGGATGATATGGACTAGGATGGACACACCCATGCTTTAAGGACCCACCTGTCCTTGTGGAAGGTCATGTAGTACTTGAACGCCTGATGGAACAGCATGCCCTGCAGCCTGCGGAGATAGCGTGCGAAGGTGTCAAATTTTCGGGCTCGGGGTGGAATCACAGGCGGGCGTACAGGTAGCTGATGCACACGCCGATGAGCCACGCGCCGAGAGTGTCGCCGACGGGGATGTGAGGGAAGGCCGCCGTCGCCGCCGCCGCCGCGGCTGCTGCGGCTGCAGCAGTGGAGTTGGAGGAGTCGGACATGGCCAGGCGGGACGTGGAGGGCGGGGAAGGAGGCGGGGCCGGACTGAGGCATGAGGGATTGTGAGTAGAGCAGAGGAAGAACGACGGCCGGGGTCACTGATGGGGATGCGGCGGGGAGGAGGCCCGGCTTCTAAGTTCTGGCCTGAACCCAAACAAATGAGCGTCGCGTCCAAGCGCGTCCAGCGGGCAGCCGCGCTGAGCCGCCGCGCTCACGAAGCCTCCGAGTCCGAGTCTGGCGTGCGTGCGACGCCCCGGCGCTTATGGGCGCCATCTGCGATCAGATCCACACCACTCTCGTTTCGGGCTTGATTCTGCCGGGACGGGCGGAGACTTTGCCGGGTATCTGCCGCGAGTCGATACGCGTTCGAACGTCCCCGTCCACGACAACTCACGCCCGATGACGTCGACCGGCCAGCGCCTGGGACCGGGTCCGCTGACTCGCCCCGTGAGTCGCCAGCTTCATGTTTTTCTCCTCGACTGTCACTTGGATCCTGACTCTGGTGGCAGCCCGCAAGCCCGCATACATCGACGGTAACTCTATGACGTCATACGCTTGGGGCATGCGATCGAGCGCCGGCAGCGACGCGCGGCGAGCTGTGCGGCACACGCGGGCTGCGTCGCTCTGCGCACTCGGCCTGCTTTCCTGCGCCATCCAGTGCGTCCGCCCATCAAGCCCCCGCCCGCTCGAGTGCCGTCCCAGCGCGCACCGTGAGCGACACGGCCAGGACGCGTCGCAACGCCTCACCCAAAGGCCAGCTGTCATGCTGGCCACGGTACCGGTGCAGCGACAAGCTCTCTTCTCTCTCCGCCACACTCATCCCCGTTCGCGCTAGCTTTCCTCCGCCACGCTCGCCCGAGCGCTCTCGCCGTGGCGCATACATCCACCCCCTTGGGCTTCGCGCTGTCCCGCCCGCGCGTCTTGCGGCGTCCGGTCAACCGCATACAGCCACCTGTCTCGACAGATTCCCGCGTCCGTCCCTTTGTCCCGCCCTCCCCGGACCTCGTACGTCCAGCCTCGTCCACGCTGCGAACACCTCCTCAGCGTGCTGAAGCGCAGACCAGCGACCACTCGCCACCATCCGGCGGCCGCTCCTTTGGCGGGCCTCACCGTCTTCAACCCAACCTCGCTCGACAGTGTGACGGTCGGCGGCCGGGACGTCACATAGCCTGCCCGCAGGAGAGTCGTAGGCGAGCAGGACGACCGCCGAGCCGTCCGTAGGGCGTAGTCGTAGCAGAGGGTGTGTGTTGGTTGCTCAAAAGGTACGTAGAATACAAAATGCAGGTACATAGCGTGAGTCCAAAAGCGGTAGCTGAGATGATCGTAAGGTGCATGACGTAACGTGGACCGTTACAGACAGCCTGCAGGCTCCCCCCGACCTCTCGACGGCGCCCCCGCTGTACCAGCTGCAGGTCGTGCTCGACCACCAACGCTCGGCACACTCACTTGCCACAGAGCTCGCCTCTCCACCACCGCGTTTCACCCGTGCCGTCTGCACTGCACGCACCTGGACACTGGTACCGTGCTTCCCTCGACGCGACATCTCTTTGGCTGTCCCATCTGTGGTGCTCGTCCTCGTTGTTCAGCCGCGCTATGGACGCTTACGCGTGCATCGCGCTCGGCCCTCCGCGGCGCGCGCGACCGTCCACAACGCACGAACACATGGACGACGTACCATGTCTCTAGCTAGAAATCGCGGTCCACGCCCGCGATGATCCCAAGCAGTAGCACGACGACCGTGACGCCTGCGATTGCCACCCGCCCTTCGCCTGCCCGTCGCTTCGACCGATCGGAGTGCATACAGCCACCTCCGACCGCCAGCCACGCCCCGTCTCAACCCATCCCCTCTCCGCCACTTCGTCTCCAGACCTCCTCTTTCTCTCCCTGGGGACACAAGAATGCTGCCGTCAGTGACGAAACCTCCTCAGCAGACGTCCAACGTACCAGCGTATTCCCGCCCCGCTCCCGGATCCTGCCACGTGCAACATCGTGTCAGCACTCGTACGCAACGCGGTAAAGCGCACTCACCAGAACGTCTCTGCCCGGCCAGCATATCGGCGACCGACACCAACGCGGGCATCTCGCACCGGAGCAAGCTGCCGTCCCGGCTCTCGAGTACGTGCTTTTATCCACATCCGCCCTCCCACCGCTCTTTGCATTCGCCGACCTCCGCGCCCACGTCCGCGCCCTGTTTCCATCGTACCGTGCCCATGCCTGGCTGTGCCGTGAGTGCCTGTCAACGCCATGACAAAACCTCCCGTCCACTCACCTCGAGGTTCGTTCACACAGGCACACGCCCGCCCACGCGTACCTTGACGTCAGCGGCTGGCTTCGCATTAACCACGTCCGCCGGTCGAGACCGCTTCCACCATGGCGAGGCATGCGTTCAACCGCTGACGTCAGACGTGCTTGAGCCCCACGGGCTTGGTAGCGAGCATTGAACAGGTCGACGCCGTGCTGCGCACCGTTCACCGCCCTGCTCATCCGGTGCGCCCCTTCATTGTATCACGTACGTCTGTCATTGCATCGTTCTGCCGGCGTCCGCTCTCCGCGCTGACCACGTCCTTCCATCCCGGCGCAGGAACGCGCCAGACGGCATGGTCACCTTTCGATCGTCCGTACCTTGGCTGCACCTAACCCTGCACGCACCAGGACGCACACACCAGTCTCAGGCCCTCTGCGTGCACGCTCACGTCCCGCGCAGGCAGAGAATGTGCAGGATGCGTTCGCGCTGCACTCGCCCACTCGCGGATGGGACGGGACCTGCCGTTTCGTTCCGCGGCGTCCGTGAACGTCTCCCTGCATTTACCGTGGCCAGAACGGCGGGCCCCGCGCACTCTCAGGCCACTAACCGGTCGTGTGAGGCTGTCAGAACCATACACGCCCACTTGATGGTACCGGGTGTATGCGCGCCCGCCGACGCCCGCCGACGCTCGTGATCAGCACACCAGCTCGCCCGTTCGACCCGAGGGCGATGTCTCGTGCGCCACGGCCGTGCGGGAACCACCTCCGACTCGACCTGCGATTTCTTGTTGGACGCCGCTGGCCCCTTTGTTGCAACCAGTGTGGTGACAGGCGACGCGGAACGCATGCCAGCAACGTCTGTAGGAACTGGCCCGTACGTCTGGTAGGTTTCAGCGAGGTTTGTGAAATCGTACCTGGGCATGTTCGCTTCATGCGCGCGCTGATGTATTGCGTCACGCAGAGCGCATCTCGGACGGCCTCCTCCTCGAATCGAGTCGCGGAGAGCGAACTGTGCCCACCGACGCCGAACGGCCGCAAGTAGGATCGTGAACACTTGACGGCCCACGCAGGACCGCCGAGCGCAAGGCCGTCCTCATCCACACCGCTCTCTCGACTCGCGATTTCATTGAGCCCAGGCGCGGCTCTTGACTGGTTCTATCCTGGCGTGGTTTCGACTCGGTTTCGACTCGGTTCGACTTGTTCTGAACGGGCCGCGTGCACTCTTAGGCCACTAACCGGTCGTGTGAGGTTGTCAGAACCGTACACGCCCGCTTGATGGTGCCGGATGTGTGCGTGCCCGCCGCCGACCTCCGCCGACGCTCGTGATCAGCGCACCAGCTCGCCCTTTCGACCCGAGGGCGATGTCTCGTGCGCCACAGCCGTGCGGGAACGACCTCCGACTCGACCTGCGATTCCTAGCTGGACGCTGCTGGCCCCTGGGTCGCAACCGGTGCAGTGTGCGACACGGAACGTATGCCGGCGACGTTTGTAGGAACTGGCCCATACGTCTGGTAGGTTTCAGCGCAACTTGAAAAGGTTTGTGAAATCGCGCCTGGGCATGTCCGCTTCATGCGCGCGCTGATGTATTGCGTCACGCAGCGCGTATCTCGGACGGCCACCTCCTCGAATCCAGTCGCGAAGAGCGAACTGTGCCCACCGACACTGAACGGCTGCAAGTAGGATCGTGAACACCTGACGGCCCACGCAGGAAGGCCTAGCGTGAGGCCGTCCTCATCCACACCGCTCTCTCGACACGCGATTTCATTGACCCCAGCAGCGGCTCTGGACTGGTTCTATCCCGGTGTGGTCTCGACGCGATTCGACTTGTCCTGAAACACCGCCTGTAGCTCGTCGCGCGATCGCGTGCAGCTGATGACCCGCCGCCTGAGCGGCCATACGCCCGTCGTTGCCGTCTCGTCTCTCGCACGTGCCACGCTCCTCGAGTCCCTCGGGGTGACACACGTCCTCGACCGTGCCCTCGATCGCACACAACACGTTCCCCGCCGCACTCGCCGCCGCGGGCGGTGCGCCTCTCAAGTACGTGCTGCCCACCACGCTGACACTCCCCAGCTTCATAGCACGCACACCACTTCGTCGTTCAACGGAGGCTCAGCGCAGGAACGGATGCCGAAGAGGCTAGTAAGGTACCGGCATCCGCCTCGTACCGTACTCAATGTACTCGATGTGTGTTCTATCCGAGACCGCGCGCCGAATGACGAGCGTGCATGACAATCGCTACCACGGAGTGGGCTGGGCGCACGTCGCCGCGGCGTGACAGCCTGGGCGTAAGAGCGGTCCATCACGCTCTCATTTCGCGTCGTCGGTCAAGCAGGCCGCGCGTCCCGTGTGCGGATCAGTCTACATTGGCTCGAGCCCTGCACGGCGCCGTTCGTGCGAGACGTGGGAGACAGACGTGGTGTGCGCAATCTCCGTGCCATCTGATTCGGTTGGCAGCGTGTCCGCGGAGGCACGACTTCTCAGAGCTCCGACTTGGGTGTTCTGCAGGAGGTGCTCATTCATCGGCGCGAAGCTGCGCACAGTGTGGTGAATGTAGGTGGATGGGAGCTTGACCGGGTCAACATGGTGCGTGCAAAGTTGGTGTTCCACCCGCCCATTGGTGCTGAGCGACGCTTCCCTCGCGTGTCCTATCACCCGGTGCTTCATCTTGAGGCTTCTGCTCTCACACGGCACGCACAACGTCATCGAGAAAATCTATTTCACCGTGGTCTGGGCCTCGAAACAGACGCTTCGTGCTAGAAGAGACCGCTGGAGCGACGCACCTGGCAAGGAACTGTTGCGGAGTGGGCCGAGTCCGCAATACCCAACACCTGGTGCGCAGCTTCGGTGCGAGGCGTCCAGACGAAACCGTCACCCACACACGCCCGCCAACCAGAGCACGTTGACGGCCGCACACCATGTCGGTCCCGGGGACAATAACGGCGCTGCGCAGCGTTCACAATCGTTGTGGTGCGCAAGTTCGTCGAGCCCGCACTCTGGTGTGGGATCGGTGAAGACGGCGGGGTCGAGGTTGACGTCCGCATCTGTGCCCGACACGCGCTCGAAGGCCGTGCCAGCGTCGCAATGCTGTCGGGAGAAAGAGATCGCGCGGGGTCAGCGAGCGCGGGGTGACACAAAAGAGCGCGCAGACCTGCAGGTCGTAGCACGCCGCCCGCCGTCGCGCTGTGTTTGGTGCGGTACCGACGTCTGCGCGGTGTCACGGCAAGAAACGAAACAGGGCGAGTCAAAGACGCGATATGGGCGACTGATGAACTACTCACTGTCCCTGCAGTGGATGTTTACCCACCGGGGGCGTCCACTGCCGCCGTGTTTGACGTGGGTCTCCTCCGTCTGGAAGCCGTAAGGACAGCCTGGAACGTGTCTGCGGCGTGGCGCACGAGGGTCAACAGCGCGACATCGTACATGTACTCACGGACCTCGGCGACCCGAGCGAAACGACTTGCTGATCGACTTATCCACAGACACGTTGCGTGCAGGACGCGCTGTGCCAGGCGGAGACGATTTCGGATAGGATTTGCATGACATCTTCGCACTCACTTGGAATCCAGGGGAACAGCCTGGCGCACACGGGCTGCGCACATCCACAGGACACGCGTCGAGCGTACTCAACGCGGGGATAGGATCGGGGGCGAGGCGGGTATGCTGAGCGGGATCACAGAGGGCTCTGTGCGCAGATAGGATCGTGAGCGATGCGGATCGGGAACAAATACAAAGACGATTGCCTTGAGCGTTCCGCGCAAGGCGGCGCAATTGACAGTCGACAACGGGTGACAGGAGCTGGTACTACCCCTGGCTCATGTCCACTAGCGCCATCGCGCCGTGCCATCGCGCCGTGTCCAGACGCGGTACGACGGCCTGTCGGGTGGTTTCCAACTGGTAGTAATAGTCGTGTCAGCGGCGTTTGGCATGGCTCGCTCTTCCCCCACCCTAGTCACTCACCAGTACGTCCCCGTTCGTTCCCTCTCGTGAGCCGGCGCCGCTTGCTGATGCTCCGCTTCGTCCAGAATGCCCGGGCGCAGGCGCAAGTTCTTCAAGACCGGTCAGATGCTCGACCGTGCGGCGGTCGGATACACGCGACACGCGACGTTCGTCCGCGGACAGCTGCGCAAGAAGTTCAAGAGAGAATTGGGTGAGTGGTGTTCTCTTCATGCACGCACTCACACCGACGGTACGCACCTACTCTGCAGTCCGGCTCACCGACGACCCGAAGGTGGAGATGCGCTGGACGTTGGAGCGGTTCGCCAAGCACATCTTCGTCAAGCACCGGCTGCGCCTCATCGGCTGGCCGCACGGTACCAAGTTCGGCAACCTGAGCGAAAACGCGACGAGCTTGAACGAGCTCATCGGCCTGCACAGGCTGTGGGACCGCGGCGACCTGCGCTTCGAGCGCGTGGGCATCGAGGAGGCAGAGGCGGCGAGGGCGAACTGTAGGCTTGTGGGGCCGACACCGTTCGTCCTGCCACGCGGCGGATCACGGGCGGACGAAGGCGAGCGGCGGGACCCGGGTGTGGTGGAGTTCGGGATGTGGCGCCGGCGGATGTCGTGCATGGTGACAAAGTCACAGCGCGAGATCACTTGGGAGGACGAGGAGGAGGCGGAGCGTCCGCTGGGGAGGGAGGCATCGAGCGACCTGATAGACAGCTTTAGCAGTTGCGGCCGTGGTTGGGACGTCGGTGCTGTAGTCGCACAGTTAATCGTAATCAAGGATTGGACCGAGAAGGTGAATTGCGTACCTGAAAGGGCTAGCGCTGTGGAGGTGTGCGCGCGTTGGTGCCTGCACCATCGGAGTTTGGCCGGAACCACCCTGCCATGGCTAGCCTCAGCCGGTGCCGCCCATCGGGAGTGGGCACTGCGCATAAAAGGCGTCGGATGCCTTGTCCCCAGCCTCCCTTCCCTCTTGCCCTTTGCGCAGCTCGCCCTCTCCGCCGCCACCCGCTCCCCTTGCTGCCCCTCCTGCTCGTTGGCCGCTCCCTTCACCAATCCTCCTCTCAGACGATCCAAGGCACGGGCAACCGCTATCATGATCCGTGTCCGTCACCCAACACTGGTACGTGCTGAGCCTGTCCTCGAGTCGCGCTAATTCAGAATCAACCATTACTGTCCATGCTGAGACGACCTGGCGCAGTCCACTCACCCGTTGTCGCGCATCATCGCACGGAGGCTGGTACGGGTACGCGGATGCCGGTACGTCCTGTTCGTTCATTGAGGGTTCCGCAGCGCGAGGCACGATGGAAACGCGTAGTGCAGTGGCCGGTGGCCGGTGGTCAGGCTGGTCTTGCAAGTGCGACTACGCGCTGCCCATGGTTCGCTGGCAGGCGCACCCGGTACGTGCTGAGCTTGTCCACCACCAAACTAACAATCATTGCCCGCACCAAGACGAGGCGAAATCGACTTACCAGTTGCCGCGCATCGGTACGCTGCCGTTCGTTCTCCTGCAGCGTACCGGGTGTGGTCACGCCGCTCTAGCAAGCGCGACCACGAGCTGGCCGTGTTCCGCTGGCAAGCGCTACCCGGTACGTGCTCGACGCTGTTGCTTCTGTTGATATCAACACGTCAGTCTATCGCTGCCGCGCGCGGCGATACACGCGATACGTACATCTTCAGTACGCTCCGCGGGAGCATGGAAGTTGTGTCGATGTGCGCGGGGACCCGGCGGAGTACGGTACGTGCTTGACGACCTTGATCTTGCTGCACGCTAACGAGTGTTCTGTGTGCACGGTACATTCACAATGACGACGAGACTTTGAGAGCGGGTGGATGGTTCTTACCGTCGTCACAGTGGGCGTGGCGGCGGCGGCGGCGGAAAAGAGCTTGTGAGTGTGACGGGCGGATAACAGCGAGGAAAGACGTACCGGGTGCTCGCGCGCGAGGCCGGCGCACGACGAGAGGGATGGCGGGCTTGCGTGGGTGTGTAGTACGTAGAAGCACGTTCGAATGAAAGTTGTTTAGATGCCAGACATGCGCGGCGGCCCTTGCACGCTCTTGCAAATCGTGCCCCGGTCCGCCGTCGATTCAGCACTCTCCACAGTCTCAATAATCCTGTCTCTACAGCGTCAATAAGCCACTCTATACAGCGTCAACAAACCACTCTCTACAGCGTTAATAAACCACTCTCTACCCATCCATAGTCAGAATTTGCCCTGGTGCTTACCTGGTCCCTCCCATCTACCCCATCCAGTCCGTCCGCGCCGTCCTGCCCGTCCCCCCACATGCGCACGCCTCCCCTCCTCGATTCGTCCGTCCGTCCGTCCGCACGCTCGGCGACTTCAATGGGAAGACGTTCTGAGGCCATCGAAGAGCGGCAGGGTGGATTTCGAGGGCCGATCGCAGACCGATGAGACGTAGATGTGGTAGTGGTCACACCAGTAGTGCCCGCGCGCGCTACATCAATTCAGGCCAGGCCGAGGCTCCGAGCGCGATGTCATATTCAGGCTCCGCGCCAAACTGGGCGGTGCCATCCGACGGCACGGAACGTGGTCTACTTTCTCTGTTGCCCTGGAGTTTCCTCAGAACGACGCAACCAGCGACCGCCGGGGAGTGCGCCCAAATGCGCTCTCCTGCTCGCCAGGTGACGAGAGCTCGAACTCACAACACCCCCGCCAAAAGCGGCCGACTCCGACTTCCAACGCGCACTCGGGAGGGAAAGCGCCGTCCTGTCTCTATTAATTATAATCGCTCTAAAGTTGAACAGCACGGAGCGGAAGGGAGCGGAGCGACCGACGCGCTTCTACCGCCACGGCCCACACCGCGCACGACATAGCGGGAAGCCCGTCCAGAGTCCAGGGCCACGAACGAGGGACGAGGGAGGGCCGACTCGCGACCAACCGCAGCCGGAACACCGGCCGGGTGTCGCGCCCCCGCACGCCACCATCGTATGTACATAGTTACATAGTACGTGCCTTTTCTGAGGGACGCAGAGCTCGATCGGATCTGCGCCGCGCGCGTGCACGCACGCCCTCCCTCTCCACGTAGATCGCCCGACCAGTCCCGTCTATTCGCGCGGTCGATCTCACGGCGTCATGACCTCCGCGGCGTACGGGTGTCGCTTCGGCCCGAGGAACGACCGCTGCGGCTGCTGCTGCTGCTGCGCCTCGAGCGGCCCGGGCTCGGACACGGCGTACGCGCCGTCGTAGAAGTCGTCGGTCTCGGTCACCGTCGTGACCTTGAGCTCGATCGCGGTCGGGTTGCTCGCCGCGGTGTTGCTGAGCTGCTCGTTCGTCCGTCCGTCCGTCCGTCCGGTCGTGTGAGCGCGTGGGGGTGAACGGGAGAGGGAGGCGCGGGAAGAGCGAGAAGAGGGGCAGGTCAGCGTGTGGCACAGAGAAGGATTCGCGACAACACGTACCGCGGTGGGGAGGTTGGTCGCGCCGCGCGCGCGGAGCACGTGCGAGACGTTGACGGAGTTGGACTGGTTGTTCGACTGGCCGAGGATGCCCAGCGACGCGCGGGAGTTGAGCCTGCAGGAGGACGGCAAGAGGAGTGCAGTCAGAGCGCGCGCCGGGGGCGGAGGCGGAAAAACGGCTTACGCGACGAGGAACGCGTTGGCGTACACTATAAGGGCGAGTCAGACGAGTAGACGAGCAAGTAGTAGGAGGCGCACGCACGCTTCGTGAGGATGATGGAGAGCGCGGCGTAGATGAAGTTATCCGGCTCCTTGGCGGACTGTATAGGGGAAGGGGCGATGTGAGCGCCGAGCGCCGGCGTGTGAGGGAACAGCACTCACATAGGTGACGTTGACGATGTGGACGATGCTGTTACCGGGCAATGTGAGCACATATTCCGCCGTATGTTCCTTGTCGTCCCACAACTCACCAGGTTACGACACCTGCAAGTGACTGTGAGCAAACACGCGCTGAACCCTGCCACCACGGCACTCACCAGTCGAGACCGAGTATGTGATCAGTGTATCCACGATCGAGTCCGTCCTGTGCGCGTGCTTCAGCACAACCCACACGCGCCGAACCGAGCTGCAGCGCACCGAGTGATCCCTGTCCTGCTTGTGTGCAGGGTATACACCAACGCGGCGCTGATCGACAGATCCCCGGTCACTTGGATCGAGGACCCTAGTGTTGCGAGCCACTGTGCGAAGGCAAATGAGCACTGCGCTCGATTCGAGTCTAGGCAACCTGGCTCCGCGCACGAGTATTGGAGCCACTCCGAGAGTGTCGCCGACCTGAACATCGTCGCGCCAGCACTATCCAAGTCTACTCTTCAGTCGTAGGCGCGGAACGGCGCATGTGGGAACGCACCGGAGAAGCACGCTGGAGGAGCGGTTCCGCGGAGGGTGAGTTCGGGAACATCTCTGGTCAGGGACCAAAGCGCGGAGCTTACCGACGTTGCCTGCTATCAGGACCATCTGGGCACTCTGGGTCAGTATAAGGATCCCCGGCGGGTGTCGCACGAGGCACTCACTGCGACGGCGACAAGAATCCGGAATTTGGGTGCAACTGCGGAAAGGTACGGTGCATGAGACGGTGGGGTTCGACCGGGCTTGTAAAGTAGGGCTCACTTAGCCATAACCGGCGAGCGAAGAAACTTTGCACGGGATGTGAGCATATGTGAGACAACATATGGGAAGCTCAGACGGACCTCTGGGAGATGAAGGCCGCGAGGGCCTAGGGAGCAGAAGGATTGAGGACGATGACGAACAGCACAGGAGAAGGTACGTACGGCAGGTGGAGGGAGGACCTGGATGGAAGCGTGAGTATCGGTACCTCTAAAACTACCGGGGTTACGTACATTGAGAGACCTAGACGGCGGTCAAGATGCGGAACAAAGGATCAGGTCTAAATGAACTTACCAAACCGTCGGGGAGACGAAGAAGTACGTTGGCTCCCAGTATTTGGTCACCATATAGAAGTATCTGCATCCCGAAAACTTCCACATTGAGCGCGCGGCCGACAATCGGCGAAGCAAGACACTCACGCAGTATGTGTGATCAACACCGTGGCCAACGTCTCAAGCACCCTGCGCGAAAGTGAGCACTCCATACGCGATGGAGAGAGACGAGATGCTCACAAAACCACCGCAACCTGCAGAAACCCATTCCGGGATTAGCGCGCTCGAGGGATGATATGGACTAGGATGGACACACCCATGCTTTAAGGACCCACCTGTCCTTGTGGAAGGTCATGTAGTACTTGAACGCCTGATGGAACAGCATGCCCTGCAGCCTGCGGAGATAGCGTGCGAAGGTGTCAAATTTTCGGGCTCGGGGTGGAATCACAGGCGGGCGTACAGGTAGCTGATGCACACGCCGATGAGCCACGCGCCGAGAGTGTCGCCGACGGGGATGTGAGGGAAGGCCGCCGTCGCCGCCGCCGCGGCGGCTGCTGCGGCTGCAGCAGTGGAGTTGGAGGAGTCGGACATGGCCAGGCGGGACGTGGAGGGCGGGGAAGGAGGCGGGGCCGGACTGAGGCATGAGGGATTGTGAGTAGAGCAGAGGAAGAACGACGGCCGGGGTCACTGATGGGGATGCGGCGGGGAGGAGGCCCGGCTTCTAAGTTCTGGCCTGAACCCAAACAAATGAGCGTCGCGTCCAAGCGCGTCCAGCGGGCAGCCGCGCTGAGCCGCCGCGCTCACGAAGCCTCCGAGTCCGAGTCTGGCGTGCGTGCGACGCCCCGGCGCTTATGGGCGCCATCTGCGATCAGATCCACACCACTCTCGTTTCGGGCTTGATTCTGCCGGGACGGGCGGAGACTTTGCCGGGTATCTGCCGCGAGTCGATACGCGTTCGAACGTCCCCGTCCACGACAACTCACGCCCGATGACGTCGACCGGCCAGCGCCTGGGACCGGGTCCGCTGACTCGCCCCGTGAGTCGCCAGCTTCATGTTTTTCTCCTCGACTGTCACTTGGATCCTGACTCTGGTGGCAGCCCGCAAGCCCGCATACATCGACGGTAACTCTATGACGTCATACGCTTGGGGCATGCGATCGAGCGCCGGCAGCGACGCGCGGCGAGCTGTGCGGCACACGCGGGCTGCGTCGCTCTGCGCACTCGGCCTGCTTTCCTGCGCCATCCAGTGCGTCCGCCCATCAAGCCCCCGCCCGCTCGAGTGCCGTCCCAGCGCGCACCGTGAGCGACACGGCCAGGACGCGTCGCAACGCCTCACCCAAAGGCCAGCTGTCATGCTGGCCACGGTACCGGTGCAGCGACAAGCTCTCTTCTCTCTCCGCCACACTCATCCCCGTTCGCGCTAGCTTTCCTCCGCCACGCTCGCCCGAGCGCTCTCGCCGTGGCGCATACATCCACCCCCTTGGGCTTCGCGCTGTCCCGCCCGCGCGTCTTGCGGCGTCCGGTCAACCGCATACAGCCACCTGTCTCGACAGATTCCCGCGTCCGTCCCTTTGTCCCGCCCTCCCCGGACCTCGTACGTCCAGCCTCGTCCACGCTGCGAACACCTCCTCAGCGTGCTGAAGCGCAGACCAGCGACCACTCGCCACCATCCGGCGGCCGCTCCTTTGGCGGGCCTCACCGTCTTCAACCCAACCTCGCTCGACAGCCTGCAGGCTCCCCCGACCTCTCGACGGCGCCCCCGCTGTACCAGCTGCAGGTCGTGCTCGACCACCAACGCTCGGCACACTCACTTGCCACAGAGCTCGCCTCTCCACCACCGCGTTTCACCCGTGCCGTCTGCACTGCACGCACCTGGACACTGGTACCGTGCTTCCCTCGACGCGACATCTCTTTGGCTGTCCCATCTGTGGTGCTCGTCCTCGTTGTTCAGCCGCGCTATGGACGCTTACGCGTGCATCGCGCTCGGCCCTCCGCGGCGCGCGCGACCGTCCACAACGCACGAACACATGGACGACGTACCATGTCTCTAGCTAGAAATCGCGGTCCACGCCCGCGATGATCCCAAGCAGTAGCACGACGACCGTGACGCCTGCGATTGCCACCCGCCCTTCGCCTGCCCGTCGCTTCGACCGATCGGAGTGCATACAGCCACCTCCGACCGCCAGCCACGCCCCGTCTCAACCCATCCCCTCTCCGCCACTTCGTCTCCAGACCTCCTCTTTCTCTCCCTGGGGACACAAGAATGCTGCCGTCAGTGACGAAACCTCCTCAGCAGACGTCCAACGTACCAGCGTATTCCCGCCCCGCTCCCGGATCCTGCCACGTGCAACATCGTGTCAGCACTCGTACGCAACGCGGTAAAGCGCACTCACCAGAACGTCTCTGCCCGGCCAGCATATCGGCGACCGACACCAACGCGGGCATCTCGCACCGGAGCAAGCTGCCGTCCCGGCTCTCGAGTACGTGCTTTTATCCACATCCGCCCTCCCACCGCTCTTTGCATTCGCCGACCTCCGCGCCCACGTCCGCGCCCTGTTTCCATCGTACCGTGCCCATGCCTGGCTGTGCCGTGAGTGCCTGTCAACGCCATGACAAAACCTCCCGTCCACTCACCTCGAGGTTCGTTCACACAGGCACACGCCCGCCCACGCGTACCTTGACGTCAGCGGCTGGCTTCGCATTAACCACGTCCGCCGGTCGAGACCGCTTCCACCATGGCGAGGCATGCGTTCAACCGCTGACGTCAGACGTGCTTGAGCCCCACGGGCTTGGTAGCGAGCATTGAACAGGTCGACGCCGTGCTGCGCACCGTTCACCGCCCTGCTCATCCGGTGCGCCCCTTCATTGTATCACGTACGTCTGTCATTGCATCGTTCTGCCGGCGTCCGCTCTCCGCGCTGACCACGTCCTTCCATCCCGGCGCAGGAACGCGCCAGACGGCATGGTCACCTTTCGATCGTCCGTACCTTGGCTGCACCTAACCCTGCACGCACCAGGACGCACACACCAGTCTCAGGCCCTCTGCGTGCACGCTCACGTCCCGCGCAGGCAGAGAATGTGCAGGATGCGTTCGCGCTGCACTCGCCCACTCGCGGATGGGACGGGTGCCGTTTCGTTCCGCGGCGTCCGTGAACGTCTCCCTGCATTTACCGTGGCCAGAACGGCGGGCCCCGCGCACTCTCAGGCCACTAACCGGTCGTGTGAGGCTGTCAGAACCATACACGCCCACTTGATGGTACCGGGTGTATGCGCGCCCGCCGACGCCCGCCGACGCTCGTGATCAGCACACCAGCTCGCCCGTTCGACCCGAGGGCGATGTCTCGTGCGCCACGGCCGTGCGGGAACCACCTCCGACTCGACCTGCGATTTCTTGTTGGACGCCGCTGGCCCCTTTGTTGCAACCAGTGTGGTGACAGGCGACGCGGAACGCATGCCAGCAACGTCTGTAGGAACTGGCCCGTACGTCTGGTAGGTTTCAGCGAGGTTTGTGAAATCGTACCTGGGCATGTTCGCTTCATGCGCGCGCTGATGTATTGCGTCACGCAGAGCGCATCTCGGACGGCCTCCTCCTCGAATCGAGTCGCGGAGAGCGAACTGTGCCCACCGACGCCGAACGGCCGCAAGTAGGATCGTGAACACTTGACGGCCCACGCAGGACCGCCGAGCGCAAGGCCGTCCTCATCCACACCGCTCTCTCGACTCGCGATTTCATTGAGCCCAGGCGCGGCTCTTGACTGGTTCTATCCTGGCGTGGTTTCGACTCGGTTTCGACTCGGTTCGACTTGTTCTGAACGGGCCGCGTGCACTCTTAGGCCACTAACCGGTCGTGTGAGGTTGTCAGAACCGTACACGCCCGCTTGATGGTGCCGGATGTGTGCGTGCCCGCCGCCGACCTCCGCCGACGCTCGTGATCAGCGCACCAGCTCGCCCTTTCGACCCGAGGGCGATGTCTCGTGCGCCACAGCCGTGCGGGAACGACCTCCGACTCGACCTGCGATTCCTAGCTGGACGCTGCTGGCCCCTGGGTCGCAACCGGTGCAGTGTGCGACACGGAACGTATGCCGGCGACGTTTGTAGGAACTGGCCCATACGTCTGGTAGGTTTCAGCGCAACTTGAAAAGGTTTGTGAAATCGCGCCTGGGCATGTCCGCTTCATGCGCGCGCTGATGTATTGCGTCACGCAGCGCGTATCTCGGACGGCCACCTCCTCGAATCCAGTCGCGAAGAGCGAACTGTGCCCACCGACACTGAACGGCTGCAAGTAGGATCGTGAACACCTGACGGCCCACGCAGGAAGGCCTAGCGTGAGGCCGTCCTCATCCACACCGCTCTCTCGACACGCGATTTCATTGACCCCAGCAGCGGCTCTGGACTGGTTCTATCCCGGTGTGGTCTCGACGCGATTCGACTTGTCCTGAAACACCGCCTGTAGCTCGTCGCGCGATCGCGTGCAGCTGATGACCCGCCGCCTGAGCGGCCATACGCCCGTCGTTGCCGTCTCGTCTCTCGCACGTGCCACGCTCCTCGAGTCCCTCGGGGTGACACACGTCCTCGACCGTGCCCTCGATCGCACACAACACGTTCCCCGCCGCACTCGCCGCCGCGGGCGGTGCGCCTCTCAAGTACGTGCTGCCCACCACGCTGACACTCCCCAGCTTCATAGCACGCACACCACTTCGTCGTTCAACGGAGGCTCAGCGCAGGAACGGATGCCGAAGAGGCTAGTAAGGTACCGGCATCCGCCTCGTACCGTACTCAATGTACTCGATGTGTGTTCTATCCGAGACCGCGCGCCGAATGACGAGCGTGCATGACAATCGCTACCACGGAGTGGGCTGGGCGCACGTCGCCCGCGGCGTGACAGCCTGGGCGTAAGAGCGGTCCATCACGCTCTCATTTCGCGTCGTCGGTCAAGCAGGCCGCGCGTCCCGTGTGCGGATCAGTCTACATTGGCTCGAGCCCTGCACGGCGCCGTTCGTGCGAGACGTGGGAGACAGACGTGGTGTGCGCAATCTCCGTGCCATCTGATTCGGTTGGCAGCGTGTCCGCGGAGGCACGACTTCTCAGAGCTCCGACTTGGGTGTTCTGCAGGAGGTGCTCATTCATCGGCGCGAAGCTGCGCACAGTGTGGTGAATGTAGGTGGATGGGAGCTTGACCGGGTCAACATGGTGCGTGCAAAGTTGGTGTTCCACCCGCCCATTGGTGCTGAGCGACGCTTCCCTCGCGTGTCCTATCACCCGGTGCTTCATCTTGAGGCTTCTGCTCTCACACGGCACGCACAACGTCATCGAGAAAATCTATTTCACCGTGGTCTGGGCCTCGAAACAGACGCTTCGTGCTAGAAGAGACCGCTGGAGCGACGCACCTGGCAAGGAACTGTTGCGGAGTGGGCCGAGTCCGCAATACCCAACACCTGGTGCGCAGCTTCGGTGCGAGGCGTCCAGACGAAACCGTCACCCACACACGCCCGCCAACCAGAGCACGTTGACGGCCGCGCACCATGTCGGTCCCGGGGACAAGAACGGCGCTGCGCAGCGTTCACAATCGTTGTGGTGCGCAAGTTCGTCGAGCCCGCACTCTGGTGTGGGATCGGTGAAGACGGCGGGGTCGAGGTTGACGTCCGCATCTGTGCCCGACACGCGCTCGAAGGCCGTGCCAGCGTCGCAATGCTGTCGGGAGAAAGAGATCGCGCGGGGTCAGCGAGCGCGGGGTGACACAAAAGAGCGCGCAGACCTGCAGGTCGTAGCACGCCGCCCGCCGTCGCGCTGTGTTTGGTGCGGTACCGACGTCTGCGCGGTGTCACGGCAAGAAACGAAACAGGGCGAGTCAAAGACGCGATATGGGCGACTGATGAACTACTCACTGTCCCTGCAGTGGATGTTTACCCACCGGGGGCGTCCACTGCCGCCGTGTTTGACGTGGGTCTCCTCCGTCTGGAAGCCGTAAGGACAGCCTGGAACGTGTCTGCGGCGTGGCGCACGAGGGTCAACAGCGCGACATCGTACATGTACTCACGGACCTCGGCGACCCGAGCGAAACGACTTGCTGATCGACTTATCCACAGACACGTTGCGTGCAGGACGCGCTGTGCCAGGCGGAGACGATTTCGGATAGGATTTGCATGACATCTTCGCACTCACTTGGAATCCAGGGGAACAGCCTGGCGCACACGGGCTGCGCACATCCACAGGACACGCGTCGAGCGTACTCAACGCGGGGATAGGATCGGGGGCGAGGCGGGTATGCTGAGCGGGATCACAGAGGGCTCTGTGCGCAGATAGGATCGTGAGCGATGCGGATCGGGAACAAATACAAAGACGATTGCCTTGAGCGTTCCGCGCAAGGCGGCGCAATTGACAGTCGACAACGGGTGACAGGAGCTGGTACTACCCCTGGCTCATGTCCACTAGCGCCATCGCGCCGTGCCATCGCGCCGTGTCCAGACGCGGTACGACGGCCTGTCGGGTGGTTTCCAACTGGTAGTAATAGTCGTGTCAGCGGCGTTTGGCATGGCTCGCTCTTCCCCCACCCTAGTCACTCACCAGTACGTCTCCGTTCGTTCCCTCTCGTGAGCCGCACCGCCCAGCGCCCGCTGATGCTCCGTTTCGTCCAGAATGTCTGGGCGCAGGCGCAAGTTCTTCAAGACCAGTCAGACGCTCGACCGTGCGGGCGGATACACGCGACACACGACGTTCGTCCGTGGACAGCTGCGCAAGAAGTTCAAGAGAGAATTGGGTGAGTGGTGTTCTCTTCATGCACGCACTCACACCGACGGTACGCACCTACTCTGCAGTCCGGCTCACCGACGACCCGAAGGTGGAGATGCGCTGGACGTTGGAGCGGTTCGCCAAGCACATCTTCGTCAAGCACCGGCTGCGCCTCGTCGGCTGGCCACACGGTACCAAGTTCGGCAACCTGAGCGAAAACGCGACGAGCTTGAACGAGCTCATCGGCCTGCACAGGCTGTGGGACCGCGGCGACCTGCGCTTCGAGCGCGTGGGCATCGAGGAGGCAGAGGCGGCGAGGGCGAACTGTAGGCTTGCGGCGCCGACGCCGTTCGTCCTCCCGCGCGGAACACGGGCGAATGAAGACGAGCGGCGGGACCCGGGTGTGGTGGAGTTCGGGATGTGGCGCCGGCGGATGTCGTGCATGGTGACAAAGTCACAGCGCGAGATCACTTGGGAGGACGAGGAGGAGGCGGAGCATCCGCTGGGGAGGGAGGCGTCGAGCGACCTGATAGACAGCTTTAGCAGTCGCGGCTGTGGTTGGGATGTAGGTGCTGGGGTTGCAGTTAATCGTAATCAAGGATTGGACCGAGAATGTGAATTGCGTACCTGAAAGGGCTAGCGCTGTGGAAGTGTGCGCGCGTTGGTGCCTGCACCATCGGAGTCTGGCCGGAACCACCAGGCTGCCATGGCTAGCCGCAGCTGGTGCCGCCCGTCGGGAGTGGGTACCGCGCATAAAAGGCGTCGAATGCCTTGTCCCTGGCCTCCCTTCCCTCTTGCCCTTTGCGCAGCTCGCCCTCTCCGCCGCCACCCGTTCCCCTTGCTGCCCCTCCTGCTCGCCGGCTTCTCCCTTCACCAATCCTCCTCTCGGACGATCCAAGGCACGGGCAACCGCTATCGCGATCTGCGTTCGTCACCCAATACTGGTACGTGCTGAGCCTGTCCTCGAGTCGCGCTAATTCAGAATCAACCATTGTTGTCCATGCTTAGACGACCTGGCGCAGTCCACTCACCCGTTGTCGCGCATCATCGCACGGAGGCTGGTACGGGTACGCGGATGCCGGTACGTCCTGTTCGTTCATTGAGGGTTCCGCAGCGCGAGGCACGATGGAAACGCGTGGTGCAGTGGCCGGTGGCCGGTGGTCAGGCTGGTCTTGCAAGTGCGACTACGCGCTGCCCATGGTTCGCTGGCAGGCGCACCCGGTACGTGCTGAGCTTGTCCACCACCAAACTAACAATCATTGCCCGCACCAAGACGAGGCGAAATCGACTTACCAGTTGCCGCGCATCGGTACGCTGCCGTTCGTTCTCCTGCAGCGTACCGGGTGTGGTCACGCCGCTCTAGCAAGCGCGACCACGAGCTGGCCGTGTTCCGCTGGCAAGCGCTACCCGGTACGTGCTCGACGCTGTTGCTTCTGTTGATATCAACACGTCAGTCTATCGCTGCCGCGCGCGGCGATACACGCGATACGTACATCTTCAGTACGCTCCGCGGGAGCATGGAAGTTGTGTCGATGTGCGCGGGGACCCGGCGGAGTACGGTACGTGCTTGACGACCTTGATCTTGCTGCACGCTAACGAGTGTTCTGTGTGCACGGTACATTCACAATGACGACGAGACTTTGAGAGCGGGTGGATGGTTCTTACCGTCGTCACAGTGGGCGTGGCGGCGGCGGCGGCGGAAAAGAGCTTGTGAGTGTGACGGGCGGATAACAGCGAGGAAAGACGTACCGGGTGCTCGCGCGCGAGGCCGGCGCACGACGAGAGGATGGCGGGCTTGCGTGGGTGTGTAGTACGTAGAAGCACGTTCGAATGAAAGTTGTTTAGATGCCAGACATGCGCGGCGGCCCTTGCACGCTCTTGCAAATCGTGCCCCGGTCCGCCGTCGATTCAGCACTCTCCACAGTCTCAATAATCCTGTCTCTACAGCGTCAATAAGCCACTCTATACAGCGTCAACAAACCACTCTCTACAGCGTTAATAAACCACTCTCTACCCATCCATAGTCAGAATTTGCCCTGGTGCTTACCTGGTCCCTCCCATCTACCCCATCCAGTCCGTCCGCGCCGTCCTGCCCGTCCCCCCACATGCGCACGCCTCCCTCCTCGATTCGTCCGTCCGTCCGTCCGCACGCTCGGCGACTTCAATGGGAAGACGTTCTGAGGCCATCGAAGAGCGGCAGGGTGGATTTCGAGGGCCGATCGCAGACCGATGAGACGTAGATGTGGTAGTGGTCACACCAGTAGTGCCCGCGCGCGCTACATCAATTCAGGCCAGGCCGAGGCTCCGAGCGCGATGTCATATTCAGGCTCCGCGCCAAACTGGGCGGTGCCATCCGACGGCACGGAACGTGGTCTACTTTCTCTGTTGCCCTGGAGTTTCCTCAGAACGACGCAACCAGCGACCGCCGGGGAGTGCGCCCAAATGCGCTCTCCTGCTCGCCAGGTGACGAGAGCTCGAACTCACAACACCCCCGCCAAAAGCGGCCGACTCCGACTTCCAACGCGCACTCGGGAGGGAAAGCGCCGTCCTGTCTCTATTAATTATAATCGCTCTAAAGTTGAACAGCACGGAGCGGAAGGGAGCGGAGCGACCGACGCGCTTCTACCGCCACGGCCCACACCGCGCACACATAGCGGGAAGCCCGTCCAGAGTCCAGGGCCACGAACGAGGACGAGGGAGGGCCGACTCGCGACCAACCGCAGCCGGAACACCGGCCGGGTGTCGCGCCCCCGCACGCCACCATCGTATGTACATAGTTACATAGTACGTGCCTTTTCTGAGGACGCAGAGCTCGATCGGATCTGCGCCGCGCGCGTGCCGCACGCCTCCCTCTCCACGTAGATCGCCCGACCAGTCCCGTCTATTCGCGCGGTCGATCTCACGGCGTCATGACCTCCGCGGCGTACGGGTGTCGCTTCGGCCCGAGGAACGACCGCTGCGGCTGCTGCTGCTGCTGCGCCTCGAGCGGCCCGGGCTCGGACACGGCGTACGCGCCGTCGTAGAAGTCGTCGGTCTCGGTCACCGTCGTGACCTTGAGCTCGATCGCGGTCGGGTTGCTCGCCGCGGTGTTGCTGAGCTGCTCGTTCGTCCGTCCGTCCGTCCGTCCGTCGTGTGAGCGCGTGGGGGTGAACGGGAGAGGGAGGCGCGGGAAGAGCGAGAAGAGGGGCAGGTCAGCGTGTGGCACAGAGAAGGATTCGCGACAACACGTACCGCGGTGGGGAGGTTGGTCGCGCCGCGCGCGCGGAGCACGTGCGAGACGTTGACGGTTTGTTCGACTGGCCGAGGATGCCCAGCGACGCGCGGGAGTTGAGCCTGCAGGAGGACGGCAAGAGGAGTGCAGTCAGAGCGCGCGCGCGGGGGCGGAGGCGGAAAAACGGCTTACGCGACGAGGAACGCGTTGGCGTACACTATAAGGGCGAGTCAGACGAGTAGACGAGCAAGTAGTAGGAGGCGCACGCACGCTTCGTGAGGATGATGGAGAGCGCGGCGTAGATGAAGTTATCCGGCTCCTTGGCGGACTGTATAGGGGAAGGGGCGATGTGAGCGCCGAGCGCCGGCGTGTGAGGGAACAGCACTCACATAGGTGACGTTGACGATGTGGACGATGCTGTTACCGGGCAATGTGAGCACATATTCCGCCGTATGTTCCTTGTCGTCCCACAACTCACCAGGTTACGACACCTGCAAGTGACTGTGAGCAAACACGCGCTGAACCCTGCCACCACGGCACTCACCAGTCGAGACCGAGTATGTGATCAGTGTATCCACGATCGAGTCCGTCCTGTGCGCGTGCTTCAGCACAACCCACACGCGCCGAACCGAGCTGCAGCGCACCGAGTGATCCCTGTCCTGCTTGTGTGCAGGGTATACACCAACGCGGCGCTGATCGACAGATCCCCGGTCACTTGGATCGAGGACCCTAGTGTTGCGAGCCACTGTGCGAAGGCAAATGAGCACTGCGCTCGATTCGAGTCTAGGCAACCTGGCTCCGCGCACCGAGTATTGGAGCCACTCCGAGAGTGTCGCCGACCTGAACATCGTCGCCGCCAGCACTATCCAAGTCTACTCTTCAGTCGTAGGCGCGGAACGGCGCATGTGGGAACGCACCGGAGAAGCACGCTGGAGGAGCGGTTCCGCGGAGGGTGAGTTCGGGAACATCTCTGGTCAGGGACCAAAGCGCGGAGCTTACCGACGTTGCCTGCTATCAGGACCATCTGGGCACTCTGGGTCAGTATAAGGATCCCCGGCGGGTGTCGCACGAGGCACTCACTGCGACGGCGACAAGAATCCGGAATTTGGGTGCAACTGCGGAAAGGTACGGTGCATGAGACGGTGGGGTTCGACCGGGCTTGTAAAGTAGGGCTCACTTAGCCATAACCGGCGAGCGAAGAAACTTTGCACGGGATGTGAGCATATGTGAGACAACATATGGGAAGCTCAGACGGACCTCTGGGAGATGAAGGCCGCGAGGGCCTAGGGAGCAGAAGGATTGAGGACGATGACGAACAGCACAGGAGAAGGTACGTACGGCAGGTGGAGGGAGGACCTGGATGGAAGCGTGAGTATCGGTACCTCTAAAACTACCGGGGTTACGTACATTGAGAGACCTAGACGGCGGTCAAGATGCGGAACAAAGGATCAGGTCTAAATGAACTTACCAAACCGTCGGGGAGACGAAGAAGTACGTTGGCTCCCAGTATTTGGTCACCATATAGAAGTATCTGCATCCCGAAAACTTCCACATTGAGCGCGCGGCCGACAATCGGCGAAGCAAGACACTCACGCAGTATGTGTGATCAACACCGTGGCCAACGTCTCAAGCACCCTGCGCGAAAGTGAGCACTCCATACGCGATGGAGAGAGACGAGATGCTCACAAAACCACCGCAACCTGCAGAAACCCATTCCGGGATTAGCGCGCTCGAGGGATGATATGGACTAGGATGGACACACCCATGCTTTAAGGACCCACCTGTCCTTGTGGAAGGTCATGTAGTACTTGAACGCCTGATGGAACAGCATGCCCTGCAGCCTGCGGAGATAGCGTGCGAAGGTGTCAAATTTTCGGGCTCGGGGTGGAATCACAGGCGGGCGTACAGGTAGCTGATGCACACGCCGATGAGCCACGCGCCGAGAGTGTCGCCGACGGGGATGTGAGGGAAGGCCGCCGTCGCCGCCGCCGCGGCGGCTGCTGCGGCTGCAGCAGTGGAGTTGGAGGAGTCGGACATGGCCAGGCGGGACGTGGAGGGCGGGGAAGGAGGCGGGGCCGGACTGAGGCATGAGGGATTGTGAGTAGAGCAGAGGAAGAACGACGGCCGGGGTCACTGATGGGGATGCGGCGGGGAGGAGGCCCGGCTTCTAAGTTCTGGCCTGAACCCAAACAAATGAGCGTCGCGTCCAAGCGCGTCCAGCGGGCAGCCGCGCTGAGCCGCCGCGCTCACGAAGCCTCCGAGTCCGAGTCTGGCGTGCGTGCGACGCCCCGGCGCTTATGGGCGCCATCTGCGATCAGATCCACACCACTCTCGTTTCGGGCTTGATTCTGCCGGGACGGGCGGAGACTTTGCCGGGTATCTGCCGCGAGTCGATACGCGTTCGAACGTCCCCGTCCACGACAACTCACGCCCGATGACGTCGACCGGCCAGCGCCTGGGACCGGGTCCGCTGACTCGCCCCGTGAGTCGCCAGCTTCATGTTTTTCTCCTCGACTGTCACTTGGATCCTGACTCTGGTGGCAGCCCGCAAGCCCGCATACATCGACGGTAACTCTATGACGTCATACGCTTGGGGCATGCGATCGAGCGCCGGCAGCGACGCGCGGCGAGCTGTGCGGCACACGCGGGCTGCGTCGCTCTGCGCACTCGGCCTGCTTTCCTGCGCCATCCAGTGCGTCCGCCCATCAAGCCCCCGCCCGCTCGAGTGCCGTCCCAGCGCGCACCGTGAGCGACACGGCCAGGACGCGTCGCAACGCCTCACCCAAAGGCCAGCTGTCATGCTGGCCACGGTACCGGTGCAGCGACAAGCTCTCTTCTCTCTCCGCCACACTCATCCCCGTTCGCGCTAGCTTTCCTCCGCCACGCTCGCCCGAGCGCTCTCGCCGTGGCGCATACATCCACCCCCTTGGGCTTCGCGCTGTCCCGCCCGCGCGTCTTGCGGCGTCCGGTCAACCGCATACAGCCACCTGTCTCGACAGATTCCCGCGTCCGTCCCTTTGTCCCGCCCTCCCCGGACCTCGTACGTCCAGCCTCGTCCACGCTGCGAACACCTCCTCAGCGTGCTGAAGCGCAGACCAGCGACCACTCGCCACCATCCGGCGGCCGCTCCTTTGGCGGGCCTCACCGTCTTCAACCCAACCTCGCTCGACAGCCTGCAGGCTCCCCCGACCTCTCGACGGCGCCCCCGCTGTACCAGCTGCAGGTCGTGCTCGACCACCAACGCTCGGCACACTCACTTGCCACAGAGCTCGCCTCTCCACCACCGCGTTTCACCCGTGCCGTCTGCACTGCACGCACCTGGACACTGGTACCGTGCTTCCCTCGACGCGACATCTCTTTGGCTGTCCCATCTGTGGTGCTCGTCCTCGTTGTTCAGCCGCGCTATGGACGCTTACGCGTGCATCGCGCTCGGCCCTCCGCGGCGCGCGCGACCGTCCACAACGCACGAACACATGGACGACGTACCATGTCTCTAGCTAGAAATCGCGGTCCACGCCCGCGATGATCCCAAGCAGTAGCACGACGACCGTGACGCCTGCGATTGCCACCCGCCCTTCGCCTGCCCGTCGCTTCGACCGATCGGAGTGCATACAGCCACCTCCGACCGCCAGCCACGCCCCGTCTCAACCCATCCCCTCTCCGCCACTTCGTCTCCAGACCTCCTCTTTCTCTCCCTGGGGACACAAGAATGCTGCCGTCAGTGACGAAACCTCCTCAGCAGACGTCCAACGTACCAGCGTATTCCCGCCCCGCTCCCGGATCCTGCCACGTGCAACATCGTGTCAGCACTCGTACGCAACGCGGTAAAGCGCACTCACCAGAACGTCTCTGCCCGGCCAGCATATCGGCGACCGACACCAACGCGGGCATCTCGCACCGGAGCAAGCTGCCGTCCCGGCTCTCGAGTACGTGCTTTTATCCACATCCGCCTCCCACCGCTCTTTGCATTCGCCGACCTCCGCGCCCACGTCCGCGCCCTGTTTCCATCGTACCGTGCCCATGCCTGGCTGTGCCGTGAGTGCCTGTCAACGCCATGACAAAACTCCCGTCCACTCACTCGAGGTTCGTTCACACAGGCACACGCCCGCCCACGCGTACCTTGACGTCAGCGGCTGGCTTCGCATTAACCACGTCCGCGGTCGAGACCGCTTCCACCATGGCGAGGCATGCGTTAACCGCTGACGTCAGACGTGCTTGAGCCCACGGGCTTGGTAGCGAGCATTGAACAGGTCGACGCCGTGCTGCGCACCGTTCACCGCCCTGCTCATCGGTGCGCCCCTTCATTGTATCACGTACGTCTGTCATTGCATCGTTCTGCCGGCGTCCGCTCTCCGCGCTGACCACGTCCTTCCATCCCGGCGCAGGAACGCGCCAGACGGCATGGTCACCTTTCGATCGTCCGTACCTTGGCTGCACCTAACCTGCACGCACCAGGACGCACACACCAGTCTCAGGCCCTCTGCGTGCACGCTCACGTCCCGCGCAGGCAGAGAATGTGCAGGATGCGTTCGCGCTGCACTCGCCCACTCGCGGATGGGACGGGACCTGCCGTTTCGTTCCGCGGCGTCCGTGAACGTCTCCTGCATTTACCGTGGCCAGAACGGCGGGCCCCGCGCACTCTCAGGCCACTAACCGGTCGTGTGAGGCTGTCAGAACCATACACGCCACTTGATGGTACGGGTGTATGCGCGCCGCCGACGCCCGCCGACGCTCGTGATCAGCACACCAGCTCGCCCGTTCGACCCGAGGGCGATGTCTCGTGCGCCACGGCCGTGCGGGAACCACCTCCGACTCGACCTGCGATTTCTTGTTGGACGCCGCTGGCCCCTTTGTTGCAACCAGTGTGGTGACAGGCGACGCGGAACGCATGCCAGCAACGTCTGTAGGAACTGGCCCGTACGTCTGGTAGGTTTCAGCGAGGTTTGTGAAATCGTACCTGGGCATGTTCGCTTCATGCGCGCGCTGATGTATTGCGTCACGCAGAGCGCATCTCGGACGGCCTCCTCCTCGAATCGAGTCGCGGAGAGCGAACTGTGCCACCGACGCCGAACGGCCGCAAGTAGGATCGTGAACACTTGACGGCCCACGCAGGACCGCCGAGCGCAAGGCCGTCCTCATCCACACCGCTCTCTCGACTCGCGATTTCATTGAGCCCAGGCGCGGCTCTTGACTGGTTCTATCCTGGCGTGGTTTCGACTCGGTTTCGACTCGGTTCGACTTGTTCTGAACGGGCCGCGTGCACTCTTAGGCCACTAACCGGTCGTGTGAGGTTGTCAGAACCGTACACGCCCGCTTGATGGTGCCGGATGTGTGCGTGCCCGCCGCCGACCTCCGCCGACGCTCGTGATCAGCGCACCAGCTCGCCCTTTCGACCCGAGGGCGATGTCTCGTGCGCCACAGCCGTGCGGGAACGACCTCCGACTCGACCTGCGATTCCTAGCTGGACGCTGCTGGCCCTGGGTCGCAACCGGTGCAGTGTGCGACACGGAACGTATGCCGGCGACGTTTGTAGGAACTGGCCCATACGTCTGTAGGTTTCAGCGCAACTTGAAAAGGTTTGTGAATCGCGCCTGGGCATGTCCGCTTCATGCGCGCGCTGATGTATTGCGTCACGCAGCGCGTATTCGGACGGCCACCTCCTCGATCCAGTCGCGAAGAGCGAACTGTGCCCACCGACACTGAACGGCTGCAAGTAGGATCGTGAACACCTGACGGCCCACGCAGGAAGGCTAGCGTGAGGCCGTCCTCATCCACACCGCTCTCTCGACACGCGATTTCATTGACCCAGCAGCGGCTCTGGACTGGTTCTATCCCGGTGTGGTCTCGACGCGATTCGACTTGTCCTGAAACACCGCCTGTAGCTCGTCGCGCGATCGCGTGCAGCTGATGACCGCCGCCTGAGCGGCCATACGCCCGTCGTTGCCGTCTCGTCTCTCGCACGTGCCACGCTCCTCGAGTCCCTCGGGGTGACACACGTCCTCGACCGTGCCCTCGATCGCACACAACACGTTCCCCGCCGCACTCGCCGCCGCGGGCGGTGCGCCTCTCAAGTACGTGCTGCCACCACGCTGACACTCCCCAGCTTCATAGCACGCACACCACTTCGTCGTTCAACGGAGGCTCAGCGCAGGAACGGATGCCGAAGAGGCTAGTAAGGTACCGGCATCCGCCTCGTACCGTACTCAATGTACTCGATGTGTGTTCTATCCGAGACCGCGCGCCGAATGACGAGCGTGCATGACAATCGCTACCACGGAGTGGGCTGGGCGCACGTCGCCGCGGCGTGACAGCCTGGGCGTAAGAGCGGTCCATCACGCTCTCATTTCGCGTCGTCGGTCAAGCAGGCCGCGCGTCCCGTGTGCGGATCAGTCTACATTGGCTCGAGCCCTGCACGGCGCCGTTCGTGCGAGACGTGGGAGACAGACGTGGTGTGCGCAATCTCCGTGCCATCTGATTCGGTTGGCAGCGTGTCCGCGGAGGCACGACTTCTCAGAGCTCCGACTTGGGTGTTCTGCAGGAGGTGCTCATTCATCGGCGCGAAGCTGCGCACAGTGTGGTGAATGTAGGTGGATGGGAGCTTGACCGGGTCAACATGGTGCGTGCAAAGTTGGTGTTCCACCCGCCCATTGGTGCTGAGCGACGCTTCCCTCGCGTGTCCTATCACCCGGTGCTTCATCTTGAGGCTTCTGCTCTCACACGGCACGCACAACGTCATCGAGAAAATCTATTTCACCGTGGTCTGGGCCTCGAAACAGACGCTTCGTGCTAGAAGAGACCGCTGGAGCGACGCACCTGGCAAGGAACTGTTGCGGAGTGGGCCGAGTCCGCAATACCCAACACCTGGTGCGCAGCTTCGGTGCGAGGCGTCCAGACGAAACCGTCACCCACACACGCCCGCCAACCAGAGCACGTTGACGGCCGCGCACCATGTCGGTCCCGGGACAAGAACGGCGCTGCGCAGCGTTCACAATCGTTGTGGTGCGCAAGTTCGTCGAGCCCGCACTCTGGTGTGGGATCGGTGAAGACGGCGGGGTCGAGGTTGACGTCCGCATCTGTGCCCGACACGCGCTCGAAGGCCGTGCCAGCGTCGCAATGCTGTCGGGAGAAAGAGATCGCGCGGGTCAGCGAGCGCGGGGTGACACAAAAGAGCGCGCAGACCTGCAGGTCGTAGCACGCCGCCCGCCGTCGCGCTGTGTTTGGTGCGGTACCGACGTCTGCGCGGTGTCACGGCAAGAAACGAAACAGGGCGAGTCAAAGACGCGATATGGGCGACTGATGAACTACTCACTGTCCCTGCAGTGGATGTTTACCCACCGGGGGCGTCCACTGCCGCCGTGTTTGACGTGGGTCTCCTCCGTCTGGAAGCCGTAAGGACAGCCTGGAACGTGTCTGCGGCGTGGCGCACGAGGGTCAACAGCGCGACATCGTACATGTACTCACGGACCTCGGCGACCCGAGCGAAACGACTTGCTGATCGACTTATCCACAGACACGTTGCGTGCAGGACGCGCTGTGCCAGGCGGAGACGATTTCGGATAGGATTTGCATGACATCTTCGCACTCACTTGGAATCCAGGGGAACAGCCTGGCGCACACGGGCTGCGCACATCCACAGGACACGCGTCGAGCGTACTCAACGCGGGGATAGGATCGGGGGCGAGGCGGGTATGCTGAGCGGGATCACAGAGGGCTCTGTGCGCAGATAGGATCGTGAGCGATGCGGATCGGGAACAAATACAAAGACGATTGCCTTGAGCGTTCCGCGCAAGGCGGCGCAATTGACAGTCGACAACGGGTGACAGGAGCTGGTACTACCCCTGGCTCATGTCCACTAGCGCCATCGCGCCGTGCCATCGCGCCGTGTCCAGACGCGGTACGACGGCCTGTCGGGTGGTTTCCAACTGGTAGTAATAGTCGTGTCAGCGGCGTTTGGCATGGCTCGCTCTTCCCCCACCCTAGTCACTCACCAGTACGTCTCCGTTCGTTCCCTCTCGTGAGCCGCACCGCCCAGCGCCCGCTGATGCTCCGTTTCGTCCAGAATGTCTGGGCGCAGGCGCAAGTTCTTCAAGACCAGTCAGACGCTCGACCGTGCGGGCGGATACACGCGACACACGACGTTCGTCCGTGGACAGCTGCGCAAGAAGTTCAAGAGAGAATTGGGTGAGTGGTGTTCTCTTCATGCACGCACTCACACCGACGGTACGCACCTACTCTGCAGTCCGGCTCACCGACGACCCGAAGGTGGAGATGCGCTGGACGTTGGAGCGGTTCGCCAAGCACATCTTCGTCAAGCACCGGCTGCGCCTCGTCGGCTGGCCACACGGTACCAAGTTCGGCAACCTGAGCGAAAACGCGACGAGCTTGAACGAGCTCATCGGCCTGCACAGGCTGTGGGACCGCGGCGACCTGCGCTTCGAGCGCGTGGGCATCGAGGAGGCAGAGGCGGCGAGGGCGAACTGTAGGCTTGCGGCGCCGACGCCGTTCGTCCTCCCGCGCGGAACACGGGCGAATGAAGACGAGCGGCGGGACCCGGGTGTGGTGGAGTTCGGGATGTGGCGCCGGCGGATGTCGTGCATGGTGACAAAGTCACAGCGCGAGATCACTTGGGAGGACGAGGAGGAGGCGGAGCATCCGCTGGGGAGGGAGGCGTCGAGCGACCTGATAGACAGCTTTAGCAGTCGCGGCTGTGGTTGGGATGTAGGTGCTGGGGTTGCAGTTAATCGTAATCAAGGATTGGACCGAGAATGTGAATTGCGTACCTGAAAGGGCTAGCGCTGTGGAAGTGTGCGCGCGTTGGTGCCTGCACCATCGGAGTCTGGCCGGAACCACCAGGCTGCCATGGCTAGCCGCAGCTGGTGCCGCCCGTCGGGAGTGGGTACCGCGCATAAAAGGCGTCGAATGCCTTGTCCCTGGCCTCCCTTCCCTCTTGCCCTTTGCGCAGCTCGCCCTCTCCGCCGCCACCCGTTCCCCTTGCTGCCCCTCCTGCTCGCCGGCTTCTCCCTTCACCAATCCTCCTCTCGGACGATCCAAGGCACGGGCAACCGCTATCGCGATCTGCGTTCGTCACCCAATACTGGTACGTGCTGAGCCTGTCCTCGAGTCGCGCTAATTCAGAATCAACCATTGTTGTCCATGCTTAGACGACCTGGCGCAGTCCACTCACCCGTTGTCGCGCATCATCGCACGGAGGCTGGTACGGGTACGCGGATGCCGGTACGTCCTGTTCGTTCATTGAGGGTTCCGCAGCGCGAGGCACGATGGAAACGCGTGGTGCAGTGGCCGGTGGCCGGTGGTCAGGCTGGTCTTGCAAGTGCGACTACGCGCTGCCCATGGTTCGCTGGCAGGCGCACCCGGTACGTGCTGAGCTTGTCCACCACCAAACTAACAATCATTGCCCGCACCAAGACGAGGCGAAATCGACTTACCAGTTGCCGCGCATCGGTACGCTGCCGTTCGTTCTCCTGCAGCGTACCGGGTGTGGTCACGCCGCTCTAGCAAGCGCGACCACGAGCTGGCCGTGTTCCGCTGGCAAGCGCTACCCGGTACGTGCTCGACGCTGTTGCTTCTGTTGATATCAACACGTCAGTCTATCGCTGCCGCGCGCGGCGATACACGCGATACGTACATCTTCAGTACGCTCCGCGGGAGCATGGAAGTTGTGTCGATGTGCGCGGGGACCCGGCGGAGTACGGTACGTGCTTGACGACCTTGATCTTGCTGCACGCTAACGAGTGTTCTGTGTGCACGGTACATTCACAATGACGACGAGACTTTGAGAGCGGGTGGATGGTTCTTACCGTCGTCACAGTGGGCGTGGCGGCGGCGGCGGCGGAAAAGAGCTTGTGAGTGTGACGGGCGGATAACAGCGAGGAAAGACGTACCGGGTGCTCGCGCGCGAGGCCGGCGCACGACGAGAGGGATGGCGGGCTTGCGTGGGTGTGTAGTACGTAGAAGCACGTTCGAATGAAAGTTGTTTAGATGCCAGACATGCGCGGCGGCCCTTGCACGCTCTTGCAAATCGTGCCCCGGTCCGCCGTCGATTCAGCACTCTCCACAGTCTCAATAATCCTGTCTCTACAGCGTCAATAAGCCACTCTATACAGCGTCAACAAACACTCTCTACAGCGTTAATAAACCACTCTCTACCCATCCATAGTCAGAATTTGCCCTGGTGCTTACCTGGTCCCTCCCATCTACCCCATCCAGTCCGTCCGCGCCGTCCTGCCCGTCCCCCCACATGCGCACGCCTCCCCTCCTCGATTCGTCCGTCCGTCCGTCCGCACGCTCGGCGACTTCAATGGGAAGACGTTCTGAGGCCATCGAAGAGCGGCAGGGTGGATTTCGAGGGCCGATCGCAGACCGATGAGACGTAGATGTGGTAGTGGTCACACCAGTAGTGCCCGCGCGCGCTACATCAATTCAGGCCAGGCCGAGGCTCCGAGCGCGATGTCATATTCAGGCTCCGCGCCAAACTGGGCGGTGCCATCCGACGGCACGGAACGTGGTCTACTTTCTCTGTTGCCCTGGAGTTTCCTCAGAACGACGCAACCAGCGACCGCCGGGGAGTGCGCCCAAATGCGCTCTCCTGCTCGCCAGGTGACGAGAGCTCGAACTCACAACACCCCCGCCAAAAGCGGCCGACTCCGACTTCCAACGCGCACTCGGGAGGGAAAGCGCCGTCCTGTCTCTATTAATTATAATCGCTCTAAAGTTGAACAGCACGGAGCGGAAGGGAGCGGAGCGACCGACGCGCTTCTACCGCCACGGCCCACACCGCGCACGACATAGCGGGAAGCCCGTCCAGAGTCCAGGGCCACGAACGAGGGACGAGGGAGGGCCGACTCGCGACCAACCGCAGCCGGAACACCGGCCGGGTGTCGCGCCCCCGCACGCCACCATCGTATGTACATAGTTACATAGTACGTGCCTTTTCTGAGGGACGCAGAGCTCGATCGGATCTGCGCCGCGCGCGTGCACGCACGCCTCCCTCTCCACGTAGATCGCCCGACCAGTCCCGTCTATTCGCGCGGTCGATCTCACGGCGTCATGACCTCCGCGGCGTACGGGTGTCGCTTCGGCCCGAGGAACGACCGCTGCGGCTGCTGCTGCTGCTGCGCCTCGAGCGGCCCGGGCTCGGACACGGCGTACGCGCCGTCGTAGAAGTCGTCGGTCTCGGTCACCGTCGTGACCTTGAGCTCGATCGCGGTCGGGTTGCTCGCCGCGGTGTTGCTGAGCTGCTCGTTCGTCCGTCCGTCCGTCCGTCCGGTCGTGTGAGCGCGTGGGGGTGAACGGGAGAGGGAGGCGCGGGAAGAGCGAGAAGAGGGGCAGGTCAGCGTGTGGCACAGAGAAGGATTCGCGACAACACGTACCGCGGTGGGGAGGTTGGTCGCGCCGCGCGCGCGGAGCACGTGCGAGACGTTGACGGAGTTGGACTGGTTGTTCGACTGGCCGAGGATGCCCAGCGACGCGCGGGAGTTGAGCCTGCAGGAGGACGGCAAGAGGAGTGCAGTCAGAGCGCGCGCCGGGGGCGGAGGCGGAAAAAACGGCTTACGCGACGAGGAACGCGTTGGCGTACACTATAAGGGCGAGTCAGACGAGTAGACGAGCAAGTAGTAGGAGGCGCACGCACGCTTCGTGGGATGATGGAGAGCGCGGCGTAGATGAAGTTATCCGGCTCCTTGGCGGACTGTATAGGGGAAGGGGCGATGTGAGCGCCGAGCGCCGGCGTGTGAGGGAACAGCACTCACATAGGTGACGTTGACGATGTGGACGATGCTGTTACCGGCAATGTGAGCACATATTCCGCCGTATGTTCCTTGTCGTCCCACAACTCACCAGGTTACGACACCTGCAAGTGACTGTGAGCAAACACGCGCTGAACCCTGCCACCACGGCACTCACCAGTCGAGACCGAGTATGTGATCAGTGTATCCACGATCGAGTCCGTCCTGTGCGCGTGCTTCAGCACAACCCACACGCGCCGAACCGAGCTGCAGCGCACCGAGTGATCCCTGTCCTGCTTGTGTGCAGGGTATACACCAACGCGGCGCTGATCGACAGATCCCCGGTCACTTGGATCGAGGACCCTAGTGTTGCGAGCCACTGTGCGAAGGCAAATGAGCACTGCGCTCGATTCGAGTCTAGGCAACCTGGCTCCGCGCACCGAGTATTGGAGCCACTCCGAGAGTGTCGCCGACCTGAACATCGTCGCCGCCAGCACTATCCAAGTCTACTCTTCAGTCGTAGGCGCGGAACGGCGCATGTGGGAACGCACCGGAGAAGCACGCTGGAGGAGCGGTTCCGCGGAGGGTGAGTTCGGGAACATCTCTGGTCAGGGACCAAAGCGCGGAGCTTACCGACGTTGCCTGCTATCAGGACCATCTGGGCACTCTGGGTCAGTATAAGGATCCCGGCGGGTGTCGCACGAGGCACTCACTGCGACGGCGACAAGAATCCGGAATTTGGGTGCAACTGCGGAAAGGTACGGTGCATGAGACGGTGGGGTTCGACCGGGCTTGTAAAGTAGGGCTCACTTAGCCATAACCGGCGAGCGAAGAAACTTTGCACGGGATGTGAGCATATGTGAGACAACATATGGGAAGCTCAGACGGACCTCTGGGAGATGAAGGCCGCGAGGGCCTAGGGAGCAGAAGGATTGAGGACGATGACGAACAGCACAGGAGAAGGTACGTACGGCAGGTGGAGGAGGACCTGGATGGAAGCGTGAGTATCGGTACCTCTAAAACTACCGGGGTTACGTACATTGAGAGACCTAGACGGCGTCAAGATGCGGAACAAAGGATCAGGTCTAAATGAACTTACCAAACCGTCGGGGAGACGAAGAAGTACGTTGGCTCCCAGTATTTGGTCACCATATAGAAGTATCTGCATCCCGAAAACTTCCACATTGAGCGCGCGGCCGACAATCGGCGAAGCAAGACACTCACGCAGTATGTGTGATCAACACCGTGGCCAACGTCTCAAGCACCCTGCGCGAAAGTGAGCACTCCATACGCGATGGAGAGAGACGAGATGCTCACAAAACCACCGCAACCTGCAGAAACCCATTCCGGGATTAGCGCGCTCGAGGGATGATATGGACTAGATGGACACACCCATGCTTTAAGGACCCACCTGTCCTTGTGGAAGGTCATGTAGTACTTGAACGCCTGATGGAACAGCATGCCCTGCAGCCTGCGGAGATAGCGTGCGAAGGTGTCAAATTTTCGGGCTCGGGGTGGAATCACAGGCGGGCGTACAGGTAGCTGATGCACACGCCGATGAGCCACGCGCCGAGAGTGTCGCCGACGGGGATGTGAGGGAAGGCCGCCGTCGCCGCCGCCGCGGCGGCTGCTGCGGCTGCAGCAGTGGAGTTGGAGGAGTCGGACATGGCCAGGCGGGACGTGGAGGGCGGGGAAGGAGGCGGGGCCGGACTGAGGCATGAGGGATTGTGAGTAGAGCAGAGGAAGAACGACGGCCGGGGTCACTGATGGGGATGCGCGGGGAGGAGGCCCGGCTTCTAAGTTCTGGCCTAACCCAAACAAATGAGCGTCGCGTCCAAGCGCGTCCAGCGGGCAGCCGCGCTGAGCCGCCGCGCTCACGAAGCCTCCGAGTCCGAGTCTGGCGTGCGTGCGACGCCCCGGCGCTTATGGGCGCCATCTGCGATCAGATCCACACCACTCTCGTTTCGGGCTTGATTCTGCCGGGACGGGCGGAGACTTGCCGGGTATCTGCCGCGAGTCGATACGCGTTCGAACGTCCCCGTCCACGACAACTCACGCCCGATGACGTCGACCGCCAGCGCCTGGGACCGGGTCCGCTGACTCGCCCCGTGAGTCGCCAGCTTCATGTTTTTCTCCTCGACTGTCACTTGGATCCTGACTCTGGTGGCAGCCCGCAAGCCCGCATACATCGACGGTAACTCTATGACGTCATACGCTTGGGCATGCGATCGAGCGCCGGCAGCGACGCGCGGCGAGCTGTGCGGCACACGCGGGCTGCGTCGCTCTGCGCACTCGGCCTGCTTTCCTGCGCCATCCAGTGCGTCCGCCCATCAAGCCCCGCCCGCTCGAGTGCCGTCCCAGCGCGCACCGTGAGCGACACGGCCAGGACGCGTCGCAACGCCTCACCCAAAGGCCAGCTGTCATGCTGGCCACGGTACCGGTGCAGCGACAAGCTCTCTTCTCTCTCCGCCACACTCATCCCCGTTCGCGCTAGCTTCCTCCGCCACGCTCGCCGAGCGCTCTCGCCGTGCGCATACATCCACCCCCTTGGGCTTCGCGCTGTCCCGCCCGCGCGTCTTGCGGCGTCCGGTCAACCGCATACAGCCACCTGTCTCGACAGATTCCCGCGTCCGTCCCTTTGTCCCGCCCTCCCCGGACCTCGTACGTCCAGCCTCGTCCACGCTGCGAACACCTCCTCAGCGTGCTGAAGCGCAGACCAGCGACCACTCGCCACATCCGGCGGCCGCTCCTTTGGCGGGCCTCACCGTCTTCAACCCAACCTCGCTCGACAGCCTGCAGGCTCCCCCCGACCTCTCGACGGCGCCCCCGCTGTACCAGCTGCAGGTCGTGCTCGACCACCAACGCTCGCACACTCACTTGCCACAGAGCTCGCCTCTCCACCACCGCGTTTCACCCGTGCCGTCTGCACTGCACGCACCTGGACACTGGTACCGTGCTTCCTCGACGCGACATCTCTTTGGCTGTCCCATCTGTGGTGCTCGTCCTCGTTGTTCAGCCGCGCTATGGACGCTTACGCGTGCATCGCGCTCGGCCCTCCGCGGCGCGCGCGACCGTCCACAACGCACGAACACATGGACGACGTACCATGTCTCTAGCTAGAAATCGCGGTCCACGCCCGCGATGATCCCAAGCAGTAGCACGACGACCGTGACGCCTGCGATTGCCACCCGCCCTTCGCCTGCCCGTCGCTTCGACCGATCGGAGTGCATACAGCCACCTCCGACCGCCAGCCACGCCCCGTCTCAACCCATCCCCTCTCCGCCACTTCGTCTCCAGACCTCCTCTTTCTCTCCCTGGGGACACAAGAATGCTGCCGTCAGTGACGAAACCTCCTCAGCAGACGTCCAACGTACCAGCGTATTCCCGCCCCGCTCCCGGATCCTGCCACGTGCAACATCGTGTCAGCACTCGTACGCAACGCGGTAAAGCGCACTCACCAGAACGTCTCTGCCCGGCCAGCATATCGGCGACCGACACCAACGCGGGCATCTCGCACCGGAGCAAGCTGCCGTCCCGGCTCTCGAGTACGTGCTTTTTATCCACATCCGCCCTCCACCGCTCTTTGCATTCGCCGACCTCCGCGCCCACGTCCGCGCCCTGTTTCCATCGTACCGTGCCCATGCCTGGCTGTGCCGTGAGTGCCTGTCAACGCCATGACAAAACCTCCCGTCCACTCACCTCGAGGTTCGTTCACACAGGCACACGCCCGCCCACGCGTACCTTGACGTCAGCGGCTGGCTTCGCATTAACCACGTCCGCCGGTCGAGACCGCTTCCACCATGGCGAGGCATGCGTTCAACCGCTGACGTCAGACGTGCTTGAGCCCCACGGGCTTGGTAGCGAGCATTGAACAGGTCGACGCCGTGCTGCGCACCGTTCACCGCCCTGCTCATCCGTGCGCCCCTTCATTGTATCACGTACGTCTGTCATTGCATCGTTCTGCCGGCGTCCGCTCTCCGCGCTGACCACGTCCTTCCATCCCGGCGCAGGAACGCGCCAGACGGCATGGTCACCTTTCGATCGTCCGTACCTTGGCTGCACCTAACCCTGCACGCACCAGGACGCACACACCAGTCTCAGGCCCTCTGCGTGCACGCTCACGTCCCGCGCAGGCAGAGAATGTGCAGGATGCGTTCGCGCTGCACTCGCCCACTCGCGGATGGGACGGACCTGCCGTTTCGTTCCGCGGCGTCCGTGAACGTCTCCCTGCATTTACCGTGGCCAGAACGGCGGGCCCCGCGCACTCTCAGGCCACTAACCGGTCGTGTGAGGCTGTCAGAACCATACACGCCCACTTGATGGTACCGGGTGTATGCGCGCCCGCCGACGCCCGCCGACGCTCGTGATCAGCACACCAGCTCGCCCGTTCGACCCGAGGGCGATGTCTCGTGCGCCACGGCCGTGCGGGAACCACCTCCGACTCGACCTGCGATTTCTTGTTGGACGCCGCTGGCCCCTTTGTTGCAACCAGTGTGGTGACAGGCGACGCGGAACGCATGCCAGCAACGTCTGTAGGAACTGGCCCGTACGTCTGGTAGGTTTCAGCGAGGTTTGTGAAATCGTACCTGGGCATGTTCGCTTCATGCGCGCGCTGATGTATTGCGTCACGCAGAGCGCATCTCGGACGGCCTCCTCCTCGAATCGAGTCGCGGAGAGCGAACTGTGCCCACCGACGCCGAACGGCCGCAAGTAGGATCGTGAACACTTGACGGCCCACGCAGGACCGCCGAGCGCAAGGCCGTCCTCATCCACACCGCTCTCTCGACTCGCGATTTCATTGAGCCCAGGCGCGGCTCTTGACTGGTTCTATCCTGGCGTGGTTTCGACTCGGTTTCGACTCGGTTCGACTTGTTCTGAACGGGCCGCGTGCACTCTTAGGCCACTAACCGTCGTGTGAGGTTGTCAGAACCGTACACGCCCGCTTGATGGTGCCGGATGTGTGCGTGCCCGCCGCCGACCTCCGCCGACGCTCGTGATCAGCGCACCAGCTCGCCCTTTCGACCCGAGGGCGATGTCTCGTGCGCCACAGCCGTGCGGGAACGACCTCCGACTCGACCTGCGATTCCTAGCTGGACGCTGCTGGCCCCTGGGTCGCAACCGGTGCAGTGTGCGACACGGAACGTATGCCGGCGACGTTTGTAGGAACTGGCCCATACGTCTGGTAGGTTTCAGCGCAACTTGAAAAGGTTTGTGAAATCGCGCCTGGGCATGTCCGCTTCATGCGCGCGCTGATGTATTGCGTCACGCAGCGCGTATCTCGGACGGCCACCTCCTCGAATCCAGTCGCGAAGAGCGAACTGTGCCCACCGACACTGAACGCTGCAAGTAGGATCGTGAACACCTGACGGCCCACGCAGGAAGGCCTAGCGTGAGGCCGTCCTCATCCACACCGCTCTCTCGACACGCGATTTCATTGACCCCAGCAGCGGCTCTGGACTGGTTCTATCCCGGTGTGGTCTCGACGCGATTCGACTTGTCCTGAAACACCGCCTGTAGCTCGTCGCGCGATCGCGTGCAGCTGATGACCCGCCGCCTGAGCGGCCATACGCCCGTCGTTGCCGTCTCGTCTCTCGCACGTGCCACGCTCCTCGAGTCCCTCGGGGTGACACACGTCCTCGACCGTGCCCTCGATCGCACACAACACGTTCCCCGCCGCACTCGCCGCCGCGGCGGTGCGCCTCTCAAGTACGTGCTGCCCACCACGCTGACACTCCCCAGCTTCATAGCACGCACACCACTTCGTCGTTCAACGGAGGCTCAGCGCAGGAACGGATGCCGAAGAGGCTAGTAAGGTACCGGCATCCGCCTCGTACCGTACTCAATGTACTCGATGTGTGTTCTATCCGAGACCGCGCGCCGAATGACGAGCGTGCATGACAATCGCTACCACGGAGTGGGCTGGGCGCACGTCGCCGCGGCGTGACAGCCTGGGCGTAAGAGCGGTCCATCACGCTCTCATTTCGCGTCGTCGGTCAAGCAGGCCGCGCGTCCCGTGTGCGGATCAGTCTACATTGGCTCGAGCCCTGCACGGCGCCGTTCGTGCGAGACGTGGAGACAGACGTGGTGTGCGCAATCTCCGTGCCATCTGATTCGGTTGGCAGCGTGTCCGCGGAGGCACGACTTCTCAGAGCTCCGACTTGGGTGTTCTGCAGGAGGTGCTCATTCATCGGCGCGAAGCTGCGCACAGTGTGGTGAATGTAGGTGGATGGGAGCTTGACCGGGTCAACATGGTGCGTGCAAAGTTGGTGTTCCACCCGCCCATTGGTGCTGAGCGACGCTTCCCTCGCGTGTCCTATCACCCGGTGCTTCATCTTGAGGCTTCTGCTCTCACACGGCACGCACAACGTCATCGAGAAAATCTATTTCACCGTGGTCTGGGCCTCGAAACAGACGCTTCGTGCTAGAAGAGACCGCTGGAGCGACGCACCTGGCAAGGAACTGTTGCGGAGTGGGCCGAGTCCGCAATACCCAACACCTGGTGCGCAGCTTCGGTGCGAGGCGTCCAGACGAAACCGTCACCCACACACGCCCGCCAACCAGAGCACGTTGACGGCCGCGCACCATGTCGGTCCCGGGGACAAGAACGGCGCTGCGCAGCGTTCACAATCGTTGTGGTGCGCAAGTTCGTCGAGCCCGCACTCTGGTGTGGGATCGGTGAAGACGGCGGGGTCGAGGTTGGACGTCCGCATCTGTGCCCGACACGCGCTCGAAGGCCGTGCCAGCGTCGCAATGCTGTCGGGAGAAAGAGATCGCGCGGGGTCAGCGAGCGCGGGGTGACACAAAAGAGCGCGCAGACCTGCAGGTCGTAGCACGCCGCCCGCCGTCGCGCTGTGTTTGGTGCGGTACCGACGTCTGCGCGGTGTCACGGCAAGAAACGAAACAGGGCGAGTCAAAGACGCGATATGGGCGACTGATGAACTACTCACTGTCCCTGCAGTGGATGTTTACCCACCGGGGGCGTCCACTGCCGCCGTGTTTGACGTGGGTCTCCTCCGTCTGGAAGCCGTAAGGACAGCCTGGAACGTGTCTGCGGCGTGGCGCACGAGGGTCAACAGCGCGACATCGTACATGTACTCACGGACCTCGGCGACCCGAGCGAAACGACTTGCTGATCGACTTATCCACAGACACGTTGCGTGCAGGACGCGCTGTGCCAGGCGGAGACGATTTCGGATAGGATTTGCATGACATCTTCGCACTCACTTGGAATCCAGGGGAACAGCCTGGCGCACACGGGCTGCGCACATCCACAGGACACGCGTCGAGCGTACTCAACGCGGGGATAGGATCGGGGGCGAGGCGGTATGCTGAGCGGGATCACAGAGGGCTCTGTGCGCAGATAGGATCGTGAGCGATGCGGATCGGGAACAAATACAAAGACGATTGCCTTGAGCGTTCCGCGCAAGGCGGCGCAATTGACAGTCGACAACGGGTGACAGGAGCTGGTACTACCCCTGGCTCATGTCCACTAGCGCCATCGCGCCGTGCCATCGCGCCGTGTCCAGACGCGGTACGACGGCCTGTCGGGTGGTTTCCAAACTGGTAGTAATAGTCGTGTCAGCGGCGTTTGGCATGGCTCGCTCTTCCCCACCCTAGTCACTCACCAGTACGTCTCCGTTCGTTCCCTCTCGTGAGCCGCACCGCCCAGCGCCCGCTGATGCTCCGTTTCGTCCAGAATGTCTGGGCGCAGGCGCAAGTTCTTCAAGACCAGTCAGACGCTCGACCGTGCGGCGGATACACGCGACACACGACGTTCGTCCGTGGACAGCTGCGCAAGAAGTTCAAGAGAGAATTGGGTGAGTGGTGTTCTCTTCATGCACGCACTCACACCGACGGTACGCACCTACTCTGCAGTCCGGCTCACCGACGACCCGAAGGTGGAGATGCGCTGGACGTTGGAGCGGTTCGCCAAGCACATCTTCGTCAAGCACCGGCTGCGCCTCGTCGGCTGGCCACACGGTACCAAGTTCGGCAACCTGAGCGAAAACGCGACGAGCTTGAACGAGCTCATCGGCCTGCACAGGCTGTGGGACCGCGGCGACCTGCGCTTCGAGCGCGTGGGCATCGAGGAGGCAGAGGCGGCGAGGGCGAACTGTAGGCTTGCGGCGCCGACGCCGTTCGTCCTCCCGCGCGGAACACGGGCGAATGAAGACGAGCGGCGGGACCCGGGTGTGGTGGAGTTCGGGATGTGGCGCCGGCGGATGTCGTGCATGGTGACAAAGTCACAGCGCGAGATCACTTGGGAGGACGAGGAGGAGGCGGAGCATCCGCTGGGGAGGGAGGCGTCGAGCGACCTGATAGACAGCTTTAGCAGTCGCGGCTGTGGTTGGGATGTAGGTGCTGGGGTTGCAGTTAATCGTAATCAAGGATTGGACCGAGAATGTGAATTGCGTACCTGAAAGGGCTAGCGCTGTGGAAGTGTGCGCGCGTTGGTGCCTGCACCATCGGAGTCTGGCCGGAACCACCAGGCTGCCATGGCTAGCCGCAGCTGGTGCCGCCCGTCGGGAGTGGGTACCGCGCATAAAAGGCGTCGAATGCCTTGTCCCTGGCCTCCCTTCCCTCTTGCCCTTTGCGCAGCTCGCCCTCTCCGCCGCCACCCGTTCCCCCTTTGCTGCCCCTCCTGCTCGCCGGCTTCTCCCTTCACCAATCCTCCTCTCGGACGATCCAAGGCACGGGCAACCGCTATCGCGATCTGCGTTCGTCACCCAATACTGGTACGTGCTGAGCCTGTCCTCGAGTCGCGCTAATTCAGAATCAACCATTGTTGTCCATGCTTAGACGACCTGGCGCAGTCCACTCACCCGTTGTCGCGCATCATCGCACGGAGGCTGGTACGGGTACGCGGATGCCGGTACGTCCTGTTCGTTCATTGAGGGTTCCGCAGCGCGAGGCACGATGGAAACGCGTGGTGCAGTGGCCGGTGGCCGGTGGTCAGGCTGGTCTTGCAAGTGCGACTACGCGCTGCCCATGGTTCGCTGGCAGGCGCACCCGGTACGTGCTGAGCTTGTCCACCACCAAACTAACAATCATTGCCCGCACCAAGACGAGGCGAAATCGACTTACCAGTTGCCGCGCATCGGTACGCTGCCGTTCGTTCTCCTGCAGCGTACCGGGTGTGGTCACGCCGCTCTAGCAAGCGCGACCACGAGCTGGCCGTGTTCCGCTGGCAAGCGCTACCCGGTACGTGCTCGACGCTGTTGCTTCTGTTGATATCAACACGTCAGTCTATCGCTGCCGCGCGCGGCGATACACGCGATACGTACATCTTCAGTACGCTCCGCGGGAGCATGGAAGTTGTGTCGATGTGCGCGGGACCCGGCGGAGTACGGTACGTGCTTGACGACCTTGATCTTGCTGCACGCTAACGAGTGTTCTGTGTGCACGGTACATTCACAATGACGACGAGACTTTGAGAGCGGGTGGATGGTTCTTACCGTCGTCACAGTGGGCGTGGCGGCGGCGGCGGCGGAAAAGAGCTTGTGAGTGTGACGGGCGGATAACAGCGAGGAAAGACGTACCGGGTGCTCGCGCGCGAGGCCGGCGCACGACGAGAGGGATGGCGGGCTTGCGTGGGTGTGTAGTACGTAGAAGCACGTTCGAATGAAAGTTGTTTAGATGCCAGACATGCGCGGCGGCCCTTGCACGCTCTTGCAAATCGTGCCCCGGTCCGCCGTCGATTCAGCACTCTCCACAGTCTCAATAATCCTGTCTCTACAGCGTCAATAAGCCACTCTATACAGCGTCAACAAACCACTCTCTACAGCGTTAATAAACCACTCTCTACCCATCCATAGTCAGAATTTGCCCTGGTGCTTACCTGGTCCCTCCCATCTACCCCATCCAGTCCGTCCGCGCCGTCCTGCCCGTCCCCCCACATGCGCACGCCTCCCTCCTCGATTCGTCCGTCCGTCCGTCCGCACGCTCGGCGACTTCAATGGGAAGACGTTCTGAGGCCATCGAAGAGCGGCAGGGTGGATTTCGAGGGCCGATCGCAGACCGATGAGACGTAGATGTGGTAGTGGTCACACCAGTAGTGCCCGCGCGCGCTACATCAATTCAGGCCAGGCCGAGGCTCCGAGCGCGATGTCATATTCAGGCTCCGCGCCAAACTGGGCGGTGCCATCCGACGGCACGGAACGTGGTCTACTTTCTCTGTTGCCCTGGAGTTTCCTCAGAACGACGCAACCAGCGACCGCCGGGGAGTGCGCCCAAATGCGCTCTCCTGCTCGCCAGGTGACGAGAGCTCGAACTCACAACACCCCGCCAAAAGCGGCCGACTCCGACTTCCAACGCGCACTCGGGAGGGAAAGCGCCGTCCTGTCTCTATTAATTATAATCGCTCTAAAGTTGAACAGCACGGAGCGGAAGGGAGCGGAGCGACCGACGCGCTTCTACCGCCACGGCCCACACCGCGCACGACATAGCGGGAAGCCCGTCCAGAGTCCAGGGCCACGAACGAGGGACGAGGGAGGGCCGACTCGCGACCAACCGCAGCCGGAACACCGGCCGGGTGTCGCGCCCCCGCACGCCACCATCGTATGTACATAGTTACATAGTACGTGCCTTTTCTGAGGGACGCAGAGCTCGATCGGATCTGCGCCGCGCGCGTGCACGCACGCCTCCCTCTCCACGTAGATCGCCCGACCAGTCCCGTCTATTCGCGCGGTCGATCTCACGGCGTCATGACCTCCGCGGCGTACGGGTGTCGCTTCGGCCCGAGGAACGACCGCTGCGGCTGCTGCTGCTGCTGCGCCTCGAGCGGCCCGGGCTCGGACACGGCGTACGCGCCGTCGTAGAAGTCGTCGGTCTCGGTCACCGTCGTGACCTTGAGCTCGATCGCGGTCGGGTTGCTCGCCGCGGTGTTGCTGAGCTGCTCGTTCGTCCGTCCGTCCGTCCGTCCGGTCGTGTGAGCGCGTGGGGGTGAACGGGAGAGGGAGGCGCGGGAAGAGCGAGAAGAGGGGCAGGTCAGCGTGTGGCACAGAGAAGGATTCGCGACAACACGTACCGCGGTGGGGAGGTTGGTCGCGCCGCGCGCGCGGAGCACGTGCGAGACGTTGACGGAGTTGGACTGGTTGTTCGACTGGCCGAGGATGCCCAGCGACGCGCGGGAGTTGAGCCTGCAGGAGGACGGCAAGAGGAGTGCAGTCAGAGCGCGCGCCGGGGGCGGAGGCGGAAAAACGGCTTACGCGACGAGGAACGCGTTGGCGTACACTATAAGGGCGAGTCAGACGAGTAGACGAGCAAGTAGTAGGAGGCGCACGCACGCTTCGTGAGGATGATGGAGAGCGCGGCGTAGATGAAGTTATCCGGCTCCTTGGCGGACTGTATAGGGGAAGGGGCGATGTGAGCGCCGAGCGCCGGCGTGTGAGGGAACAGCACTCACATAGGTGACGTTGACGATGTGGACGATGCTGTTACCGGGCAATGTGAGCACATATTCCGCCGTATGTTCCTTGTCGTCCCACAACTCACCAGGTTACGACACCTGCAAGTGACTGTGAGCAAACACGCGCTGAACCCTGCCACCACGGCACTCACCAGTCGAGACCGAGTATGTGATCAGTGTATCCACGATCGAGTCCGTCCTGTGCGCGTGCTTCAGCACAACCCACACGCGCCGAACCGAGCTGCAGCGCACCGAGTGATCCCTGTCCTGCTTGTGTGCAGGGTATACACCAACGCGGCGCTGATCGACAGATCCCCGGTCACTTGGATCGAGGACCCTAGTGTTGCGAGCCACTGTGCGAAGGCAAATGAGCACTGCGCTCGATTCGAGTCTAGGCAACCTGGCTCCGCGCACCGAGTATTGGAGCCACTCCGAGAGTGTCGCCGACCTGAACATCGTCGCCGCCAGCACTATCCAAGTCTACTCTTCAGTCGTAGGCGCGGAACGGCGCATGTGGGAACGCACCGGAGAAGCACGCTGGAGGAGCGGTTCCGCGGAGGGTGAGTTCGGGAACATCTCTGGTCAGGGACCAAAGCGCGGAGCTTACCGACGTTGCCTGCTATCAGGACCATCTGGGCACTCTGGTCAGTATAAGGATCCCCGGCGGGTGTCGCACGAGGCACTCACTGCGACGGCGACAAGAATCCGGAATTTGGGTGCAACTGCGGAAAGGTACGGTGCATGAGACGGTGGGGTTCGACCGGGCTTGTAAAGTAGGGCTCACTTAGCCATAACCGGCGAGCGAAGAAACTTTGCACGGGATGTGAGCATATGTGAGACAACATATGGGAAGCTCAGACGGACCTCTGGGAGATGAAGGCCGCGAGGGCCTAGGGAGCAGAAGGATTGAGGACGATGACGAACAGCACAGGAGAAGGTACGTACGGCAGGTGGAGGGAGGACCTGGATGGAAGCGTGAGTATCGGTACCTCTAAAACTACCGGGGGTTACGTACATTGAGAGACCTAGACGGCGGTCAAGATGCGGAACAAAGGATCAGGTCTAAATGAACTTACCAAACCGTCGGGGAGACGAAGAAGTACGTTGGCTCCCAGTATTTGGTCACCATATAGAAGTATCTGCATCCCGAAAACTTCCACATTGAGCGCGCGGCCGACAATCGGCGAAGCAAGACACTCACGCAGTATGTGTGATCAACACCGTGGCCAACGTCTCAAGCACCCTGCGCGAAAGTGAGCACTCCATACGCGATGGAGAGAGACGAGATGCTCACAAAACCACCGCAACCTGCAGAAACCCATTCCGGGATTAGCGCGCTCGAGGGATGATATGGACTAGGATGGACACACCCATGCTTTAAGGACCCACCTGTCCTTGTGGAAGGTCATGTAGTACTTGAACGCCTGATGGAACAGCATGCCCTGCAGCCTGCGGAGATAGCGTGCGAAGGTGTCAAATTTTCGGGCTCGGGGTGGAATCACAGGCGGGCGTACAGGTAGCTGATGCACACGCGATGAGCCACGCGCCGAGAGTGTCGCCGACGGGGATGTGAGGGAAGGCCGCCGTCGCCGCCGCCGCGGCGGCTGCTGCGGCTGCAGCAGTGGAGTTGGAGGAGTCGGACATGGCCAGGCGGGACGTGGAGGGCGGGGAAGGAGGCGGGGCCGGACTGAGGCATGAGGGATTGTGAGTAGAGCAGAGGAAGAACGACGGCCGGGGTCACTGATGGGGATGCGGCGGGGAGGAGGCCCGGCTTCTAAGTTCTGGCCTGAACCCAAACAAATGAGCGTCGCGTCCAAGCGCGTCCAGCGGGCAGCCGCGCTGAGCCGCCGCGCTCACGAAGCCTCCGAGTCCGAGTCTGGCGTGCGTGCGACGCCCCGGCGCTTATGGGCGCCATCTGCGATCAGATCCACACCACTCTCGTTTCGGGCTTGATTCTGCCGGACGGGCGGAGACTTTGCCGGGTATCTGCCGCGAGTCGATACGCGTTCGAACGTCCCGTCCACGACAACTCACGCCCGATGACGTCGACCGGCCAGCGCCTGGGACCGGGTCCGCTGACTCGCCCCGTGAGTCGCCAGCTTCATGTTTTTCTCCTCGACTGTCACTTGGATCCTGACTCTGGTGGCAGCCCGCAAGCCCGCATACATCGACGGTAACTCTATGACGTCATACGCTTGGGGCATGCGATCGAGCGCCGGCAGCGACGCGCGGCGAGCTGTGCGGCACACGCGGGCTGCGTCGCTCTGCGCACTCGGCCTGCTTTCCTGCGCCATCCAGTGCGTCCGCCCATCAAGCCCCCGCCCGCTCGAGTGCCGTCCCAGCGCGCACCGTGAGCGACACGGCCAGGACGCGTCGCAACGCCTCACCCAAAGGCCAGCTGTCATGCTGGCCACGGTACCGGTGCAGCGACAAGCTCTCTTCTCTCTCCGCCACACTCATCCCCGTTCGCGCTAGCTTTCCTCCGCCACGCTCGCCCGAGCGCTCTCGCCGTGGCGCATACATCCACCCCCTTGGGCTTCGCGCTGTCCCGCCGCGCGTCTTGCGGCGTCCGGTCAACCGCATACAGCCACCTGTCTCGACAGATTCCCGCGTCCGTCCCTTTGTCCCGCCCTCCCCGGACCTCGTACGTCCAGCCTCGTCCACGCTGCGAACACCTCCTCAGCGTGCTGAAGCGCAGACCAGCGACCACTCGCCACCATCCGGCGGCCGCTCCTTTGGCGGGCCTCACCGTCTTCAACCCAACCTCGCTCGACAGCCTGCAGGCTCCCCCGACCTCTCGACGGCGCCCCCGCTGTACCAGCTGCAGGTCGTGCTCGACCACCAACGCTCGGCACACTCACTTGCCACAGAGCTCGCCTCTCCACCACCGCGTTTCACCCGTGCCGTCTGCACTGCACGCACCTGGACACTGGTACCGTGCTTCCCTCGACGCGACATCTCTTTGGCTGTCCCATCTGTGGTGCTCGTCCTCGTTGTTCAGCCGCGCTATGGACGCTTACGCGTGCATCGCGCTCGGCCCTCCGCGGCGCGCGCGACCGTCCACAACGCACGAACACATGGACGACGTACCATGTCTCTAGCTAGAAATCGCGGTCCACGCCCGCGATGATCCCAAGCAGTAGCACGACGACCGTGACGCCTGCGATTGCCACCCGCCCTTCGCCTGCCCGTCGCTTCGACCGATCGGAGTGCATACAGCCACCTCCGACCGCCAGCCACGCCCCGTCTCAACCCATCCCCTCTCCGCCACTTCGTCTCCAGACCTCCTCTTTCTCTCCCTGGGGACACAAGAATGCTGCCGTCAGTGACGAAACCTCCTCAGCAGACGTCCAACGTACCAGCGTATTCCCGCCCCGCTCCCGGATCCTGCCACGTGCAACATCGTGTCAGCACTCGTACGCAACGCGGTAAAGCGCACTCACCAGAACGTCTCTGCCCGGCCAGCATATCGGCGACCGACACCAACGCGGGCATCTCGCACCGGAGCAAGCTGCCGTCCCGGCTCTCGAGTACGTGCTTTTATCCACATCCGCCCTCCCACCGCTCTTTGCATTCGCCGACCTCCGCGCCCACGTCCGCGCCCTGTTTCCATCGTACCGTGCCCATGCCTGGCTGTGCCGTGAGTGCCTGTCAACGCCATGACAAAACCTCCCGTCCACTCACCTCGAGGTTCGTTCACACAGGCACACGCCCGCCCACGCGTACCTTGACGTCAGCGGCTGGCTTCGCATTAACCACGTCCGCCGGTCGAGACCGCTTCCACCATGGCGAGGCATGCGTTCAACCGCTGACGTCAGACGTGCTTGAGCCCCACGGGCTTGGTAGCGAGCATTGAACAGGTCGACGCCGTGCTGCGCACCGTTCACCGCCCTGCTCATCCGGTGCGCCCCTTCATTGTATCACGTACGTCTGTCATTGCATCGTTCTGCCGGCGTCCGCTCTCCGCGCTGACCACGTCCTTCCATCCCGGCGCAGGAACGCGCCAGACGGCATGGTCACCTTTCGATCGTCCGTACCTTGGCTGCACCTAACCCTGCACGCACCAGGACGCACACACCAGTCTCAGGCCCTCTGCGTGCACGCTCACGTCCCGCGCAGGCAGAGAATGTGCAGGATGCGTTCGCGCTGCACTCGCCCACTCGCGGATGGGACGGGACCTGCCGTTTCGTTCCGCGGCGTCCGTGAACGTCTCCCTGCATTTACCGTGGCCAGAACGGCGGGCCCCGCGCACTCTCAGGCCACTAACCGGTCGTGTGAGGCTGTCAGAACCATACACGCCCACTTGATGGTACCGGGTGTATGCGCGCCCGCCGACGCCCGCCGACGCTCGTGATCAGCACACCAGCTCGCCCGTTCGACCCGAGGGCGATGTCTCGTGCGCCACGGCCGTGCGGGAACCACCTCCGACTCGACCTGCGATTTCTTGTTGGACGCCGCTGGCCCCTTTGTTGCAACCAGTGTGGTGACAGGCGACGCGGAACGCATGCCAGCAACGTCTGTAGGAACTGGCCCGTACGTCTGGTAGGTTTCAGCGAGGTTTGTGAAATCGTACCTGGGCATGTTCGCTTCATGCGCGCGCTGATGTATTGCGTCACGCAGAGCGCATCTCGGACGGCCTCCTCCTCGAATCGAGTCGCGGAGAGCGAACTGTGCCCACCGACGCCGAACGGCCGCAAGTAGGATCGTGAACACTTGACGGCCCACGCAGGACCGCCGAGCGCAAGGCCGTCCTCATCCACACCGCTCTCTCGACTCGCGATTTCATTGAGCCCAGGCGCGGCTCTTGACTGGTTCTATCCTGGCGTGGTTTCGACTCGGTTTCGACTCGGTTCGACTTGTTCTGAACGGGCCGCGTGCACTCTTAGGCCACTAACCGGTCGTGTGAGGTTGTCAGAACCGTACACGCCCGCTTGATGGTGCCGGATGTGTGCGTGCCCGCCGCCGACCTCCGCCGACGCTCGTGATCAGCGCACCAGCTCGCCCTTTCGACCCGAGGGCGATGTCTCGTGCGCCACAGCCGTGCGGGAACGACCTCCGACTCGACCTGCGATTCCTAGCTGGACGCTGCTGGCCCCTGGGTCGCAACCGGTGCAGTGTGCGACACGGAACGTATGCCGGCGACGTTTGTAGGAACTGGCCCATACGTCTGGTAGGTTTCAGCGCAACTTGAAAAGGTTTGTGAAATCGCGCCTGGGCATGTCCGCTTCATGCGCGCGCTGATGTATTGCGTCACGCAGCGCGTATCTCGGACGGCCACCTCCTCGAATCCAGTCGCGAAGAGCGAACTGTGCCCACCGACACTGAACGGCTGCAAGTAGGATCGTGAACACCTGACGGCCCACGCAGGAAGGCCTAGCGTGAGGCCGTCCTCATCCACACCGCTCTCTCGACACGCGATTTCATTGACCCCAGCAGCGGCTCTGGACTGGTTCTATCCCGGTGTGGTCTCGACGCGATTCGACTTGTCCTGAAACACCGCCTGTAGCTCGTCGCGCGATCGCGTGCAGCTGATGACCCGCCGCCTGAGCGGCCATACGCCCGTCGTTGCCGTCTCGTCTCTCGCACGTGCCACGCTCCTCGAGTCCCTCGGGGTGACACACGTCCTCGACCGTGCCCTCGATCGCACACAACACGTTCCCCGCCGCACTCGCCGCCGCGGGCGGTGCGCCTCTCAAGTACGTGCTGCCCACCACGCTGACACTCCCCAGCTTCATAGCACGCACACCACTTCGTCGTTCAACGGAGGCTCAGCGCAGGAACGGATGCCGAAGAGGCTAGTAAGGTACCGGCATCCGCCTCGTACCGTACTCAATGTACTCGATGTGTGTTCTATCCGAGACCGCGCGCCGAATGACGAGCGTGCATGACAATCGCTACCACGGAGTGGGCTGGGCGCACGTCGCCGCGGCGTGACAGCCTGGGCGTAAGAGCGGTCCATCACGCTCTCATTTCGCGTCGTCGGTCAAGCAGGCCGCGCGTCCCGTGTGCGGATCAGTCTACATTGGCTCGAGCCCTGCACGGCGCCGTTCGTGCGAGACGTGGGAGACAGACGTGGTGTGCGCAATCTCCGTGCCATCTGATTCGGTTGGCAGCGTGTCCGCGGAGGCACGACTTCTCAGAGCTCCGACTTGGGTGTTCTGCAGGAGGTGCTCATTCATCGGCGCGAAGCTGCGCACAGTGTGGTGAATGTAGGTGGATGGGAGCTTGACCGGGTCAACATGGTGCGTGCAAAGTTGGTGTTCCACCCGCCCATTGGTGCTGAGCGACGCTTCCCTCGCGTGTCCTATCACCCGGTGCTTCATCTTGAGGCTTCTGCTCTCACACGGCACGCACAACGTCATCGAGAAAATCTATTTCACCGTGGTCTGGGCCTCGAAACAGACGCTTCGTGCTAGAAGAGACCGCTGGAGCGACGCACCTGGCAAGGAACTGTTGCGGAGTGGGCCGAGTCCGCAATACCCAACACCTGGTGCGCAGCTTCGGTGCGAGGCGTCCAGACGAAACCGTCACCCACACACGCCCGCCAACCAGAGCACGTTGACGGCCGCGCACCATGTCGGTCCCGGGGACAAGAACGGCGCTGCGCAGCGTTCACAATCGTTGTGGTGCGCAAGTTCGTCGAGCCCGCACTCTGGTGTGGGATCGGTGAAGACGGCGGGGTCGAGGTTGACGTCCGCATCTGTGCCCGACACGCGCTCGAAGGCCGTGCCAGCGTCGCAATGCTGTCGGGAGAAAGAGATCGCGCGGGGTCAGCGAGCGCGGGGTGACACAAAAGAGCGCGCAGACCTGCAGGTCGTAGCACGCCGCCCGCCGTCGCGCTGTGTTTGGTGCGGTACCGACGTCTGCGCGGTGTCACGGCAAGAAACGAAACAGGGCGAGTCAAAGACGCGATATGGGCGACTGATGAACTACTCACTGTCCCTGCAGTGGATGTTTACCCACCGGGGGCGTCCACTGCCGCCGTGTTTGACGTGGGTCTCCTCCGTCTGGAAGCCGTAAGGACAGCCTGGAACGTGTCTGCGGCGTGGCGCACGAGGGTCAACAGCGCGACATCGTACATGTACTCACGGACCTCGGCGACCCGAGCGAAACGACTTGCTGATCGACTTATCCACAGACACGTTGCGTGCAGGACGCGCTGTGCCAGGCGGAGACGATTTCGGATAGGATTTGCATGACATCTTCGCACTCACTTGGAATCCAGGGGAACAGCCTGGCGCACACGGGCTGCGCACATCCACAGGACACGCGTCGAGCGTACTCAACGCGGGGATAGGATCGGGGGCGAGGCGGGTATGCTGAGCGGGATCACAGAGGGCTCTGTGCGCAGATAGGATCGTGAGCGATGCGGATCGGGAACAAATACAAAGACGATTGCCTTGAGCGTTCCGCGCAAGGCGGCGCAATTGACAGTCGACAACGGGTGACAGGAGCTGGTACTACCCCTGGCTCATGTCCACTAGCGCCATCGCGCCGTGCCATCGCGCCGTGTCCAGACGCGGTACGACGGCCTGTCGGGTGGTTTCCAACTGGTAGTAATAGTCGTGTCAGCGGCGTTTGGCATGGCTCGCTCTTCCCCCACCCTAGTCACTCACCAGTACGTCTCCGTTCGTTCCCTCTCGTGAGCCGCACCGCCCAGCGCCCGCTGATGCTCCGTTTCGTCCAGAATGTCTGGGCGCAGGCGCAAGTTCTTCAAGACCAGTCAGACGCTCGACCGTGCGGGCGGATACACGCGACACACGACGTTCGTCCGTGGACAGCTGCGCAAGAAGTTCAAGAGAGAATTGGGTGAGTGGTGTTCTCTTCATGCACGCACTCACACCGACGGTACGCACCTACTCTGCAGTCCGGCTCACCGACGACCCGAAGGTGGAGATGCGCTGGACGTTGGAGCGGTTCGCCAAGCACATCTTCGTCAAGCACCGGCTGCGCCTCGTCGGCTGGCCACACGGTACCAAGTTCGGCAACCTGAGCGAAAACGCGACGAGCTTGAACGAGCTCATCGGCCTGCACAGGCTGTGGGACCGCGGCGACCTGCGCTTCGAGCGCGTGGGCATCGAGGAGGCAGAGGCGGCGAGGGCGAACTGTAGGCTTGCGGCGCCGACGCCGTTCGTCCTCCCGCGCGGAACACGGGCGAATGAAGACGAGCGGCGGGACCCGGGTGTGGTGGAGTTCGGGATGTGGCGCCGGCGGATGTCGTGCATGGTGACAAAGTCACAGCGCGAGATCACTTGGGAGGACGAGGAGGAGGCGGAGCATCCGCTGGGGAGGGAGGCGTCGAGCGACCTGATAGACAGCTTTAGCAGTCGCGGCTGTGGTTGGGATGTAGGTGCTGGGGTTGCAGTTAATCGTAATCAAGGATTGGACCGAGAATGTGAATTGCGTACCTGAAAGGGCTAGCGCTGTGGAAGTGTGCGCGCGTTGGTGCCTGCACCATCGGAGTCTGGCCGGAACCACCAGGCTGCCATGGCTAGCCGCAGCTGGTGCCGCCCGTCGGGAGTGGGTACCGCGCATAAAAGGCGTCGAATGCCTTGTCCCTGGCCTCCCTTCCCTCTTGCCCTTTGCGCAGCTCGCCCTCTCCGCCGCCACCCGTTCCCCTTGCTGCCCCTCCTGCTCGCCGGCTTCTCCCTTCACCAATCCTCCTCTCGGACGATCCAAGGCACGGGCAACCGCTATCGCGATCTGCGTTCGTCACCCAATACTGGTACGTGCTGAGCCTGTCCTCGAGTCGCGCTAATTCAGAATCAACCATTGTTGTCCATGCTTAGACGACCTGGCGCAGTCCACTCACCCGTTGTCGCGCATCATCGCACGGAGGCTGGTACGGGTACGCGGATGCCGGTACGTCCTGTTCGTTCATTGAGGGTTCCGCAGCGCGAGGCACGATGGAAACGCGTGGTGCAGTGGCCGGTGGCCGGTGGTCAGGCTGGTCTTGCAAGTGCGACTACGCGCTGCCCATGGTTCGCTGGCAGGCGCACCCGGTACGTGCTGAGCTTGTCCACCACCAAACTAACAATCATTGCCCGCACCAAGACGAGGCGAAATCGACTTACCAGTTGCCGCGCATCGGTACGCTGCCGTTCGTTCTCCTGCAGCGTACCGGGTGTGGTCACGCCGCTCTAGCAAGCGCGACCACGAGCTGGCCGTGTTCCGCTGGCAAGCGCTACCCGGTACGTGCTCGACGCTGTTGCTTCTGTTGATATCAACACGTCAGTCTATCGCTGCCGCGCGCGGCGATACACGCGATACGTACATCTTCAGTACGCTCCGCGGGAGCATGGAAGTTGTGTCGATGTGCGCGGGGACCCGGCGGAGTACGGTACGTGCTTGACGACCTTGATCTTGCTGCACGCTAACGAGTGTTCTGTGTGCACGGTACATTCACAATGACGACGAGACTTTGAGAGCGGGTGGATGGTTCTTACCGTCGTCACAGTGGGCGTGGCGGCGGCGGCGGCGGAAAAGAGCTTGTGAGTGTGACGGGCGGATAACAGCGAGGAAAGACGTACCGGGTGCTCGCGCGCGAGGCCGGCGCACGACGAGAGGGATGGCGGGCTTGCGTGGGTGTGTAGTACGTAGAAGCACGTTCGAATGAAAGTTGTTTAGATGCCAGACATGCGCGGCGGCCCTTGCACGCTCTTGCAAATCGTGCCCCGGTCCGCCGTCGATTCAGCACTCTCCACAGTCTCAATAATCCTGTCTCTACAGCGTCAATAAGCCACTCTATACAGCGTCAACAAACCACTCTATACAGCGTCAACAAACCACTCTCTACAGCGTTAATAAACCACTCTCTACCCATCCATAGTCAGAATTTGCCCTGGTGCTTACCTGGTCCCTCCCATCTACCCCATCCAGTCCGTCCGCGCCGTCCTGCCCGTCCCCCCACATGCGCACGCCTCCCCTCCTCGATTCGTCCGTCCGTCCGTCCGCACGCTCGGCGACTTCAATGGGAAGACGTTCTGAGGCCATCGAAGAGCGGCAGGGTGGATTTCGAGGGCCGATCGCAGACCGATGAGACGTAGATGTGGTAGTGGTCACACCAGTAGTGCCCGCGCGCGCTACATCAATTCAGGCCAGGCCGAGGCTCCGAGCGCGATGTCATATTCAGGCTCCGCGCCAAACTGGGCGGTGCCATCCGACGGCACGGAACGTGGTCTACTTTCTCTGTTGCCCTGGAGTTTCCTCAGAACGACGCAACCAGCGACCGCCGGGGAGTGCGCCCAAATGCGCTCTCCTGCTCGCCAGGTGACGAGAGCTCGAACTCACAACACCCCCGCCAAAAGCGGCCGACTCCGACTTCCAACGCGCACTCGGGAGGGAAAGCGCCGTCCTGTCTCTATTAATTATAATCGCTCTAAAGTTGAACAGCACGGAGCGGAAGGGAGCGGAGCGACCGACGCGCTTCTACCGCCACGGCCCACACCGCGCACGACATAGCAGGAAGCCCGTCCAGAGTCCAGGGCCGCGAACGAGGGACGAGGGAGGGCCGACTCGCGACCAACCGCAGCCGGAACACCGGCCGGGTGTCGCGCCCCCGCACGCCACCATCGTATGTACATAGTTACATAGTACGTGCCTTTTCTGAGGGACGCAGAACTCGATCGGATCTGCGCCGCGCGCGTGCACGCACGCCTCCCTCTCCACGTAGATCGCCCGACCAGTCCCGTCTATTCGCGCGGTCGATCTCACGGCGTCATGACCTCCGCGGCGTACGGGTGTCGCTTCGGCCCGAGGAACGACCGCTGCGGCAGCTGCTGCTGCTGCGCCTCGAGCGGCCCGGGCTCGGACACCGCGTACGCGCCGTCGTAGAAGTCGTCCGTCTCCGTCACCGTCGTGACCTTGAGCTCGATCGCGGTCGGGGTGCTCGCCGCGGTGTTGCTGAGCTGCTCGTTGGTTGGTTGGTTGGTTGGTTGGTTGGTTGGTTCGTTCGTTCGTTCGTTCGTTCGTTCGTTCGTTCGTGGGTTGGTTGGTTCGTGGGTGGGTTCGTTGTTTGGTTCGTTTGTGTGAGCGCGGGCGTGGGGGGTGAACGGGAGAGAGGCGCGGGGATGCGCAGAGAAATGAGCGAGAGGGGAGGAGGCGAGTCAGTGTGCGGCGCGGAGTGGGACGATTGGCGACAACACGTACCGCGGTGGGGAGGTTCGTCGCGCCGCGCGCGCGGAGCACGTGCGAGACGTTGACGGAGTTGGACTGGTTGTTCGACTGGCCGAGGATGCCCAGTGACGCGCGCGAGTTGAGGCTGAGGAAGGCGGGAGGGGGAAAGGCTGGTCAGAGCGCGTGTCGGCGCGGGGAAGGGGGAGCGGCTTACGCGACGAGGAACGCGTTGGCGTAGACTGTGGGGTGGGGGATGGTCAGAGGGCTGGACGGGCAAGCAGTAGGAAGCTCACGCACGTTTCGTGAGGATGATGGACAGCGCGGCGTAGATGAAGTTGTCCGGCTCCTTGGCGGACTGAAGAAGGCGCAGTGTCAGCGGCGAGCAGGAGCGCGTGAGGGAAGAGCACTGACATAGGTGACGTTGACGATGTGGACGATGCTGATGCGATGCAATGTGAACACATGATCCGCTGCAGGTACCTCATCGCCCCGCTCACCAGGTTACGACGCCTGCAAGTGACTGTGAGAAACCACACGCTAAACCTTGCTGTCACGGCACTCACCAGTCGATACCGAGTACGTGATCAGTGTATCCACGATCGAGTCCGTCCTGTGCGCGTGCTTCAGAACAACCCACACGCGCCGAACCGAGCCGCAGCTCACCGAGTGATCCCTGTCCTGCTCGTGTGCAGGGTATAAACCAACGCGGCGCTGATCGACAAATCCCCAGTTACTTGGATCGAGGACCCTAGTGTTGCGAGCCACTGTCCGAAGGCAAATGAGCACTGCGCTCGATTCGAGTCTAGGCAACCTGGCTCCGCGCACCGAGTATTGGAGCCACTCCGAGAGTGTCGCCGACCTGAACATCGTCACCGCCAGCACTATCCAAGTCTACTCTTCAGTCGTAGGCGCGGAACGGCGCATGTGGGAACGCACCGGAGAAGCACGCTGGAGGAGCGGTTCCGCGGAGGGTGAGTTCGGGAACATCTACTGCCGGGGACCAAAGCGCGGAGCTTACCGACGTTGCCTGCTATCAGGACCATCTGGGCACTCTGGGTCAGTATGAGGGTCCCCGGAGGGTGTCGCACAAGGCACTCACTGCGATGGCGACGAGAATCCGGAATTTGGGCGCAACTGCGGAAAGGTACTGCGCATGAGACGGTGGAGTCCGACCGGGCTTGTAGGGTAAGGCTCACTTAGCCATAACCGGCGAGCGAAGAAACTTTGCACGGGATGTGAGCATATGTGAGACAACAAATATGAAGTCTCAGACGGACCTCTGGGAGATGAAGGCCGCGAGGGCCTAGGGAGCAGAAGGATTGAGGACGATGACGAACAGCACAGGAGAGGGTACGTACGGCAGGTGGAGGGAGGACCTGGATGGAAGCGTGAGTATCGGTGCCTCTAAAACTGCCGGGGGTTACGTACATTGAGAGACCTAGACGGCGGTCAAGATGCGGAACAAAGGGTCAGGTCTAAATGAACTTACCAAACCGTCGGGGAGACGAAGAAGTACGTTGGCTCCCAGTATTTGGTCACCATATAGAAGTATCTGCATCCCGAAAACTTTCACATTGAGCGCGCGCCCGACAGTCGGCTAAGCAATACACTCACGCGGTATGTGTGATCAACACCGTGGCCAACGTCTCAAGCACCCTGCGCGAAAGTGAGCACTCCAGACGCGATGGACCGAGGCAGGATGCTCACAAAACCACCGCGACCTGCAGAAACCCATTCCGGGATTAGCGCGCTCGATGGATGATATGGATTAGGATGGACGCACCCATGCTTTAAGGACCCACCTGTCCTTGTGGAAGGTCATGTAGTACTTGAACGCCTGATGGAACAGCATGCCCTGCAGCCTGCGGAGATAGCGTGCGAAGGTGTCAAATTTTCGGGCCCGGGGTGGAATCACAGGCGGGCGTACAGGTAGCTGATGCACACGCCGATGAGCCACGCGCCGAGAGTGTCGCCGACGGGGATGTGAGGGAAGGCCGCCGTCGCCGCCGCCGCCGCCGCCGCTGCGGCGGCTGCGGCTGCAGCGGTGGAGTTGGAGGAGTCGGACATGGCCAGGTGGGATGTGGAGGGCGGGGAGGGAGGCGGGGCCGGACTGAGGCATGAGGGATTATAAGAGAGCGGAGGAAGAACGACGGCCGGGGTCACTGATGGGGATGCGGCGGGGAGGAGGCCCGGCTTCTAAGTTCTGGCCTGAACCCAAACAAATGAGCGTCGCGTCCAAGCGCGTCCAGCAGCCAGCCGCGCTGAGCCGCCGCGCCCACGAAGCCTCGGAGTCCGAGTCTGGCGCGCGTGCGACGCCCCGGCGCCTACGGGCACCAGCTGCGATCAGATCCAAACCACTCTCGTTTCGGGCTTGTTTCTGCCAGGACGGACGGAGACTTTGCCGGGTATCTGCCGCGAGTCGATACGCGTTCGAACGTCCCCGTCCAACGACAAGTCACGCCCGATGACGTCGACTGGCCAGCGCCTGGGACCGGGTCCGCTGACTCGCCCCGTGAGTCGCCAGAGGTCGCCAGCTTCATGTTTTTCTCCTCGACTGTCACTTAGCCGTTCCCACCTTCTCGTCCGCCTTTCGCCCCTTCAGACTCGCGGGTGCACAGAGCCTCCGTCCACGGCACGCGCGATCTTACTTCCGTCCGCCTCGAGCGTTCGAGAACCTCGGACTCATATCATCGTTGGAAATCGTGACCGTAACTGTCGCCCATGACAACCGCCCGGATCCTCCTTTGCGCAACACCATCCCACCGAACATCAATCTCACTTGCCACTCTCAACTCCGTCTCCCGCCTCTGCCGTAAGTAAGTACGACATTCCACCGACATGCAGCGCCCACGCGGAAATGAGCCGCGGGAGGTTGCTGGAGGTGGTGCTCATTGCTTGGACACGCGGTATTTCGGCCAGGATGTGTGGTCACGTACAGCTGCATGGTAACCGGCCTCCGCCAGGGCGTGCGGCGTGCTTTCGACCTCGCACACGCCCTCCGCGCCCCTCGGTGCACACGCACGCCGCAGCAGAAGTCCAACCGGTGCGCTGCTCGTCGTACGGGCGCCCTGAAGCGCCGGGGGGACGCGCGCGCCGTAAGACAGCGAACAGGAGCAGGGCAGAGACTGGCAGAGATGGTGAGCCTGGTGGTTCTGATGGGAGAGACGCCTGGGTCGCAGACTGAGAGTTTAGCATGAGGTACACGGTCGAGTTTCAACGGTACCTATGTTGGGGGACGGCGTGGTCAACGTGGGCACACTGTTTACACGTCGACCCGACTCGATCCGCTGATCCTTGGTCGTCCACTGATCCTTGGTCGTTGGTGGTCTGGGCGGGATTGCGGCAAAAACATCGGGAGCGACCGCGAGCTGATGGTCCACATACAAGAGGAGCGGGTAAGTAAGTACTGGGACTGGTATCAACCGTCTGAAACCCTATGACGTCATATATTCTGCTCGTGTGCTACCCACGTATCAGTCATTAGCTACAAGTCGACGAATTTGAATTCGTACCTCCTCAGTCTCGACACAAATATAGCACGATGTATTTATAACGTCGCTGTGTCAGCAAACAGTAAGCGTATAAAGTGTAGCGTACCAGAATATTCCGTGAGTCGATTCCGTGGAGCAATCCACAATTGCTTCATGTAACGGCTTCCTCGTCGGGAGAAGTTCCACCGCCACCAGATACCAGTGAGGGGTGCGAAGGGAGAAGTTGAAGTAAAGTACAAGGGGCAGTTCGTAGCTGGGGTGCACGGCAAGAACCATGGGGCGCAAACAATGTGGATCCCTTATCCTCTGGCCCCGCAATATGCACAACATACACCGTTATCCATTGGTCGGAATATGCCTGTCCGCCAGCTCCATCTTGAAAATAGTATGAGCCAACACCCGGTACGATGACGTCATTGCTCACCATCACCGTTCACACCAACAGTTTTCAGAGAGGGAAAACTGGGATTCATATATACATACGTACAGTGAGATAAGGGATGACATATGGTACGACGAGGCGAGGCGATTAAGGAGCGTGTACATACGTATACTGTAGATCTAGAACAAACGAGAGGAAGGGCCGAGACTCGAGCTCAAGGGAAAACGTCGCTCCGTATCCGTAAATACCAAACCGTGCCAGGCAGCAGAAAAGTCCATATACATATATGCATGACATCCACCCTCCAAAGCCCGAATCCTCCAAACCGTCGGCACTACATGAACAGAGACTCCGCCTCGCCCAACGGCCGCCGCGGGACCGGGACCGCGACCATGCCCTCCACCTCCGCGTCCTCCTCGACCGAGCCGTACCCGCGCGCGCAGCCCGGGTCGAGGTCCCCGGCGCCGACGAGCGCGTCGTACGCGCGGATGAACAGCCGCGCCTTCTTCGCCGGGGACGCGCGCCCCAAATCTTCCTCCTCGAACGACGCCGCCCGCTTCGGCGTCTTGCGCAGCGCGCCGCCGTCCGGAGGGGTGATCGGGTGCGCGCGCGACGAGCTCGGGGACGCGGCGGGCGTGGCGTCCGGCATGCCGTCGTGCTCGTCTTCGTGCTCGTCGTCGTCGTCGTCTTCGTCGTCGCCATCGTCCGCGTCGAAGTCGGACCCGAGGTCGTCCTTCGCGTGTGCGACGCTGCGCGCGCCAGTTCGATCTTCCGGCGCGACGCCCGGCGGCGCCTCCTGCGGGCCCCGCGGCAGCCGCGGCCTGAGGGCGTCCGCAGCCCGTTCGAAAGCGAGCGACCGGTCGCCGACGGGCCACCCGTCCATGCCGAGCGCGCCCTCGAAGATCGCCAGGACGCGGGCGTGGTCGAGCGGGCGCCCCGCGCCGCCGCCGCCGCCCCCACCCGCGCGTGCGACGTTCTCCGCGACGAGCCCGGCGAACGCGCGGAGGAGGGCGGTCACCGGCGCGTTCTGCGCGACCTCGAACGCGGGCGCGTGCGCGTCCAGCCACGCGCGCTTGCCGCGGCGCGTCTCGAGCATCGCCTCGAACACGCCGGGCGCGTCGTCGACGTTGTGGAGCGTGTTGCGGAAGACGACGTGGAGGAGGGACCAGAAGAAGGACTCGAGGTCGTGGTGGACGCGGTGCATGGGGGACGCGAAGTAGCGGGAGGGGTCGTCCGGCGGCATGAGGTCTACTGCGGAGTACGTGTATGTTCTCTGATAATCACATCGATCGCCGTCAGTACCCTGGGACGCGGGAGGAAGAGAGGAGCGAGGCACACCTTGCGGTAGAGAGGCTCATGGTCAGGATCGTAGTCCACTCTCGAAGCGAAGTCGAAGTCGTGCAGGAAGCCGGTTGAACGAGCGCCTCCTTTGAACTTCTCGATGTCCATGCGCGCGATCATGATGTTGTTGACACTGACATCGCGGTGGAGGACATTGCAGTCATCGACAGCCCAGCGATGGCCTAAGAACGACGGTCAGTCGACGTACCTCGCCAGAATCCAGATGGGAAGGACTAACCTCGAAGTGCGTCGTAAAAGGCCATCGTCATCTCTCGAGTGCTGTCGAACGACGTGACGGCTTTGCCAATGGTGTCCATGACAAACCGCAGGTGAGACCGTTCGATCCTCCAGTACAGCCGTTGCTCTGCGACGCGCCACGTAAAAGTCTGATGAGAGGGCGCATAGGGGAGCGCAGGGTCCAAGGCAAAGTACAACTGCTTCGGGTCAGCCAAACGGGAGTTGTCGGGGACAGTCTCCGCGCAGCGCTTCAGGTGCTTCTCGAGCCGCCGCACGTCCCATTCGCCCATGTCGGTGCCAATCACCGCCGTCTGGATGCCGTGCCGGGAGAGCGAAGCGTTCTTGCTCAGGGTGGCGTAGATGTCCGTTTCGGCTTCGCATTCCAGGAGCCGCCAAGTCTCCTTGAGGATGTTGACTACGACGGGAGACTTCGATTGGTCGAGCGTGGCTTCGTCGGGGGCATGTTCTACGGCGTGCCATACAGTCGTCCCGCGTGAGAAGATGTTGGAGGGAGCCGCGACGGGCTTGAACACGAAGTAAGGGGTGGCGTCGTCTTCGTCCGCGTCTGGTGCGCCTAGAACTGAGATGCGCCGAGGCACCATCCTGTCCGCGTCCTGGAGGGTGATCCCTGCCGTGGCCAAGCGCGTCTTGAGCCACCGCCACTCGCCATCATGTAGACGCCGAACGGTCGGATCTCCACCAACGATGCGCGCACGGGGATCGATGGGGTGAAAGAGCTTCCAAAAGAATTCGCGAACGACATTGACGACTTCGGGGCGAGAGAGTTCGAGGGGAGCGGAATAGACCGCGCCGGCGCGGTCAAAGCGAATGATGCGTACCACGTCACCATAGAACCCAAGAGTGTGGGCGCACAGGAGACCGTGGGCGACCATGAGGTGATTCGCGGCGACGGAAAGTTGGACCAAGGCTTTGTTGTAGCCCTCTTGGAGAATATTGTCAAAGGGATCTTGCGCCGCAGTAGCCCTGACTTGGACGATACATGCGATATCGTTCCATTCAGGTGGCGCAAGAGCAATGGATGTCGAAGTCGAAGGGAAAGTAACCGCAATGTCGAACTCCGCGGGTGGATGGTTGTGTCGGAGAGATGGAAGCGGAAATTCCAGGCTGTGGCCAGATACGTCGAAGAAAGCGGGCCGGCTTTCGTGGGGAAATCCCGCCACTAGACGCGCGAGACCGTCGACCTGATCATGATGAGATGAGCGTGTCTTCAAGGGCATAGTCGCATGAACCTACCGCAGATGAAATGTCGAGTGCTGCATCCCCGCTCCTGTCGATCCAGTGTTTGAACTGAGTGTGTTGCTCGAAATCCAGAGGTGGCGCATTCTGAGAAGGAACGAATTGGTTGAGGAAAACTTCTCCGGGTCCTGGGACTTCGATGAACTTGGAGCAGATGTCTTTGCTCCACGCCTCTTGCCAACGACGTTCACCGCAGTCCTCTGTGATCAATCGGCGACATTGAGCAGTCGCAATCAAATGCAGAGAGTGGACGAACGTACCCAAGGGGCGACCGGTGTATACTACTTCGGCACTAATATCGTACATTGCGTGTGCGGTTCAGATGCAGGAAGGTGGTGCCCGGATGGACACTCCGAGCAGATCCTGGATGGAAACACGGGTCAGCGTAAATATACCCTCCGGTGTCAACCTTAGATGGACAGCCGAAACGAACAAAGCGTGAGCTGTGTTCAGTGCGGACGCCCGCTTTGTCTCTCCAATGGGACTGTAACATTGGATGGTTGATCACTACCAACGAGCACGCACAGAGCGCAGACCAAGCGTTTGATGGTCAATCTGGAGGTGCTAGCGCGCACAGCCATGTGCTCTGGTCGATCGAGATGATCTCACCTTTCAATTTAGATCAAGCTTCAGCTTCAGAGTCGAAGACCGCGCAATGACGACAAAGTGGAAGTAGTTGGCAGCTGAGCATGTTCGACGTCTGTGTTTCCGTGTCAGTATGCGTGTGTTGTCTGCACTCCGCACTTACCCATCGGTTCCCTCGAACGCACCACCTACACCGCTTCCAATGGACGGTTGAGACTGAGCGCAGGTCGGATAAACGCCCGGGGTCCGTGCGGGGCTGACGCGTCTCGGACTTTGCCACGTTTCAAGCTCAGACGCGCCTGGAGAATTTTTCCAGTGCCTCCCCTCAACCCCGATTGATCTCCGCCACTCCAGTCCGCACGCGCGCTCGACTTAAGCCTTTTCGTTCAACTTCGCCTAGTATGCCGCTCGCTTGCAATGGTTCATTCATGAACACTACAGCTGTTTTCCCCCATGCCGATGCTTCCTTTTTTTTCTCAAGGCTCCTGCGATCTTTCTCAAACGTTCGATCTTACACTGGCCCGTGGGTGATGTCAAGTTCACACCTCGGCTTGACCCCCATTTACTCATTTAATCCTATGCTGGCTTGTTCACATACTTAGACTCAATACCCTGCAGCATCGGTCAGTCCGGAAAGACAGCTTCGGGCTGAGCTCAGCGTAGAAGTCGTTCAAGGCCGAGGGAAATTGGTAAGTCAGCATCGGCCGACCCGAAGCTTGCTTCTGCTGACATAGGCGCGCTCCACTTGCACATGGAAGAGACAGGCGTCCCACACTCAGCGAATCCCTAAAACATGGTTCTCACCGTTCGAATGGGTACAAGAGTCTGTATGGAGTAAACCCGCACGGCATGTGGGACGTAAGCAGCGCTTCGAGCGGTGTGGTGCATGATGTCTTGAGGACTGTCGCCGCCGTGAGCTCGAGCAGCCCAAGTTAATTGGTCTATTTGTCACTTAATGCCTCGGGGGCAGAGCCCAGCCCATTGGTCACTATATTCATGTCATCCTCGGGCAGACGGACGCGTTAGAAGTTCAATGACGTCCTCCGCACTCCGTATAAAGCGGTTCGTCGATGTATACGTTCATCGAGTCCCTATTCCCCCCAAATCCTCAGCTCGTCCAGCCCCCCCTCTTCATTAGCGCAATGTCTCCCATCTGCAATGCCCGTGTGTTGTTCAAGGAATTCCCGGGATCAGGTGAGTTCGGCTGCATACCTTATGTACTGTCCCCTGTCTGATATGAAACGTCGTACAGATTATCCGGTCGTTGATCAACATCTCGCGTACGACGACTCGCAGACCGTAGATCCTGTAACCGACCCTCTCGATGGAGGTTTCCTGGTGAAGGTCTTGTATCTCTCCGTAGACCCTTATCTCCGGCGACGAATGACGCCAGGTGGGGCCCCTGAAGAGTCTATTGTGAGTGGCAACCATGTCATATCCCAGTTGGTTGTGAGATGACGGTGCTTCGTTCTCAGCAACCTTTTGCTATCAACGAGCCGTAAGCGTCGTGTTGTCATGGTCTGGGAATTTCCGAGTGACAGCTCTCCGACAGCCTCGTCAATTATGGCGTCGGCGTTGTTTTGCGGTCTGAACACGCCAAAATCAAAGCAGGAAGCCATCTGGTAGGATTTTTGCGTGAGTGTGTCCGGACAGCTTCTCTCTTCTCTTACTGAAAACGACGCTTCCAGCATTCCAAGAATACGTGATCCTTCCAAACGACGACGGGATCACTCTCCTCGACTCGAAGCCTGACGGCATTTCGTGGTCTGCATATATTGGCGTGCTCGGGATGCCGGGTAAGCCCTTTTTTCGACGCTCTCCAGCAGTATCTAACTCCCCGTCAAGGATTGACGGCATACTCCGGGTGGAATGAGTTCTCGCGAGCAAAACCGGTACGCCCTGGGTATCCCCGTTTACCAATTACCTGCCGCTTACCCGTCAGCACAGGGAGAAACCGTGTTTGTCACCGCCGCATCCGGTAAATACGTTGACATCCACTCCGATGCCCTTACTGACCTCCGTCTCATCTTCCCCAAGGTGCTGTTGGGGCGTGAGTGTTTGTGATTTATGAACGCCCCACACCCATATTGACACCTGTCCCAGAGTGGTCGTGCAGCTAGCTAAGCTATCAGGGTGCAAGGTGATCGCGTCTGCTGGGTCCGAAGACAAGGTTGAATACGCGCGGACCATCGGTGCCGACGTCGCATTCAACTGGAAGAAGGATAACACCCGTGAGATTCTCAAGCGAGAGGGCCCTATCAACATGTACATCTTCCTTCCCTTGTCCGCCGGTGGGCGCTCAATATCTGACGCTATCACCCCCATCACAGCTGCTGGGACAACGTCGGCGGAGAGTCCCTCGAAGCCGCACTGGACGCCGCGGCGTCCCACGCGCGTTTCATCGTGAGTCCCAGCCCTCTCCTCTCGCGCCCGCCTCCGCCGTCTGCTCACCGCCCGTACCGCAGATCTGCGGCAGCGCCTCGAACTACAACACCGGCACCCCGTACAACGTCAAGAACCTGCAGCTGCTCATCTGGAAGGAGATCCACTTTTACGGTTTCCTGTACTTGTCGCTCCAGCCCAAGCACGGACCCGCGTTCCTGCGCGACATGCCGCGGCACGTTGCAGCCGGGGAAGTCAAGTTCAAGGAGCACCTCACGCGTGGGCTCGCGCGCGCGGGTGACGCGTTGCTTGATGTGCTCAGGGGTGGGAACTTCGGAAAGAGTGTCATCGTGGTCGCGGAGGAGTGAGGGTGGTTGGATTCGGTAATGTAGACCAATATCGTTGTACTAGTAGATAAGGCGCAATGTACGATGCCAGTCCTGACGCACGACGGCGGTGCATACGTGCACACTGACGGATGCCGGCTCGAGGATCGCTCTCGGGGAATCGCCGGCTGCTGTTGGGCCAATGCCCTTGTAGTCCCCCAAGTCAGTCTGGAGACTTCCGGTGGGCCGAGATCACATCCTCTCGCGATCGACGCTTCATGAAGCAGCAAGGCAGAGAAGACTGTAAATATCGAGGAGAATGGTCGAATTTTGTCTGAAAGTGCCTAGTACGGGTACACTGTAAGTGACGTGCGCTGCTCGCCCTTTCAATCTTGCAAGCCTTCGATCTCCTGGGCGCTTGTCCGCAAGTACTCCTCGTACGAGTCTTGGTATCCCACTGTCAGGAGCCACCCCACGTCCGTCAGCCTCATCACGGCCAAATACAAGGCAAGTGCTCACCCGGGACATTCGCACGAGCCCTGTACCTCGCCACGACCTCGCGATTGTGCCGGATAGCGGCGAGCTGGGCCTGCTTGATCGTCCCTGCCGCAGCACGCGCCGTCAGTCCCCAGTTCACAGAACGACGGCGGCGAGGGCACCGACCGGAGACGTGCACGACGTGCGGCACGCACCGCCGTCCGTCGACGGCGGTCACGAGCGTCACGCTCGCCCACGCGATCTTGTGCGGCTCTCGCGCGACGCGGATGATGCACAGGTTCGTCTTCGGCGAGAAGTACTTGACTGGCGTCCCGAGCCCGAGCGCGCGACGTAGGCACGCGAGGCGCGGCCAGAGGACGACAGGAAGGGGACAGAGGCACAGAGCGCACGTCAGCGGACACGTCGGCGTCGCGAAGCACGCTGGGAGATGCGCACCGGTCAGGGACGAGCCCACCGCGCCCCAGCCGGTGTCGCCGAAGTGGGTGAGGACGCTCTGCTTGAGGGCGACCCAGATCTGCTTGCTGGTGAACTCTTCCGCCGCGGCGCGCGGTTCGCGGCCTGGGGTGTGGGTCGGCATGGGCAGAAACTCGACCAGGAGCCAGCGGTTCTAGAGGTGTGAAAAATTGAGTATCAGGGTGTTCGCTGAGCCGGACAGGGCGCACGCCGAGATCTTCACCTTGAATCTAACCATGTTTTAGTTGTCTGTCATGGGCTTGAGAAGGGCTGAAGCAGCCGCGTGCAAATTCCCTGGCTGCGCTCGAGGGGAGTGGGTTCACGACAAACCCGGTTGAAGCCGGGGGCGCCGCGTTTGATTGGAGGCGCCCAAGTAGATCGTGGTTTCGATTCCCGATGAAGGTAATGTGCTGTTCATTTTACTATCAAGGGAGAACGAACTCAGAGTCGTACATACAGTCATAGCACCAGTAAATAGCAGCAGTGCGGTGTGGGCGTGTGTGAGTAAGCCGGTGGTTCCTAGGTAAAGAGCGGCAAGGGCTACGAAATACATAATGATTAAGGTGTCGACCATGTCCGTCCCATGTGACGCCAAAAAACAACAAAAAGAAGGGTTCAAGAAGAAAAAGAAGGGAATCCAAGTCCAAGAGAGTGGGCAGCCACTCGCGCGTGGGAGACGCCGAGCATGCTGGGAAAGATCAAGGAGTGGCAGGGACGACAGATGCAGATGAACAGATGGAAAAAGATCAAGGACCGACAAGCACAACTCCTTCCCCCAACAAGCCAACGTCCGCTTCCAATCCCACGCGATGCCCCAGGGGATGCAGGAGCGGACACCCGCGCATGAACGGCCGCTGGACCGCTCCAACCCAAAGAGCGCGCGCGAACGTCCACCCGTTGTCTAACGCCGCCCCGTCCGCGCGACCCGCATACCCGGGCCTCAGCTTGAACGACAGTGGAGGGACGTGATGACGCCTCTGTGAACAGAGTTAGCCGGATCGGGACCCAGCGGGGCGCGGATCATCAAGCTCGAATTCGAACTCGGCGTCCTCCAGGAACTCGTCGACAATCGCACGCCAGTCGGATTGGCCCGTCTCCTCCGCCGCCCGGTGCTCGTGTAGCTTGGTGTCGAAGACGACAGGCGTCATTGGGGGCTCGAGCCCGCCCGTCAACCAACGGTCGACGCGGTCACCGGTGCGAAGCGTGGGTGCGCGTGCCAGCGGCGTGCGGGTGTTGGAAACCGGTGGGGCGTTGGTCGCGAAGGTCGGACTGAAAGGCGAGAAGAATGATACGGGTGTGGAGGGTGTCAATGGGCTGTGTGGAGTTCTGGAGAGTGGCGCCGGGCGGCGCACTTGGCGAGATTTCGTGGGCGCGGCGTGCGACCGGGCGTGCGGGCGTGGGGCGAGTTGTATGGGGAGGAAAGATGCCGTGGAGTACGTGGGGCTGTCGATGGGGGATGCGGTGAAAGAAAAAAGAGAGCCAAAGGGGCTGTCCTCGTCCGACGATATTGAGTCGATGTCCACAAGCTTGAGGTGGTATCGGCGCGGCGCGGAGTCGCTGTGATTGCTCTCGCAAATGAGATCAAACAAGGGATCTTGCTCTGTGTCGGCGTCGCTGCGTTCATATATAGAGTATGGGCATGAAGAATATATGAGAGCGATATATATGGACGTACGAAGGCAGAGAAGTCTGGGGAGGCGATATGCGGATCGTGCTTGTCCCCGAGCGCGCCTTCCGAATGTCTCCGAAGTGCACTCCCGTCGAGCTGATCGTCGTCATGGGTGTTATAGAGGGCGAACACGCGGAGCGCGGCCCGTACGGCCGCCGCGAGGGCCTGGCGGATGTGGTGTCGATGCGGGCGAGCATGTCGTGAGGGCGTGGGGTGGAGTCCAAGCTCAGACAGCGCCGGTGTGCATGAGCGCGTGCTTTTGTACGGGCCCTTCGTTCGGCGAGCGTCTCTACACTTGCGGGGAGTGACATCGGGTCGACCATCACTGAAGTCCATCTTCGACGGAGTGTTGACGGGCGGACCGCTGACGTGGGAGCGGGGGTGCTGGCGGCGAGGGACATTGACGGAGAGGACAGGAGGACAGGCGACAGAGATGCTCCTGCTACCCCAGACGCGTACTGGTATATGTGGGAAGCGGGATGATGCTGCGCGATTGAAGCAGTCGGCCGGGTATGGATGCTGACCGGAGACGACAGGGCGATACTGCTTCGGCGATGGTGACAGTAGTGAGGGGGCTGTGCAGCAGAAGGTCAATCTACGCTGACCGTGAGTGCACAAGGAAGCCTTTCCTCGCAATAAGTACCCGCCGGGTCCCCCAATCACAATATAAGTAGCACCCCCGTGTTCTGTGGGCGGATTCCGAGATGCCGGGGTCGGTGATTCGTTGATGGATTTGATGTTCCTCGATTGAACTGTCAAATTCTATGTAGCGCGAGCCGAAGGATGGTGTCGTATAGAAGGCAACGTATACGCACGACGAGATCGATGCGCTCAGAAGCAGAGAGCCATCTGTTTCACCACAGAACTCTACCAAGTTAGAAGGTCGTCTAGGGAGAACAATATTGAGCCAGACGGAGAAACCCAGAGACGCTCACCCAGGAAGATGGGTCAAATGTCTGTTTCGCAGTCCGATGGGAACGATTTGTCATCCTGTTGCGTAGACTCAGTCTACGCGGATGTCGGTATCCAGGGCACCTTTTCAGAGGAAGGCAAACTTACATTGGCGCAAACTCTGCGAGACTGAGGCGATGGCATTGTCGCTAGGACTTGACGATCAACACAGGTTTGCAATGACAGAGGCTTGTGAACCAAATCTTCGTGATACTTTGCACGCTTCGGCTCCACTCAGGGACTGCATCGGAATGTGTGTCATGGGCTTTTGAAGTGGACTTGAAATCTTGCACATCATTTGCACGCCAGTGCTCACATGGTGGAACGAGTCTCCATTGATCATTAAACTGAAATGTGCATGAGCCGTTATTTGTTGCACCACTACACAATTGGATGCTCACCTATACATGAGTGGAGGTCGGAAATGATACGTGGTAGGCTATATCGTAGAGGTAGCAATGGGTTGTAGCTGATACGAAGAGGGGAAATGTTCGCCATAGACGTGGAAGAACTACAGGAGGGTTACCTACTGTGTTGTCATGAGCTCTTGTATGCGTTGGCCTGGTTTGCAGCCTGCGCAAGAACGCCCTTCTGCTGCTCCGCCAGCACTCGACGTTTGTTGAAGTAGTCAATCTGCCCGGACGAGGGTCAGAGAAACATGAGAGCGAAAGTGGACAGCCGACGCACCCAGCTCTTCGCGCAGTTCTGCTCGTACGTCTTCAAAGTGTCCCTACATGCGCCCCCTTCGTCTCCAGGCTTGACCACTTGCGCGCGATCCAAACACGCGAAATACGCGTCCCGACTTTCCCAACACTGTTGACGGTCATGTCTTGACGTTGGGTCAGGGGTGCTGGACTTTCCAAACCATCCCATGGCGCCGAGGTTTCAAAAAGACCCGGGTAGTGTAATGAAGCCAGGAAAACGTATAGCGAAGGACGAATGCGAGAGGCAAGGAATCGAGTCGGCGCGACAAGTTGACCCTCAACGTTGGCGAGACTTACGGCCGCGTAATACGCGCAAATAACACGACGGGCAACGGCCCAGCTTCGGAGCCCGAAAACGCGTAGAAAAAGCCTGTCAAAGGTGTCTTTTCTGCCGCCTTTTGTGCGCGTGCGAAAAAGGCACTAAAATGGGCAATTTCTCCGGATGCTTTACGGGGTGCCGAAAAGGATCGATAAAGAGACCTTTGGTGCCCATTTCAATAACACGCGTTACTTATCACTCGTACTAACTTGTTTGTTACTCACATACTATACACGTTCTATTGCCCTTTAATATGATTTCTAATGTCTTTGTTCTGAGCACAGTATTCTGTCGGGCCGAAGAATTCACCCAAAACGTCACCTTTCAGGATACTCTACGACTCACACAAACTTGACATAAAAGTTCGCCTTTCCCACCCTTTTTCTCCCCTGGAAAAATACCTGCCGAAAATGACACCTTTGACAGGCTTTTTCTACGCATTTTCGGGCTCCGAAGCTGGGCCGTTGCCCGTCGTGTAACGTTATCACACATGCAGTAGCTCCATATATGGGCATGGCTTTGGCATTACGTCGCCAGTGTGGCTTGCCGACTCGCGATCGCGACAAGTGACAACTCCCCCGGCGCGGTGACCGTCCCCAAGTCTACAAGGGCTTCAAGTCACCAACTCTTCGTCGCCGTGCTCTAGCCTTCTCTTCATCTCGCACCTCGACAAGACGCCGCCAGGATGGCGTCTTCGTCCGCTCAGACGACTCCGGCGCACTCCCACCCGCTCTCTCAGGACGAAGTACCATCGCGCGGACGCAGGTCGCGGGGCAAGCCGAGTGAAGAAAGCCCGCAGCAAACCCGGCCTCAGACCGAGTACCTCACTCTCAAGGCGAAGCTGGACTCTGCGCACGAAGACCAGACTCGCAACTCGCGCGGGAACTGGGACGGGAGTGTGCGCGGATACGGGAAGAGTAGTCGCAGGTACGTGCATTTTTGTCGTGTGCCCAGGTGAACCCCTTGCTATGCGCTCTTGTATGCGGCTCATACACTACGGATATGGTTGCTCTTAACGCGATATGCAATCCCTTTTGCGCCATGACCACTGGTACGACTAGCAGTTGCGCACGGGTTGGAGACGGGTAAGTGTGGCATACCCGTTTCCAACCCACGACAACTCTATTTATGGGCAATCTTTGCGAAGTGATGTTGAAAGTGGTTACGAGTGCTCCGGCTGTGGTCCGGTGGCTGCCCGTGACGGGACCCATCCAATGTCTTCCGATTGCTCGTTAGCCCATGATGTACGTCCGCGAAGTGGGCGGGAGTACAAGGGTCTAGGAGAGACAAATTGAGCCTCATGTAGACGAAGGCAAAGATGGCACGCAGGGTGTCACGTTCCATGTGCATATCTCTGCGCTCTCATGAATTGTACACCTGTCGTGGTTTGAGCACCAGACGGCACACGTCGCTTTCATCGCACCTTTGCGTTTGTCCTCCTAGTTACTCACACTGACGACGAGTTCAATAGGTCCGCCAAGCTCCCTCCTTTGATAGTTGTCGAGCCTTCGAATGACGACTTGGCCTCCCCGGTTGGACCCAAGTACGAGATCCTTACCGATGCCGACTCGTTCCGCTTCCCTCCCCCGGTCACTTCCAAGATAATCTCCACCCGTTGGCACCAGTTTACGGACGCCGCAGTGCGGTCTGCTGTATCCGACATCACCAAGGCCTTCACAGACACAACAGCGAACGACCCATGTTTTGCCATCCTACGCGTTCTATCCACTGCCGTCCACAATCTCACACGTGCTCGCCACGAGCTAGAGGAAAGCCGCCGGGAACTGCAAGAGAAGGAGGCTGCGCGCAGGGAACGAGCGATGCGGCTGCTAGAAGAACTTCAACCCTCCGACAAAGACATCGCGAATCGTGTCTTTCAGTCGCTATTCCCGGATGACGATGAGTCAAACCATCATGTACACCGGATACAGAAGCAACAGAGCTTGATGGTGAGTACTTGTTTCCCCCCAATTGGTGCGCATGTAGTGACCCTGGGCTGTAGTCTCTCGCCGAATCGCTCACGGAGGCGATCGAGGATGAAACACCTATTTCACGCAGTGTCCCCAAAGATGATGCGACCCCGATGGCAGCAAATCTTTCGGTCCCGGTTCAACCGCAGCTCTCTCCAGTAACCGCGACATCACACACAATACCCCATACCCCTCCGCAGAACGTCAGCTCGAGCGTCGAACCCTCCCCTGCAACGCCCGAAGTGGACTTGACAGATACACGATCTAATCCGGACACCGTATCGGTCGCGAGCGTGGACACCAATGGAGAAGTGAAGAGCGAACGGCCGGGAATAGGGGAGTGGATGGGTACTTGGTGGATGAAGCCTCGGAGCAAGAGTCGAGCCCCTCATGTTCCCTTCCCAAACGACGACAGTACACAGTCATCCCAGAAGGATGATGCCGCTGCTGATGTTCCTTCCGTTCCGCCTCTGCCACCTCTGCCACCTCTGCCACCTGCACCTAGCCGACCAAACACTACCAAACGAAAGCCTACGCGGAGTGTCTTTGGGACCCTCGGCTTCTCCATTCTCAACCCTTCGTCTTCGTCTGCCCTTGCTGGGAAGAAACGCCGTAACATGTCCGTCACTGACACGTCTAGTGTAGAAGCCATCCGGCGCGATACCCTTTCGGTCAAGTCTGTGCGACCTTCGCCCTCAACCAGTCCCCTTCTCACCCCCACCGTACTTGCAACCGATCCGTTTGCGACTCTATCATCGTCTATTGCGATGTCTCCCCCCGCAAGCATTGCGGCAGCAGACCAGAAACCCCCTCAAGGCTCATCCCTGCGGGCCATCGTTCAAGCTACGCGTGTGATGACAACCGGTCCAACAAGCATTCTCATCGACCAAGGACGCGAGACTAGTCCCAAGATCGCAGAGATGGCGTTCGAGCTCGTGCGCAGTGCGCGTGAGAGTGGCCTCGACTTCCGAGAACTGCCGAAAGAGCGGAGGGAACGGAAGCCAACCAGCGACAAGCGCGACCTGCGAGCACAGCCTTCTGCGGACAACGATGCCACCCCCACCCCATCACGGATTCTATCCACTGCACAGGATGGTCGTCCGCGCCCGAAGAGTCGGAAGCCCAGTGTCAACCTTGCCGCCTTCGCCTCACCTTTGTTTGGCTCGTTTGCTATCCAGCAGCAGAAGAGAGCGCTCGGTCCCAACGACGGGCAATCCACCCCCTCTGGTGACGGCATCCAGAGTGGCCTCCAGTCCCCACTCCCTGTCACGACGAAGAAACCCGGGTCGGTCCCGCTCGAATCTATCATCCCTTCAGAGGCGAAGCCGCCGACGCAGTACTTGTCGCGGCAGTACACGCCACTGACCGCACGCGACTTCCACTTCTCCATCCCGCTTCCCGAAGACGAGGACACGCTCGCGGAACACGGGGAGAGCCACGAAGGCTTGACGGACCGGTTCGGATTCATCTACGACGTCGCGCGTTACGACGCACTGCTGCTGCTGCGTGCGAAGGAGTGCAAGAACACCGCGCCTGCCTGCCTGACCGGCATAAAGGTCGCAGACCGCAAGGAGGACAACAGTTGGCCGGAGGACGAGGAGGACGTCGCAGCGCACACGATCGACATCGTCAAGGAGCCTTGCGACTGCGACGGGGACACGGACGTCGCGGCGGACACCGCGAGTGTCAACTCGGCGAGCACACGCCCAACCGTGCGCAGCGTCCCAGGTGCGGGCGAGTCCGCGTCGCTCTCGTCGCGCTCGCGCCCGGCGTCGCCCGCGTCGTCACGGCGCACGCGGCAGACATCGACGCTCCCGACCAGCACCCCGGCGCACAAGTCGTCGTCGTCGGTGCTCTCCGTCGACTCGGACACGCCGCGGCACGTGTGCGTGAACATGGTCCGGCGGCTCCTCGTGCAGCTCACGGACATCCACGACCAGCGCCAGGCGGAGCGGCGCAAGGAGTGGGACGTCTTCCTCAAGAACCGGAGCAAGGCTGCGCCAAGCAAGTCCGGCGCGTCCGGCGGCGGGGCGCGCGCGGCCGGCGTCGGTGGGGCCCTCGGCGGGGCCGCGCAGCTGCTCGGGCTCGGGACCGCGGACGAGGCGGAGGAGCTGGACCACAGCGAGGGCCTGATCGGCTTCGCGCAGTTCGGGCTGTCGTCGAGCAAGGACGAGAAGCGCGAGTTCGACCGGCTGGTGCGGCTCGGCATCCCGCTCGCGTACCGAGCCAAGGCGTGGCTCGAGTGCTCGGGCGCGCTCGAGATGCGCGAGCCGGGCGGGTTTGCGGACCTGCTCGCGGAGTGCGACCCGGGGAGCGCGGTGGTGAAGGAGATCGAAAAGGACGTGTGTCGGACGATGCCGCTCAACATCTTCTTCGGCCGGACGGGCGCGGGCGTCGAGAAGCTGCGGAGGGTGCTGATGGCGTACAGCAGGTGCGTGTCGTCGTTCGCTGTGCAGTCCCTCGGCTGACGTCTTCGTGTGCGTCAGGCGGAACCCGGCGGTAGGGTACTGCCAGGGGATGAACCTCGTCACCTCGACGCTGCTCCTCATCCACGCCGATCAGGAAGAGGCGTTCTGGGTGCTGGCCGCCGTGATCGAGCACATCCTCCCCGAAGATTTCTTCTCGCCGTCCCTCCTGAGCTCGCGCGCGTGTCCGCTCGTGCTCCTCGACTACGTCCAAGAGCTGATGCCCAAGCTGCACACGCATCTCACGGAGCTCGGCGTCGACCTCGGCGCGATCTGTTTCTCCTGGTTCCTGTCGCTGTTCACCGACTGCCTGCCGGTCGAGGTGCGTCCCTTGGCCTGCATGCCTGATGCCGCCGCGTCTGACATTACCGCCCAGACCCTCTTCCGTGTGTGGGACGTGTTCATGGTGGAGGGCGTGGACGTCCTGTTCCGGATCGCGTTCGCCATCCTCCGCACGAACGAGGAGGAGCTGCTGCGGTGCAGCTCCATCCCGGCCGTGTACGTCGCGCTCGAGAGCCTGCCGAACCGCATGTGGGAGGCAGATCGACTCTTGCAGGTGCGTCATATCCCCTGCCTCCAGTGGCCGCTTCTGACGCTTATTTTGCACGCTTCTAGGCGGAGACAGAGCTGCGGAGCAGCATAGTGCACGCGGACATTGTGAAGCGTCGCGAGACGCACATCGCGCAGCTGCGCGAGTTCATGGCGTAGACCATATATATAGAAGTAGACGACGCGGGTAGCTTACAAGTCAGCACTAATGGGGTCGCGCGCCTCGGCGTAGACGCATGCAATCTGGGACACTGAACGCAATCTAGGAAGCATAGTACTTGTAATGTAATGTAATACTCTCATCTTACCGATCCTGTGATGCTTGTCTTCAAGTGAGCTGCCAGCTGCCAATAACGGCGATCATGGGACACGAACTCGAATGTCCTCAGCGGTTGTCTCTAGCTCTATAGCCGTATCCTTTTCCCCAAGCTCTCAGCCCTGGCATTTTGATACATTCTAGCACCCTTCCCTCCCGTCTCGTCCCATCCATTTAAACTTCAAACCTTGATCACAACTTCGCCTGCACCACCGCCCCCACCTCCACCGCAGGCCAGCTCTGCGCCCACTCGACCATCGCGCGCACGAGCCGCTCGACGTCCGCGCGGGAGTGGTCCGCGCGCAGGCACACGCGGACGCGGTCCGCGCCTTTAGGCACCGTGGGCCACGTGATCGCGCGCGCGTTGAGGCCCCGCGCGCGGAGGTGCGCCGCGAGCGCGCGCGGGTGCGGCGTCAGCACGGGCACGATCGGCGTGGCGGACGATGGGAGGGCGAGCGACGACGAGAACGAGGAAGACGATGGGGGGAGGGCGAGGGAGGGGAGGGCGAGGTGGAACGGGAGGGAGAGGAGGGCGGGGGGCACGCGGTGCGTCGCGAGCGCGCTGCGCAGGGCGGCGAGGAAGTAGCGGCTGAGCTCGAGAAGGCGGGTCGCAAGCTATACGTGGGGGTGTGGGTGAGGGTCGTCAGCGAGGGGAGAAGGGGGGCGCACCTGCTGCGCCGTGCCGTCCTCGAGCGCGTCGAAGGAGCACTCGGCGGCGACGACGTTGGCGTGGCCGAGCGCCGTCGTGTAGATGAGCGGGCGTGCGTAGTTGAGGAGGTAGTCGCGGACGAGCGGCGTGACGAGGAGCACCGCTGCGCCGTCCGAACCACCCCATCGTCAGCGGAGATCTCCCTCGGGCGATCGCGAGGACGACTTGCCTCCCGTCGCGGCGAGCGCCTTCCCGAACGTGTGCAGCCGCGCGAAGACTCGGTCCTCGAGGCCGTACGCGGCGACCAGGCCTCTGCCCTGCGGTCCGTAGATGCCCGTCGCGTGCGCCTCGTCGACGATGAGGTGCCCGTTCCCCGCGGGAAGCAGCTCGTCGATCGCGTCGACGATCTCCGGGAGGGGCGCGAGCGTCCCGTCCATGCTGTACAGCGTCTCGACCGCGACGAACACGCCGCTCGCGCCCGTGCGCAGCGCCGGCCGCGCCGCGACGAGCTCCCCGAGCGCCTTGCGGAGGCCCGGGACGGAGTTGTGGGCGAAGGCGACGCGGGCGGCGGGGTCGACGCGGGAGGCGCGCACGCCGTCGTGCACGGAGGCGTGGATGTGCTCGTCGAAGAGGAGCGCGTCGCCGGGCTGGGGCACGCACGCGAAGAGGCCGGCGTTGGCGTCGAAGCCGGAGTTGAAGAGTAGCGCGGCGGGCGCGCGGAAGAAGGCCGCGAGGCGGGCCTCGAGCGCGGCGTGCGCGCGGCCGTTCACGAGCAGGCGCGAGCCGCCGGAGCCGAGCACGTCGGGGGCCGCGGCGAGCTGGCGGAGGAAGCGGGCGCGGAGGGCGGGGGAGCGGGAGAGGGCGAGGTAGTCGTTGGTCGAGAAGTCGACCAGGCCGTCGTCCGCGGCGGGGTCGGGGAGACGGCGGCGGATGGCGCGTCTGTCGCGGGATGCGAGCGCGGCGGCGAGTTTGTCGTTCAGAGACATGCTGGGTGCGAACTGCGGTCGTCGATTGCCTGTGAGCGGTGGATCTAGAGTTGATCGGATTCGGACATTTTATGGGCGCTCACCTGGCGTGCCTGCGAGCCGGTGCGCGAACTTAGACGGCGCTGTGGTTAGAGCGACTGGTTGGGTGGAAAAGAGTGCAGACCTCTGCAGAGTCGACGTTGGGGTTGAGAGCAAGCAGCTGGTCGTGGGGCGGGACGCGTCTCAGTTTGCGCCAAGCTAGCGCCCGATCCGATCTGCCGCAAGTACGGCGGAAACCCGCGCGGGTCTAATGGCCCCCACCGCTCGTACTTGGCGTCGTTTGGAAATAGCTCACATGCCTGATACTCAGAGTGCGAGTGTGGGTCCACGCCGATGTCCCGCTCTTGGACTAGAACCCCGGTTATATCCCCCCAATCGACGAAACCACACAAACTTTCTCTGCGACACACAAACACACAAACACCCTCGCCCAACCACTTCACATGACAATGCAGTCCTTCTTCTTCTTCCGCTCCCGCCGCTCGCGCTCGCGCCGTTCCGCCTCCTCCGCCTCGCGCTCTCTGTTCGCGCGCGCCTGCTCGCGCGCCGCCGCGATGCGGTTCGACCGCTCGTACTCCTCCGCCTGCAGCTGCTGAGCCAAATGCTCGCTGCAACACCCCATCAGCGTCCAGTCCACATCACATCAACGGAAACCACTCACTCCGCCTGCCCGGCCAGCGTCAGCGCCCCGACGCCGTCCTCGAGCGCCGCGAGCGCGCTCTCCGCCGTGTGCCCGGCGTAGTCGCCCCCGGCGGGCGCGGCGCGGACAAAGTCCGAGTCGACGAACGTCGACCAGCCGCCGTCGACGTCCTCGAGGCGCTCCCAGACGACCGAGGGCTCGTGCAGGAACACCTGGTCCGTCACGAGCGTGTAGAGCCCGCCGCCGTGCGCGTCCCCCGCCGGCGCCTTGTAGAGCACGGCGAGGTGCGAGCTGCGGAAGAGCGCGACGAGCGCGTGCGGCTCGAGCGCGGTCGCGAGCGTGAAGAGGCCGTGGTACGTCAGCTGCGAGCGCGCGTTGTCGAGGAAGTGCCGGACGAGGAGCGCTGGTTGTGTGAGTGAGTGGGAGTGGGAGGAAGGGCAACGACGGGCAGGGAGGGTGCTCACCGTCTTCGACCTTCTGCTGCTCCTCGGGGGAGAGGTTGTAGGTGGCGTGCGCAAGGTGTGCGCCCTGCGACGACGAGCCGGCTTGGGAAGACGAGCCAGCTTGGGAAGACGGGCCGGCCTGGGAGGACGACGAGCCTTCGACGAAGGCCGGCTGGGAGGCGGACGCGGCCGAGGGGCTGGCGTCCGCGACCATGAAGTGGCCCTTGGTGAGGTGGTCCGCCTCCACGAGCAGGTTCACGGACGAGTCGTAGTCCTCCGTGCGCACCAGCACGCGGTGCTCCGGGCTGGACGGGTCGACGAGCCAGCCGTGGACGAGCTGGATGCCCGCCTGGGTGAACAGCTCGAGCTCGCCGCCGGTCGTCGCCGGCCGGAAGGCCTCGCAGCCGGTGAAGAGCGGGTTGAGGTCCAGGCCCTCTGCGTGCGGGGCGCGTCAGTTACCTAATCCGCAGCATCGCTGGGCAGGCGGAAGATTTGGGACGTACTGCGGGTGGCGGGTAGGATGGAGAGCGCGGCGGAGATGTCGACGTCGGGACAGGAGAGGAGGAGGTACTCGGCGAGCAGCTGGGAGAGGTAGTCGTAGGTGATGGCTTCGCGGTGGGGTGGCTCTATGTGGATCTTGTCGCGGAGGATCAAGATGTTGCCTGTGGACGAACGTCAGCAGTATGCGACATCTGAGGTAGCGCCACCTACAAATGGCAATAAAGGAGCATGGACTGCAAGAGAGAAAGCCTGGTAAGCAACTACGCGAGGGAGAGTGCTGCCGACGCACCCGTTAAAGTTCTGTGTGATGATCTTGTACTTGCGGGGCTCGGCAGTCGGCGTCGGTCGGAACGAGATCTCCTTGAGGTACCATATCTCTTCTATCGACTCTTGTATGACCTCATTACCCGGGAGTATGGTTGCGGTTTCCTCCACGTTCATGGGCGCAGCGGCGGGGGTGTCTTCGGGGGCGCTCGTACTCTCCATGACTTCCGTATAGAAATTATCGTCCAGTCGTCTAGTCTTCACGAATTACTGCAACTAACTAAACTGCCGGCGCGAAGTCAGTCCTGCACAACCGTGGCCCCTCTAGACTCACGTGCTCGAGAGATGCGCGTTCAGCAGGGGCGAGGTGGTTAGGTCGGAGCGAGGATGCGGCCCGCGTTGGTGGACGCGGTGGAAGGGACGTTCAAAGCCCACGTGGAGTTGCCACGATGTTCTGGCGCCAAATGACCGTGGGAGAGCCGGCTGTTTCAGTATAGCCCGGCCCGGCGTGCCGGAACTAACGCTTCCTCCTCTTCGTCACCAATGCGATCATAAACGGTTTATGGCCCTTCTAAACCAGTGCACAAGCAATCATAAAAATACAACCGCGAATGCCGCTAGTTTTTTGTGCACCTTCCGCTTCTGCCAAACAGTCCTGAAAACCACGATCGGTGTTAGATGTTCTGGGACCACAATCCAGATAGGAACCAGGGACTCACGATTTGGATCAACTTCCTGCAGATGAGTCGGATCGCGACATTGACGCACCTCGCGACCCTGGTGTCCTGCAGGTCTATCCAAGCAGGCACTAAACCTTGTCGAAATAGTTCGGACCAGATAATCGGGAGCCGATAAGCCTGCGCTTCAGGCATCACATGACGGTATCAGTGCGCTCCTGTTTGAAGTTGACGTGCATAGTGGCTAGAAGGTTGACAACATCAATTTGTTTGACAGAACAGCACTCGGACTATGTGCGAATACGTACTCAAAGACGCCACAATATCTCTCCTACGCCGTATGTTGGCCGTCTCCGCCAAAGCTTTCAACCGCCAGCTCGAGGACCTGCTTCCATTGCGCGCGTGACGGTGTCTCTGCGGTTGCACCGCGCTTCCGAGCCCTCGAGGCTCGACCACGGCCTCCCCCCTCGCCCGCCTTCCGCAAATCTTCGCAGCTCCCCGCGGGAACGTGTCGCCCTAAGCCATCTCTCCGAAATCGCCAGAAGCACCACTAGCCACCTCGCGCGCGCCGCCAACGCACTTAGCCCGCCCTCGCGCGCCCTCGTGGCTCCTCGTGCGCCCTCCCCGTGGATCATCCGATCTCGCGGCCGATCGCCGAGTCCCCGAGTCTCAAATTCCGACCGGCGACCCTCCCCGACGCTCGCGAAGGCAATCGGACAGCACTAGTCGCACGTGGGTCCTGGGACCAGGGAGGCGGGAACGTCAATTAAATATTCGCAAAGGCACGCCGACATAGGTGCGTGCGTGCGCGGAGTAGTGGCCCGTCGTGCCCGTCGTGGCAGCAAACCGGACCGGACCGACTCGTCACCGGTTCACCAACGGTTCGCTCGCGGGCTGCGGCGGCCGCGTGCGCACCGCGTCGCGCGCGTTCCCATGTAGCGCTTCGCGAAGCCACGGGCGTGCGCGAGGCCCGCTTCTCGCCGTTATGAATTTCGACTTGCAAGCCGGCGCTGGGATGGAGGCGGAGATGCGCGGCCCTGGACGACCGTGGGGGGCATCTGATGGGACGGGGAAGGGGAAGCCCGCGGACGCCCGGAAAGACTTGCCTTGGTGAGCACCGCTCGCGGAATCGACGGTCGCTTCCTTGGGACGTTTCGCAGCTGGCCGCCGTCGGGCTCGCCGGGCGCGGTCCGCCCAAGTCCAAGGGCGAGGTGCGCCGGTCAGATATCCAGACTGCTGCAGTCTACGTAGCACGAGCCACGCCGCCACATGCATACGGCGCCCGCGGTAACGGCATGTGTGCGCTCTCGCACGTGTTCCCTGCGCACTGCTCCCGCGATACCAGCCAACGCTCATCGCCGCCGACGGCGGTGACGTACTCACTTCCGCGCTCGAGCGTCGGTGTTGCGCGGCGCTCGCCTACCAGGGTCGCGACGGGAGCAGCGCAGAGCAACGGGAGGGCGCGGTGCCTCCTTCCATGCCGGCACCCGCGCAAGCGGCGCTCTGATCGCCGGCCCACTCTCTGGCCACAGCGTCCAGGCGAAGGCGTGCTCGTTCTCGCATCGTTGGACAGAACGCTGACGCTGCGCTGCGCGACGACTCGGGGGTCGTCGATTTCCGCGGCGCGGACGCTCAGTCGGTCGAGGCCCGCACCGCGCACGCACCGCACCCGCACCGGGCCGTGCACTCGCGACCTGCGAATGGCCCACCCGATCGCGCCGCCAGGCTCCCCGGAAGATTGCAAAGATCAAGAATCAGAACACGTTCAGCCGTTGTGGACGCGGCCTGAGAATCCGAACGCGCAGAACGCGCGGAAGCACAGGGCCCGTGGGGAGAGCCGCACCGGAAACGCGCTGGCCTCAGGGACGTCGGCAGAAACCCTGGACAGGCGTCCGGGCCGCGGGTTCGGACGAGGGGCTCCGCGCACGGGGGGAGGGCCGGGGATGTACATGGTATAGCAGGGGGTAGGAGGGAGATGTGTGCTAGGTACAATTAAGTACGTACAACGCGCGCCGCGCATGGTCCAGAGATTACAGTGGTACAACAGAGTATCGGGCGAGCAGCGATGTGCGGAGAAAGAAGCCAGCCTCAGAGCGATTCGCGCACACCGGGGGGTTGAGGCCTCGAGGGAGGGGGGAGGGGGAAGGCACCGCAACCCGACCGCATCATGACTTGCCCGCCTTGGGGAAGAGGAAGCCGGCGGCCATGTCCTCGAGCGCCGCGCGCGCGGTGCTCGCCGGGAGCTCCGCGAGCGTTTCGCGCGCGCGGTCGACGTACGCCTTCGCGAACGCGCGCGTGCGCGCCACCGCGTGCGTCCGCTGTACCGCCGCGGCCACCTGTGCGGGCGTCAGCACGGGTATGCTGTGAGGAAGGGAGGAATGGAAAAGGAAGAGGGCGCACCTGCGCGGCATCACCGGGCTCAGAGAAGCGGCGGAGGACGAGCGGGCGGAGGCTCGGGTCTTCGTCGAGCGCGAAGAAGACGGGGCCGGTGACGAGCCCGTTCTCGAGGTCGTCGTTCATCGCGGGGGCCGCGGGCGCAGGCTTGAGCTCGGCGTCGGGCTGGTCAGAGGGGGAAGCGGGTGCGGGTGTGGGTGTGGGCGCGGAGGAGCGTGGTTGCTCGAACTCGGCGACGTCGTTCATAAGCTGTCGACGCTCGCCGTGAGAGACCGCGCGAGAGGGGGAGGGGGGAGGGAAGCGTGCGCACCTGCGAAGCCATCCCCAAGCACGCCCCGAAGAGGCGGACGACCGCGCGCACGGCGTCGTGCGGCGCCGCGCCGCCGAGCACCGCGCCGCACTCGAGCGCGACCTCGAAGATGCTCGACGTCTTCATGTAGCTCTTCTTCAGGTACGTCTCCCACATCGCCGCCGCCTCCGCGTCCGCCTCGAGCAGCCGCGCCGGCGCCCCCGGCGCGGGCGGGATCGCGATCGCGCCGAGCACCGCGCGCGCCCGCGCGGGGTCGAGGTCGCCGGACTGCAGCAGCTCGCCCTCGACGAGCGTGCAGATGAGCTGCGCGAGCAGGAGCGTGACCTCGGGCGAGCCGAGCGCGGAGGCGAGCACGATGGTGCGCCCGACGAGGAAGTCGCCCGCGAGGATCGCGCGCCGGTTCCCGGACACGGCCGGGAGGGAGGGGTGCCCGCGGCGGGTGTCCGCGTTGTCGATCACGTCGTCGTGCAGCAGCTGTCGGGCGGGGCGCGTGAGCGTGCGAGGGGAGGGGGGAGGAAGGGCGGGCGGGGGCTCACGCTGGCGACGTGCAGGATCTCGATTATCTGCGCGAGGCGGACCTGCGTGGGGAGGATGTTGTGCACGTCGTCGTTGAGTTCTGCGCGCGTGCGGTGAGCGCGGAGACGGGCGGGAGGGGGAAGAGCGGGGGCGCTACGGACTACGGACCTGATGGGGTGGCCGCGGCCTGGGCCTTGACCGTTTGCCAGTTGGAGCCGAGCCCGTTCGTCGCCTGGCACATGAGCAGCGTCAGGCTCGGTCTCCAGAGCTTGCACGGCATGAGGAGGTAGTATTGCGAGAGCTGCGTGAGCACCGGCACGTTGGACGTCGCGTGGTCGAGCAGCCCGTCCTGGACCTGCTTCACGAGCGGCAGCACGGACGCGGCGAACGAAGGGTGGGATGCGACGAGAGCAGGCATGGCTGGCGTGGACGGCGGGGGCAGGAGGAGGAGGACGGGTGGTGATGTGAGCGAGAGCAAGCGTCAGCCTCGCATTTAAGACCGAGGTGGGCCCGCCGTGTCGGGAATCGAGATCGGCAAGGACGCTCGTGGGCTGCACGTTCCGCCGATGGCTTCTGCGTGCACACGGCTGGCGTTGTGTAGGTGGTGGTTGATCCGGCGTGTGCTCCTGGGGTCTCGAAGCTGCCGAGTGCGCTTCGTGCGTGCGTGCGCACGCAGGCGCACGCTCGCGCGCGACGGCCACCGCGAGCCAAGGCCCGCGCTAAGTGGGACAGGACGCCACGAAGGCGCGATGCCGCAATTGGTGTGCAGGGCCCGAGGCCTCCCAAGCGCTGCCGTCGCCTGAGAGATAGATCGTTCGTCCAGGCCGGAGGATTAATTGCAGGTATAGCAGCGTACCTTGCGGAGCTCCGTTACGTAACCGGGGGCGCTACGTACGGTCCGCTCCAGTCCTTCTCTCCAACCCTCGTCCTTCGCCCTTTGCGCAGAGCCCTTGCTCTGAGCCCTCGATCTCCTCCCCGCCGCACTGTATCTCTTGCAACGGTGCGCACTGCGCGTCTGTGCTGTGCTGATGTACCTGGGCCCTGGCAGCAGGGGAAAGCATGAACCGCAGACCATGCGCTCAATCGTTGATCACATCATAGGTTCCCACCATGGCCGCGAACTGTGTGGTCTGGGAACTTCTGGGGAGCTGCACCAGATAACGCCGAGCGCGTCCGTTTCAACTAAGCCCTGTCGCGGGCGGACGACCCAGGAATGCGCTACTGACCGCCATCGTTTGTCAGGCCGCGCGGCATTCGACCGACCGAAGTACTGCTAGTGCGCATCATGTCGTCGGAGGATGCTGGGGGCGAGGATGTTGCTGCGAGATACTTGCTTAGTCTCATCAGGCGCGAGCAGGATTGACGTTCCATGCCGGCAAACCGCCTCTCGGGCTTCTCGATCGGCGTTCCGGCCGCTTGTGGGGGTCGGAACGAGAGTTCGAAAGGGTGAGCTGGGAACGGAACTGCGCCCTGCGGAGAAGGAGGGGGAAAGGGCCTGGGAAGAAACGGTGCCGGGCTCCGCACCCGCGCCCCCCCAGCGAAGCCGCGATATGCGCATCACGACCATCAGCCCGGCTTGCCAAACGCGGGATCATTAATTCTGCGCGCACCTGTTTGTGAGCATCGCGGAGGGCAACTGGCCGGAGAGAGGAAGCGCATCCCGCGCAGGAGGGTCCGTAGGCTCTACATTCTGGATGGGGGATGGCGCGGACAGTCGTACTTAGCGGCGAGGCGCATGTCATGTTCTCTTCTCGGTCTCTATAGCGCGTCGGCACCCTCAATGTCCAGCGGGTGGTGTTGCACCGCCTTTCATTCCCCAGCCTGCGGTCAAGGAAGGCGAGTGTGCGCGATCGCGCCCACAAAGGGAGCTATCGCCGAAAATCGCGGATCGAACGAACCCTATGACTTCATCTACGGCATGGCGCACAGGGTCGCTGTGCCACTAGCTGGAGGGGGGGCGCCGCACAGGGGAGCAGCACTCAAGGAACGCGCTCGACCGCCGCGGACGTAGAGCTTGTCGCCACGCAGAGATTCAACAAATCCCGCCGGGAGCCAAGGAGATCTGGAGTCTCGACGGACTGCTCGAGAGAGGAGATGACGTTTTGCGTTTTAACGACCAGTTGACCGGTGACCACAGGTAAGTATGGAAGGAGGGTGTGTCAGCGTCTCAGACATCAGCGCGGGAAAGGCCGTCACGGACTGGACGATATCTAAGCGAGCGAGGTTGGCGAAAGGCGGCACCGGTGTATGTAGCGCCCTTAAGTCAAACAGAGTCTGGAGCCAGGTGTCTTCAAGCGGACGCGAATAGCGGTGGTCATAGCAAGAGGCGAATAAACACATACAGGCGCCAGGACTGACAGGAGGGATGTTTTCAGCTTACGTGATACACTCTCACCCTTCTCAAAACATACGACGACGTTGCACCATTCGATCCCGAGGACACCCGATGTCTCACCTCGCTCTCGAACACGACGGAACCGGCAATCGGCGCGCGAGCTCTCGGAGTTGCACTTCTTCTCCGGTCCCCGTTTTGAAACCCGGAGAGATGGGCACCACCCACAACCGAGCCCATAGCAGCCGTGCATCAGTGAGGATGAGCAGATGTCGATTTTTGCCGAGGCTACGCGTTCGGGCATCGCTCACGTTTCGCCGTTGCACGTGCCCTCCCTCAGGGTTTTCTTCAGGTTGCTCCTCGCGTGGGCTCGCGACGAGAAGAACGCGGCAGTCGCTCGCCGTGCTTGCCGCTCAGCTCGATTGGCGACGCTGGCGACGCGATGGCATCATGCGCGTTTCCCGGGGTGCAGCTGCGACGCGCCGCGAGACGGACACCGACCATTCTACGTATCTCCAAGACGGATCGAATAGTCAACTACATAGCAAGTGTGGACGCTGCTCCGCAAGGTGGGCGCGAATACGCACAGCTCTCCGCACAATGCGCCGCTCTTTGGGTTCGTCGAAAGGTTTCTAGACCCCAGCGGGCGACTGCACACGCGCATCAAGCTGGGTACGCGCACAAGTCCCGAGCTGCTCCACCCGCGAGCAAGCGCAGAGCAAGCGCAGGTGGAGCAGCTCCGGCGTGCACGTCGGCATTCCCGGATCATCCGCGTGACGTCACGGTTGATCGAAAGATTGAGGCCTCAGCCAGCTGGCGGGAGTCTCTGGCGAGAACGCTCGTCAGTGAGATGGTCGGCTAGAGCAGAACGCAACCTACGCTCGATCCCCCGCCGTGCCCGACGTCGACCCGTCTCGCTGCGACGGCACGCACCCGCTAACCGGATGGGGCTGACGCGAAGCGCGGAATACACCAGCACAGGCGCCGCGCGAGACATTCGTCTCCATCGTTGTGTCGCTGCACTGCCGCTGCTGCTGGCACCGCGAACGATCGCCATGTGGTCCTAGTGCTGGCGTGAGTCACGTTGGATACGGATATCGGTCTGGTAAGTATGGAACGCACCCACGCGGGGACAGATGCCGTCGTGGACACGGGAGGAGTCCGCGTGCGGCGGGGCGCTCGCCGCTGTGCTTTGGGGGTGGGGCGTACCGCGCGCGAGGTCGTCGACGGTTTGAACAGGCGCGGAAGTTGAAACCGACTAGATATCAAAAAACATTGAGACGCAGCAGCCATTCAAGGACAGAGGAAAGAGGTCGGATGGCATGGTTCAGGAGAGTTCGTAAACAGCGCAAACGGCTCGCGCAGGTCGTGGGGTCTGCCGGTTGAACGGCGTCGGACTGTCAAGGGATCGAGTCAGTTTTCTGATACTCGAGAAGATGCTCTACCAAATCCTGAGAAAGGTTGTAACAGACCTTTGCGAGCAGTAATCTTCGGCCCAATCCGAGAAAAGCTGAGTATGAGATTCTCATTTCAATGGTTGGCGGGAAGAGTGTGCTCACCAATGCCCCTCAGAACGCTAATACGTGACAGAGGTTTTTTACTCTGCTCAATGCACTGATCACGCAGACGACTAGGAGTAGTGACAAGGAACGAAGAGTTGGCGCCGATGGTACGCGGTATTCACGAATCACCTGATGTCAAGGTTGGCGCGGAGCCTAGACTTTATGACGCCCGCACTAGCGCTCAACCTTTGAGCCTCTCGCGCGGGCTACTGACGTGATACGACCACATCTCCGTCTCATCCGTCTACGATAAGCCCTCGAAATTCACTCTGCCGCTTTTCCATGGACTCAGAGCGTCTTCCCGTTGAAGTCGCCGAGCAGGTGATTGACGCACTCGGCGCCGAAGTCGATCCCGGCACGTTCACAGGTTGCCGCACCCTCGCCACGCTCACCTCCTGCGCCCTCGTCCACACAAGATGGCTCCCCAGATGTCGCATCCACATATGGAGGAAACTCGGGGTCTCCAGCCTGGAGACACTCCACTCGATTTGTGAGGCATTTCAACGCTTGCCGGACTTGTGTTTACGGGTCCACACCGTCCAACTCACAAACTCGGACCTCTTCGAGCCGATCCCCTGGGTTGCACCTGTGGTACTCCTTCCGTATCTTGCGCATATCGACACATGGGACATTTCATTCTGTAGAGATGGATTTCCTTCGGCTGTCTTGGCTTGCTTTCGGCGATACACCGCAGTCAAGACCTTGCTCATCCACCACTCTGAATTTCCCACACCGCTCCATGTGTACCGACTAGCCCATGCGTTCCCCGCGCTCCAGTCGCTTGAACTGTCCAACTGCGACTTCGAGGCTCCCTCCACAGACCGAGCACTCACCTCAGTGAAGATGCGTTGAACGATTGAGTGTGCTCGCGGGTGGAGCAGCTCGGGACTTGTGCGTGTTCTAGACCCCAGTGGGAGACTGCACACGCGCATCAAGCTGGGTACACGCACAAGTCCCGAGCTGCTCCACCCGCGAGCACACTCAATCGTTCAACCTGTGCTAAATTCTGAATTCACAGAATGGTTCTCACCCGAGTTATGTGGGCATCCCACTAAGGTGGAGCATCTGACAATCTCTCGGGATGGAAGGTGGGCAGCCAGCATCACATCCTTAACGACCACGATACCCGTACAACAGTCAGCCATGATCTGGGATATTCGTGCCGAAGGGCGACTCGCTTTACAGTGCTGGTATCGCACCCAACCGCAAACGGGTACGATGGACATCGATCCATTGACCTTCTCTCCGTCAAACACTTGCCTCCTTCGTCGTATCCGTAGTCAAGTCGCCATTTTCCGTCTCCCTCCAATTGAACAGGACGAACATCGCTTTGACACCAAGCCTCGGGAGACGAGAATCATCGAGGCAATCGAGCCCGAGAAAATTGTCGCTTCAGGCTGGTCCCCGGATGGCGCCCAAGTACTGGCCCTGACGTCCTCGATGATCCTTCACATCTGGGATGCGGAAGGCTTAACTCACCATCGCTCGCTTCACTGTCTCTCTTCCCCAGGCCAAATTATCACGGCCTCAATGGCAATAAATCATTCTTACGCTTTGATCCACCAAAACCGTTACATCCAAGAGGGCTCCAAATTCCACAGCCACGTCCAAGTCGTCGATCTCGTTTCAGGAGAAGTTCGGTCCCGTCTTGCCAACCATTCCAACGTGTCTAAAGCCGTGCTCCGACGCGGCTTCGAGCGCGGCGACTTCACCGTGCTCGCACTGACGAGTGCCGGTGGCCTCGTGGTGGACTGCGGCGAAGAAGACTCACTCGGCTCTTCTACGCCCGCGCATCCGGCGCTGTCACCACTCCACAGGTTCACCCCCAAGGCATTATCCGCCGACGGAACTCGCGCGTTGTGTTTCGTCGGCGCGACGGGGCCTTCAGATACTTCGGCCGCTGCCCCGCAGTTCTGCGTTGTGGACACCGTCACCGGAGGGATACTGTCGGGGCCATTCGGAGGCGAGGGACCTTTGGAAATTATTGGTGAACACTACAGTTTGGATATTACGCGGGCCACCGAGGGACTCTTTGGTCCAACATACCGCGAAGGGTGGTTCTGGAGCACGCTGCATGGCAGGCTCTACCGAACCCCTGCCCTCGACAACTCGCCAAGCGTTGGTCGAGTTGCGGTGACGTACGACGGGTCGATGGTCGTATGGTCGGATCGGCGCGGGGTCGTGCGCTTCCATCGCAACGTAGGCGGTGTTTGAAACCTACAAAGGACCTATCTTGACTACTCCGGACTGGTTTGCACGTCTTCTTGTTACCAATGTACGCTGACGCGAAAACACCACGGCATTACCTAGTCTTACCGTAGTACTGTAAAGTACCAAATGTATATTTGTAACGTCCTCATTCCCCCGCGCGCGCCGGCCCCACGACCAACCACTAACTAGCGCATCTTGACGACCGCCTCTTACCCTTCCATAAGGGCCGCGAGCTGCGCCGGTTTGGTCGCCGCGACGCGCAGGCCGGCAGGCAGGCTGTCCGCGATCGTGTCGGTCCTGGGGGCAGGGATGGCGCCGCGCGCACGAGCAGCGGCACGGCGCACGGGCGCACGTTTGCGATCGTCGCGGCGGGCTTCGTCGAGGCTGCGCTTTAGTGCCCCATGCTGGAAGTGGCGGTCAAGGTGGCGGGCTCGACGTCGACGATGTCGGTGTCCGTGCCCGACACGCACTCGACGGCCTTGCCGGCGTCGCAGCGCTGTCGGGAGCACGGTATTAGCGAGCGTAGGGCGAGAACAAGGAGCGGGCGGACCTGCCATTCGTTGCCCCCCGTCTACTCGTCTCATCTCGGGGTCGGTGATATTCATCGAGGCACCCGTTCAGTCTTCTCCGGTGCGCTTTTTGATGGTGATGAGGGGATCGCGGATGTGGTCGGCAGGAGCCATGGTCAGCCGTCTGCGCGTAAAGTCGTAGAAGTGCTAGGTCTGTCAAGAACAGAGGATCAGCATGCAGTCGCGCGGAGTCTAGCGAGACACGGACAGTACGTCAACTTGAACGAGTCCTCGTCGGCCGAGAAGGTCGTCATAACTTCACCCAAAACATGTCCAGCACGCCATAACACCGGCCCCGGATGTTCCCACCCGGCGACGGTGTCAGTCGCTTGCTCGATTGATCGACGAGGAGGTGATGTGCGAGCGCATGTGGTGGAGCGCTACAAACTGTCGACCTCGAGCACGCGAACCGTGAATGCGAGCGAGCCGGGGCGTCGTGGTGTTTGAGAGGCCGATTGTGTTCTTTCCTGCCTTCGTGCAGCTTTCCCGGGCGGATACTCATGTGGCTCCAAGTGGATGAACCTTGAGGAGGATGTCGCCGGCAACCCCTAGGCACGACCTCCTGCCCGAGCGGCTGCAATCTCACAGGCCGTCAGCCCTGGTCCCACAACTTGACCAAGAATGAAGGAAGGAAGAAGCGACGCACTACGATCGACCCGTCCTCGAGCAGCGAGCACGCCCGCCAGCTCCGCCTCGAACACATCGATCTGCGCCATGATGCCCTGCGTCGTGACCGTCTCCACACCCTCCAGCCTGTACGAAGTCGGTGTTCGCGGGAGAGGTGGTGACGGCCAGGAGAGAAAAGTGGAGAGTTGAAAGACCTGGAGGGACCTCATCCCGAGAGGGCTTGCGGCCACGTGCAGACCCGCGCAAATACGTAGCGTATGCGTGTGTTAGACGAGGATTTCGAAGCCGATTTCGAGAAAGAAGGTGAGCTTCGCGCCGTTGAAGACCTGGTGGTTGCCGTGCGCATGACGCAGAGCTCGAGGAGTATGAACCACGGTCATGGTGGGGTACAGCATGCTGAATGTTGAAGTCGGTGGTGGACCTGACGGGAGGGCGGGCGGATGTCTCGCATGCGCGAGTGGAGAACGGAGGTACGCCGCTCGCCGCTTGATCGAATGAGTGTCAGTCTTGAGGCTTGAGCTTGAGTTGCCACAGGGCCAGTGAAAATCCTGTCAATGAACACCGAGCTTTGAAGAATTAAGCAAAAAAGTCAGGTTCGAATCCTTGTGGGCCACTCACTCACGCGGAACTTTGGGTCGGGCGCACTTCCGAGGGCGTACTTGCCTGACCGTGAATCGCGTGACATGGCCCACTCAAACCGACGTATTTCCGTCTGGTCATTCGTTGACCGAGGAATAGAGACGTCATGCATGCGCCTAGTATGGAGGAAGGTTAGCTGCAGACGCGCCAAGATTCAACAGCGAAGACTTGCCAAATGTCGCTCTAGAGGTACGTAGCCCGCAGAACCGGCAGAATACCGACATTGAGCTGAGTGCTGCCATGGTCGACATTCAAGCGAGCTGGCAGCGCGACGAAGAGTCCTTTGGACTCACTGCAAATGTCCGGCCGACCCTATAACTGTACGCTGTGTCGCGGGCCATAGGGGCCATGCCGAGACACTCCCCGGCGGAACATATGTTTCGGATCGACGTGTGTCGCGACATTGGAAGAGGGGTTTGCGTAATAGCGTTCGGGGTGTAAATGCCCACGAATCTTGAACAGGTTTACAAACGAGGCCATTATAAACGCGTTTATTAACGTATATATAAACCGGTTTATAAACGATGATGGGCGCTTCATCAATCTACGCGCGAAAAGTCTCATGAGATGAGCACATCAGCTGTGGTGACGCTCCGCGAGCCCTCAAGGCCTCAGCGCTGGATGACGGTGCCTCTGTACGCAATTTCTGAGTGCCAGGAATCGGCGCATCCGCGTGATGGTCGAGTATCTTGACGTTCACCAGTGTGTCACCCTCCACCCGGCACTCCCGAGCATCGATGGTGCGCGCATTCTGGGACGAAGGCTTCTCGTGTGAGATCAGCGACTCATCAGTCGACAACGCCGGCATTCTCAACTAGTACAACGTCGCTCAGTATCATGTCTTCCGTCTGTTCGAGATCGCAGTGATCAGTGCAAGCGATCTCCGTGCTACAGTGAGCCCCATACCTCGCCGTAGGACTGTGAGGAGGTAGTGAGGTTGTCAATCCACTTCTCGAGAGTTGCATCAGACGTCCGATCGTCCACGAGGAGCACCTTAGTGATGGCACTGGCCACAGCTGTAAGTCCTTGCCTGCGTGCTGTGAACCGGACGGGGCAAGGACCGGACCGACGTCCTCCGGGGGCCAGCACGACCTCGAGATCGCGATTGAGGAGAGAAGCATAGGAGCCGAGGTCTTCAAGGATCTCGAGGTCGCAATTCCAGCTCCGGAAGTCGCAAGTGGGCGTAGCGGAGTCGGCGATAGGAATAGTTGACGAGAGAGCATCTAGGCATATGCGGAGAGTGTTCAGCCGCAGAAGGAGAGTATTCAGCCGCAGAAGGAGAGTGTTGGGGAGTGACACAGAAGGGGGCATCGTAATGCGTGGGGGCAAGCGGAAAGACAAAAACCCGACTCACTTATGAAACCGCATATTCTGGCGTGTCTGACTCAGATCCAGATGTTCTCAGCGACATCCAAAACCATTCGAGACTGGCTAGTGGTCCAATGCATGGCCGAGCGGACGTTGGACCGAGCGAGCACGCCCCAGACAGGACCATGGGCTGCTCGGGGAACACCTGGTCAGTAGAATTGTTGAGCCAAGTGCATACGAAGTCAAAAAAGCAACACACTACCAGTGAAACAGATCATCGCCGCGGCAGAGTAGCCCGATTTTGGTCCAGTTGTAGCCATTAGTGAGGGTCGAGGGTCGCAAGGGGGGCGATAAAGAGGGCGAGAGCGTAGCGCGACACGTCGCGATGATGGTAGAGCCTGCTGGGCACGAACGGTGGCAAGGAGCAAGGAACGGTCAAGGGAGGATTCTGGACGCCGCGCTCACGTGGCGGGCGCGTCCATGCTGACGTCATCCCATGGGGCGCCTGTACCCAGGTTCCCGTTTACAAACATATAGAAACGGCTGCTCTAAGAGGCCTATTACACACACGTTTTCAAACGTCGTTAACAAACCGTTAATGAAATGTTGTTAAAGTTCTTTTAAATAAACCCCGAACACTATTGCGTAACGGCTCACAGAGGAGTAAGAGCACAGCGTGCCCAGTGGGACATATGTATCCGGCTAGCGTTACCAATGTCGGCTGTCGCGGAGGAGTCCGAGTGAGCGCGCGCCGCGGGGTGGCTGCTGCGCTTGTTCTCTTACCACCATTTCTACCCACCCTACATATCCTCTGATGACACCCATCGCTCTGCTCTCCTCTCGCACCTGTCATTTCAAGCCCATTCGCATATATCACTCAATTCTGTCGTTGACCTCGACGTTCCCAACACACCCGGCTCATCTAACATGACCCATTCGGCGCGGTCTCATGTGGCGGGTCAGAAAAGCAGCAAATGTGGGTAAGTTGTCTTTCTCAACATCCCCCGGTGCATTATATACCCTACCCGCGTGGTTGCATCTGTTGCGGAGGGGTAATCCTTTGTCTTGAATATGAGATCACGTGACGAAACACACTCCCCGCGATTGAACGGCCATGCAAACGCACTTGCGTGCGATGGAGCAGACTGAAGCTGCTTCACCCTGTCTCACAGACGCCTTTTGAAGCTGCACGAGCTTTGCGACCTCGTTCCACAACTCCGTAATGTGCCATGACTTCGCGGCAAGACCGCTGAGAAGGTGCATTCTTCTACTTTATGCGTTTGTCCCATTTAACTCCACCCACCTCTCCCAGAATGTGCAAGAACCGGCCTTTCGTGCAGACAAACGTCTCACTCTACCTATAGCTTATGTCGGCCGCTTGCCTCCATATCCGTCAGACCGTTTTGAGGCCCTTTGAAGGGACATGGGGTGCCCCAGTGACTCACGGTAAGTCTTTCTCTATATTCTCTTTCACGCATCCGTTCGGGTCAGTATTCACCTTGAAGGGCCCGGGAAGCTTCCGCTACGCGCACCGGTTTGGACACTAAGCTCCTTTTGACTACCCAGGTTGGCCTTCGATCGTTGAAGATCCGGAATACCAACACCGTTACGCGCTCGGCCCGAAGGTCAAGGACCCCCAGAAGAAAACGTAGCGTAAGGAGGGGCGCAACGGGCTCCACGACCTGCTGAACTACGTACGCCTCTTCCCCAGCACCTCTCGCATAACATCCAGAAAGACATTGCACAAATTCCTTGTCGTCGCCGACTCGACACGACGCGATCGTCAATGTCCAGTCGACCGCGCTCAACCCTGTTGGCTGGAAGTTCCGCCGCGGAATCGCGCTTGGTTTCATCATAGGCTTCATCGCAGGCGGCACTGTTGTCGCCGTTGGCGCGAACGTCACGAACGTCAAAGTCATCCGGCAAGTGTACGCCACGTTTTGCGGCTGGTCGTGCGAGGAAGCTGACCATTTTGCAGAGTAGCCCGAGGCGAGTTCACGAAAGAGTCCGAGACCGTCCATCACTGCGTCCGCATCACGCGGGCATCGTCTCCGAGGTCCCGGGTCCCGCCCGTCCCTCATCCTAACCCCAGGGCGACAGACCCCTGACAGCAAGTCGTCTAGCACCACCACGCGCAGCGCCGGCCTCGCGCCCCTGATCGTCACCATGTCTCTCGCGAACCGTGCCGCCGACCTCGCGGCGATGGGCGTCCGGCGGCCCGTGCTTGTGCACGACAGGAGGCGCTGCGCGTCGGATTCGAGCTGCTCGCGCGATGCGTCCCGTGCCGCAGGGACGGTATGCTCGGAGTGGAGCGGGCGTGCGCATGGGTACGGTTCGATCATGGTGCGTCTCACTCTGGAGGGCGGATTTCGCGTGTCGACTGACGGTCGTTTGCTTACAGCGACCCGTGCCGGAGGTTGCGCCTCGGGGGTTGAGCGCAGTCCTGGGGGGCGCTGGACAGGTTGCAGGTGGGACACCGCGCGCAGAAGCGCATCTTGCACCGCGCACACATACAGGAGGACACACGGTCTCGTATCGAGCCACCCAAAATCCTGGAGATGATGTATAGTAGTCTGTAGACACGACGGGGCATGCGCACGGAAACACAGCGTAGATCGCTCGAACTCACCTCGGATCGTGATCATCCATACAAGTACAGCACTGCCTTCATCGCCGGGTGCGCATAAGTACTGATCCATGAGCATACGTGCACTTGTCCGCGGTTACTTGGATCGTGGTAGTGTGGGTGATGTCGTCGGGGTTGTCACCGTCAGAGCAGGCGCGCACGTTGAGACTGACTAGATATCATAGACCATTGGGACTCTGCAGCCGTCCAAGGACAGGGAAAGGACGTCGACCGAGACAGCGCGATCCGGGAAAGTTCGCCGCCAAGGTTGACAGCCGCGGAGATATGACGCCCGGCGCCTGCACTTGCGCTCAGCGCTCGAACCTATGTAGCGCGCGCACCACTAGACGCGTGACTACCACATCTACCTCTGATCGACCAGCAATCATCCCTCGAAAAACGCCCTGATGTCCTCAGAGCATCTTCCCATAGAAGTCTGCGAGCAGGTGATCGACGTACTCGGCATCCAAACTGGTGATTTCGCCACGCTCACCTCCTGCGCCCGTGTCCACACAAGATGGCTCCCCAGAAGTCGCATCCACATATGGAGAACAGTCAAGCTCTCTAGCCTGGAGGCACTCCACTCAATCTGTGAAACACTTCAACACTCCTCGGACTTGCGTTTGTTGGTCCACTCCGTTCGACTCACAAACAACGAGGACTCCCTGTCGTTCCCCTGGGCTGCACCCGTGGTCCTCCTTCCGTATCTCGCACATATCGAGAAATGGGAAATTTCATCCTGTAAAAACGTATTTCCACCGGCTGTCTTGGCTTGCTTTCGGCGATACACCGCAGTCAAGACCTTGGTCATCCACGAATACTGTATCTTTCCCACACCGCTCCATGTGCACAGACTAGCCCATGCGTTCCCCGCCCTCCAGTCGCTTGACCTGACTTTCGTCATCTGTGAAGCTCTATCCCCAGACCGAGCACTCACCTCAATCAAAACGCGCGGGAGGCTATCACATCTCAAGGTGAGACGAGACGCCGAGTTGATCACACGAAGACGATAGAAGAGAAGGCTGAATTGTATGAGTTCCGCAGCTGTTCGGTCCCCTCTACGGACCTGGAAACCTACACTTGCAGCTTTTCAAGGTCCTTTCCGGAAGTGGGTTAACGTTGACACACCTCGACCTCAGCATAGGATGGCTCACTGTGGCAGCAGGTACATGTTATACGCGTTCACCAAATGGTAGAGCCTCTGACTCACCGTCGTTGGCACTTGCAGGAGTGACTCGATTACCACTTGCGAGTTGTGGAAGTCTTGAACGACTCTCTATACAATTGACCACGCCCAAGGATGCAGAAAGCTTCTCCGAACCTGCGTCGCTCCAGGAACTGAACGCGCTAATGCGCCTTGGTCTCCCGCAATCGCTACGGGCCCTGGACATCACTCTAGACGGATCTCTGGCCTATTACGTCATTTTGGAGCCCAACAGCGATCAACACATGACCCTCCACAACTTCACACGGCTTGTGACGGACCATAGCTTTCTCGGAACGAACGGAGTCAAATTTGTAGTCAGGAACTCGATGCAGAATCTCGTGAACGCATGGAGGGCATCGTTGGAGAGCGCGCTCGTGTCACTCCACAAGCGCACACTTCTGCAGGTTGAATTCGTGCATTCTGGTGTGTACAATCCGACTTCTTCCCACTCAATCGTTCCACCTCCTCTAAACCATGTATTCACAGAATGGTTCTCACCCGAACTGTGCGGGCATCCCACTGCGGCGAACCATCTGAATATCTCACGGGACGGGAGGTGGGCAGCCAGTATGGCATCCTCGGCTACCACGATATCTATACCCGCACAACCAGTCATGATCTGGCATGTCCACGCTGGCGGCCGACTCGCTTTACAGTGCTGGTATCGCACTCTCCCGCCATTATGGAGCGTCGATAACAGTGATGTGCTCGCCTTCTCTCCGTCGAACACTCGCCTCTTCACTCGTTTCCGTATCCAAATCGTCGTCTTCTGTCTCCCCCCCATTGAAAAAGAGGGAGATGGCTCTCGCAGCGAACCCTGGGAAATGGGAATCATTAAGGCAACCGAGGGCGGAGAGATTGTCGCTTCAAGGTGGTCCCCGGATAGCGCTCAAATCATCGCTCTGACGGACCTGACGGACCTTCACGTTTGGGATGCGGAAGGCTTGACTCTCCTTCGCTTGATTCACTGTCCTCCTTTCCCACGCCGCATTACGACGGTTCGAATGTCAATAAACCCCCCTTATGCTCTGTTCCACCTTTCCCGCCTGGACGAGAGTCTCATGGACGAGGACCGCTTCCATGTTGTTGATCTGGTTTCAGGAGAAATTTACCCCCGTCTGGTCAACCTCTGGAGCCGTTACGATGCTGAAGAAGTTTTGTCTCCAGTTGTGCTGCGATGTGGCTCCGAGCGCGGCGACTTAACTGTGCTCGCACTGACGAGAGGCGGTACTCTCGTGGTGGACCACGGCGAAGAAGACATACTCGGCTCTTCTACGCCCGCGCCTCCGGCGCTGTCACCACTCCACGGGTTTACCCCCAAGGCCTTATCCGCCAACGGAACTCGCGCGTTGTGTTTCGTCGACGCGGCGGGGCCATCCGATGAGTCCGATCCTCCGGTCGCCGCCCCGCAGTTCTGTGTTGTGGACACCGCCACCGGAGAGATACTGTCTGGGCCATTCAGAGGAGAGCTGCCTTTGGTAATCAAAGGCGACCACTACAGCATGAGTCGTGCGCGGTTTATGAAGAAACATGGTCCGCCGTACCGGTTTTGGAGCACACTGCATGGCAGGCTCTACCGAACTCCTGCCGTCGACGACCAACAGAACGTTACTCGAGTCGCACTCACGTACGACGGGTCGATGGTCGTATGGTCGGATTCGCGTGGGGGCGTGCACTTCCGTCGCAATGTAGGCGATTTTTGACACCTACAAAGAACTCATCTTGAACACTCCACACTGATTTGCGCGTCTTCTCGTCACCGATGATGTGGAAACACCGCGGTATCGCATATTATTACCGTAGTACTGTAAATCACCGCATGTATATATGCACCGTCGGCTGGCACGGCCGCAAGCTATCTTGTAACTATAAAATCATCCGAAGAATTTACTCGAGCCCCACCGTCCTCCTTCCCCCGTACACTGGCCCCACGACCATTCGACAATAAGCGCGCATCAACGGCCGCCTCCTGCCCTTCCATAAGGGTCGCGAGCTGCACGGGTTCGGTCGCCGTGAAGCGCAGGCCGACAGTCCTCTGCGCGACCATGTCGGTAGTCGGTCCCGGGGACTGGGATGGCGCTGCGCGCACGAGGAGCGGCACGGCACATGGGTGCGCGTTCGCAATCGTCGTGGTGCGTTTCATCGAGGTCGCGCTCTGGTGCCCCAAGCTGGAGGTGACAGAGCGGGATCGGTCAAAGTGGTGGGCTCGATGTCGATGATGTCGGTGTCCGTGCCCAACACTGCGCGCTCGAAGACTGGGCTGGCGTCGCAGTGCTGTCGGGAGAAAGAGATCGCGGTGTCAGCGACCGCGGTGCGAGAAAAAGGAGCGCGCGGACCTACAGTTCGTCGCGCCCTACCCGCTCGTCGCACCTCGGCGTCGGCGAAAATTATCAAGGCGCTCGTTTAATCCCCTCGGGTGCGTTGCGTGATTAACAGGCCGGTGGTGAGGGCGGACGGGGTCGGGAGAGAGCCACCCTCGGCCGTCTGCGTGTGAAGGTCATATAATGGCAACCAGCTAACGTCTTCTAGGTCAGTCAAGGGCGGAGGGTCAGCATGCGGTCGCGCGGAGCCTAGCGAGAAACGGACAATACGTCAACTTGAACGAGTCCTCGTCAGCCAAGACGGTCGCCATAACTTCACCAAGAGCGTGTCCAGTACACGATGACACCAGCCCCGAATGTTCCCGCTCTGCGACAGTGTTGTCAAGGATGTCTTGCGGATTCGCCGCTCGCTCTCCGCTCGCTCGATCGCATCGACAAGCCGGTGGTGCGCGAGCGCACGCTCCCGAGTGCATGTGGTGGAGCGCTCCGAACTGTCGACGTGGATGGGCATGTCGAGCACGTGAACGATGCCTGGCAGGCCGTGAATGCGAGCTAGCTGGGGCGACGTAATGTTGCTCGAAAGCCCAGTTTTTCGGATTGTGTGGGGACGTGCTCGAGTGTCCCCGGAAACCCCTAGGCACGACCTCTGGCACGAGCGGCTGCAATTTCACAAGCCGTAAGTCCTCGTCCCACGACTTTTCGAAGAACGAAAGGAGGGAGGAGCGACGCACCACGATCGACTCGTCCTCGAGTCCCCCCCGAATACATGGTTCTGCGTCGTGATGCCATGCGTCGTGACCATCTCCATGCTCTTTCGCCTGTACGAAGTTGGTGTTCGCGGGAGAGGCGGTGACGGCCAGTGGAGAAAAGTCGGACGGTTGGAGGACCTGGAGGAAAGTTTGCCCGGGGCCACTCGCGGAACGTGCGCAACAGCGCGAATACGTAGCGGGTGCGTGTGTCGGACGAGAATTTCGAAGTCGGCTTAGAGAAAGAAGGTGGGCTTCCTGCCGTTGAAGACCTAGTGGTTGCCGTGCGCATGGGGTAGAGCTTGGGGAGTATGAACCGCGGTCATGGTGGGTCAAAGTACGCTGAGTTTTGAAGTCGGTGGTGGACCTGACGGGAGGGTGGATGTATCGCATGCGCGAGTAGAGAACGGCAGGTACGGCGCTCGCCGCTCAATCGAAGGAGTGTCAGTCTTGAGCTTGGTTGCCACAGGGCCGGTGGAAATCCTGTCAACGAGTACCGAGCTTTGAAGAATTAAGCAAAAAAAGTCAGGTTCCAACCTTGTGGGCCACTCACTCACGCAGAATTTTGGGTCGGGCGCACTTCCGAGGGCGTACTTGCCTGACCGTGAATAGCGTGGCATGGCCCACTCACATCGACGTACTGCCGTCTGGTCATTCGTTGACCAAGGAACAGAGGTGTCATGGCACTTATGGAAGAAGGTTAGCTGCAGCGGCGCCACGAAACAACGAAGACTTGCCTGATGCAGCTCTAGCTGTACAGAGCCCGAAAAACTAACGGAATATCCTCATTGTGCCGAGTGCTGCCAAATCGGATATTCAAGTGAGCTGAGCGACGAAGTGGAGTGCTTTGAACTCATATGTCTAACTGACCCTGCAACCGTAGTCTGCGGTGCCACGGGCCACCGGAGCATCGTCTATGACGAAAACTTGAGGCACCCCTCGGCTGAACAGCGTATGTTGCGAGGTGAACGTTGCCAACGTCCGCTGTCGGTTGTGGCGGAGGCGCAGTAGCGCGGGCCGCGGGGTGGCTGCTGTGCTTGTCCTCCTACCACCATCTCCACCCACCCTGCATACATATCCGCTGACGACAAACATCGCTCTGCTCTTTTCTCGCGCCTGTCATTTCAAGTACTCAAATCTGTCGTTGACCTCGAGGTTTCCAACACACCCATTGGCTCCAACATGAAGGCGGCCACTCGGCGCGGTCTCATATGGCAGATCAGAAGAGCGACAACTGTGGGTGCGTTGTCTTTCTCATCATCCTCCTCTGCATCATACACCCTACTTCCATGGTTACATGTATTATGGAAGGGTGATCTTTTGTTTTTGAAACGAGGTCACGTGACCATACTACTCCGTCGAGGCCAATCATAGATACATATTCGAGAACGGCCTTCAAACACCCTTGCGCGAGATGAAGCAAACCAAGACTGCTTCACCCTGTATTAAAGACATCTTTTGAGGCTGCACGGGCTTTGCGACCTCGTTCCACGACTCCATAATATGCCATGGCTTCGTGGCAAATCCGCTGAAAAAGGATTTCAAAATTCAAGGTGCGTTCTTCTACCTTTTTGTGTTTGTCCCATATTAAACTCCAACCGCAGCTTCCACATTGTCCAGCAACCGTCATTTCGTGCGGAAGAATGTTTCACTCCGCCTCCTGCTAATGTCGACCGCTTGCCTCCGTGTCTGCCAGGCCCTTTTGGGGTTGTTCGCGGGGATATGGATTGTCGCCTGTGACTAGTTGAGTCGCGGTACGTCGTTCTCTGTATTCGCCTTGGCACATTCGTTGGAGTCGGTGTTCTCCTTGACGGACCCAGGCAGCTTCCGCTACGCGCACCGGTGTGGATACTAAGCTTTCGTTGACTACCCAGGTTCGCCTTCATCGTTGAAGACCTGGAATACCAACACCGTGACGCGCTCGTGGCGGGATTCAAGGGCGCCCAGCAGAAAACGTAGCGGGAGGAGGAGTGTGACGGGCGTCGATCTCAACTAACGTTCAAGCCTCGTCCGCTCAGTCAGCAACAAACACGCGGGGACGACAGGCCACCCCCACAGAGGATTACAAAGCCATCTTGGTGGTTCACGCGCTGTCGAAGATATAGGTGACATTGCTAATCCACCGCGCTCGGCGTGCTCTCCATGACCTGTTGGACTACGTACCCAGCTTCTCCCACACCTTTCGCACAACATCCGAAACGACATTGCATGAATTCCTCGTCGTCGCTGAAGGGGCAAGCTCGGCTTCAAAGACGTCCCGACCTCGATGCCCCATGATACCGACGCGATCGTCGAGGTCCAGTCGACCGCGCTCAACCCTGTCGGCTGGAAGTTCCGTGGCAGCGTCGCACTTGGTTTCATCAACGCGAGCGGGCGGCACCGTCGTCGCCGCTAGCGCGAAGGCCACGAACTTCAAAGTCGGCCAGCGAGTGTACGTAACGTTTTGCGGCTGGTCGTGCGAGGAAGCTGACCATTCTGCAGAGTAGCCCGAGGCGAGTTCACGAAATAGTCTTACACCATCCATCACTGCGTCCTCATCACGCGGGAGGAGTCTCCAAGGTCTGTGCAGCCACCCGTTCCCGATCCACCCCGATCCTGACCCCAGGGCCACAGACCCCTGACAGCAAGTCGTCGGGCACCGCTGCCGCCTCCTACATCGCTGTACCACCCCCCGCGCTCAGCACCGGCCTCACGCCTCTTGTCGGCCCCATCGAGGGCGTAGGCACAGTCTCTCAAGCTCTCCGGCCGTTTCGCGCCCTTGATCGCCACCACGTCCCTCACGAACCGTGCCGACCTCGTCAAGGCCTACGACGCGACGCGCATCTGGGACCGCGCCCTCCCTGCTGTCGACCTCGCGGCGATGGGCGTCCGGCGTCCCGTGCTGGTGCACGACAGGAGGCGCTGTGCGTCCCGTGCCGCAGAAACAATGTGCTTGGAGTGGAGCGGGCGTGGCCAAAGGGCGTCGGTTCGATCACCGTGCGTCTCATTCTGGAGGGCGGATTTGGTGTGTCGACTGACGGTCGTTTGCTTACAGCCACCCGTGCCGGAGGTTGCGCCCCGGGGGTTGAGAGCAGTCCCGGGGGCGTTGGACGGGTTGCAGGCGGGGCAGAGCGCGCGGTAGCGCGTCTTGCACCGCGCACGCGTACAGGAGGACACAACGGTGCACAAATCGCTCAAAAGGACATCATGATCACCCCGAGCAACATCGGGTCCACCCTCGTCACCGAGTACGCATACTAGTCCACGAGCGTCCCTCGGACGCCTCCCATACCCCGCCCCCCGAACGAGAGTGGAGACTGCGCGGGAGACCATGCGGCGGAGCATGCGGGGTGCGACGTCTGGAGAGGATACGGGGCGGTGGGGAGGACGGGCGTGGGCTTGGGCTGGCCGCGGAGGCAGTGCATGTGCGCGTCAGTAGATCAAGGGTCAAACGCGGGTGGGGGAGAGGAAGGGCGACTTAGGCAGGTCAGGCAGACATATAACGGTTTCTCTTCGTGACATTGACCGACAGGGTGGCGGGGAACTGAGCCGGCACATGGCAGGCCACCTGTCGACTACAGCCGTTCGTGACAAGACCATGGATCAGACGATCCATACGTACAAGACAGCTCGCCGCTCTGCAGCCCTGTCTGCTGGCGTGTCCTGCCAGCGCAAGCCCGCCGTGCACACGACCTCCAGACGCACCTCCTTCCCCGCTGGGTCGCATGGCTCCGACTTGTAGAACTCTCCCTTCTCCTCCCTCTTCCCGTCCACGCCCTTCGCTCGTTGTACCTTCGCGTCATTCGTGTTTCCCGCGACTGCGACCTCCTCACCGTCGCTCGCTCACGTGAGGCCCATGGACTCGCGGCGAGTCACTCAAATTTTCCCGTGCTCATTCCCGAGGGGGAGCGCGTCGCGGATAACGAGCGTCGAGCCCCTTGTCGTTGTCCTTTACATGCACTCCGCGAGTAGCCGCGACCTGTGTCCGCGTCTCGACGGTGTCGTACGAGACTCGGAGCGCGGCGTCGACTCCGCTAAGAACGCAGATGAAACTCAAGTCGTCGACGCCATGCACCATAGACTCGTGAGCATATAGTAGACTAAGGACGAGAAAAGACAGGCGCGCCCCTAGAGACGTCTTCGCCACGAACTAACGAACACCGCCGCGAATTTCCATGGTACGCGCACGGGCGAGAGCACGGCGTCGAGCCGCCGACTCGAGCGCGAGCGTCGACGTCGTGATCACGACGCGGCGCGCGGAGCCTGAATATGACGCTCGCACTTGGAGCGCGCGCACAACCTGGGGTGAGTCACCTACTACCACATTTACCTCTGACTGGATCCGACAGCGACCCACGGGAGGTGGGAATCATCGAGGCAACCGAGCCCGAGAAAATTGTCGCTTCAGGCTGGTCCTCGGATAGCGCCCAAATACTGGCCCTGATGTCTTCGATGGCCCTTCACGTTTGGGATGCGGAAGGCTTGACCCTCCTTCGCTCGCTTCGTGTCCCTTCTTTCCCAGGCACAATGATCAAAGTCCGTATGTCAATAAACCCACCTTACGCTCTGATCGTCCAAAGCCATTTCCTCCGAGGGCCAGGCTCCGACTCGAACGGCAAACAGCGGAACATCCACGTCGTCGATCTGGTTTCGGGAGACATTCACCCCCGTCTGGCCAACAACCGGATCCTTTACGACGCCGAAGAATATGTGTCTCAAGCCGTGCTGCGATGCGACTCCGAGCGCGGCGACTTTACTGTGCTTGCACTGACGAGTGCCGGTGCCCTCGTGGTGGACCGCGGCGAAGAAGACCCCCTCGGCTCTTCTACGCCCACGCCTCCGGCGCTGCCACCACTCCACAGGTTCACCCCCAAGGCATTATCCGCCGACGGAACTCGCGCGTTGTGTTTCGTCGACGCGACGGGGCCTTCCGATACTTCGGCCGCTGCCCCGCAGTTCTGCGTTGTGGACACCGTCACCGGAGGGATACTGTCGGGGCCATTCGGAGGCGAGCGGCCTTCGGTGATCATCGGTGAACATCGCAGCATGGATGTCAGGCGGTTTATGGAGGAAGATGGTCCATCATACCGCGGAGGGTGGTTCTGGAGCACGCTGCATGGCAGGCTCTACCGAACTCCTGCCCTCGACGACCGACAGGACGTTGGTCGAGTTGCGGTCACGTACGACGGGTCGATGGTCGGATGGTCGGATTCGCGCGGGGTGGTGCGCTTCCATCGCAATGTAGGCGACGTTTGAAACCTACAAAGGACGTGTTTTGATCAGTCCACACCGTTTTGCACGTCTTCTGATTGCTGCTGATGTACGCCGATGTGGAAACAACGCAGCATTACCCGGTGGTGAACGGCCTTACCGTAGTACCATGAAGCACCGCATGTACTCTATATGTACCGTCCTCCTTCCCCGCGCCCGCACCGACCCCCCGACCGACCACCAACCGGCACACCTTGACGGCCGCCCCCTGCTCTTCCATAAAGGCCACGAGCTGCGCGGGGTCACCGTGACGCGCAGGCCGGCAGGTCTGTCCGCGACCATGTTGGTAGTCAGTCCTGGGGACAGGGATGGCGCCGCTCGCACTCGGAGCGGCACGGCACATGGGTGCGCGTTCGCAATCGTCGTGGTGCGCTCCGTCGAGGCCGCGCTCCGGTGCCCCCAGCTGGAGGTGGCGGATCGGGATCGGTCCAGGTGGCGAGCTCGACGTCGACATTAACGTCGATGATGTCCGTGTCCGACGTGCCCAACACGCATTCGAGGGCCGTGCCGGCGGCGTCGTGGGACTGTCGGGGGAAATATATTGCGGTGTCAGCGGCCGCGGTGCGAGGAACAGGAGCGTGCGGACCTGCAGTTCGTGGCACCTCGGCGTCGGTGTACTAGATCATCAAAGCGCCCGTCCAGTCTTGGAGTCGGGTGCGTTGCGTGACTAACACACCGGTGATAAGGGCAGACGTGGTCGGGAGAGAACCATATTTGGCCGTCTGCGCGTGAAGGTCATACAATGGCAACCAGCTAATAATGTCTTCTGGGTCTGTTAAGGGCAGAGGGTCAGTATGCGGTCGCACAAAACCTAGCGAGACACGGACAGCACGTTAACTTGAACGAGTCCTCGTCCGCCAAGACGGTCGCCATAACTTCACCAAGAGCGTGTCCAGTACGCGATGGCACCAGCCCCGAATGTTCCCGCTCGGCGACGGTGTTGTCGAGGATGTCTTCCGGATCGGTCGCTCGCTCCCGAGTGCATGTGGTAGAGCGCTCCGAACTGTCGACGTGGATGACCATGTCGAGCACGTGAACGGTGTCTGGCAGGTCGTGAATGCGAGCGAGCTGAGGCGACATAATGTTGCTTGAGAGGCCAGTTATCCAGATTGTGCGGGGACGTGCTCGGCGCGAGTGAATGCAATCTCGCGGGCCGTCAGGACTTCAGTCCTCGTCCCACGACTTGTGAAGGGGGAGGGAGTGACGCACCACGATCGACTCGTCCTCGAGTTCCGCCCCGAATACATGGTTCTGCATCATGATGCCATGCGTCGTGAACGTCTCCATACCCTTTCGCCGCACAAAGTCGGTGTTCGCGGAAGGTGTGACGGCCAGGAGAGAAGAGCCGGAGATCTGGAGGACCTGAAGGGACATGTTCCTGAAATAGCAAGTTGCGCCGGATGCTGTGTTGCTTGCGGAACGTGCGGAACTGTGCGAATGGCGAGGATTTCGAAGCCGGGTTGGAGAAATAAAGCGAGAATCGCTTCTTTGAAGACCTGGTGGTTGCCGCGCGCATGGCTTAGAGCCTAGGGAGTATGAACCGCGACCATGGGGGATCGAAGTACGTTGAATGTTGAAGTAGGTGGTAGACTTGAGGGGAGGGCGGATGCCTCATGCGCACGAGCGGAAAACAGCCGAAGTTATAGCACTCGCCGCTCAGTCGATGGATTAGAGTGTAGATCTTGAATTGCAACAAGACCTGCCATTGAGTACGAAGCTAAGAGTTCAGCGGATGACAGTCAGGTTCTAGCCCTTGTGGGCAACTCACTCACGCAGACGTTTGGTTCGAGCGCACCACCGAAGGTGTACTTGCTAGGCCGTGTATAACGTGGCGTGGTCCGCTCATACCGACGATTGCCTTTCTGGCCGAGGAATAGAGACGTTATGCATGCGCCTATGAAGGAAGGTTACATGGCTGCGGACGCGTCAGGAAGCAGCGAAGACTTGGCCAAATGTCGCTCTAGATGTACGTAGCACGCAGAACAAACAGATAATCAACATCGAGCTGAGTGCTGCCACATCTGAGATTCAAGTGGGCTGAGCGACGAAGAAGAGTGCTCTGAACTCACATATGTATCCGGCTGACCGTACGTTGCTATGCCGCGGGCCATAGGAGCATCGTCTCTGCACGACGAAAAACTTGAGGCGCCCCTCGGTGGAACATATGATTTGGATTGGAATATGTCGAGACACTGGAAGAGCTTAGAGGAGTTTGCGCAACGGCGATAGAGGAGCCAGAGCGTGCCCACTGCCGGGTGCGGATCCGGCGAGCGTTCCCAGTGTCGGCTGCCGTCGCGGACTCGGAGTGAGCGCGGGTCGCGCTGCGTCGCGGGGTGGCTGCTGCGCTTGTCCTCTTACCACCATCTCCACCCACCCCGCGTATCCACTGATGGCGCACGTTGTGCTGCTCTCCTTTCGCGCCTGTCATTCCAGCGCATTCGTCAATTCTGTCGTTGACCTCGAGGTTTCCAACACACCCGATTATCCTACATGAACCATTCGGCGCGGTCTCATGTAACAGATCAGAAGAGCGGCAATTGTGAGTACCTTGCCTTTCGCAGCATCATCCAACCCCCTTCAAATGCATCATACGCCCTACTGGCATGTTTCATCTGCACTGGAGGGTTGACCTTTGGTCCTTGATACAAGATCACGTGACTAACGGGTACATCTCAGGATGACGACAACTCGCTTTTGCAATCCCGCTCCTCAACCCCGGAAATGAGCTGCGGTGTTGCGGTCAGACCTTGGAGAAGCGATGTAAAAGTGCGTTCTTCCACATCTTAAGTTGCGTTTGTTCCGTACTCAACGTTCAACTCCGCCTGTCGTCCCCAGAACGTCTGACAACCGTAAAACCACCCTTTCGTGCAGATGAAGGCTCACACCACCTCCCGCTCATGTCAGCAGCGTGCCTCTGTGTCCGTCAGATTTCGTTGCGGCCGTTTGAAGGGACTTGAAATCGTGTCGGCCGGAGCTCATTGTACGTCTTTCTCTCTCATCGCTCTCGCGTTCGTACCAAAGTTCTCCGTGATGTGCCCGGGCAGCGTCCGCTTCATGCGACGGTGTGGATACTAAGCTACTCCGACCGGCCTTTATTTCCGTCTAATCTGACTGAGTACGCTCCTACCAGGCCTTGTTTCTCTCCCGTCATATACACCTCAAACTTTTTCGATGCCTTTATTGCTACCTTTTCGACGTCGAGTTGCGCCAAATTGGTAAGTATGCTATCATATATGTTTTCTGTACATTCCCTCGTGGCCGTCTTCATCTGCGACACTGGGACAAGCGGATACCCGGACTGTCAGGTTTTGGTTTGCCATTGCAGCACAGACACTGACGCCTTGTGCACAGCGGGAAGAGAGGGATAGTTCCGCTAATTGGTCTATCCTCTCAGAATCGCCCATGGCGAATTCACAAAGGAGTCTAGCGGACCATCCGCACCACGACGTAGGCACCGCCCTCGCTGTTTCCCACTGCGTCACTGACGTCCCATCTTCATCTGTAGACCCCGGACCTCGTCTCGTTCGATTCCCCCGCCACGCTCCACGCTCCGCCGTCCAAAACGGTTTCGAACTCATAACGATAACTCACCACCCGAGCAGAGGGTTGCAAAGCCATCTCGATTATTCACACACCGTCGAAGATACGGGAGGTTTTTGTTAAGCCCACCGCGACCTGCGGGTTCTCATTTAAATATACAATGGCGGGGACTAAGTACCCAGCATCTTCCCCTATATCTCTCGCACAGCATCTGGAGGAACTTCGCACTACAACCCTCGCCAACGACTCGATGATCCACCCTCATCGTAACCCCAGGGCCACCCGACAGCGTGTCGTTTGACGCCGCCGCCTCTCCTACCGCGCTCAGCGCCCACCTCACGACCCGATCAGCTCCAGTCGGGCGCGTCAAGTACGCGGGGAAGCCCGTGGTGGTCATCGGGGGCGCAAGCAGAGTGCCTCGAGCTCTCCGGCCGTTTCGCGCCCTTGATCTCCACCATATCCCTCGCGAACCGTGCCGACCTCAAGGCCCCCGACGCGATATGCGTCTTCGACCGCCTCCTCTCTGCCGTCGAACTCGCGATCTGGGACGTCTGGCGTCCCGTGTTGGTGCACGACGGGATATGTCAAGCGAGGAGACGCTGAGCGCCGGGCTTGGGTTGCTCGCGCGGGGCAGGACACTCACCAGCGCGCTGGACGCACCCACCGTTAGCGACGACAGCGTCGTCGTGGTTTCACGGAAACGATGTGCTTGGAGTAGAGCGGGCGTGCGCAAAGGGCGTCATGAGGACGGTTCGATCATCGTGCGTCTCACTCTGGAGGGCGGTTTTGGTGTGTCGACTGACGGCCGTTTGCTTACAGCTACCCGTTCCGGAGGTTGCGCCTTGGCAGTTGAGCGCGGTCCCGGGCGCGCTGGACAGGCTGCAGGCGGGGCAGGCGAGCGCTCGGAGGCTCGTGCCCACGCATACAGGAGGACACACGGTCGCGGATCGAGTCACCCAAAGTGCCGGAGATGATATCCAGTGTGTTATAGATATAGCGACACACGCACGTACACGGAACAAACAGTGAACGCACTCGCCCGCCGCTGCAACGCCACGAGTTCCGCTCTCAGATCATGATCATCCCGTACGACACCATGTACAACCTCATGACCGGATACGCGTACTGGTCCATGAGCTTCTCCCGCAACTTGGACACCTCCCAAACCCCACCCCCGTGCGGCCCCATCGTCGCCTTCGCCTTTGTCGCCAGCGCGCCCACGCTGACCTCGGTAGTGGACAACCCAGAAGCGATGAACCCCGAGTCCGTATTCGACAGCAGCGCTCCGCAGCTTCCTGGTCTTCTGTCTCTCTTGCTTCTGCTTCTGCGGGGGCGGAGGCGTGGCCGGCTCGTCGTCCGAGCACGAGTGCTGTGGTGAGTCACGTTGAATAGGTTGCGGACACGGGAGGAGTCCACGTACGGCAGGGCGCTGTTCTTTGGGGAAGGGAGAGCCGGATGTACCACGCGCAAGGTCGTCTTCTCCGGGACCGCTGACAACCCCGACGACAGTACCCACACTGCCACGAGCCAACCACGTTGACGACTGGGAGCACAGAGGAAGAGACGGATTTAGCGTTCAGATCCGCCCCGCCGCCAAGGTTGGCGCGGAGCCTGAATACTACGCCCGCACTTGCCGCTTGCGCTCCGAAGTTCGAACCTCTGTAGCGCGCACGCTACGTCTGCCGTGACCACTACCACATCTACGTCTCATCGGCCAGCAATCAGACCTTGAAATCCACCCTGCCACTCTTCAATGACCCCAGAGCGCCTCCCCATAGAAGTCGCCGAGCGGGTGATCGACGCACTCGGCCTCCAAACCGACCTTGCCACGCTCGCCTTATGCGCCCGAGTCCACTCAAGATGGCTCCCCAGAAGTCGCATCAACATATGGAGAACAGTCAAGCTCTCCGGCTCGAAGGCACTCCCCTTGATTTGTGAATCATTTCAACACTCCCCGGACTTGTGTTCGTTGGTCCATACCGTTAGGCTCATCGGAATGTCGAAGGAGTCGGCCCCCTGGGCTGCACCTGTGGTACTCCTTCCGTATCTCGCACATATCAACACATGGGAAGTTTTCTCTTGCGTAAACGGATTTCCTTCGACTGTCTTGGCTTGCTTTCGACAATACACCGCAGTCAAGACCTTGGTCATCCACCACTCTGAATTTCCCACACCGGTCCATGTGTACCGACTAGCCCATGCATTCCCCGCCCTCCAGTCCCTTGAATTGTCCTCAGTCGGCTTCAAAGCTCTGTCCCTCGACCGAGCACTCACCTCAATAAAAACGCACGGGAGGCTATCGCGTCTCGAGGTGAGATGAGACGCCGAGTGACTCGCACGAAAGCAATGGACAAGACTGAATTTTCTGGATTCCGCAGCTTTACGGTCGCCTGCCCGGGACTCGAGACCAATCACAGCAGCTTTTCGATGTCCTTTCCGGAAGTACATCGACGTTGACATACCTCAATCTCCGCCTGGAATGGCTGACTGTAGAAGGTACATGCACTCGTTCACCACACTATAGAGCTTCTAACTCACCCCTCATCGGCACTGGCAGGTTTCCTGCTTGCGAGCTTTATCAATCTTCAACGTCTCTCAGTGACCATGCCCGACAATCCTCAAACCTTTTCCGAACCCGCGTCTCTCCGGAAACTAAACGCGCTAATGGACCTTGGTCTCCCACAATCGCTACTGGCCCTGGAAATCACACTGGACAAATCTCTGAGCCAGTACTTTGGTTTGGAGCGCAGCAGCGAACAAGAAAGGACCCTCCGCAAGTTCGTACGGCTTGTGCAGAACCATGACATCCTTGCAACGAACGGAGTCGTCACGTTTATAGTCAGAAACTCGATGCAGATCCATGTGATACCATGGAAAAGATGGCTGAGGCTTACGTTTGTGCGACTCTGCAGTCCTCGGATGCTTCTGCGGTTTGAGTTCGTGTATTCTGGTATGTATCCTTCTGCTCACTCAACCGTTCAACCTCCGCTAAATCCTGAATTCACAGAAGGGTTCTCACCCGACCTGTGCGGGCATCACACTGCGGCAACCGACATAACGTTCTCTCGAGATGGGAGATGGGCAGCCAGCATGATATCCTCAGTGACAACGACGCCCGGACAACAGTCAGTAATGATCTGGGATGTTAACAAAGGAGGGAGACTCGCTTTACAAAGCCAGTATCGGGCTTCACCTCAATCCATGGACGTCGATACGAGTGGCATGCTAGCCTTCTCTCCGTCAAACATTCACCTCTTTAGTCGCTCCCGTCGTCAAATCCACGTGTTTTTTCTCCCTCCCATTGAACAGGAAGGAAATGGTTCTGATGGCAGGCCCCGGAAAACAGCACACATCGTTACAGGCATGGAATCGGAGATCTTTCCGGGCATGGACACAGAGATCATCGCTTCAAGTTGGTCCCCGAATGGCGCCCAAATCCTGGTCCTGCTGTCCTCGATGGACCTTGACGTCTGGAATGCGGATGGCTCGAGTGCCTTTCGCTTGCCTCGGTGCCCTTCTTTCCCAGAACCAATTACCACGGCTCGAATTTCAATAAGCCGCCATTACGCTCTGATCCACCTCACCGGCTTCGAGAACCGCAACCACATCCATGTCGTCGATCTGGTCTCAGGAAAGCTTCGCCCCCGTCTGGTCAACCTATGGACCGAAGAATACGTGTCCCCAGCCGTGCTTCGATGCGGCTCCGAGCGCGGCGACTTCACTGTGCTCGCACTGACGAGAGGTGGTACCCTCGTGGTGGACCGCGGCGAAGAAGACGCACCTGCTTCTTCTACTCCACCTCCAGCGCCGTCACCACTCCACGGGCTCACCCCCCAGGCCTTATCGGCGGATGGCACTCGCGCATTGTGTTTCGTCGACGCGGCACGGCCTTCCGATCCTCCGCCCACTGCCCCACAGTTCTGCGTTGTGGACACCGTCACCGGAGAGATGCTGTCGGGGCCATTCGGAGGCGAGCGACCCTCGGTGATCATTGGTGAACACCGCAGCATGGATATCGAGCGAACTGAATATTCACCGTACTGCGGAGGATGGTTTTGGAGCACGCTGCATGGCAAGCTCTACCGAACTCCTGCCCTCGACGGCCGACAGGACGTTGCTCGGTTCGCAGTCTCGTACGACGGGTCGACGGTCGGATGGTCGGATTCGGGAGGGGTCGTGCGTTTCCACCGCAATGCAGGCGACGTCTGAAACCTACAAAGGACGTATTCCATACTGAATTGCACGTCTTCCGATTGCTACTGATGTACCCCAATGTGGAAACAACGCAGAATTACCTAGTCCCACCGTGGCCCCGTAAAGCACCGCATGTACTATATATGCCCCGTCCTCCTTCACTGCGCGCGCGCCGGCCCCACGACCTACCACGGCGACCGCACCGACGGACACCTCCTGCCCTTTCACCAGGGACGCGAGCTGCGCGCGCTCGGTCACCATGACGCGCAGGCCGGCAGTCCTCTCCGCAACCACGTTGGTAGTTGGTCCCGGGGACAGGAATAGCGCTGTGCGCACGAGCAGCGGCACGGCACATGGGTGCGCGTTCGCAATCGTCGTGGTGCGCTTTGTCGACCGAGGCCGCGCTCTGGTGCCCCAAGCCGGAGGTGGCTAAGCGGGATCGGTGGAGATGGCGAGCTCGACGTTGACGTCCATGTCCATGTCCGTGTCCGACACGCGCTCGAAGGGGGCCGTGCCGGCGTCGTGGTGCTGTCGGGAGCCAAAGGAGATCGCGGTGTCAGCGAGCGAGCGAGGAGCGAGAAAAAGGAGCGTGCGGACCTGCAGTTCGTAGTGCCCCACCCACTCGTCGCACCTCGGCGTCGGTGAAGATCATCACGGCCCCGTCCAGTCGGAGGTTCATCCTGACTTGCGGATTAGTCGTTCGCTCTTCGCCCCCTCTGTTTCCGCCTGTGTGTACCCGATTGCGTCGAAAAGGGGCGGTGCGTGAGCGCACGCTCCCGAGTGTACGTGGTGGAGCGCTGCGAACTGTCGACATGGATGGCCATATCGAACACGCGAACGGCGTCTGGCAGACCGTGAATGCGAGCGAGCCCGGGCGGCTTTATGCTGCTCGAGAGGTCGCATTCTGTCCTGCCTACATTACGTGCGGTTTGTCAGCTTCCCTGAACCGAGTTGCGCTGCAGAGGGGACGAAGTTAACGTTGGAGGGGGACGTTGGAGAAAGCTCGAGTGACCAGTACCAAGAATGCGAATACCTTGACGGACCTAGACGGCTCGCTGGTCCGAACAATCAGGTGTGTCGACCGCGGTTCAGGATCCTGCGCAAGTGATTGAGCGCCGTCAGTCGTTTGACACTACGGAACATAATTAGCAAGTACTCACCGCCACTGAGTCATGTTCGATCGCCGGAGCGTCGTCCGCAAGGCCGTATCACCACTCAACCACCACCGCCCAGCACCTAACTTACCATTTCGGAATTGAGGGAGGCACGGTTTGTCCATGTTGGAACGAGGACGAAGACGCCACGGGACGTAGGGTTTGCTGGTCGAGGTGGTGAAACTTGAAGTTGTGCAAAGCAACTTGACGGTCGTCCCATGCGATTATCGAAAGAGTCCTAGGCGCTAATCACAAGACTGCATTTCTGCTCGACAACATCGCTCTCACTCCTCCGCGACAACGAGCACGCTCTTCCCAAAGTTCTTCCCCTCGTGCACCTCCACGATCGCCTCCGGGCCCTTCTCGAGCCCGCGCACGAAGTGCTCCTTGTACTTGACCTCGCCCTTCGCGTACTTCGCCGGCATCTCGCGGTAAAACGCCTCCTGGTACTTCGGCTCGAGCGTCCCGACGAGGAAGCCGTACATGTGGATCTCCTTCCACAGCAGCAGCTGCAGGTTCTTGACGTTGTACGGCTCCGCGGTGTTGTACGTCGAGATGCTCCCGCAGACCTAGTCAAAAAGGAAACGACGACGCCAGCGACGACGTGAGAACGCGATGCGAAAGAGAGCAGAGACCGGGAGGGCACGCACAATCACGCGCGCGTGCGTCGCCGCCTGCTCGAGCGCGGCTTCGAGCGTTTCTCCGCCGACGTTGTCCCAATAGCTTCACGTCGTAAGGAGTCAGTTTTCAGGATGTATCATGGACAGCCAGGGAGGGGAGACGCACATGTTGATCGGGCCTTCCCTCTGGAGAACCTTCATTGTCGGCACCAGCTTGTAGTTGAACGCGACGTCGGCCCCGAGCGACGCGACGTACGCGACCTTCTCGTGCGTGCCCGCGGACGCGATCACGCGGCACCCGTCCGCTTTGGCGAGCTGCACGACGACGCTGCGGGCGGCGCGTACAGTCAGCCTCTGTGGTTCTGCCGGGACAGGGACGCCGCAAAAAGAAAATCTAGAAGGGAAGGTACTCACGCGCCGACCGCGCCTGAGGCGGCCGAGACGAAGACGGTGTCTCCCGGTTTGGGCTTTGCGAACTCCTTCCACGCGCAGTACGCGGTCTTGCCTGGATCGCGATCTTCAGAACGCGAGGCTGGGGCGTGTACGCGCTGAACAGGACGTACCGGGCATGCCGCACACGCCGAGGTACGCGGACCACGGAATGCCCTCCTTGTTCTCGAGCTTCATGAGCGCAGCCGTGTTCTTCACGACGGAGTAATGACGGAGCGCTAGGAGACCGCAATCAGCTCGCACTCGACAGAACCCGTCTCCGCGACTCACGAAGAAGCCCCAGAACATGATCGCCCGCGTTGTGAGAAGGATCCTCGGAGCGCACAACTACGCCAACGGCCCAGTTGGCAATCCTGACGGGAGGAACGCCAGAGTGAGCTCTCACGACGTCGACAAGTACGGCGAAAAAAAACGTACACGTCTCCGGGCTTCAAAGAAGGCTGGGGCGCAGATCGAAGTCAGCGTCGGCGGCGCTCACTCAGGGGCGGCAACATCCCGACTTACGAGCTTCTCGTACTTGCGCTCTTCGGTGGGGAGCATCAGCCTCCGGAGGTAAGGATCGATCGAGAGGTAGAGCATCTTGAGGAGGACGCCTCCGTCGAGCGGCACGGTGTCGACGTCGATCGTCTCGCTTTCATCGTACACCACCGTCTTTCCTGGCACCACGAACGCTGTATGCATGAACCGGTTCAACGTTGTGCTATTGTCCCAGGTTTCCAAACGACTCGCACCTTTTCCCGGGTACTCCTTGAAGACGACGCGTCCGTTCTTGACAGGGGCCATGGGTGCGTGAAGTTGAGGCTGAGGAAGCAGTCCTGTGCTTATATATCGCGTGGGCGCTCGTGTCGGACGACCAGGCATCCGGAACCTTCTCGTCGCCGCTGCACGAGACATCAGCTGGTCGCCCGGTCTGCGTTGGGAATCACCGGGGTGAGCTTCTCACACTGGAGCAGGCATTCGGACCACTCCAGTCTCTTGTCGCCGAGGAGATAGGAGACGACCATTCGTCGGAGACGCGACCGCGACTGCTCGACCACAAACTGGAACGGGCTGGCCCTGGCCAGTGGCGGGAGCTGACGCGACGCGGGGCTCACTATGACATACGTGCTCGTGACCCATGGGGCACTTTGTGGGAGGAACTGCGAACAGAAGTGTGGTGGCTGCCGTAGTTGCGCAGGAGTCTGTTGGGACCGCGTTTTGCGTAGTCACTGGTGACATAGAATTATTCAATATGCTGCAAGACGATGCATGATGAGGCCTGGGACAGCTTACATAGTGGTGGTGGCACGAAACTTGCGGAGACAACCCGGAGATGGCGTGCATGTAGAAAGCAGAGGGTGTAAGGTCATGATCACTTGAATGTGCTGGGAGCATCACCGCGTTGGCGTCTGTTCAGGACTTGCCTCCCTCCTCCATCTCCGCCACCCTCGACTTTACCCTTCTCTCGTTTCTAGCTCAGTCCAGCCCTCATTCAACCCACACCTCCTCAGATACCCTGACCGTGCCGCCCCGCACGTTTGCAACCGTGGAGCCACCAGCATATGTAGACAATTTTGACGCGTAAACACACTAAACACGAAGTGTTGGTGAGTGTGCTACCACATGAACGCGTGTTCACTATGCATTTCCCTCATCCCTGCCTCGGATGTGAAGGAAAGACAAGGAATTTCGCATGTTCGGGGGAATTTTCGTCCAGCGATTCAAATCACGTGATCTTGCTGCAGGCCAGCTCGAAAGTTGGAACGATACCTGCCCTCTCGCTGAGTGAGCACTGTTTTTCCGTTGATGGATCCTAATACTACAAATAGGATGACTACATGATACGCCTTCTCGCAAACCGTTTCCTCAATGACCGTCCGACCAGAGCCCTGACAGCGGCTTTCATACAAGGTAAGCCTGCCGCGCCGCACGCAAAAGAGCACTCACCACTACTTCGGGCAGTTCGCGCCCCGCAGCGGGTTCACGTACCCTGCGATCCCCTCGTTCTTGTACCCGAGGTTGCGGATCGCGTTCTGCCGCTCGTTGATGTTCGTCGTGTAAAAGTGGTCGACCACCTTGGGGTTGTACATCCGGTAGAGCGGCACCGCGCCGCAGAGCGACCTCGGGTAGACGAACGCGCTCACGCCCTCGTACGTGTACCCGAGCTTGCCCGCGGCGTGGTTCGCCTCCGCCCCGCTCGTCGTGTAGAAGTGGTCCGTGCCCGAGGGCGAGTACAGGCGGTAGAGCGGCACCGCGCCCGCGCCCGGCGCGGTCCCGCTCGGCGGGAACACCTGCGCGGCGACGCCCTCGGCCGCGTACCCGCCGCCCCCGCTCGTCGCCGCGTTGTACTCCTGGAGGTTCGTGGTGTAGAAGTGGTCGGTCGCGCCGGCGCTCCAGGCGCGGTAGAAGGGCACGACGGGCGCGCAGCAGCGGGCCTGTAGGGTGGGGACGCGTTAGCGTATTCGCCGGGAGGGCAAGGGATAATCGCTACATTCGCTACTTCCTCGGCGGGGGCAGACTGCACAGTGAGGGCAAGCGCAGAGATGATGAGCGAGGTGAAGAAGGTCTTCATGGTGGCTCGGGGGAGATGGGAGTGGTGCAAGGGCGGTAGACGAGTGTAGAACTCTGCGAGTCTGTCGACCGTCGTCGAGTCTGTTATACTGCAGAGAGCAGGTCGAACAGGAGTTGCTTACCATCATAGAATCGCGGCGAGAACGTCCGTCCGCGAGACGCAACTTAGATCGCGTATGAAGTCACTATGCGGGATGCACGGCGTGAGCAGCGACGTCGTTACCGAAAAACGCACTCATTGCAGCACATGCGTGCAAGATCTCGAGCGCGTGCATGTGTAATGCGTAGACCAAGCCAGCCGAGGCTCTCAAGGAGGTGAAGTTATAGTGCTCTCCATTACCTCGCACCTCCCATGCCCTGGGCGACCCCTGTGTACTCTACCATCTTGTCCTCCCTCAGATCGCGGCGGCGGTCAAAGTGTAGCGTCAGGCACACGCCCATTCGATTATCTAGACCAACTCGATGTGCAGCTCAATCGCACACTTCTCCAGCTGCACACTGCGGTCGAGCAGATCTCAGTGAATGCACAAACGGAGCCAGGCGACTATAGCCATTCAAGCGGGAGCTTTTCTGATTCCGACATGAACGCGCTGGGCAAGCACCCACAAGACCGATCGAACGATCCATACGCACAAGACAGCTCGTCGCTCTGCACCGACATAATCACCCGCCTCCTCCTCCTCCTCCTCCTCCTCCTCCTCCCCACCGGATCTCTGGCCACCCCCTGCGTGTCCTGCCAGCTGGAGCTCGCACCCCTTCTCCGCCGGTCCTTCTCCGCGCGCGCCTCGCCCACCGCACCTTCGCGTCCTTCGCCCGCGGTGCGCACTGGCGCCTTCTTCTCCGTCGTCCGCCCGCGGGCTCGCGGTGAGTTCGGAGTCACCCGGATCTTCCCGTGCGCGTCGCGGACGACGAGCCCCTCGCGTGCGCCTTCGTGGCCGTCCTCGTCGCCGCCGTCCGCACGAACCGTCGTCTGCTGCATGCGCTCCGCGAACGGCCCTCTGCCCCGACCTCCGTTCGCGTCTCACCGCGGCCGAGGACGCAGAAGAAGCGCTCGTCGACGCCGATGCTCTAGAAAACCCGTGAGCATCACAGACAGACTGAGAACGAGAAGGGACGGGCGCACGCCGAGAGACGTCTTCGTCACAGAGCGGTCGTCTGTGAACACGCTCACGCACGGGCCCTGCGAGCAGCTCGCAGTGCTTGTGGTGAGGCCAGCGCTGAACGGCGTCACTTCCGAATTCCTGTAGGCTTCGGAGCAGCCTGTGTCTTCTTCGAGACCGCAGCTGTGATGGAACGAGGGGCCCGGTGCGGACGCGTGCTTGACACCATCTGGTCGGGGTCTGTGCAACGTTAACGTTCATTGCGGATCTGGGCGCGGAAGACGGAAAGACGCAAATAGACATTCGGAGGCTGGGTGAAGACGCCACTGCACGCTGCGAAGTGGAAGGACTCACCATAATCAAGTTATGTCCCCCATCTGTTCTAACCTCGCGTTCGCTGCTCGGTGAGGCGAGCAGGCGCAAATCGAAGTTGATCGGTTGATCATTGACACTGACGAGGAACAGAGTCGGAGGAGGAATTGGAGAGTCGTTTCGAGAAAGAGACTGGAGTCGGCCGACTCGATCAGTTCGACTCCAAGTGGACCGGTTCAACTTTGAAAGAGCGCCAATGAGGCGCGAGTTGAACTCGCACCAAAATGTTCCACTTCGCTGAGTACTGCTGGCCAAGGCATGCGTGGGCTGCAAGAGTGCAATGTATTGTCCGTCGGGGCCTTTCCAAAGGGTCGACTGGCCGCGGCATGAGATTGCGTGCAAGAGGCCGGGTAGATCGGGCCCTTGCACGCACCAGTAAGTCTCTGCAACCGCCGCGCGCTGCACACATCGAACTCTCAAGTGACGCACGCACCCTGCAGACCTAAAGACGGCAGTTTCCTTCTCAGAATGAACTTCCCAAAGCCCATAGATAACGCGCAGTACTCTAGCTATAGATACAACGATACACACAGCACAGATCCCAAAAACGTACCCTCCCAGCCATGCCAGTCACGACCACACACCACACACTTGAGCCCGCCCCCACCTCTCAGATCATGATCATCCCGTACAGCACCGGGTCCACCCTCATCGCCGGGTACGCGTACTGGTCCACGAGCGTCCCCCGCGACTCGGACGCGTCCCACACCCCGCCCCCGTACGGCCCCGCGCCGCCGCACTTCGCCGTCGCCGTCGCCGTCGCCGTCGTCGCACCGAGGTCGGCAGCGGACGCCCCGGACGCGACGAGCCCCAAGCTCGTGCTCGACAGCACGCTCCGCAGCTTCCGGATCTTCCGTCCCTCCTTCCGCGGCGCGCGCCTCGCCGGCACCGGCCACGGGGTCTTCGAGTCGTCGTCCGAGCACGAGTCCGAGTAGGACTCGTCGCCGGACGTGGACGAGGTGCCCTCCCGCGCGAGCGTGTGAGGCAGCGCGGGCACCGGGGGCGCGGCGTCGTCTGCGGCAGCGCGGGCGCGGAGGTCGGGGATGGAGCGCGCGCGGTGGACGAGGGTGGAGAGCGCGCGGGAGACCTTGCGGCGGAGGGTGCGGGGCTCGCCGCCGTCCGTGGAGGGGGAGGAGGAGGAGGAGGAGGCGGGGTCGCGCTTGGGCTTGGAGTGGCCGCGCAGGTGGTTGCTGTCTGCGCGGTGGGGGTGGGGGTCAGTCGCGCTCATGATCAAGGGGTCGGGGGACGCTTACCCGCGGCGGATGGCAGGACGGTGAGCTGCATCTTGAGCCGAAGGAGGGGGCGAGAGGGGTGGGGGCGAAGAAGAGGGACGTGAGGCGGAGGGAGCTCGTCGACTTATATCCGTGTCGCCGCCGGACGCGAAGCCCAGCCCGGACGAGGCTCAGACTGCAAGTGGCCGCTGCCCCAAATCACACTCCGCGAAAGCTAACACGTTGCGCTAAGCTAGGCAGAAGATGGCTCTGCTCCGCCGAGGACCCTTGATCGGGATGCTTAAGTGCATGGGCGCGCTGGCAGTGGCTGCATGCCCCGCTTGGCCTGTGCGTGCGGGGAGAGAGAAGGAGATTGGGTTGCGGACCTTGTTGAGAGCGCTGATGAAGTTCGCGGCGAAGGATGATGGCGAACATCGCCTGTGTTCCCGCACGAAACAGAGAGTCGTCGTCCGTGCTCGTCGTGGTCGACTTCCAACCCGTCCGAGTCCTCGACTGTCTGCCCCCGGAGATTGCCTTCTGGGGCCCCCGATCTCGGTCATCGGCCGTCCTCGATGCCATATCTGGTATCCCGGGCGCCTGTCAGCTGCAGTGCCCACTCGGGCGATACGTCACGGCCTCGTCCAGGCCACAACAACAAGACTTTTCACGTTCCCAGTGCGCATCGGCTGTGGTCTTGTGCATTCAACTGCTCACGGAGCGCACAGGCTAGACCCACCGCACCCCATTTCAGACCTTCCGCGACACCGCAGCCTCGTGATAATATCAACCGCGATGCTCAGTTTCTTCGGAGGTGGGACGGGGGCCGTCGAGCTCCCCGCCCACAACTGCGTCCAGCCCACCGCGCTCCAGACGCCCTCGCTCAAGAAGCTGTACGGCAAGCGCGTCGTGCTCGCCTCCGCCAGCCGCCGCCGCCGCGACATCCTCAAGACCTTCGTGCGTTCCCGCCCCGCCGCCCGCACAGGGGCCCTCGTGCTGACCCCCTCCTGTCCGCCGCACAGGGAATCGAGCCGGAGATCGTGCCCTCGACGTTCGAGGAGACGCTCTCCTTCGACGAGTTCCCCGACCCGCACGAGTACCCGGTCTCGACCGCGACCCACAAGGCGGTCGAGGTCTACGAGCGCCTCGTCGTACGTCCTCTCCCCTCTCTCCCCGCCGTCTAACAAGCGACAGAATCGCCCGCCTCCTCCTCCTCCCTTTCCCTTCCCCGCCGACACCGATCGCCTCCGCAGCGGGAGAACCCGGACGACGCACCCGATCTCGTCATCTCCGGTGCGCTCTCCGCGTCGATCGAAGTCGGGGTCGAGAGCTGACACGGACACGCACGCACGCACGCAGCGGACACGGTCGTGCTCACCCACCCGCTCCCGGGGCTCTCGAGCGTGCCGCGCTTCTCGGACGAGCCCCCGCCGCCGCAGGACCTGCTCGAGAAGCCGGCGGACAAGGCGGACAACCTCCGGATGCTCCTCGACCTCAACGGCGGCGTCTGCGAGGTCGTCACTGGGGTCACCCTCGGTGCGCCCTCCATCTCCTCTCCTCCGCCTCGCGTCCGTCTGACCCCCCTACCCGGACCGACGCAGTGTGGCCCGTCCTGGAAGCGCCGGGGTACAAGCTCAAGTGCGTGCCGTCTCTCTCGACTGGGAAGGTGGTGGTGGGAGCGAAAGGACGTTGACGCGCACGCGCCGCCCCCAGGTCGATCGAGGAGCGCACGCTCGTGTACTTCCAGGAGAACGACGAGGCGCTGCTCAAGGCGTACGTCGAGAACGGCGAGGGCGCCGACCGCGCGGGCGGGTTCGCGATCCAGGTCTGCTTCTCTCCCTCCCTATTAGCCCTCCCTTGGTCTGCGTGGGCTGACGCCGGGACGCGCGGCAGGGCCTCGGCGGGGTGCTGGTGAGCAAGATCGAGGGGGACTACCACAACGTCGTCGGCTTCCCCGCCGCGTCCTTCTTCAAGTTCCTCGCCCTGCTCGTCGAGGAGGAGTCCGACTTCCTCGACCTCTGAGCACTCTCCGGGAACCGTGGACGGACGGGTGGTGGCGCATGAGGCTAGATAGATTGCATTTTGGAGCCCCGTCCCGCGTTCTTGAGGCGGAGCAATCGGCAGCTTTTCAGAGGACTCTCTCCGCGCATCGCCCCCCAAAGTCGAACGTCGAGAGCCTGTGCACGCTTTCCGAACCCTTGCGTCTTTGAGGTCCGTCGAGCACGTTCACGCCGATCACCGACGCACACGTACGCACGTGGGGCACGAAGTCGGGGGCGGTTGCATTCCTCTGGCTGTCCCCGAGCATCCCACCCTCGATCCCCAACGCCGGCGGCCGATCGATCCATATAACTTAAGTATCTCCGCCTCGCTGAAGCGTGCACCCGCCGGATGGCGACACGCCTGGCGTAACCCCCGTGGGCCGTGGGGGCAGCACTCGATCGTTGGAACTTGGGAATCACGTCCTTACCGAGGCCTGAGGTACCGGTGCATGCCAACCTATAGATCGGCCCGCAGACCTCCACGTTAGAGCTCCCCTCCCTCGAGCCCTCCTCCATTCCAATTTCCCAGCCCGTGGCGGCTTAGTGTCTTTCCGCTCGATCGTGCGATCGGTTTTCGGTCGCCACGCCGTCTACATGGGGCCCACCTCAGGTGCTCCGCCGGAGTCCGGGGCGATCATCGCTGTCTCGTCCGGATCCAGCTCGCGGCACGATCTCGCAAAGCTTGTTTCCAAAACCGAACTCGTGCCCGACACAAGCCGCCGCCCGCAGGCGATCTCGGTGGCAGACCAGACCGGACTCAACGGCACGCGATCACATGAACGCACACACAGAGCACATCCCCCGAGATCGCTGGCGCTGTGTATACGCGCTCTAACATAGGTGGTATACAACAGAAGGGAGAAGAGATTACGCTTACATGTACGTACGCAGGACAGAGACATCAAACACTAAAACGGAGAGCGAAGCCGTGTCCGAGAAAAAGAGTCCCCTCCGACCTCCGAGCCTACGAAAGCCTGCGCGGGCCCTGCGCGGGCCCAGCGACCGGACCGGTCAGGTCACGGCACGCCCATCCCCGGCCCCGTGCACCACAGCGCGTCGAGCTCGTCCAGGAGCTCCGAGGGCGACGACGGCTCCGGCGACGACCACGTGGACGCGGACGAGGCGGAGGGCGAGGACAGCGCGCCCGGGGAGCTCCACGCCCCGGAGCCGGAGCCAGAGCCAGACTCGGACGGGGCGGTCTCGGAGCCTGAGCTCGAGACGCGGGAGACGCTCCCCGGAGCCGCGGGTGCGGGCGCGGGCGCGTGCGCGGCGAGGGCGCGGGTGAGCGTGAGGGCGTCCGCGCCGGGGATGCGGGCGAGGAGCGAGTTGCCCTGTGGACGTGAACGCGGGGTCGGTCAGACGACGGGGGGTTCGGGGAGGAAGCTCGGAGGGGTGCACCGGAGGCGCTCCGGGGGCGCACCCCGGGGAAGGAGAGGAAGGAGGCACGGGTGGGGCACCGGATGGGAGACGTCACGTACTCTGAGGAGGATGAACGTCGGGACGGCGTCGACGTCGAACGACGCGGCGATGTCCTCCTGGGCCTCCGCCTCGATCTGGGGGGCGCCGGGGCGGTCAGGACTCAGAGACTCGACGCGCGGCCGGGGCGGGAACGTGAGACACGCACGGAGAGGACGAGCACGCGCGGGTACTTGAGTGCGAGCGCACGGACGACCTCGTTCATCTGCTCGCACGGCGCGGCCCACGGGGTCCAGAAGCTGAGCAGCGCGACGCGGGCGAGGTCTTCTGCGAGCAGCGTGCGGAAGTCGTCTGGCGACTTGACTTCGTACAGGTTCAGAGGAAGGCCCGGGCGCATCGTTCCGGGAGTGCGTGGTGTGCTGGCGGCGGACGGACGTCGTTCTGTGCAGCGTCGGGGGGCGCGTGCGGGGCAGTGGTGGTTCTGGTGGGAGTCGGCTGGTGGCAAAACATGGGCACTAGTCGGTTGGCAACAGCTGGGCTCGCTGGGAGCGGTGCCGGGGCCTGAGCTTGACGTCGTGCGCCCATGCTAGCTGGCTCGAGAAAGCGGCGGGAAAGGGAGTGCGCATCTTCCGAGCTAATGGCGCAATTTCGCGACTCGGCCCCGGGCGCTTGCTGCCGCCATCTAATCAGATACGGGCCCCCTCCTCCCGCGCACGCACTCACGCCCACGCCCATGGGAGCCGTCGCGAGCCCCCGGAGCCGTCGACGGCCCGTGACTCTCCGTGGGTCGCGCGCCCTCTCAGCCCGTCGTCGACGCCCCCGCTCCCGCACCCACCCTCGCCGCGCCGCCGCTTCTCCCAGCGCACGCAAACTCTGTCGGGGGCTCGTCTCGGTCGGAACAGTCGCCTTTTCCGGCGGCCTGCTCTCGTGCGTGCCGGACGCGTTCCTGGGGCAGTGGCTCCGGTTCTGCTTCGGTTGCGCTCGTGGATTAATTGTCCTGCCGTGGAGCTTGGCACGCCCACCCAAGTATTAGACCGGATGGACGCCTCCTTCCAACACGCAACGCTGGGCTCAGCTGCGAACGCCGCCAAACGCTGCCCACCGCCGCGCGCGCGTTGCCGCTGCAGGACCCACGGCAGGTGCCTGGCCAGCTATAGCTACAGCTCCCCACTCGCAGCCCCGCCACCTTCGCGCCAAATATACCACCTTATACCACCCGGCCCCGCGTGCGCCGGACCCACACGGCTGGCGACCGAGGAACCACCTCCCACTCGCACCCTTCCCGCGCAACGCTGCAAGGTAAGTACGGCCAGTATACTTGGCACGCACCGCGGGGCCTTGCGCACTGGCTGTCACTCGGTCGATCCGGCTCAAGATGGTCAAATGGCCTCCGCCCCCCCGCGTTCTAGTGCGGTCATGCGGGAAGGGGACGAGCCTTCCCCGGTGGTGCGGGCGCCGCCGCCTAGCTAGGTGGATTGGCGGAGAGCCCGGGAGGCCTCCGCACCTCTGGGCATTCAGTGGCGGAAATCCATGCTCACGCCGGGGACGCTGCCCAGACCTCTCTAATGCTATGCCTCCTTCCGGACGACACTGCACTTTATACCAAGCCAACAGCACTTATCTCGGCGCCCCGCCCCACCTCGTCCGCGCGAGGGGCGTCACGCCCGGACGTCCGCATCGAGCCGGACGGATCGGAAGGCCGGGGGCGTGCGCGCCCTGCCTCTCGGTCCCGCTAAGCGTTCTCGACGTCGACTCCGGTTCCTGCGATTCCCAATTCCCAATTAATGCCCGCCCCTGCGCAGCCCGTACTTACGTGCACAGAACGCGAGTGCGCCTGACAACGGACGACAGGCTTCTGGCGCGCTCGACGCCCAAGCTCCTCCGCTCCGAACGCGGACGAGAGACGTCGATGCATGTTCCCCGCCCCGAAAGGCCTAGCGGGCTGGCTGCGGTGTGCGCTCGGCCCCGCACGCCCCCGCATGGCGACGGCGCGTCGCCCTTGGGCGGCGCGGACGTCGAATCGCGTGCACCGCAGCGCGCGCGGGCCTGCTGCGCACATCAATATCAATATGTATGCCGGCTCGCGAGTCGCGGTTCTCGGGCCTCGGTCCTGGACCCGTGCCTGCCGTCGACGGTCCGGGCCACAGCAACGGGTACCTTTACTGGTTCCCCGCGCGGACTTCGTGCTCCGCGGCCTTTCACTAGAGGGTGCTCAACGTCCGCGTCAACACCGGTAGGCGCCTCAGGCCTCAGCTCCGACCACGGGACAGAGCTGGACCGACACCCCATGCACCCTGCGGCGCGTTCTCAGGTCGCCGCCTGCGGGACCGAATCTCACGGGCGGGGTGGGGAGGGGGGGAGAGCCGCGGGAGGCGCGGGCGTGGGCGCAATTAACGCACGCATGCGTTCATTGTGGCCGCAGCAGCCAGGCACGGACCGGGAGGGGTGCGCGAAGGAGACTCGCGCGCCGGCTCGAGCCTTCGACCGCCGCGATCGTCGCGGGAGCGGCGCGCGGTGGGAGGGCCGGGTGGGAGGGGGGGAGCGCAGCGGGTGATGCTCGTCGTCCAATATGGCGCGGCGCCTACGAACTTCGAAGGCTGTTACGGTGTAACCAGCTGTGTGGGTACTGGGATGCGTGCTACAAGCGACTGAGATAACAGATACATTGCGCCGTGCGCACGTGCCGAGTCTGCAATAAACGGGACTCCGGGTCATAAGATGCCACTTAGTAGGAGACGAGTGGGGATCGAGACTACCTGTCTGGCCCATCGAGAAGCGTGAGGTCGCCGCGCCGGCCGGCGATCAGGCGTGCCCGGCGAGCCAGTCCGCGACGCGCTCGACGAGGTCCGCCTTCTTGCCGGAGACAGCCTCGCCCTTGCTCTTCAGGAATTCCTGCGTGATGAAGGCCATCAATGAGCACTCCTGAATCAGATCGCACGCGCAAATGGGCGGGCAGGTAGGCGCGGGGCCGCCGACGCGCTCGGGACGGCGGTGTGAACGGCGTGCAGGGTAGGCGTACACTTGATGTCACGAAGTCGGCCGCATTGTACAAGCACGATACAGTGCGGGCCGCGCGCGCCAGCTCGAGAGCGTCACATGAACGAAATCGGGTACGTACCTTGAGCTGATCGACACGGAGCTGTGGAGACGACCCGAGTCAGCACACGGACCAAACACGGACAGGGACGACGCGGGCATCCCGGGCGCAGGCTCCCAGAACGGTAGAATGACGGTGGGACAGGGCTCACCTTCGCGAGCGCACCGGCGTCGTACTTGCTGCGAATCTCGGCCTCGTCCACGCTCACGTCCTGCGGAGCGCATGTGCCGCAGTCGGGCAGGCCGCGTCCGGCGCGACGGTCAGCTCGCGGGCGGGCGGGCGAGCGGGAGGGAGGTTACTCACCGCCTTCCGCTTGGTGCCTGCGACGGGTGCGGCGACTATGTTCGCCGTGTCGTCCTCGCGCAGGACCTGCTTCCACGCCTTCATCAGCTGGCCTGCCCGCTGTCGTTGGCCGTCGCGCGCGGGACGGAAAGGTTCCATTCCGGTGGGGAGAAGGGGGCGGCGGAAGCACCGTTTTCCCTATTACGTGAGCCCTGGGTCTCGACGGCTGGAAGGAGAACGGTCCTGACCCTGTGTATCATGTCGTGTTTCGGTTCCGTCAGGTCCTCGAATGCTTCTGGGTCGAACTCTTCTCGAAATGCGCTTGCCTCGAGCTGAGCGTTGTGATACGCAAGGGCTGGGAGAGGCGAGTGAGAACGACTGCCGTACGATTGAATTGCCCCCGACAGGATTAAGGGCCGAGGCAATATACGTTGGCAGCGCACCTGGGTTCGGGTAGGCGTCGGGTGGATACGTTCCGTTCTTGACCATTAGCTTCGCTATCCACTCTGCTGCCTGCTCCGCGAGCTCGTCGGAAGCTGCGGGGCGGGCCAGGTTGTCCAGGGAGCAATTACGGCGAAGCCGTCAATGTCGTCGATCGAGCGGCGGTGAATGGGTACGAAAATGGGCCCAAGTCAGCTTCCGCACTAGCAGCTCCCAGGAAAAGGACGATGCGCCTACCGCGGAAAGCCGACTCCACGGGAGCGGCTCGGATGTCGTCGGCGAATGGCAGCGGGATAAGGTGGAAGCCCGGCGGCTCACGCCAGCCGCTCGCGTCGACCTTTTCGCCCTGGGCACGGCACGCAGGCGGTTAGTGCGTCTGTCACATGAGCGAGGCGTGCGTGCGGACCCTGGCGGGCCATCTGCCAGCGGGGCTACATTGGTGATAGGTTCGATCGAGAAGGAGCTCACCTGCGGCAGCATTGCGCAGAAAATGGGAGAGGCGTTGCGGCGGGTGAGCGCGATGGCGATGACGATCTTCTTTTTCCTGATCGTCGTTCGAAGGAGGGCCGTGAATGTGCGCTTGCTCCCCGAGTATGTCTGTAAAGAGGGGCCCGATTGGCCGCGGAGGTTTGGTCACGGTCGGAACGAGCAATGAGAACAGTAAGCGACGGCTCCGAGGAAGGCGACGAGAACAGGTCGCACCATCTCATCAGGATAGATGAACACCGAATGCTTGATGTTGTCTTCGAAGGCAAGGTCCTTCCGGCTCTTGAAACCTAGCACCTTAATGCCTGGTTCCATGCGGTCAGCGAGCGAAGGACCAGCGTGCAATTGAAGGTATGCGAACCAGGCTCGAGCCCGACCGTGCGGAAGGACCGCACTTCGTCAGCGGTAAAGAATACGCGGCTGCCGAGGGGCACAGCGCGGGCACCGGTCAATTCCTTCGGCCTGCTGTCTTCTTCGCCCTCCTCAGCGTCTGCCGCCCGAGCCCCGAGCTCCATCCCATACTGTATATGCGCTTTGTCGGCCGCCGTGTCCCGGTCCTGCGGGTTGGGCATAGACCGTAAGCGTACTTCCCCAAAACCTACACGAGACACATGCACTCACTTCGTCCACGTAAGACGTACGAGAGGTCACGGCCTCCATACTGTCGCCGAGGTCGGCGAAGTACCGGTACGCGCCTCGCTTCTGCTCCGTTAGGAGGCCGAATCTGTCACGCCGGCGCCGAATCAGCACGGACGGGCAAAACTCTGCAACGAAGACATTCTCGTGCGGAGACGCGCTTACCCCTTCACTCCGATGACGAGCCCGGGCGCGAGTGTCAGCGGCGTCGTGAACTGCGCCCGCTTTGGCACTTCGTGGTAGCGCATTTGCGCCAGAAGCTCGTCAATCCGGCCAATGGATATCGACTCTGGTAAGATAGAGCCGTCATCTGTTTCATCGGCGTCGGTGATATTCGTCGTGACGAGAACGGACTGCGGTGTACGGTTAGTCCAGAACTACTACAGCGACAGAAGAACCTGATTACAGAGTAGAAGGTTGCGGGGGTGAACGGTTTGTTGTCGGTGCTGATGAAGAACGGCTCAACGGTAATCCCAGCTTGGACAAGATCCTGGAAGACATACAGCGGTCAGAAACGAAGGTGACACCTCTGACATTTTGCTCACGATGAGTGTCGTACGAGCCGAGGTGATGAGGCGGCTACTTGCAGCGCCGGGGTGTGGGTTGTCTTCGTCAGTGACGAAGAATATGCGTTTGCTTGCCGTCTTTGGCGCTCTAAGGTGGCGTCACTTCACCCCGCGCTGCTTTCATGGGACATTCGAGACTTACCCGTCACGCATTACCCAGTTGCAGCTCGTGAAGACGTCTCCTACGGGAACACGCTTTGTCTCCATCGGGGGAAATGTCTCCCGCAAGACCTCTGGCTTCTCCCGGGCCTCTGGAACGCAGTCAGACCAGGGCGTCCTATCCGCGTATAGGGCGGACGCACCGTCGAGGAGCTGAGAAAGCTCCATGACCTTCGGGGCATCGACTACGGAGATAGGTTGGTAAACATAGGTACCCTTCTTGATGTCCGCGCCCGCAGTGCCGCTTTCGTTGCGGTTCGTCTAGGGTGTGGGGTGGGTGTATGCGCATGAAAAGGGGCGTAGTGTGGCGCTTACGGTATTGAACAGCATAATCCCCACTGAGTCACTCGGGCCGACGAGAACCTTTCTCTTCTGAACTTGCATCGCGGCTTCAAGCGCTACGAAGAGGTTGCACGTCTGGACGTCCTCGTAACGTGGGTCTTCGCGCATTTCCAGCATGGAAGGTGAACAGTCAATGCAGAAAAGGATGACATCCTTCTTCCCTTCATAGAGCTGGTGGCAGAGAATGAGAAAAGTTTAACAACACATGGTGTAGGAAATACGAATGGTTGCAACGCGGGCGCAGCACAGACTACCGCATGTAGCATAGGGTGCAAAGGAGGTATTTGGGTGTACATACCGAGCTATCCTGCAACTCCTCATCATCCTCGTCTTCAAGCTTATTCCAATCGTCAAACGGTGCCATGTTCGCGTCCAATGTTGAGGCAGACGGGGTAGGGGGGAAGGAAAGGTGTTTGGATTGGTGGTGGATGCAAGCCAAGTCACGATGGCCCTGCGCTCGTGTTTGGCGCCGATCGCGACGCGTTCCCCACGTGACCCTGGTGAGGCCCTTGTGGCGCTAAGCTTACCGCTCCTCTCACGAAGCCACCATCTTGTCTAAACACCAAACGCCCTAGATCCCGGCGCTCACTCGTACCCTACCCTGCAGCTGCCAGCAGATCATCCTCCGCGCTAACTCCTCAAAGCCCTGACCCTTGCAGCGCTGTAGGTGAGCGTCTGGCATTAGTCTTCTGCCAGATCTGTCGAATCGTGGGATTAATCCGGACTATGATCATCCAGCAGTTGCCCAGCCTACGCTTACGGCTTCAGACAGAAGCCAATCCTTTCATTTCCCAGTTGCCATCCAACGCTTCACAGGCCTCTCAATCTTGTAATTTTCCTCGTAGAAAACAAGCTGTCGACTCGCTTGCCGGTTGGACAGTCCTCCGAGAACCGCGGCTAGAACGGTACCTGTCCAATGTCGACTTCGTCGCCCTCCGCGGCGGCCTCGAGCAGTCCCGCCAATCTTCCACCGCTACGCTTTATTTCCTTTGCCACCCTCGAGGGCGCCGAGCCGCCTGTGTTGCGCATTAAGACCGACGAGGACGTCGACGCATGGAAGCTGACTACCGGCTACCGCGACTTCGGTCTCTTCTTGCAGCGCCTCGCCGCGGCCGTCGTCGGTCATTCTCTGCCCTACGCCGATCCTGGGCCTGACCAAGTCAGAAATCCGTCGTTCCCATTTGCGCCCTGCTGACGCTCGTCGGACAGGCGGTCAGCGCGGTCGTCGGCGTGCTTGATGTGCTCGACGGATGGGTGGACGAGATCCCGCCGCTGGCCACCCCCCAACGGTTCGGAAACCTTGCGTTCAGAACGTGGGGCAGGAGACTCGAAGAGGTGAGGCGAAGCCGCGGCCCTACAATTCACCGGGGTGCTGATTCCATTCCGGCCACAGGAGGCTGGTTCGCTGCTGAAGCGGCTGCTTCCCGCGGGGCTTGAGCGCGCCGTGCCGTTCATCGAGCCGTACTTTGTGACCGCGTTCGGGTCGTTCATTCGGATGGACTATGGCACCGGGCACGAGACCTCGTTCGCGCTATTCCTGTTGTCTCTCACCCTTCTCCGGTTCCTCGCGCCGGAGCCCCGAGTAGAAAGGCAGATCGTCCTGACGGTCTTCCTCCGCTATCTGCGCCTCTGCTGGCGACTGCAAGACGTCTACAAGCTCGAACCGGCGGGGAGCCATGGGGTCTGGGGCCTGGACGACTATCACTTCCTGACATACGTATTTGGAAGTGCGCAGCTGCGAGGTCCGTGTGTGGGCGCATGGGTCCGTGTTGGAGTATTGACCCGTCGTCTGCGCAGATCAAAGAGAAATTCCAGTCGACGCGGTGCTCCGCCCGCCGCTGCCACCCACAAACCTATACTTCATGTCGATCACGCGGATACGCGAGGTCAAGTCGGGGCCTTTCCACGAGCACTCGTCTCAATTGTTCTCTATCGCCACCGGGGTCCAATATTGGACCAAGGTCCACACGGGGCTATTCAAGATGTACGAGGTGCGTCCGCCGTGCCCATTTTCCCCGTGCCGGCCGGCGACTCATGCGCTCGCCACCATTCTAGGCCGAGGTTCTAGGCAAGCGCGTGGTGGTTCAACACATTCCGCTCGGCGGATTGCTGGAGTGGGACTCGCCGCGGACACAAAGCACCGCCGCTGCGTACACACCCGCACCTTTTGGAAGCCCATACGGCGCGAGCGTGCCGACCCCTCCCATGCCCACGTCGTACCCTTCGGCAGCTACTCGGGCTCCGACGTCGTTTCCGACGACTGTGGGCCATGCTGCCCATTCGGGGCCGCTGCGCCGTCCTGGCGTGGTATCGGGATCTCCTTTCCAGCCAGCGCGCATGCCTCTGGGACCCACAGCGAGTAACACCTACCGGCCTATGACCCGACCAGGCGTCATGCCGGCGACGTTGGCCCCGCCACCTCCTCCACCTCCGAGTCATGCATCTGCCAGAGAGCACAGGGAGTCATAAAAGTTCATTCTGCTGCGAGCTTCAGGCCTTCAGGATCCGGCCGTTCATCGGGTTATGTCTGGTTATGTACTCTGGACGAAATGTAGCACACAAGCTGTACACCGCCCGCTCGAGGCCGATGATCAGTCTCACTTCACAGCCTCGGGACTCGCACCGACTCGGGCCGGCGAAACGTCGGAGCTCGAGGAGAAGACGGGGGATTGCCTAAACGGGGGACGAGCACAGGACCGGCATCGGCCGGAGCCTGTGATTGGCCAGGGCTGTCGACGTGGTAATCGATGGCAAAAAAGTGAAAGGGTCGTCCTCGGAGCCCTGTTCGTCTTTCCGCCCCGTCCGCCGTGCTCTTTGCCCCGCCCACTCCGCCCCCTCGCTCGCCCAAAAGACTACCCCTGCCCCCAGGGAGACCCGCCCCCGCGCACCCTCTGCCGTCGTCTCGCCCCGCTGCGACGCAGAGCCTGGCCAAGCCACCATTTCTGACCAAGCGCGAAACGACGACCTCCGTCTGTTGACCCTCGAGTGCGTATTCTTCCTCTTCGCACGTATGCCGGCATCGCGCGCAATCCCGCCATGGCATGCTTCCCCGTCCCCACCCTGTCGTCTTCTGTCGTGCGGCAGATGGGCGGCGAGGGATGGAGATAGCGCTCCTAGCGGCCATCGTGTCTGCGGCGCGGTTGATCTCGTGGTCAGACCTGTCGGCCGTGTGCAAGGGTCCTGCTGCGTGCATGGCTCACGGGAGATCCCTCTTTGTGTCGTTATCGACCGTCCCTGGGCGGAACGAGGCGCTGCTGCCTCCGAACCGCTTTCTGTCTGTCACACGTCGCGACGCCTTGATGCTGTCTTTCGTCATCTTCTCATCTCCTTTACGCTTTATTTCCTTCTTGAATGCGCGCTAACAATCTCTTTTCCGTTTGCAGGTGGTCATCTGTTCGTGGTATGTCGCCTACTCGCCCGTGTACCGCCCCTTTCCTTACGTCTTCTTTCAGGAGAACCCCCTTGACAGGACCCTCGCTGCTCGTATTTGCATCAACTTAACCGAACCACTCCTCGTGTTCCGTCCCCGACTTTCTTGTTTCCTCCGCTTCTCTCCCTCCCTTCAAGCCCGTCCTCGCTTTAGGGAGCGAGGATCCCCCCTCGACTGAAGGAGACCTAGCTGTTACCGTCCTATCCCGCCCGGCCTCTCGCGACCGCGGCGGTAGGCTCGGTAATTCGGGTTCCACCGACTTCCAACAAAACGACTATTCCGTCTGCTCGCCGCGAAAGCTTCCACTTTCGCATCCCTCGCCGCCTCTCAAACACCGAACTCCTAGACAGCAACCCCGGTTTCGACAGTCCACCGGACTCGACTGAAGAAGAATCGATGTCTCTCGACATTCTCCCTGCGCGTCCCGCAGTAGACTTTGACTATGACGTCATCTCGTGCTCTCCTACACGCTCGCCCACTCTCTCTCGTTCTCACCATGAAAAGTATCTTGCATCTGCTCTCGTAAACGGCACCTATACCCCATCAAACCCTACCGATACTGCTTATCCTCTCAAGAACCCGGAGCATCACTACGATGACGAAGTTTCTATTCCTGGACTCCCGCCCCTCCTCCGCGGGCACATGGACGTTCACCTCCGCAACGGGGTCATCAACGCGCTCCACCTCAGTGCTGAAGGCGAGGCCGACGCGGAGAAGGCCTTCTTCGTTGCCGATCTCAGCTCTGTCTACCGCCAGCACGAACGTTGGCAGAAGAACCTGCCCGAGGTTGAACCCTTCTATGGTGCGTTCTCGCGCCGTTGTAGCATCGCGGGCCACTGACTCATGTCCATTACGTTTCCGCAGCGATCAAGTGCAACCCCGACCCCTACGTCCTACGCCTTCTCGCCGCGCTCGGGACTGGTTTCGACTGCGCCTCCAACGGCGAGATCAACAAGGTCATGGCTCTCGGGGTCAGCCCCGACCGCATCATCTTCGCCAACCCCTGCAAGGCTACGTCGTTCATTCGCTCCTCAGCCAAGGCCGGAGTGGACATGATGACGTTCGACAACACAGACGAGCTTCACAAGGTTGCGCGCACCCATCCCGGCGCCAAGCTCGTCGTCCGCATTCTCACGGATGACTCGAAGTCGCTCTGCCGGCTCGGACTCAAGTTCGGCGCCCCGTTGGCGAGCGTGCCCGCGCTGCTTGTGAAGGCCCGCGAGCTCGGGCTCAACGTCGTTGGTGTCTCGTTCCATGTCGGCAGCGGCTGCTACGACCCGAACACGTTCATGGACGCGCTCATGCGTGCACGGTCCGCGTTCGACATGGGTCGCGATGCCGGCTACAAGTTCACCCTGCTCGACATCGGCGGTGGGTTCGAGGATGCGACGTTCGAGCGCATGGCCGCGGTCATCAATGAGGCAATCAACGTCTACTTCCCGAACCGCAAGGAGGAGGGCCTGAGGATCATCGCAGAGCCTGGACGCTACTATGTCTCCAAGGCGTTCAACCTCGCCACGAACATCATCGCTCGCAGGGCGCCCCCCGCGGCGGACGACTCGGACCTCGCTGACCCGGAACATCCCAGCGTGATGTGTACGTCTTCGCCCCGCTTTTGTGTCCATCCTTGTTGGCTGACGTTGCTGTTTGTAGACTACATCAACGACGGTGTGTACGGGGCCTTCAACTGCATCCTCTTCGACCACCAGACGCCCACGCCCTTCGTGCTCTCCCTCGCGGGCTCCTTCCACGTCCCGCAGGGCCTCCCCCTCCGGGCGTCGTCCGTCTGGGGCCCGACGTGCGACTCGCTCGACTGCGTCTGCCCGGTGACGCCGCTGCCCGCCGCCCTCCAGGTCGGGGACTGGCTCGGGTTCGAGAACATGGGCGCGTACACGGTCTGCGCCGCGTCCCAGTTCAACGGCTTCGAGGTCTCCAAGGTCATCTACACGACAGGCACCGGGCCGGGGGCGAAGGAGGTCCGCGACGCGCTCCGCCAGTTCGAGGGCGACGCTCAGGCGTGAAGAGGGCGGCGCGGCGCGGGACGGCCCGCGCGGGCTCAGCGCGAACCCGAAGATCCCACGCGGCAGGGTCCCGAGCCCGGGGCGGAGGAGGCGTGGTCGTGCGTGGGTGTGGGGACGGCGGAGGCGTGGGACCGACGGCGTCGTCGGCGGTGGACGACGCTCGAGGGCCGGTGGGAGACCGGGGTAGACTGAATGCGCCAGGGCGGCTGTCGCATGGAGGGACGAGAGAGGGGCTCGATATGGACTGATGACGCTGCCGCCGTCGGCGCGTCGTGTTCGTGCATTGGTTACTACGTGCTTGCTTGCCGACTCGCCTCGGACCGGTGCTGTAACGACTCTGATGACTACATAGCGTACTACTATCACAATCCCAGTGATGGGAAGTTTGGTTTAGCAGTCTTCTTTCCCATCCGACAATCGTGAGGATTTGCACGTCGGTCGAGGTACGCTCCACCCTTTGTTTGCGAAAGGATCGGCGCGAATCTGTGTAGGAACAAGCTCGATCTGTGGAAAATGCGCTTTAAATGAACGAAGTTGACGATTTGATGCCCGTCGGCTACACCCCCATCGTCAGCGCTCGGCTGGAAACTCCGCAAAGGGTCTTAGACGAAGAAGGGCTCACCTGCTGATAATTCTCCGGGAAGATATCTGTGGGAGGACGTTGGCGGGGGCCGACTCGAGCCACAGAACGCGAGTGATTCGAAGACGGCGTCATCACAGGACAGCCTAGCCGAGCCGAGAAATTTCCCAACTCTGGGGTCTGAGCCCGGTGCGTCCTGGGGGCCGCGACGCACCCTCGGCTTCTCTCAAGTTCGATGGCACGGTGGTTGGCCGGAGCCTCACACGCACTACGAAACCGGACGGTCGTCGCCGGTCGAACGGCGCTTCCCAAGTCCCACCGCTGCGGGGCGGTGACAGTGGTAAGTGCCGCCAAGCACGCCCGAGGGCAACCCACATTCAATTTCGGTCGAGCCCAACGCACGCTCGTTCGGGCTGGGTCCTGGGAAGGCTCGGCCCTCCGTCCGCGCGGACCGCTCCCCCTCCAACGGGCGGCGGGCGATTGCCAGCCACCGGGCGGCTTCCCGTGGCGGCGAGACGGCGGGCGTTGACGTCCCCGCTCTGCCCTGCTAGCGAGTGTGTAGTAGCACTTACTCGGTGGTGGTGGCGATAGCGCGCGCCGCCGGAACGAGGGCGTTCGCTCGCGGAGCCGGCAAGGATTGACGAGCGCACAGCAGTGGCAGCTGCAGCGCACGCGGCTGCTTTTCGTCCGTCCGCGACGACGACCAGGGGCGGGCCTGACGTCCGCCGGTAGTGACAGGCGACCGCATGCTCCTCGTTCCTCTCTGGAGATCTGAGCGTCCGAGAGAAGGCGTCGACGTCGACTTCGGGCGACGGGCAGTCTTCCCGACTCGAGAGGCACGCTCGACTGCTCGAGCCTCACTGGTCGACCGTGACGTTCACGCGCTGCCGTGCCGGGGTCGCACGCTCTCGGCTCCGAGTGGTGCGTGACGCGCGTGACGGCGGGCGATCAAACGGAGGCACGCGTGACTCTGGGACTGGCCAGGGAGGCAGCTGGCGGGCCAGGAACGGACGCTCCCAGGGTCATATACCGCGCTCGTGACGTAGAGTAAGTACCCCGGCCACGCTCCTTCCCGTCCCCACCGGCGATCTCGTGCGCGCGCGCGACCGCTGTGCGCGGGGGGAAGGAGGGGGCAGATCTGCATGCGTGAAGAGCGAGCGGGGGCGAAGCGCGAGAGGGTTGCAGCGCTGAGCGTCGAGATCCAGCAAGTTCGACCGAAGCGACGAGATCAGACCGCGCGCGCGGGATCACCGAGCCTGGCCTGCTGCATCGATGTGGGCGACTGTTGGTGGGCGGACGGGCGCGCCCTGGCCGGGGCGCGTCGCGGCTCCCGCGCTCGCTCGCGCGTCCGTCGACGTGGCGTGGACGTTCTGCTGGACGGCGTCGGGGCTTCTGCTCGTTGAGTCCTGGGCGCACGCGCCCCCCGAGCCCGCCGACGGCGCATTAGTTGCCGCCCGCCAGCCGTGCGTCGCGGCCGTCGCATCACCTGCTAGTTTATTCGCTCGACACCAGCGCGGACGGACGGGCGGCGTGCGTGTCAACGTGCGAGAGGCGGCAGCCACCCGCCCCGCCCCCTCCCACAAGCGAGCGGGCGGCGGGCGGCGGGAGGCGAAGAGGCTTCGCGCGCATTCGTTCTGGCTCCGCAGGGATCAACGGACGTGCCGCGGCCGGTTGCGAGATAGCGCGCGCGAGAGAGAACGGTCGTGGCGTCGGGCGTTGGTTGGTCGAGAGGCGTCGCTCTACACCTCTGCACCCGCGCCGATGGCGGTGGTGCGTATTCCTTCATCGCGCGGCAATATTCCTTCGACTGCGAGCGCTTTGGGCGAGTGGCTGGGTCGTCGGATGAGCCGGGCGGGAGTTTCGATGTCCGCGCGTTTCCGGTGTGGCCGGGCGAGGTGCTGCGCGACATGTGCGTGCCGCGCGAGCGAGGAGGAGGTCTCGCGTGCGCAGCTCGTGGCGGAGGAGGCGGTGAGCGTGCGGTGCCCGAGCGAGACTCGAGAGTTTGACGTCGAGCCTCGAGACTCGTCGGCGTCCGCGACTCCGCGCGGTGCGTCGTGGCGGCCCCCTAGTGCGCCTGCTTGCATTGTGCACGCGCCTTTGCCCTGCGCGTCGAACGTAATCGTCGAGGACGCGGCGTCCGGCGCCGGGCGTTGACAATGGCAGGGAGCAAAGGCGTGGGCGGGCGCGGGGTGATCAGTCGGGCTCGGTTGCCAGCGTGGTTACGAGGGGTCGGACGCGGTCGTCGTCGTTGTCGTGGACGGGTCGCCGGCCATCCGGCTTCTATCGTCCGAGAGGGCTGGTGATGTGACGGCGCGTGGGCACTGCGCATCCCCAGCGAGCGCGCCTGGCCGGGGCTTCCATGTGATGGCTAGTGCAGCGCGGGGCTGGGCGGGCATGCCTCGGGCGGGAGCGTGCGAGGTTCAGTCCATTAATGTGAGCCTGTGACGAGGATTGCGCCGGGAGGGCAGCGTGATGTGCAGATTGTCGGGATGGTGGCTGGACGTGGATCAGCCGTGGGCGGGCGAGGGGATGCGTGGGGGCAGCCGCTGCGGGAAGCGTCCGCGTCCGTCGCAGAGGCCGTCGGTGGACGAGGGCGGACGGGACCGGCGGGGGCGAGGAGGGCGAAATAGGCTTTCTGGGGAGAAGCAGAAGGCTGTCCGCGGCCTATCATCGGCCCGCGGAGGCAAATGGGGCAGGGGCGTGACGCGTGACTAGATCGGGGGAGACAGCTAATGTTAGGTAAGCGCGTCCCGCGAAGAGGCCGACGATGGATCTGCAGCGGAGGGCGGGGCCCATCTTTGATCACTCCACCTGCGCTATCTGCGCGATCGAAAACGCCGAGACTCGGTTCCTGCCCAGCGCCTGTCCCGCCCGGCCCGTTCTGCGGCGAATTCCTGCGCTCGAATATTGCGGCGCGACCCGGCCCAAACACGGCGGGGCGGGCGTGGCGCGAGCCGTGCAGCCGCCAGAGATCATCGACTCCTCCCCGTGTCGTAATAAAAGACAACTTCCCGCTGCCCGCCCGCCGACGTACATATGGCCGCCATCCTCAGCCCGTGAACGCCTTTCCTCCGCTCCTCCACCGCCCTCCACCGGCCCAGTCCGACCGCCCTCTCTCCCCACCCCCTCCTCCACCCCGCCCTCCGCGCACCACCCCCCGGACAATCAATCTTCCGCCCTCGCGCGCACGCTCCGTCCGTAGCAGTCACCTGAGCCCCCGCGCGCCCTCCCGCCGCACTTGCGCAGGACGACTTCACCGTCCCTTCTTGCCCTCTGCCTTCCACTCGCCCTCCCACCAGATAGATGGCCTTGGGCAGCACCCGCTCCGCCACCATGTCCTCCGGCCTCCTCCTCGTGCGTACTGCTCGCCCTCGCCCCACAGCGGGCACCTCCGCGCGCCAGCCGCACTAACGCGCGTGCAGGATCCCCTCCCTTCGCCCACCGCCGAGCTCGCAGCGACCGGCCAGACGCGCTTCCGCCCGTACTCGAGCCCCGACCACCATGTCACCAAGGCCCGGTACATCACAAGCAACGACCCGCGCGGGTACATGTACGTCCTCCGCTCTCCCTCGAAGCGCGCGTGGGCACCTAACTTCGACCGCGGGCAGTCCGGTGTACGAGTACCCGCTAAACGGTCAGTGGATCATGCTGGACATGGACGACGGATACGTGCTCTGGACGGGCATCTGGAAAGGTGCGCGGCGTTGCCTCCGTGTGCGCGAGACGGCGGAGCTAACAGCGTGCGATGGCCCGCGTTTCACCACACAGCCCTCGGGAACTCCAAAGGTGAGCACCGCGCAGCGTCGCCACCGGAAGCACGGCGCTCACGTGCGCCCCGGTGGTTTACAGCGGACATTGTCAAGATAATCGACTCCCAGCCGGACCTCGCTGCACAGCTCCGCCGTGTCCGCGGGGGCTACCTCAAAATCCAGGGCACCTGGATGCCGTACGAGATCGCCCTCCGCCTCGCTCGAAGGTGCGTCCGCGTCCGCGCCTTCTCCTTCCCTCCCCTCCCCCCCTTCTCTTCCCCACATTTCCGCTGCCCGCCTGACGCTCCTCGTTCTCCACGCGCAGGGTCGCCTGGCCGATCCGCCACGACCTCATCCCGCTCTTCGGCCCCACGTTCCCAGACACCTGCCTCCCCCCAGACAGCCCCGGGTACGGCCAGATCTCGAAGCCGGGCACGGGCAAGCGGCGCGCACGCCGCAACGCCCCCGCCGAGATGGCGCTCGAGTCCCGCCACGACTGGTCGATATACTCCCCCGGCTTCTCCCCCGTCGAGCCCGTCGGCGGGCCCGCGCCCCGCGGCCTCGTCCTCGCGCACGCCTTCGCCGGGCCCTCGGCGCACCCGCACCCGCACCACCCCGCGCTCGCCCACCCGACGCACCTCCGCCAGGGCCAGAGCGACTCGCCCGTGATGCTCCACGTGCCGTACGTCGACCAGCACCAGCACGCGTCCCCGACCGCGTCGTCGCCCCCGACCGCGTTCCCGCGGCGGCACTCGCCCCCCGCCGCCGACAGCGCGCTGCGCTACTCCCCGTACCCGAGCCCGCTCTCCGTGTCCGCGGGCCGGAGCGCGAGCGCGGGCGGCCGCGAGCGCGACGCGGCCGCGGTGGGCGAGACCATCCGGCTGCCGCCGATCCAGCCGCCCCGCCGGCGGTCGAGCGACGAGCCCGGCTCGTTCCAGCTCCCGCCCATCTCGGCGATGGACCACCCGCACGACGCGCGCGCGCACGAGGCCCCGCTCGCCGTCCTGCGCCGCCTGCAGGCCGCCGACGACGGCGAGCCCCCGCGCGCCGGCGGGCGCAGGCACACCGTCGCCGACCACCCCTTTCGCCCGTGAGTGCCCCGAGTCCACCGTCCACGCTCTCCTGAGGCTCACACGCCGCAGGTCCGACTCCGCGTTCGCCGGCGCACGCGCGGGCGCACGCACGCCGCTGCAGGGCGCCGCGTCCTCGCCCTCGTCCCACTCGTACCCCCACCCGCACCACCACGCACACCACCACAACAACCACCCGCACCACCCCCACGCGCCGGCGCCGCACCCGCCGTCGTCGTACCACGAGCCGCGGCCCGCAGGGGACGCGGCCGGGCCCGGGGCGTTGCTCGACACCGCCCGCCGTCTGGCGCAGTCGCGCTCGGTCCCGCCGTCGCCGTACGTCGAGCACCGCGACAGCGCGGCGTTCCGCCCGCCGAGCCCCCCGCGCTCGGTGTCGTCCGCGAGCGCGGCGAGCTCGCCGTCGGACTCGGACCCCGTCCGTCCGGGGTGGCGCCCCTGGTGAAGGCGCACCCCGTTCCGTGCTCTGATGTTGTCGGACTCCGTCTTCACGGCTCTAGCCTCTCCCCCACAAGTGTCTCCCGCTCCCTCATACCGCTGCGGCGGCTGTACTTCGTATCTGGGCCGCTCCCTCGGCGCCATAAGTCGTAAGTTAACCGAGCACTGTACTGTACGGATCCGCACTGGGGTGCCCGTCGTCCGGACGTCCGCTCCCACCCGTAGTACCTACCCTACCGCCTACTATCTCCCGGGCGCCCCCGTCCGCCCTCCGCCCGCCCCCTCCGCGCGGGCGATCCCCAGGCGAGAGGGCCGTCCGCCGCGCGCCGGCCTCGCCTAATTTATCGCATCCACCGTCCCGCCCCGCCGCACATCCTAAGTATCCGGTCCACCCACGCATCTGCCTCGTCCGCCTCTGCTTCATGCTGTCGCTCCTTCCCCCGTGTCCTCTCTCTCCCTCTCATGTACACCATAGTCCCGCTAATCGCAATCGCAACCGCAACCGCACTGTGCGCAAGTCCCCGCCTGGCGCGCGCGGTGCGGTCGTCAGATCGTCTCCGTCTGGGGCCTTGGGCCGCCCGTCTGCCTGCCCGCCTCACGTGTCCAGCTGCGGACTGGAACGCGAACGAGCCTCGCGCCCGTCCCCCCGTCCCCCGCCGATCTTCGAGCTTCGAGCTTCGAAATCGCCGTTCGTCCAGCGACGCCCCGCTCGGGCGCACTCACCAGTCGCTCGCTCCCCCACAGACCAAGTGAGTACCGAAAGCGGGCAATCGCACCACCGACACCGACACCGGCGGCGGGCCCGGCCCCTCGCGCGTGTAACCACAGATCTGCTGAGCCCGGGCCCGGCGCGGCTTCCCACGGCTACGGGCGCCCCTGACATTCGCCATACTTGCTTATCGGCGGCCGCGGCCCGTCGACGGGAGTTGGAAGCCAGAACGCGCCGTGCCCCGTCCGGACGGGCATATGGGTGTTTTATTAAAAAGGGCGGGTTCGGGTTCAGAGCCAGCGCGGGGGGAGGGGCTTCGCGCTGCAGGCCCGCGACCGTCGCGTCGCGCGGGGAGAGCAGCGGCGCGGTCGACGGTCATGCGGCTCGGGGGTCGGACTCGGACTCGGACTCGGACTCGGAACGCGACCAGGCCTGCGGAGGGCCGGCGCGCGCGCGGGCGCACCGCAGCGCAGCGCACGTCGCGGGTGGGTGGTTCAGCCGGATCGAGCGCCGCGCGCGTGCGCGGGGCAGCTGGAGTCTGGAGTCTGGAGTCTGGGGCCCGTCGCCCGACAATTTTCCGTTCTCCCTCTCCCTCTTGATCAAGCACTTGAGCCCCTTGACCCCGCGTCGCGCGAGGCCAGCGGGGCGTGCGTGCTCCCGCTCCGCCCGGCGCGCATTGACCGCTCGCGGGCGCAGGTCCAGCTCCACGGCGCGGCAGCAGAAGCGCATGCGAGCCTCGATGTCGACGTCGGCGTCCCAGCGGCGAGTGCGACTCACCTGCCGCGAGACGCCGCGCGCCGGAGCTCCGTCGCGGACTCTCGGGGGGAAACGCCAGCTGGTGCCAGGCGCCGGGGGGGGAGGAGGGGGAGGAGGAGGTTGGTGACTTCAGCCCCTCAAGCAATGCCGTGACACCGCTAGAAGCGCCGAGGAATCCTACTTAGACCGACCGGTCCAGTGGGGGGGGGGGGGGGGGGGGGGGGCAGTCGATCGTGATCGCGCGCGGGCATGCAGCTGCAGCGTCCCGCGGCCGGCGAACGTGAAATCTTCGCGCAAACCGAGCTTGTTTGTCGCCCGCAACGCTCAGGCTCTCGAGATCCACCCCACCCCACGGGGCCAGCGTGCGTGCTTCTCCCGTCGCCGCTCCCCCCCCCCCCCCCCCCTCCATCGAAGGGTGCCGCTGCGACACAAACGGAGGGCTCCCGCTGGAACAAAGACGTGCGCGCCTGGTCGCCGCGGCGGCCGTGTGTAAGACTAAAGGCTCCGGGGGTCGGGGGTCGGGGGCCGGGGGCCGCGCGCCGGCGTGCCCTGCCCTGCCCTGACCTTGACCCTCGCGAGGCGCGGCGCGGGGCAATTGAGCGCGCTTCGCGGCATGGCGGTCGCCAGCGCGACCAGATATGAGCAGGGAGATGCGCCGGGCGGAGCCACGCGGCGGCGGCGAGCGGTGCGCTGCATTATGCGCGGACGATCGCCTTTAATTGTGCTGTGTGCGTGTGTGTGCTGAGCTCTACGGGCGGCTCGGAGGAGCGGGAGACAGCACCGTCGACGGGAGTGCAGAAGGGGACAGGATCTGACACTCGGCGAGGGGCTCGTGCGATTAGCTTGGAGCTGGGTTCGGATGGCAGCTGCTGGACGTGGCGCGGCGATCGACCCGCGGAGGCCGGGGACGACTCCTCGATCATACCGCACGCGATCGCGCAGGGCCGCACGCGTCTGCGCCCGATCACTCCGTTCGACTGCCCACCCACCCGCCGTCTACGCATGCAGGACAGCGTCGGCAGGACGAAGGCGTGGTGCGGCGAACAGAGCGGGAGAAAGGCGGAGGGGCGGCGAGGCGAGGCGTCTGGATCGTCGCGCTGCGCTCCTCGCCCGGTGGCCATCAGCAACCTGCACGTCGTGGACCGTGGTCGCGGTGGTGGGCATCAGCGTCCGTCCGCGGATATCGGATCGGTGGGCGCGCTCGCTGATGCAGCCCCTCGGCGCACGCCGACGGTCGGCGCGAGTGGCGGCCCCACGCGAGCCTTTAGCCTCTCGCGCGCCCGGGCCAGCGACGCTGGTCCGTCTCGCCCCCGCCTCCGTCCCCATTCCAGAATATCGACGGGGGCGGGCGCGGGCGTGTGGGACGGGAGAGGTCGCAGAGGGACCTCAGGTGTTCTGCGTCGGCCGCCGGGAGCGCAGCCGCCGGTGTCGTAAACGATCTATAGAACGTATAGATCGACTGCTACGCGAGGTATGGACGTCCGCCGCCCCGGGCCCCCCGACCTGCGAGATCTCCCGTGCGGCACAAGGCCCGCCTCTGCGTCCTCCGCCCGCGCGCAGGGCGAACAGAAACGTTCTGGCAGAACGGTCGTGCCTGGCGGGGGGGGGGGGGGGGGGGGGGGGGGGCGGGTCCCAGCCGCGCCCCGTGGACAGGGGGCGCGACGACGGCTTGAACGCCGGGTGGTCTGTATAGAGGCCGAGCGTGGGGGCGCGTCGGGCGAGCCGCCGCTGGAGCGAGAGCCCGAGGGCGAGGACGACGACGGCGGCGGCGCTGGTGCTGCTGGGGCGAGCTCGTCGCCGTCGCCGACGACGCCCCCCTCCCCGCCGTCCCCGCCCGGGCCAAGGGCGAGCGCAATCCGAATCCGAATCCGATGCGGCCCACTAGTCGTCGCCTCGCGTTCCAGAACGCGCAGGTCCCCGGAGCGCATGCTGGGACTCGTATCGATATGGGACGCGTGCGGTGCGCGGTGCCAGGCGGCCCCCAGCGTGCGCCCGCCCCCGGCCCCGGACGCGGCGCGCCGCTGCGCCGGGCGAGGCTAGCAACACGTACGAGGCTTGGGCGCGTGCGACGGCCCTAGCCTTCTCCTGCGCCTGCCCGCCGCGCACGCGCACGCACGGGCGTCGTCCGCTGACGTCCCGCGCGTCCTGGACTCCTGGCACGGCCGGAAACGGCCTTCGAGCCTCGGGGCGCCGCTGTCGGACTCGGACTCGTGCTCGACCCTCGACGTCGGTCGGGTGAGAACACCGCGGCTGCTAGTCAACGTCACTTTCCCCTTCCCTGCGCGCTCTCCCCGCCCCCCGCCCCCGCCAGCCCCCGCCACGACCCGCCCACACCGCACCCGGCGGTCAGGGCAGCCTTAGGCTACAGCGGCGGCTAGCGCAGGGCTCAGAGACCGGGGTGGGTCTCATCTGGCGCATCATCGACGGGGCCCCGTGCGTCCTGCAGCCCCCTCGGGTGCGCTCGCCCGCAGCGGACGCATCTCTCCATCTCGTCCCGCGCCCAGGTGCGAGATCAGCTGCGGGGAGATTGGGGGGGCCGGGTCGCCGCCGCCGCCGCCGCCGCCGCCACCACCGCCTGGGCGGAGGCAAAAGATCCATAGTAACGGCGGAACGTTCAACGAACAGAGACAAGGGGGAAAGACCGGAAGGACGGGATCGGCCGGGGTGGGGGGTTGGTTCCGCGGCGGCGCGAGCGACGACCAGACGGGCGGACGACGGTGGATGCGAGCCATGTGCCCTCGAGAGGCGGCTGATCTGCGGGTCTCGGAGTCGAGTGGGCGTGGCCCTGCGCAGGGTCGAGTGCGTGGGCGATGGCGAGGGAGGATTCACGCGCAGGGCGGGGAAGCGTCCGCGGCCGGAAGGCGAAGGCGAAGGCGGAGGCGGGGAAGCAGAGCGCACGCGGCGGTGATCGAGGCGAGGCTGCGCACGGTGTGCGTCGCGAGCGGACCACGGCGACCGAGGCGTACGTGCGCGGGCGGGCGGCGAGCGCGTCGCGCGTCGAGGGCGTCCGACCGGCCGGCCGTTCGCTCGATGGGCCGCGGAGGGCAGGAGCGGCCCTGCGAGCTGCCGGGCCTTGACCGTATCAGAGTTTCATTTCACCAAGAGCGGCTAGTGATCGGACGGCTATGGGAAGGCGAAGGCGAAGGCGACCGCGTCTGGTCGAGGGCGTGATTCCGTCGGACGCGTGGGCTCGAGGGGCGAAGCGCGGACTGTGTGGCCGATGGGCCGGTTCGGGGCTGGCTCCTGGCCGAGGTTTGAGCGTCGTGCCTTGCTCAGTTCAGTCCGCCATGCGCCGCGACGATTTGGTGCGAAGCGCAGGCGTCGTCGGTCGGGTTGTGGTGAACTCTCTGCCGAGGGTGGGTGCCAACGGTCGGAAATGGAGTGCATCGGACGCGGCGACATACGAGAAGCCTGTCTCATCCTGGCAGGGAGCTGGCCCGGCGTTATATCCGATCAGAGTCGAGAGAAGGTCCCGTTGGGCTGGCATTGCACGCACTGTTCGTCGCACCCTCCCAAGACTGCCAGCCGCGGGGCGTCCAGCCGCGCAAAGCGCACTTCACCGCGTCCCAGCGCTGTGAACAGAAGACGACCGGGGCAATCAGAAGACGGCCTCGGATCCCAGAACAAACGAACCGACCGAGAGAGACCTGCGCCGCCAGGATGCGCCCGAGACAAGCGCGGACGCGGCCGGCGTTGGACGTGACCGGCCTCGTCGGCGCGGACGCTGTCATCTGACGGTTTGGCTTAGGCTTTGCGGCATTCCCCCATCGTACGCCCGCCTGGGAAGCCCGCGTCGGTTTCGGGCGTGCAGCGCGCCCCCCGTTCGCCGTGCGAAGCCACGGCTCTTCTCCATCATTAGGAACGGGCGTCGCCTTATCGGCTCGCGAGGGGTTATCGGCCGCGTTACGTGCCGCTGCGTGGCGGTATGACGTCGCGCCGTCCGGCGGTGGGGAGGGCCGGGTTTCGCGAGCGGGCTGCGCGCACGAGAGGCAGGAGGGCCATAACCACAGGAATAGGCTCTTTAATTGACCGTCTTCGCACATTTTCATAAACGCGGCCGACACTCGGGGCCCCGCCAATTGAGTCTCAGGCCCACTTCGTGTTGTCATGGCCGCCGGCCACCGCGTAGTGGCTCGTCGGCTTTCGGCGCGCAGCGGGCCCCCACGGTGTGTCCTGGGGGGTGAAAGGGGCGTTCAATGGGGTGGCAAGGTGGCGAGGACGAGGTGGAGAGCAGGAGAGGACCTGTTGCGTTTGTTTGCGCGCTGTGGGTCAAGTCGAGGTCCCATCAGCGCGGAACCGGCCGCTCCGTCACCCTCCGTCACCATAGACGCTCGCACCGGTAAAGTTTAAACTCAGGTCCAGCCGAAAGGAGGCACTTCCATCTTGGCTAAGGCCTTCAACGGTTGCCGTTCTCCGTCATACCGCGGACGGCGACATGGATGCTGTCGACGACGACGACGACGACGGCCGCGCGGCGCGTAAGGAGCCAACGCAAGCGTTATGCTGGAGACGGCATTGGACCGGACATCGTGTTCAAGCCAAGTGGCCGCTGCCAGCGACGTTCTGTTGGGGTCGTCTGTCACCTCGTCGTCCTCCGCAGTGCCCGAAGTTGGCGCGTCCTGGACGTCGGGCGCGTGCTAGGCCCTGGGAAACAGCCGTAAGTCGACCTCGGCAAGCGTGGGTGTGTGCCTGCGCGGTGCCGGGTTGTGCGGATTGGCTTGAGCGCGACTCGGGCTCCCGAACGAGGTGCGCTTGCGATACGTCTCAGGGCACATACGAAGCGAGGACTTACTCATGTCATGGAGGTGCGGAAGATACTCGATTGGGTCGGGTTCCGTCGAACTTCGTTGCTAGAGAGGCCGCGATTAATGCACGACATACGGTGGCCATGCTTACCTGAATGGTTCTGAACAGACACTCGGTGGGGAAAGGGCCGGCGAGACAAAGGCGAACAGCAGTCCGCAAGACTCGGAGAAGTCGGGGAAGTCGGCAAGCGTTGCGTTCCATTGTGCCTTCTGGTGCTGGACATGTGCTCAACAAGGAACGGACCATAGCGGCAACATGGCTAGTATTGTTCCACACCAGTTCATCGTGCCTGACAACAATGGTAAGAGATTAGGCGTTGGTTCATGTCGAAGTCTAGATGGGAGCACTTATGAGCAATTGCGCAATGTTGCCCCAGAGCGATTTGCAAGCGCCGATTATTGGCGCCCGTAAAAGATGCCTCCAAACAAAGCATCGTGCAGGTACTGGCGACAGCCTAGATAGTGATGGAGAGACGTACTAGTGGAAGAGACCAACACATCACATTTCCGCGCAGTGTGCGTGCCTATGAGGAGTTGAAGTTTCGATTCAGGTCAAACCTGATGGCATCATGAGGATGAAGCACATACCTAGCTGCCAGAGTCATAAACATACCATACGTGCGCTCAGTTTGCCTGTGTTGAAACGGTGCGCAATGGAGGGCATCGTTAGAGAGACTCGACGAGCCCGGATGTACGCCGGAAGACGCCTAAACCAGGGGAGCGTGACCGTTACCCCGTGACGAGTGTGCTCATCGTCGCAGACGGTCCGGACGATGCTACTCTCGTCCTCCTCTCTCCTACTCTCCCTCGGACGGGCTTTCCGGTCAGTCGCATCGTCCATGTATGCGTCTTCAAAGCTCACAGATGGCCGGCAGAGTGTCTCTGGGCGGCGAGACCAACAAGACGCGAGTTCTGGCAATCTCACGATGACGAGCACCTCCTCGACGACCCGGACGCTGCCCACGCCTCCTCTGGCCCCCTCTTATTCTGCACGGTCTCCTTCTAAGAAAGACCCTTCGCTCAAACCAAACCCACATCCTTACGCGATCAAGACCACTTCCACTGGCATCCTCACGCGCTCAAACTCATCTGGTTACAACGTCAATGCCTCTCATCACTACTACATCCCGCCCTCTCCCACCCACCACCGCTCCGATTCCAAAGGGCACAGAGCAACAAAGTCCCTCACACTGGTCCCCGAGTCCCCCTCACGCGAATCCCCAAGACCTCTCCCTATCCCGCCCGATCTCGACCATACCGTGAACCGGAGAGATGGGAGTGGCAGCAGCAGCGGATACGTGAGTGCCGATGAAGTCTCTCGCCAGGCCCCCCGGCGTCCCAAACGCGCAGAGACTCTCCCCGTCTTCCCTCTCCCGACCCCCGCCCTCCCTGCGCCTCCATCGGCCGACGATCTGCCCGACAATCCCAAGCTGTGGACGCCTTCCCAGCTCGCCACTTACCTCGTCACCGCGCTCCGCATGACCTCGAATGGCAAGCCCGGAGAGATCGAGTCCATCGGCCTGCCGACGATGGTGGCCAAAGACATCGCGACGTTCGTCAAGGGTGCCCGCATCGGAGGACGGACGTTCCTCAGGCTGACGGAGGAGGATCTCGAGCAGTGAGTGACATCTCTCTTGATCGCATGGCGCACCGGGCTGAACGCGGCTCTAGACTCGGCATGAACAAGAAGTGGCGCACTGCACTCCTCGCTGCCGCGCGCAACCTCCGCCAGAACGTCCTCAAGGGGCGCATCTGGGGCGGCGCCGATTCTCCTGGCGGCTCCCCCTCCCCCGAGTCCACCTCGCCCGAGTCGGCCCCGTCCAAGATCTTCTCCAGCGCCGAGTTCAACTCGTCCTCCTCGTCGATCGAGTCCTCGTCCTCTTTCGACGGCGCAGACGGCGAAGAAGGCGACCCCGACGCCCCGAAAGGCTCGGTGCTCCTCGGCCGCTCCAAGGCGCGACGCTACCGCGCCGGCCGCGTGCGCGGCATGGTCAACACGTTCGAGCGCAGCGGGTCCTTCAGCTCCGACGGCGGTCCCGAGGACGACGGCGTCGCGCCGGCCACCAACGTCGGCCTCGGCACGCGGCTCAGCGTCATCGAGGAGCGTTCGCACTTCCGCACGTGGGGTCGCCAGGCCCCGCCGCCCCCGGGCCTCCGTGCGTCCGAGAGCCCGTCGCCGTCCCGCGGCCGGCCGCTCCCCGCCCCGCCCGCCCGGGGGGACGACGAGCCGTCGATGGAGGATCTCCTCGCGCAACTCGGCGCTCCCATGACGGGTGCCGAGGCTTGGGAGGCCGTGGACATCGCTGCTGGCGTCACCGTGAAGCACGTCCCCGACCAGGCGCAGCGGTACTCGTCCACACCCTCCTCGCCGTCGCGCGCGACTGCATCCATCGCCCCCCTTTTCGACACGGGCTCTCAAGTCGCGGGCTCTCAAGTCGGCGTGCAGACCCTTGCCGGGCTCGGGAACGGCCGCGGCTCGGGCGGAAGCAGCAAGGGCAGGAACGAGCGTCGCGTCGTCACCGCCATCTTCGCGCCCACCGCAAGCGTGCCCGACCCGCTCCAGAGCCTCGAGAGCGCGCAGCTCAACCTCGAGGTCTTCGACCACATGCTCCCCCCTCTCCCGCCTTCCCCGCCCAAGAGCCGGTCTCAGTCTCCGAACAAACGGCCCTTGCCCGTGCCGCCTCAATCGCAGCCGCAACCGCAACCTCGCCGGGAGGCGAGCGGGGGCTCGGAGGCGTCCGCGCCCGCGCCCGCGCCTGTCCCGGACCCGGAACTCGAGGCGGAGCGGATGATGGAGCAGGTGCGTCTTGAGCGGATGCTCGAGGAGGAGATCCTGACGACCCGCGCGCTCCTCGAGACGTTCCGCGCGCGGCTCGAGCACGTCGAGGAGAAGGTCTCCGAGCTCGAGACGCGTGATGACGCGCGCGAGGCGGCGCTCGAGCTCGCGCGCGTCCGCGTCGCGGAGGCGGAGGCGGAGGCGGAGGCCGCGCGCGCCTCGCTCGAGAAGGGCAAGGGCAGGGCTTCGGACACAGAGCCCCTGGCCCCGTCCGTGGACGTCGGTGTCTCTACGTGGGCGCAGATCGAGGTCGAGAAGGCGGACGACGACGAGGCGATGGAGGAGGGCGACAGCTCGTTCTACGAAGACGCGCTCTCCGAGTTCCCGACGCGCTCTGGCGCGCTGCCGACTATCGAGGAGCAGCCAACCGGACCTCACTTGGGCATCGCGCTCCTTGCGGCCCTCGCCAGCTCCAGCACTGGCAGCAGCACCATGACCATAGCGCCACCGCCAGCCGCCCCAGCTCCCGCCCCAGCCTCCGCTCTCGCGTCGTCGTCATCGTCAACACTGCAAAGCGTCGTACGCGGACTGTACGCGCCCGCCACGCTCCTGTCCACCTCTCCCCGGGAGCTCATCCGCCGGAGCAAGCGCACCGCGCGACAGACCGCGTCCGGCACCGACGAGTACGAGTACGCGGACGAGGGCCCGGCGAGCGTGTCCGACCTGCCGTCCTACGTCTTCCTCGTCGGGCTCGGCGTCTGCGCGGTCGTCGCCCAGGTCATGCTCCGCAAGTTCGTGGGTAAGGGCGGACTGCGGCCGTGAGGCGTGCCCGGACTCACTGCACCGTTGCGTTGTCTAGTATGCCTCGACGCCGTCCTCCGTATGCCGCGGTTGGACAGCGACCCGTACGCGCCCCGGCCCCTCCCGGTCCCGCGGCTTTAGTGATAGGCCTGCTTCTATGTCCGTATGCGCTCCCCCACTCCTCCCCCCTCGTACGCCCCATGCTCGTCGTTGTCGTTGTCGCTGTGTGTTCCTGCTTTCTTGGTCCAGCTCGCCGTAGTTGATCCTACGCCCTCCACCCCACCCCATACGCGTATTGCTCGTCTGTCTTGGTCCTCGTCTCCACCCACGCCCGCCATGCGCTCTTTACCCGTCGCCCCCACCTAATGTGTACACTCTGCTCGCCCGCCCGTTCCCCACTCCCGCCCCGTTCGCCCCGTTCGACTCCCGGCCCGGCCCGCGACGACCCCAACGACCCCCTCATGACACGCCCTCACGACTTCACGACGCCCTGTTATATAGCCCCGCAGTCCCGGTTTTATGCGCTCTTGCTCTTGCTCTTGCTCCCCTGCTCCCCCCTGCTCCTCCCTCCCACCCAGATCCACCTTATACCAGTGCTGTATCCTTGAGCTGCTCGCTCCGAGTCTCCGAGTCTCGTCCGCGCTACCCCTCACCCCGTCCTCGTCCTCTCCCCCTCGCCAAACATCCATAGCGAGCCACCGGGCACTGCGATCCCGCCCGCGGCGGCCCGCGTTCCACCGACGTCGATTTCGAGCTCGAGCCTGCACGCGTACATAGTGTACATATATACGCACCTGCTGCACGTACGTACAGCGCACATGCACACGTACATGCTCGTATGGGCCGTGACGGCCAAGCAGTCGGGTGTTCGCGCGTCTGACGAGCTTAAATACATATCGCGAACCCACCACCACGCTGCACGAGCATTTGGGGTGCTGCCCGCAAAAACGTGTTCGAGGTCTAGGACGTGTGTGCCGTCGTCACCATCGTTTCAAAGCCGACGGGGCGCCTGCCCGGGGGAGCGCGGGAAATTGCGATAGCATAGCGAGGGTCGACAGGTATGTATGTACGAGGAGTCATTACGAGCAGCACTGAGAGCGCCGGTACATTGTGGCACGAGAACCAAAATAGAGAACGGCCGGAAGGCGAGCGATCCGTCGTTAGATGCTGCGATGCGAGAAGACGGGTCAGCTTCGGCTCGGTACGACAGAAGAGAGAGGGGGAGAAGGGAGAGAGGACGTACTTGATGGCGCGCATGAGGAGGTAGCCGACGGTGGAGACGACGAAGGTGGCGATGATGCTCGCGGGCACGCCGTTCTTGAGGAAGTCGACGTTGGAGAGGTAGAGCTGGCCCATCTCGTCCTCCTGCGTCGCCCTGTCGTCGCGCGCCGTCAGCCGGTAGGGCGAGGAAGAGAGGACGGGGCACGCACGCAGTCTGGTTCGGGAAGCCCGAGACGGGCATGCCCATGCCGGTGGAGCAGATGAGGCCGGTGAGGAAGACGAGCAGGTTCGCGTGGTCGCCGTCGGGCATGTTCCGGCCGACGTCGAACGCGATGGGCACGAGGAGCACGCTCGCGATCGTGTGGCTGATGAACGTCGAGATCACCTGTGGGAAAGAGTGGGGTTAGCCGTCGCGTCCTGAACAAGCGACTGTGGTCGGGGCACTCACCAGGACGATGACGGAGAGCAGGAGGACGACCGGGTAGAGCGACATGCCCGTGATGAGCCCGCGGATGCCGTCGCCGAGGACCTCGAGGAGGCCCGAGTTGCGCACGCCGTCGCCGAGCGCGATCCCGCCCATGGCGATGAAGACCACCGTCCAGAGGAACTGCTCGAAGTCGTCCTGCGCAGAGCGGGCGTCAGCGGATGCGCGCGCCACGAGGGAGGCGCGCTCACCTTCTTGAGCACCCCGGTCGAGAAGAAGGCGACGATGGGGATGATCGCGATGACGCCCATGTCCCCGAGCACGCCCTCGATCGAGTGCGCGACGCACCAGAGGCCGATGGTGATGAGGCACACGAAGGTGACCCACCACTGCTTCCCGTTGAAGCGCTCCTTGGGCGCGCGGACCGGCTTGATCACGATCTCGCCGTCGCCGGTGGGTGAGCGCGCGGGGCGGTAGCTCACGAGGAGGAGGAGCCAGATGAGGACGATGGAGATCGCGGAGACCGGGATCGAGACCGCGAACCAGGAGCCCCAGTCGAGCTTGGGGTCCATCTGGGCGAGCGCGATCAGATTCTGCGGGGACGAGATGGGCGAGCTCTGGCCGCCGATGTTCGCCGCTAGCGCGATGCCAAGCTGGGAGACAGGATGTGGGCCGAAGAAGTGAGCAGAGGATTAGGAAGGTCGGGTAATCGAGAATAATCGGGGGACCAACGCGGCAAGTCAGCATGACGAGCGCATTCAATAACATCTAGGGAAATGACGTACGATCAGGCACGGCGCGAAGGACGACTTCGGCGGTAGAGTGCGGAGGATGGGCTGCATTCAGAGTGCCAGGGTGGACCGAGAAACTCGTCAGCAAATGCCAAGATGTCGGGGAGGCACAGGCGTGGAAGGGAGACATGCCTGGATGAGCGTAAAGCAGAGTGTAGGCGCAGCGACGTTGCTGATCCACATGCTCGCGAAGCATGCGACTCCCATGAACGCCAGGAGGACCGTGCTCGGCCGCTCGCCCGCCAAGGAGAGTACCCGCGTGATGAGCACACGGTCAATCGCCGTTTTACTGAGCGCGGAGGCGATAGTAAAGCCACCAATGAGAAGCATGATTGTAGGGGAGAACATGACCGAGAAAACATGCCTGTTGGTAGAAGTCAGTATCAGACATGGTAGGATTAGTTAGGCTGGACGTACTTGGCGGCCACGGGCGGCTCGAGGGGCTTGTTGGGCTGGTCCGCTGAGTCCGCCGAGCGGATGACACGGAGAACGACGAGGAAGAAGGGGATCATGGTTGACGTCACGAACAGAGGGATGGCCTCCGTCGCCCACAGGATGGTCGCGAACACCAAGATGGCGAGGCACTTGTTCGCCTCCACCCCGTCGACAATCTGCACGTTGAGCAAAACCAGGAAGATGACGACCGCGATGACAAGGCAGAGCTTCTTCGAGGTGAGCTTGACCCTTCCAAATGGCGTGCGGAAGTGCGTGAGACCCTTCTCAGGCTCTGCAATGAGAGTCCCGCCTAACGGAACCTGACCGAGCTCCTCGCCGCGGCGTGCCTGGTTGATCATCTGCCGCCAGACGGTGTCGCGCTCCCAGGCAATGTGTTCACGTTGATGCAGTTTGAGTTGGCGCCGGGCCTCGACTTCGTCTCCGTGGGTGACGCAGCGAGCGTAAAGGTCGAGAAGGGTAGAAATCCGGGTGCTCAGCTTGTCCTTGCTGTCTTGCATGAAGGGCTTCGCTTGTTCGACAACATCGTGCAGGTAGCGATCTTGCAGGTTGCTGTCGGTGACTTTGTCGTACCTATCTATCTATCAAACTTCAGTTCGTTAACGCACATAGCAAACCACGCACTTCTTGAGAATCTTGCGGAAACCCGAGTAGTTGAGCTCCACATAAGACCGTAGCGACGTGGCAAGGACGTAAAGGTTCGTGATCTTGCGTTTGTACAGCAGCTGTGTATCCCACGCATAGTTGTTGCGCGCCGTCCAGACCGTCTCGGGGCCATTGCTCGACACCGTCGAGATCAAACTGTCTTTTAGCCTCGCCGCCATCACCCGGGCGCGCACAAGGGGAGACCGGCTTGCGCCGCGGCCTATGCCCGTTTGTTCACCATTGGCGATGGGGTCAAGGGTGGCGTGGCTCGCCTCAACGTCTTCCTGTTCGTCTGAGGACATGCTATACCGGCGCGAGATGCTGTCGTATCTCTTGCGACCACCTGTGGCGTTTATCAGCGCCTCCCAGACACTTCTCAAGAGCATACATGCGACCTCGTGTTAACGTGTCGCGTGAGCGCGGACCAACCTCTCCGTCCCCAACGCGGAAACGGAGGGGATGTCGCACGACATGGACAAATGTGGGGACAGAAGGGCTGGTCGTGGCACCTCGTGGTGGCCGTGCGGCCAGGGCACGGGATCTGCCCTCTCAGAATGGGATTGGCGTGTCACCGTACCCCGCGCAAGACCTCACGAACGGGCAGGAAAATGCAAAGAAGCGGGACACTCACTGGAGGGTCCCGGAGGCATAGTCCCGCTGATAGAGCGGGAATGCTGCCGCTTCTTCCGCGCAGGCGACTGCGTCCGGTCGCGGCTGTCGATCGGGCTGGTGGCCTCGAAGTCGTCGTCGTCTTCATCGTCGTCGTCCTCCGCCGCGTCCATGTACCGGAACCCCCCGTACGGCCCACTCTCCTCCTCCCGCTCAATCTCGTCCTGGAGCGCGGTGACGTCGTCGGTGAGCCGCTGCTCCTCCATGTCGTAGAACATGCATATCTTGTCGAGCTCGCGGTCGAGAAGGGGGAGGAACTGCGCGTCGGAGGACGCGGGGTGGCCGCTGCCGATGAGCGAAGTGTGCTCGTTTGCGGCCTCGATGTCGTGGAAGGACTCGCGGAGGCCAGCCTGCTGCTTCTCGAAGAGGTATATCTGCTTCTTCAGCTGCTCGTAGCTGCGAGCAGCGCACGGGGGTTTGCACGGAGATAAACAGAGGGGGGAGCGTGTACTTACGCGATGTACTCGTCCCACCACTCGGAGACCGAGTTGAACTTGAGGGAAGAGCTGCAGCTAATGAGGCTCCCCGCGCGCGCTAGCGAGAGAGAGACGCGGACCTGAATTTCATGGCGAATCTGGAGAGGTCAATGGGGTTTGAACGCTCGAGAGGCTGAAGCGGGATATCTTGCGGAGACGAGCCTGCAACCTGCCGTTTTGTTAGACAGGCCCACGAGGATGAGGTGCCGAGGACTCAAGCACTCACAGGCCGCAGCTGGCTTCGAGTGCCTCGGGGAATCCTGGCGGCAACGTGGAAGCGGCGCTACAGCAAACTGCCGCCGTGCGCGTGCTGCAATGGTATGCGGGTGTAGAGTATGAGGAGGTCGAGGGTCAAGAACAAGTGCTCGGTGTCCCGTAGAGCGCAGTGGCCACCGGCGGGCTGCCCGATTAGGACCAAGTTGTCGCCCGGGTTAGGGTCCCCAGGCCGCTTGTCCAGATATTCGTCCACGTGGCGAAAAAGCAATCTCTCCAACTCCATCCTTGTCCTACAGACATGCTAGAAGGGCTGCCTAGGGGAGACTACAGTAATCTATCCGGGATATATCATACGTGATCTCGACGTTCTGCGGTGATGCATAGTCGGACACTACACTTGGAACCTAGTATGGTGTCATTTGACGTATGCTAGTTTCACGCTCGGGACTTACTGGTACTAACAGTACTCACCGTTGATGTGAAAGTGGTCAAACTTGTGTCAACCCAAGCTCTTGATACTAGCCTTGCATACCTTCTTGTGCTGTGGCCAGTCGACCCTCTGGCAGGACCGCGCCGGGCAATATTTCGCAGTCTTGCAACCCCCACAAACCTTGAGGCGGGATCCATCCCGAGGCTTAAGTCCACAGCACACGCAAATCTTCCCTTTGCGAGCCATACGCCTCCTGTCGTCTTCCCCCACAATCGCCGCGAGCTCTGCCGCCTCCGGCAGACCCAGCGCCACCAGGTGCGCCAAGTTCGTCCGTGCCGTCTCCCCGTCCGAGTCCGCCACGTCCAGGTTTCCGCCGTGCGTGAGCACCCAGCGCAGCGCCGCGCCCAATCTCTCGACGCGATCCCGGTCGTAGTCCCCGTCCGGCTGCGAGACCTTGTGCGCGCACGTGTCCCCGTAGCGATCCCGCGCGTTCACGTCCGCGCCCGCGGCGTACAGCATGTCCGCGAGCGCGGCGTCGAACCGGGGCTTGAGCCCGACCGCGAGCAGCAGCGCCGTCGCGCCCGTGCGCGGGTCGCGGCCGTCGACCGGCACCCGAACGTCGTCGATGAGCCAGCGCGCGATGCGCAGGTGCTGCTCGCGTTTCGGCGGGTTGAGGAGGCTGGACATCTGGACGAGGGCGAAGATGGGGATGCGCCAGGTCACACCCCAGCGCCTCTGATAGATTTCGTCGGCGACGTGCGCGCGCGCGGTTTCGGGCGCGAGGCCGCGGTCGGTGTGGCGGCAGAGCATGACGGGGAAGAGATCGATCTGGAGAGTGTCGAGGTCGCCCTGGTAGACGGCGCGGCTGAAGGGGTCGTCGAGGTGGCCGACAATGTCACGGCCAGGGTTGTTTGTGAAGTGCTCGCGAAGCCTGCGACATTCTTCGCCTGAGACGATGTCGCCACTGAGTGGTTTCGTGTGAGCACTTGTGTACTGGGTAGTGCATCAGGCTCGCCTTTCCAGAAGCTCTTCTATGGGTCTACAGAGCATGAGAATCAATGAGTGTTTGATCACGACGAGGCACAGTGCCACTAACCTCCCTTCTGCCAATGCGGGCGTATGATGATTGGACTCCATGACGAAGACTGAAGTGCTGCAGAACTCGGCCCCCCGTGGCTTCTGTCGGTGGTAAACAGGTATTACCTAGCGTCGACTCAAAGTAAAGGTTGCTGCGGCAGGCGACTGGAGTAACCTCAACACCGGGTGCTTCCTCCCAAATCGTGTGCTTCGTTTCAACCCTTCTGGGAGGCAAGAGTTAAAACGGTCGCCGGCGTCTCATTGCAGGCGCTCTCGCCCAGTCACCTTATTCCCACACCTTTCCCTCGATTCCATGTTCCCTCTTTTTCTTCATCTCGATAACGCCCATCTTTGCATTCTCATATTGTCGTGTAATCAGAGCAGGTGCATGCGGTAACTTGAGATGGTGAGTCAATCATTCCAGACGAGTCCTCCACGCCGGCGAGCTGAGGGGCATCTTTCTTCCTCTCAGCTACGTCCTCAGCGCCAGGATGCGTGAAGGACTTCGGCCGAGGATTTTCAAGGAAGGTTCCGCAACGGGTGTTGCAATACCATCACAGCTACGATCTTCAAGAATACCCCGACGTACATGGGTTTGTATAGGACAGTGCACTGATATAAGTATACCCGCATTTCCCCCATCTCAAACACGTACTCCCCATTTCATAAACGCTATATCAACGTCGTGGCTCACCCGGTCAAAGCAGCGACGGTCTTCCAGCCCTCGACTGCTGAGGTTACACGTGCCTTCACCGTTGATTCTTGAAGGTGACCTCGTCCGACCAGCACTCCTAAGCCCGCACTCATGCACACTGCAGAGCGGACGAAATGATATCGTCATCCACAATATCTATAGCGCAGTCGAGCCGGGGTCTCCTCGCATCCATGGGCTCGGCCGAAACGCGCGCCGTGGGCACGGCGGCGGCACTGAAGGAGCTTGCCTTCAAGAAGAGGGCGCTCGACGCCGACTGCACGCTACGCAACCAGGAGATCGACATGCTCGATGACGCGGGCACGCGCAGGAAGAGCGGGCTCGGCGGCGAGGACAGGCGGCATAGCACAATCCTGCAGGTCTCGGAGCAGATCTACGAGATCGAGCGCGAGATGTGGGTGCTCAAGAACGCACGCAAGGGCGATACTACGGCGGCGGCGGCGACCGTTGCCGTTTTAGCGCGGCGCGATTGTCAGGTTGAGTTGCAGCTGACGCATGGTGAGTGGCCACATGCCTTTGCTAGTCGCTCGAAATCACCCACGTCTTCCTCGCGCGGGAAGGCGACAGGAAGGACGTCGCGGTCGAGGGCGCCAGTTGGCAGTGCGCGACGCGAAGGATGCGAAGGTGCAGTGGGCGAAGGGCGCGGACGGGAAGAACGCGGAGAAGGACGGGTTGTACGAGTTGGCGTGCGGCGCCCCTGCGGGGAAGGTGTGCGAGCTCCGGATGCCCGCGGGCGTGCGCTGGCAGGACACGCAGGGGGTGGAGATCCAGTGGGGAGGGCCGGCGACGGCGAGCCGCTGTCCTGTGCGTATGGATTTTTCCATATGTCTTGTGAGAGCGTTCACTCGCCCAGCGCACCCACTTCAGAATCAGAAAAGCTTCCGCTCTAACAGCTGGTATAACTAGCCTACTGCCCTGGCACTTTGTTCTTTCCCTGGCGGCCCTGCTCGACTACGACGTGCCGCTGGAGGAGCTTGCGATCAAGCTGCAAATCGAGTTCGTCTAGAGCAATCGAATGGGTGTGTGCCTGACGGTATACTTAACCGCCGCGATCTGAGGGAGGGTGATAAGATGGTGTGCCTTAGTGCGGTGCATGAGTAGAGTACAAAGGAGTCGCCCCGAGCATGGGACGTGCGAGGTGGAGAGCACTTAAACCTCACCCTCCCTGACAGCCTCGGCTCGCTCTACGCATTACATATGGACGCGCCTGAGATCATGCATGAATGCTGCAATGAGCGCATTTTTCGGTAACGACGTCGCCGCTCACGCCCTGCATCCTGCATTGTGACTTCATACGCCATCTAAGTTGCGTCTCGCAGACGGACGTTCTCACCGCGATGATCATGTTCTATGATGGTAAGCAACTCCTGTTCGACCTGCTCTCTGCAGTATAAAAGACTCCACGACACTCTACAGATCCGCAGAGTTCTACACTCGTCTACCGCCTTCGCACGACACCCTTCTCCTCCGAGCCACCATGAAGACCTTCTTCACCTCGCTCATCATCTCTGCGCTTGCCCTCACTGCGCAGTCTGCCCCCGCCGAGGAAGTAGCGAATGTAACGATTACCCCCGCCCCTCCCAGCGAACACCCTAACGCGTCCCCACCCCGCAGGCCAGCTGCTGCTCGCCCGTCGTGCCCTTCTACCGCGCCTGGAGCGCCGGCGCGACCGACCACTTCTACACCACGAACCTCCAGGAGTACAACGCGGCGACGAGCGGTGGGGGCTACGCGGCCGAGGGCGTCGCCGCGCAGGTGTTCCCTCCGAGCGGGACCGCGCCGGGCGTGGGTGCGGTGCCGTTCTACCGCCTGTACTCGCCGTCGGGCACGGACCACTTCTACACGACGAACGAAGCGGAGGCGAACAACGCCGCGGGCAACCTCGGGTACACGTACGAGGGCGTGAGCTCGTTCATCTACCCGACGTCGCTCTGCGGCGCGGTGCCGCTCTACCGGATGTACAACCCCAAGGTGATCGACCACTTTTACACGACGAACATCAACGAGCGGCAGAACGCGATCCGCAACCTCGGGTACAGCGACGAGGGGATCGCCGGGTACGTGAACTCGCTGCGGGGCGCGGACTGCCCGTAGTAGTCGGGGAAATGGTGCATGCTTTATGCGCGCAGGGCGGCAGGCTTAACTTGCGCGGTGAAGGGTTAAGCTTGTACGAATAGCCGCTTTTTGGACTTTGCATCGAGGGCTTTGAGGGGCTTTGGTCGGACGGTCGCTGGGGAAACGGGCGGTGTGCAGAAGGAGCGTATCGTGTAGTCATCATGTTTGCAGCATCTATTGACATGTGGACTTCGGGACGGAAATAGTTGCTGAGTTGACTGCCCAAGGGGGAAGTAGGTGAGCGGGAAGGCTGGTATCGGTTGAAGTTTCGAACTTGCCTGCAGTGAGGTCACGTGATTTGAGTCACAGGACGAAATTTTCCCTCAAGCACGCGTAATACCATGTTTCTCCCTCACATACGAAGAAGAAACAATGGAAATGGATAGAAAAAACGCGTTCATGTAGTAGCATACTCACTAACCACTCGTGCTTGGTGTCTTTACACGTCAAATTTGGCTATGCTGGTGACTCCACAGTTGCAAATGTGTGGGGCGGCAAGGTCAGGGTTTCTTAGGAGGTTTGGGTTGAACGAGGGCTGGACTGAGGAGGCGAGATGAAGGTAAAATCGAGGGTGGGGAAGGTAAGTAAAGTCAAAGGTGGCGGAGATGGGGGAGGAGGCAAGTCCTGAACAGACGCCAACGCGGCGATGCTCCCGACGCGTTCGAGTGACCTCACACACTCTGCTTTCTACATCAATTCTACATGCATGCATGCCATCTCCGGGTTGCCTCCGCAAGTTTCTTGCCACCAGTACTACGTAAGCTGTTGCTTTTCATGCATCATCTTGCAGCATATTGAATGGTTAATACCTACATTGCTCTCAGTAGATGTCACCAGTGACTACGCAAAACGCGGTCCCAGCAGACTACTTCTAAGCAACAACAGCAGCCAACACACTCCCCTTTGCAGTTCCTCCCGTACAGTACCCCAGGGTCGCAAGCACGTACGTGAGCCCAGCGTCGGATTCGCGCCCAACTCCCGCCGGGGCCAGCCCGTTCCAGTTTGTGGTCGAGCAGTCGCGGTCGCTTCTCCGACGGATTTTTGTCTCCTATCTCCTCAACAACAACGCACCAGCAGACAAGACTGGAGTAGTCCGAAGGCTTGCTCCAGTGCCAGAAACGCGCCCCGGTGACTCGCAGGTCCCAACGCAGACCGGGCGACCAGCTGATGTCTCGTGCAGCGGCGACGAGAAGGTTCCGGATGCCTGGTCGTCCGGCACGAGCGCCCACGCGATCTATAAGCATCGGACTGCTTTCTCAGCGTGAAGAACACGGCTACGCTCCTCAAGCTCGAGAACAAGGAGGACATCCCGTGGACCGCATACCTCGGCGTGTGCGGCATGCCCGGTACGTCCTGTTCAACGCGTACACGTCCCGGCCTTGCCTTCTGACGATCACGCCCCAAGCCAGACCGCGTACTGCGTGTGGAAGGAGTTCGCAAAGCCCACACCAGGAGACACCGTCTTCGTCTTGGCCGCCTCAGGCGCGTGAGTCCCTTCCCTTTTTGCGGCGTACCTGTCCCGACAGGATCCCAGAGGCTGACTGTACGCGCCGCTCGCAGTGTCGTCGTGCAGCTCGCGAAAGCGGACGGGCGTCGTGTGATCGCGTCCGCGGGCACAGACGAGAAGGTCGCGTACGTCGCGTCCCTCGGGGCCGACTTCGCGTTCAACTACAAGCTATTGTCGACAAAATGCAGGGCCCGATCAAAATGTGCGTCTCCCCTCCATAACACATCCTGAAGACCACCTCCTCACGGTGTGCAGCTATTGGGACAACGTTGGCGGAGAGGCGCTCGAAGCCGCGCTCGAGCAGGCGCGACGCACGCGCGCGTGATCGTGCGTGCCCTCCCGGTCTCTGCTCTCTTTCGCGTCATGTTCTTACATCGTCGCTGGCGTCGTCGTTCTCCATTTACTAGATCTGCGGGAGCATCTCGACGTACAACACCTCGGAGCCGTACAACGTCAAGAACCTGCGGCTGCTGCTGTGGAAGGAGATCCACATGTACGGCTTCCTCGTCGGCACGCTCGAGCCGAAGTACCAGGAGGAGTTCTACCGCGAGATGCCGGCGAAGTACGCGAAGGGCGAGGTCAAGTACAAGGAGCACTTTGTGCGCGGGCTCGAGAAGGGCCCGGAGGCGATCGTGGAGGTGCACGAGGGGAAGAACTTTGGGAAGAGCGTGCTCGTTGTCACGGAGGAATGAGAGCGGTGTCGTCGAGCAGACATGCGGTCTTGTGCTTAGCGCCTCGGGCTCTTTCGATAATCGCATGGGACGACCGCCAAGTTGCTTTGCATAACTTCAAGTTTCACCACCTCGACTAGCAAATAATGCGTCCTATGACGTCTTTGTCCTCGTTCCAACATGGACAAACCGTGTCTCGCGTGGTTTCGAAATAGTACGTGCTGGGCGGTGGTGATTGAGTGGTTATACGGCCTTCGGACGACGCTCCAACGATCGAACATGTCTCAGTGGTGGTGAGTACTTGCTACTGATGTTCCGTAGTGTCAAATGACTGACAGTGCTCATGCACTTGCGCAGGACTCTGAACCGCGGGTGATAAACCTGCTTGTGACCGGCCAGCGTCCCCTCCGCAGTGTAACTCGGCTCACCAAAGCTGACAAACCGCACTTACCGTAGGCAGGAGAAAATACGAACTCTCAAGCAGCACGAACCGCCCGAGCTCGTTCACATTTACGGTCTTCCAGGCACCGTTCGTGTGTTAAACGTGGTCACCCACAGTTCGCAGCGCCTCACCGCACGCACTCTGGAGCGTGCGCTCACAACACACCGTCCCCCCATCGACGCAATAGAGCACACACGGGCGGAAGTCGAGTGGGCGAAGAGGGAACGACCAGTCCATGATGGACCTTCTTGTCAACACCGTCACAACGCCTGCGCACGACCGCAGTTTCGGGGCTGGTATCATCCCATCCTGGACACGCTCTCGGTGAAGTCATGGCGACCGCCATAGCCGACGAGGACTCGTTCAAGTTGACGTACTGTCCGTGTCTCGCTAGGCTATACGCGACTGCCACAGGCTGACCCTCTGCCCTTGACAGACGTGCAACGCAGTCCTACGACCTTCGCGCGCAAACGGTCGACGTTGGCTCTTCCCACCCGAGAAGACTGGACGGGGGCCTCTGACGCGGCAGGTCTGCGCGCTTCTTTTCCTCGCCCCGCCCTCGCTGACACTGTACATACGATCTCTCTCCCGACAGCACTGTGACGCCACCACGACTTTCGAGGGCGTGCCATCGGGCACGGCCTCCTCCTCGACGTCGATCCTGCCACCTCGACCGATCCCACTCTGCCACCTCGACCGATCCCACTCTGCCACCTCGACCGATCCCACTCTGCTACCTCGACCGATCCCACTCTGCCACCTCCAGCTTGGGACAACGAAGCACGGCCTCGACGAGGTGCATCACGACGATTGCGAACGCGCAACCGTGTACTGTGCCGCCGCTCGTGCGCGCGGCGCCGCCATCCCTGACCCGTATGGACGCAGTTACAAGATAGATCGCGGCCTTGCAAGTCGACGGTGCATAAATACGTGCGGTGTTGTACAGTACTACGTCAAGACTAGGTAATGCCGCGGTGTTTCCGCGTCAGCGTACATCATGGATAACAAGAAGACGTGCAATTCAGTGCCATAGAGTGATCGGGATGCGTCCTTTGCATGTTTCAAACATCGCCTACGTTGCGATGGAAGCGCACGACCCCGCGCGAATCCGACCAACCGACCATCGAGCCGTCGTACGTTACTGCGACTCGACAAACGTTATGTTCGTCGTCCAGGACAGGAGTTCGGTAGAGCCTGCCATGCAGCGTGCTCCAAAACCACCCTCCGCGATACCGTGAGTAGTTAAACCGTCTAATATCCATGTCGCAGTTTTCACCAATGATGACGGAAGGCCGATCGCCTCCAAACGGCCCCGACAGTATCTCTCCGGTGGCGGTGTCCGCAACGCAGAACTGCGGAGCAGCGGCCGGAGCATCGGAAGGCCCCGCCGCCGCGCCGACGAAACACAACGCGCGAGTCCCGTCGGCGGATAAGGCCTTGGGAGTGAGTCCGTGGAGTGGTGGTGGCGCCAGAGGTGCGGTAGAAGGGCTACGTGCGTCTTCTTCGCCGCAGTCCACCACGAGTGTACCGCCTTGCGTCAGTGCGAGCACAGTAAAGTCGCCGCGCTCAGAGCCGCATCGCAGAATGACTTGAGCCACGGCACCGTGATGACTCCGGAGATTGACCCGACGAGGGGGGATTTCTAGATCGACGACATGGATGCGGACGCGGTTGTGGTCACGGAAGCCAGTGAGGTGGATCAGAGCGTAAGGGGAATTTATTGACATACGAGCACTGCGAAGCATGCCCGGGAAAGAAGGATAGCGAATCAAGCGAAGGAGATTGAAGTCTTGCGCATCCCAAACGTGAAGGGTTATCGAGGACATCAGGGCCAGGATTTGGGCGCTATCTAGGGACCAGCCTGCAGCGACGATAATCTTCGTGGCTACGTCGATTTTTCCCATTTCACGGGGCTCGCTGTCGGGGCCATCTACCAACTTTTCAATTGGAGGGAGATAGAAGATGACGATTCGGCTAGGGGAGCGAATAAAGAGACGAGTGTTTGATGGAGAAAAGGCTGGCACGTGATCACTTGTATGGTCACTGTCGCGTAAGGATCGCGCGGATGTGCGATGCTCCCAGCACTGTAAAGCGAGTCGCCCTCCGGCGTGGACATCCCAGATCATGACAGAATGTTCTTCTGGTCTTTTCCCGGGAGATGCGATGCTGGCTGCCCACCTCCCGTCTTGAGAGAATGTAATGTGAGTCGCCTGAGTAGGATGCCCGTACAGTTCGGGTGGGAACCCTTCTGTGAATTCAGGATTCAGCCGGGGTTGAACGATTGAGCGTGCAGAAGGACACACCAGAATTCACGAATTCAACCTGTAGAAGCCCCAGCTCGTGGAGTGACGCAAACGCGTGCTCCAACGATGCCCTCCATCATCAGGAAAAAACCATTTGCACGGGAGCGCCGGCCCGAACTCGCGGAGACTCGCGTGCCCCGAGCGACGCGCGGGAGATCTCCGGAGCACTCTGGAGCAACCGCCGATGGCCTCGAGGACACCTGAGCGGCGTGGGAGACTCTGGCGTTCTTGAGAGTCTTGCAGACCGCTCAGTTGGCCTCGAGTGTTTCGCAGGGTGCACGGTGGATCTCGAAACTTTGGCTGGACACTCAGGATGTTTCGAGAGTGTTGGCCAGGGGTCAGGAGCTTCCGGGGACCGAGACCTGGGTGCTCGGGTGTTGGGGTGTTTCCTGGTGTTTCGCATCGGGACCTTTGACGGACACGAGCACGTAGTAGTATAGTTTGGTGACATAATGGGATGCTTAGGCTGTGAGATGCTACCTTTCCGGTTCACAGCGCTATTTGAGACCAAATGTGCTCGACTGAGAAACCGCAGTTGCATCAAGTATTGCACTATTACATAGTAAATACTGGGTGTGTAAAGTTTAAATAAGCACCTCGGGCGCGGGAAAGTGGACGCGTGCGAGGTAGATGCGTTGAGTGTGGCGAAGTGAACATGTCGGTCGCGGTGAGATGGACGTGTTGAGCACAATGAGACGGCGTCGAGCGCAGCGAAGTAGACGCACAAAGAACGACAAGACAGACGCGTTGAGCGCGGCGAGGTAGACACGTCGAGTGTGGCGAGGTGGGCGCGTGGAGCGCGGTGAGACAGGCGCGGCGAGACGGACACGTTGAGCGTGGCGAAGTAGACAGCGAGGTGCCAGGCAACGAGGTCTGTGTACAGAAGGTGATTCCCACGGCAAGCGCAGGCCGCGTGTGCGCCGTCGGCGTTGCCAGCGCACGCGTCTTTTCTTGTTTTCCCCCACTTCGCTACTCCTCTCGGCGCCCCTGCTGTCTTGACTTCCCAGTCGCTATCGCCCTCGGCCACGCTTTTCTCGGCAGCCTCTCCCACGACCTTCTCATTCACGACCTCTCCGCCATTTCTATTCACCCCCTTCGCTGTCTTTAAAATCCATTTCCTTTCGACTCTCGAGCTTTGTCTTCACCCCGATTCTCACCACTTCCATAGCGCTCCGCACACACTATTCGATCACGGAGACTGAAAGCGTCTCGCACGCCACTCAGGGGACGACACAAATGCATGGCACAACGTGCATGCTTTGGCGCTGCGGCGGTGAGTTTTTCCCCCTTCTGATGCTCTGCTGCCGCGTTCCCAGCCCGCATTGTCGTCTGACGCGCAATTTGCTTGAAGCCCCAGCCCAAGTCCATGCGGGTGGCACTACACACTCGCCCGACACCATCCTCCCTGTTCGACGACGATACGCAGCTGCATTCTTTTCGTACGTAAGTACAATTTCTACTTGTTTGCTCTTGTATTGCGCCTGTATATTCATGGGCAAGCCCCGCGATCCCCTCCGTCCCAGTCTGTGTCTGCTTGCGTCCGCATACGACAACATCACGGCGCTCGTAAGGTACGTCTCCTCCCGCTCGTCTCCCTCTCCCCCGCTGACAGTCTTTGATAGATGAGAACTCGTAGCCTTGCTCGCTCCTCCCGTGAGCTACCGTTGCGCGTTACGCCTGGTTAGGCCCGCAACAGTGAAGATGTGCGCCCAGTCTCTCATCGTCATGGTCATCCATACGGCATTGGAGGCCATACCCAACATGAGCACAAGCCCGGGGAGCGCGACTACGCGCGCAACAACGCGTGCGCACCGCCGGGCCCGAAGCAGTCACAGATGGCCTGCAGGTGCGGGTCCACGGCCATCGGGTGCTCAGGCATGACGTGGAGATGGAGCTTGGGGCGCGAAGAACGCGTTGCCGGTGAGCGGGGTTCTGTTTGGGTGCGGGCGGAGGGTGCGGGCGGAGGGTGCGGGCGATGCGGTGCATGGAGCCGCGCTACGCTTGAACGTCGTGCGGGTCGTAGCTGTCAGGGCCAGGGAGAGGTGTCGTGGGCTGGGGGTGCGGAGATCGCTGGGCGCAATGGAGCTGGGTAGGAGGGTGTTTCGTCACCTCGGGAGTGTTGTAGGCGACCAGTAGTACATGCTGTTTTGCCCGTCAAATCAATATATTTTATGCCTGTCCAATGAATGTGCGATATGGATGACCAGACCCCAGGATTTGCACTGGTGCAAACGTACTCGCGACTGCTCCAGAGTACTCTGGAGAGGGTGCTCGGAGCTACTCCAGAGCACTCGGTGAGCTGGCGCCAAGACTCCAGAGCACGCGCGAGCCGCCCGCCGAGCTCCGAGATGCTCCATAAAAGGGTACTTGTCTCAGGCTGCTCCGGCTACTCTCGAGACTCCGTTGCACTCTGCGTCAGGGAAACCCTAATTAGGACTATTTAGCACTAATTAGACGAATAGTCAGGAATAGTCGATTAGGTCTATTTAGAAGTCCCCCAAACTAATCTAGTCAAATAGCCAGGGATAGTCATAGGTGTAGGCAAGCATTAGTTCATGCATCTGGACATAGTAGGGCAGCTCAGAAATAGTTCAGATTAGTGGACCAATATCAGGGATAGTCACACAGATAGAGGTAATGAGAACGAAATTTATTGGCAAAGACGACTAGACTACACAAAGTATCGTACAAGACAACCAGCTATTTACAGAGCTACAGAGCCTTCCCCACCGGCATGTGTCTACGCAGTAACGAGCTCGCAGCGCGCGAGCGGCAAGGGACGGAGGGCGGTCACGAGCCCGACGAGGTGCGCATGCGTGTCGCCGATGTAGTCGCACACGGACAACATGCGCCAGCGGCTCTTGTCTCAAGGATCGCCGGGTTCGCGTTGTCCGCGGGCCCGGATGTGATCTGCTGTGGAGTGAACGCCATATTGTGGAGCACGACCTAGACAGCGTGATGAGTAAGCAGTGACGTGGGAGACGAACGAGAGACATACCGGAAGAAGGGGGACGCGGGCAACGTGAAAGTGGCGGCCGCTCTGCAGTGGCCTGGGATCGCCTGTGCGGCCTGGAGTCAGGGAGGTGAGCGAGAAGAGAAGCGCAGGAGGGGAAGGCATGACGGACCCACCGAGTAGAAGTGGGCGCGCGGAGCATTGCGGCTCCTGCGGATCGCGCCCTCGAGCCGCGGTGGACTTGCCGTGTGGGAGGTGGGTGCTGTGGAGGCCGAGCAGGCGCGCGAGGCGTGCGGAGGCGGGCAACGAGAAGGAGGACGACGCGGAGGTGGGCGACGCAGGCGGAGGGCAGCGCGGGTGGAGGTGGCGGATTCAGGCGGAGGACGCTGGCAGGAGGGCAACGCGGGCAAAAATGGGCGATGTGAGAGCATTACGTGGGCGAGATGGGCAAGGGCGAGACGGGCGAGGTGGACGAGGTGGACGAGGTGGACGAGGTGGACGAGGTGGACGAGGTGGACGAGGTGGACGAGGACGACGCAGGGAAGACGCAGACGCGGAAGATGCGGACGACGTGGGCCCCGGGTGAGAGTGAGGGCGGCGCGGGGGTGTGACGTGGGTGATGTGGGGAAGATGTGGGCGGCGCGGACATTTGGGAGAGGTGGGAGACGGTGGGGTGAGACGGCGACGCGGGGACAAGACGCGGGCGAGGACGAGGTAGACAAGGTCAACACGGGGCATGACGGGTGATGGCGAGACGGGCCAGGGCGAGATGGACCAGGTGGGCGACACAGGCAATGCAGGCGACGTGGGCGAAGCAGACGAGGCGGACGCGGGCGACGTGGGTGACAGCGACGAGATCAGAATGCGTGAGTGAGTGAGCGTAGGGCAAGCAAACCGGAGAAAACTTACCTCCGAGCACTGAGGTTGGGTCCTCCTCCGTACCCTGTCATTCGAGGGCGTGAGCCTTCACATGCGTTACCGCCGTGGCGCAGGCCTCTTTCCCCTTTGCGACCCACTGGAGATGAGGAGGCCGCGCACGAGGGTTGTACACAGGGAAAGCGCAGGCGAACGGCGTTGTGGCGCGCGAGTGGTAACGACGGCGCACCACGGCCGCATGGGCGGAAAGAGCGCCCCGCCGAGTACGCCTGTTGCGACATGCTCATTGAGGGGACAGGGACGATGGCGCAGCCGGGGCCTGGGGAGGCGGTGGGCGAGGTAGGAAGCGCAGGACGGTGGAGTGGGGAACTTACAGGGGTGGGGTGTGGCCGCAGACGTCGTCGCGCATTGTGGGGTCAAAAGGTTGAGGCGAAGGGCGCAGAATATGGGCTGGGGATACGAAGACGCCAGGATGTGGAGGACGGGGAGGACGAGGTGTTTGCTGGCAGGTGGTGCGCACCGCGGCGTGCGCAGACGGCGTGCGTGCGACGTGCGACACGACGGCAACGGCCACACGGCACAACCGCGTCGGAATGAGCGTCGTTGGGACGGGCTCGTTGTAGGGACGAGGTCGATGGCACGGCCAGGGCCTGGGGAGATGGTGGGCGAGGCGGGGAGCGCAGGAGAGCAGAACGGGGAACTCACCAAGACAAAGGGGGCTGCAACAGCTCATTGAGGAAGCGGCGGGTGAGGGGCGCGTTTGCGTGGTCCTCAGAGATGTTGCGCCAGGAGGAAAAGACGGGAGGACGAGGATGGGCAGGACGGGGAGGACGTGGAAGATGGGCAGCGTGGAGTCAGACTCAGAGCGACCTACTGGCAGCGCCGGATACGTGGGAATCGACGCCCGTTGCGCGGACTCCAGCGCTTGCAGGCACTGCCAGCAACCTCCTCGTCGACGCTCGTCGTCACCTTGACGTTGCCCTCGATCCTCTCCGCCCAGCTCCCGTCCTCGCCGCCCCGACGCCAACCCTCGCCCCGACTTCTCCAATGCCGCCTACCGAGCCCAGCAGCAGGGAGCACGACTGCTCGGAACGGCCCATGTCGCCACCGTCTCGCCTGCGCCCCGCACCTCGTTCGTATCTCTGTCCTCACCCCCACTTCGTCCGTCTCGCCTGCCTGGCCCGTCTCATCCGTCTCGTCTGTGTCGCCCATCTCGCTCGCTTTATCCCGGATCTCGCCCGTCTTGTACCGTCTTGCACCCGCCTCGCTTGCGTCACCTATCTCGCTCATGCCATCCACGCCCGTTGCCACCTCCGCGACGCCCGCGTCTTGCCCGCGTTGCCCGCTTCTTGCCCCTCTGAGCCTACGTCTCGCACCTTGACCGCGTCCCCTGCGTTGATCGCGTCGACTGCATCCCCTGCGTCACCCACCTCCCTCGCCTGTTTTGTGCATCTTTCCCATCTCTCTTGTCTTGCCCTCGCCCGCGTCGCCCACACCCCGCCGTGTTGCCCCCTCGCTCACATCGCGCCTGCCGCCTCGCGCTTGCCTGCGTCAGTCTGGCCCTCGTCCGTCAATCCCGCCTCTCGCTCGTTGCTCGTCCCGCTCTCCTTGCCCGTCCCATCCGCCTCGCCCGTCTCACCCGCATCGCACTCCCGTCTCGCGTCATCTATTTCACCCACGTCGTCCTCGTCGCCTGCGTCTCACTCCTGCGTCAACATGTCGCCCACGTCTCGCTCCTGTGTGACTGCGCGACCCGCCTCGTCCGCCCACGTTTCCTGTGTCCACGTCGCCCTCGCCCCCACCCACGTCGCGTTGCGCATGTCCGTGCCGCCCACTTCGTCCACGTCACCTCCCTCGCCTCTCTCGCCTCCCTCGCCCGCGTCGCCTCCCTCGCCCGCGTCGCCTCCCTCGCCCACGTCTCCCATCTCGCGCCCGCGTCTGCATCATCCATGACGCTTACCTCACCCACCTCGTTCTTGCCTGTATCACACGTCTCGCCCGAGTGGATGTGTTCACTGTCTTCGTTTGTAGTCTACTGTCTACGTTGTAGTGTAATGAACACAAATATATTTGCTTCTCCTTCACGTTTGTGTGATCTATTGATTGCATTAGTCACTACTTCTTGATTTCCAAACATATTATGGGCTCAATACACACCTGCTGTGTGTCAATTGGCTCTACAGACGCCCAAAATTGCAGTAGTTAGTCACTGGTTAGACCTGTGCTAGCTGTGTGTATTCCGGCTAGACAGCAGTGTCCAGTGATAGGTGAAGTAATAGTTGCAGATAGATATATTATACGAGGAGCTCAAGCACTAGTATCCCTTTAGTATGTGTTAGAAGGGTCAAAATTCAGTAGTCCCATTAGTGAAGCGATAGCACTAGTATTATACATGATAGTACTAATTAGGATTTTGGGGTTTTCCAGATGTGGAGACAAGGTGTTTTTGCCTGATGATGTGTTCATGAAATTCTGCGTCGAGTTTCTGACTATAAATTTGACTCCGTTCGTGCCAAGAAAGATATGGTCCTTCACCAGCCTTGTGAAGTTGTGGAGGACTGTTTTTTGATCACTGTTGTGCTCAAAACCAATGAAATAGGCCAGATATCTGTCTAGAGTGATCTCCAGGGCCCGTAGCGATTGCGGGAGACCAAGGTCCATTAGCGCATTCAGTTTCTGGAGCGATGCGGGTTTAGAGAAGAGTTCTGCATCGTCACGCTTGGAAAATCGCACAGATAAACGTTCAAGATTGGTATAGCTCGCGAGTGGTAAGCCTGAAAGTGCCGACGAGAGTGAGTCAGAAGCTCCATCGTGGGGTGAACGCGTACATGTACCTGCTAGAGTGAGCCATTCCTGGCTGAGATCAAGGTGTGTGAACGTTGGTCTACTTCCAGAAAGGACCTCTAAAAGCTGCAAGGATAGGTCTTCAGTTTTGTACAGGCGGCCGTCAAGCTGCGGAACTCGGAAAATTCAGTCTTTTCATTGGTCTTCGTGCGATCAAATGTCTCACCTTTAGATGCGATAGCTTCCCGCGAGTTTTTATTGAGATGAGTGCTTGGTCGGGGGAGGGAGCTTTGCAGCCGCAGTCGGACAGTTCAAGCAACTGGAGGGCGGGGAATGCATGGGCGAGTCGGTACACATGGAGCGGTGTGGGAAAGTCGGAGAAGCCGATAACCAAAGTCTTGACTGCGGTGTATCGCCGAAAGCAAGCCAAGACAGCCGGAGGAAATCCATTTGTACAGGATGAAATTTCCCATGTGTTGATATGTGCGAGATACGGAAGGAGTACCACAGGTGCAGCCCAGGGGGCCGACTCCTTCGACATTCCGATGAGCCTAACGGTATGGACCAACGAACACAAGTCCGGGGAGCGTTGAAATGTTTCATGAATCGAGTGGAGAGCCTCCAAGCTGGAAACCTTTACTTTTCTCCATATGTGGATGCGACTTCTGGGGAGCCATCTTGTGTGGACTCGGGCGCAGGAGGTGAGCGTAGCGAGATCGGTTTGGACGCCGACGCCGAGTGCGTCGATCACCCGCTCGGCGACTTCTATGGGAAGACGCTCTGAGGCCATCGAAGAGCGGTAGGGTGGATTTCGAAGGCTGATCGCTGGCCGATGAGACGTAGATGCGGTTGTAGTCGCGCCGCGTCCGGGCGAGGATGCTGACCGCTGACCGCAGGTGCGGGCATCGTATTCAGGCTCCGCAAGGGTTCAATGATGGCTTTGAACGGAAACGTGTTTTCAACGGGAATGAGGAAACTGAAGCACTGAAGGCCGTTGCCACTTGCTGCTTGACGGAGAACTGTTCTCAGACTACGGCGACTCAGCTCCCCGATGTGGTACCGCACCTAGAATCCCAGACAACCAATAGATATACACTCCCTACTCTACGTACATCTCGGCCACCGCTCAGTCATCCTTCTTCCCGTTCGGCAACCCCGCGCTCCCGTTCAAGCTCGCGGACCTCAGCCCGTTGCTCCTCGGCGGCGCCCCCGCCTGCTGCGCCGCGAACACGCCGCCCCCTGCGGCCGGCCCCGCGCTCACCGGGTTGGGCGTCGGCGGGAAGTTCGCGTACAGCCCTGGCGTGCCCGGCAGGCTGCCCGGTGCACCCGCATACGGCGAGCCCAGCGTCGCCGCGGTCGGGATCGCGCTCGTAGACGAGTGCGGGGAGAGCATCGACGTCGGACGTGGGGAGGCGATCCCGAGGCCCTGCTGGCCGTGCGTGTACGACGCGCTCCGCGGCGTCGGCGCGCTGGGCATTGCGCTCGGAGTGTACGGGCCCGCGCTGGGCGGCGGCCCAGGGGTGAAGCTCGGGGTGTGTGGAGTGAAGGGGGAACCGGCGCTGAAGGCGGGTGTGACGGGCGTGCCGGCGTACGAACCGTAGGGGGAGCCACCTTCGACCATCCATCCGCTACCATGCCGGACGACGCGGTCGCGCGCGCTGCCGCCGGGGCGGAGGCGTAGGTCGCCGCCGAGGCGTTTCCGGAGGGAGCCGACGCCAGAGGCTTCGGCAGCGACGATGCCGGAGGACTTGTCTGCACCGGTGACGGCCTCGACGGCGTGCGAGGTGATCTTCACGGCGTAGCCCATGCATACGAAGACTCCACCGACAACTCCTACGCAGCGAACGACAAGTTCGATGAAGGAGGTAGTGCGTTGGTGGATAGTAAGCTTGAGGGGGTCCAGGTCGAACTTGAAGAAGATCCCAGGGGTGCCTTGGTGGTGGCCGAGCACTCGCGTGTAGTGCGTTACGCTGTACTGATGGGTGTTCAAGGGTTTGGAGCGAGGAGCAATGTAGGTCGTCGGGACGACATGCAGGAAGTACTGATAGGCAACGAACGCTGTATATGGTGTTAGCCTGATATTACCAGGATAGAACTAGGAGAGCTAGTACGCACGATCTTGTGTGATTTCGAACGAGTTGTCGAGAGGCTGGGTGATGTCCGGGAAATAGGGGCCAAAGGAGAACTCCGTGATGACGTGCGACAAGTTCATGACTGTATACCGTCTCAGCATACATCTTCGCTCAGGGAAATAGGTACGCACGTTTGTGGTCAACGTGCTGGTGACTGGCATAGCCATGTCCAGCGGTCGTGACATGCAGGTTCGCTGGAGGGAGGCGGGTTGGCCCTTTTGCGTGCGAAAAGTAAAGGAAGGTACTCACCAGTGACCTTTTTAGCCGTAATGGTTCCGTACACCCTGCATGCACTAGCATCCGGCTTGTGGTTGTAGGTAGGTTTGAAGGCGCTGGCCGTCCGCCAAAGGAGGACGTCGAACAGACCGCGCGAGCGACGAGATTGTGCCACGGCCTGGCGCGCCGACAGGGCTTCGGCATGCTCTTTCAACGTCGTGGCCTGCCCGATGTCGAACGTGGTGCCATCCCGAGTGAAACCATCGCTGAGGTAGAGACGGTCACCGACGGCGTCGCGAAGGTCTACACTGACGTCTGGGCGTGTCCGATCAGCACACACGCGCGTAACCAGGGCAGGGCAATGGGTAATGCAAGGTCTACCGATAGCCTCGAGTTCCAACCAAACAGTGACTCACATTGGCAAGGCATATTGACAACCATGTCGACATTAATGTCAATCGTAGGCGAGGCGTCCAGATCGACGCCAAACTCGTAATCGGGCCATCCCCAGATGTACTCTCCGAGGTCGTTGGCAATGAGGAGGAAGGCGACGAATGCGACGAAGATGGTGAGGAACCCGCGCGACTCGGACCGAGACTTGTAGGATGCCGGGAGCTTGGGGAACGCATCGAATTGGGCGAGAGGGGCGGGGACGAGCTCGTCGAGCTTGTCGAGCAGGGAGTCCGCGGCCGGGTCGACGGTCTTGGTCATCGTCGCCATCGTCTCTGAGGGTGAAGGAGGCGCCAAAAGGCAGCAGCCAGCGCGACCGAGGCTGAGAAGGACGAGCAGGAGGGCGGGATGGTGGTATAAAGCTGAGATGTGCGGTCACCTGCACAGGCGCTGGCGACGTGTTCGCCCAACCCGTGACTGCTGTCCTCCGCCGTCGCGCGCGGGTCGCGACCAACGGAATCTCCGGCTGCGAGGTTGTCCCGACATTCTCTCTCCCATGACGCCCTCTGCATGTGCTCGCCGGTGCGAGCTGGCTGGCCACGATGGCCTCAATCAAGGACCGCACACCTCCCAGCTTCCGCGCGGACTGCATGTGGGCACCGGCAGTGCTCGGTGGGAATACCTGTTCCTACCGCATAGTTGGGTTCTAACAAGCCTGTGCACCTACAGGAGCTTGTATGGTCTTCATTTGTGCTTTATTAGGTTCATGGCACGGTACGCGTCTTCCTCTGGAAGACCTCGAGGACGCACAGCCAAGTTCGACGCGAGCGTATATGACCCACGGATGGCAGCACCTATTCGAAGCCCCATACGACCAATTTGCTCAGACTCGTAGGGCCTCTGGAGACGTGCAGTATGTCTTTGCATCTTGACGATGACGCGCGGGCTCGTAGGAATGGTATGCAGTTGCGTTGGCTTCGCCCGCCAGTCGCTCATCTTATTCCTTGCAGCACCTCAAGATCGCTCCATGCGGCACGATGACTCTGAACGGACAGATCTTGCTCATTCGTCTCTCTCGCCAAGATCATACACGGATCCTCCGACAGGAATTCGCAATCTCGCCTTCCCAACCGAACCTCCCGTACCGTGTCGTCACTCATCGCTTGACTCTCCCCACACTTCCTCACAGACGAGCATCCCGTCTATCTCCTCTAATGCACAAGATGCGCGTGCATTGTCAGTGCCGGAACTTGAGGTCTCCCATGTATCCGAACGCACGGTCTCTCCGCAACTGCGCTATCGGAGCTCGACGCGTCGCAACACTGAGCCTGGCAAGCACTGTTTCCTGTCCTCTTCGCTTTACCCGTACTCATACGCTTGCCTTCTCAGCCTCCCCAGTTGCGGACGAAGCAAATGCGCGCGCACGCTCCCCAAGTCGCCAGCGAACACCCGCTCCCCGAGAATCAAGAACGAATTCCCCTGCAACATTTACCACCGGCGTGTCTGTCGGCCTTTCCCTCTCACCGGTGGCAAGTTGGACGGAGTCCCTCCACGAATCCGCCTTGGCACATGACCTTGACCGCGAATTCATGGCCACAACTCCCCAGCCCACGCACAACGGATACTATCCTTTCGTGGACCGCGGCCATTCCCTTTCCGCCCATATCCCCTCCTCACTAGCGACTCCCCCATGGGGAAACAAGACTTTGACGCCCAACAACAAAGTTACTCTTGAAGACGAACTGGCTGAGTTCAAGCTCAAAGTCTATCGAGGCGAGGAGCACAAGGAGCTGGAAGTGAAGATGCGATGGGACGATGAGGTGCTCCTGAACGAGCTCGCGGAGACGTACGACGCTCTGCGCGGATGGAGGGGCAAATGGCTGTCCGTGAAGTGCATCAAGTACGTCCCCTGCTCGTCGTCCTTGTCTACTGAGGACTGACCCGACACGTCCCGTAGGTCCTTAATGATTGTCGAAGTGCGTTGCACCCACAAAGCTTTCGGTAGAGACAGCCACTGATATCTCCACCGGTCCCAGATCGATCCCAGGTTCGTTTGGCCACAACGCAAGGGGATGGGCGCACTGGCTACCGACGACCCACGACGCATCCGGCGCCTGCTTGCACACCCCCAGCAGCGCCGGGGCCAACGGCACATCATCAACTCCTTCGCCCGCGAGAGAGAAAACGGCATCCTCCGCGAGCACGAGTTCGGGGTCGAGTTCGTGGAGTGCAACGACTCCACCCTTATCCTAGCTCTCGTGTTCGTGTCCACGGCTGCAATCCCCATCGTTGCCGTGGTCTACGCGACGGTCGTCGGGAATTTGGACAATGCATCGGACGTCTCCAGTAAGTAGATGGGGCGTGCTAGGTCACTTCCGTGCTGACGGTGTAACGCGTTTGCAGACTTGGTCATGCAGGTCGCTCAGCTGTGGGTCAGCGCGTTGTTCCCGGGCGTACTTCGCTTCAAGTACTGAAGTCTTCGAGAATGCGCACCCGCGCCTATAAGGCACTGACGGAGAGCAGGTTGGCAGTCTTGAGCATGGATAATACGGCTATTTACTAATGTGTCACTGGTTCGCGAATCCATGCCATATCTTTCGTCGCGAAGTATGGAGGAGCTTGGGGGCTGAACGCCCAAAACGCAAAAACGATCACTGATATCATGCCAGTCGCGGGAAGTCCAGAAAGCAGCCCTCGATGTTGTCACTTCCGGAGATGGCGTACCGGTGGGTTCCGCTTCGTGTGGTCGCTCGGTCATCTTCCACCGTCCGGCCACCTGTACGTCCGTGTAAGCGGAGTGAGTGGAACAAGGGTTACCACTCACCATTTCACCAGGATGCGGGAACACCAATAGATGTGCATCACACATAAGCTGAGTGAAAGCCTTCTTACGAGGCGTGGGTACACTGGGCGATGCCCTGCATCGCCTTCGTTCCGTATCGAAATCCCCAGGTGCGCTACACCCTGGGAGAACTATGGGCGGGCCATTTTAATTTCGTTGTAGGGTCTGCGTTTCAGGCTCGTTCATGAGGCTTGGAACCGGACTTGGAATTCGAGAAGACCGCGGCATGCGCTCCAGCCGTGCAGGGCGGTGAAACTGCTGTGCTTTTCGTTGTCAAAGTGCATAGGTAGGAACTTAGACATTGAACGGATCAGAGAAGTCCACAGCCTCAGGCTCAAGTGCCCAATAACTCATACATAAAGGTAATCGGGCCTTTGGGCCTTCAGTCGTCTCGTCGCCTACTGTTCTAAAGCCGCTCTGTCTCCGTACCTCATACAGCCAATCAACGCCTCACAAGCCTACCTCCATTAAGCAAAATGGTGGCCTTGCCCACATACGTAGACCACACCATATCACGTCATCGCGAAACTTACCTTCCGATGCGCCCAAGTCTCTCCAGTAATGGCGCGGATGGTTAGTTCCTGAAGTTATGTTTTGTCGTGTAAGCTATGTATCTCACTCGTCACATTGGAACATTCATGGTTAGGAAACGTGCTTCGGACAGAGGATCATGCTTCGGGAATCGGCCCTTATCCTGGGCAACGTAGTACTTTTTTGGCGCCACGGCGCGGCTCTCTAGGTAAGTTTTGTGATATCGTTCGGTGTGGGACAAGGGCTCATTTTGGTATTTGCAGATACCAGCGTTATGAAGACGTCGTCTAGTCATCCCTCCAATTATACCGTCACATCGCAGTCGTCATATCTCGCTGTGTCTCAGCGTCAGCGACATACTCAGGCTACGACATCAGTGTCACCCGCCCTCAGCCTCTTTTCACCCCGGATTTCGCAATACGCGATCGTGAGTCTGGGTGCGTCGTCACTACATATGCTCTCCCATGAAGCCCGCTCTGACTACCGTGGGCAGATCCGGCGCCGGTTTCCGCTGCAAATTTGGTCCAGAGGCGCGTAGGATACACATACGCAGGGAGGCCGCATCATCACGCACCTGCGGTGGTTACTGTGAGGTCCCGTCGACCTCCTGCTGAGCCGGTACCCCTCCGGTTCCTCGTCATTTTGGGGTGCAGACACCTTACCGTGGATGCATACCCGCACGATGACGATGAGCAGCTCATGATGAGACTGCTGGAGGTGTACCACTCGCATCGTGGGTCGTTGAACAGGCGCTTTGTGTTCAAGAACATCACGTCAGGGCCCACTCCTCTCATCTCCCCAGGTTTCCTCGGCTGACCCCTACGCTTGCAACAGGTCTATCCAGCTCGTTGAAGTAAGGACGATCTGGTCCACGTCAGCTCTCGACTGACGTCTGCATCCCCCTGACAGGCCAACCCCTTCACCCGCGAAATCACGCGGGTCGAATATACACCGACGGCAGCCCTTGACCTCCACAGAGGGAAGGTGCTTCGCAGGCCCGACGTCTGGCGCGGGGCGAAGGTTCTCATGGACGAGCTCACGAGCCACCCGTATTACGGGCTCGAGATTGACGACAAGTGGCAAGGGGCGGGAGCTTGCGCGACTGCGTTCCTGTTGGTTATCACTCCTCTTGCCAGCCTTGCCCTCGTCACGTATGCCGCATTGTGGAGATACTGGTGGGAGTCTTCCTTGGTTGCGACCGGTACGTCGCTCTGTTGATTGCGAACTGGGTTTGACAGAGGTACTCACGGGCGTACCAGTACCTTCGATGCTTCCCTTATCGGCTTCCTGATCTCTGATCAGAGCCGGTCGCGAGCCCTGGCAGAGTCCTATAGTAGTCGAGGCTGCAACACGAATCACAGCCATTGTACTCCACGGGCATTCAAAGTGTATCCAAGGATAAAGCCACGAGAGTACGGGAGAAATGATTGGAAGGTGGTCATGCAGATTGCGACATATACGCCCCGCTTACACACGGAAGTCAACGCTCTGTCACCATACCTTCTTGATGCTAGGTTCGCACGTCTGCTTGTTACGCAGCCAGTCGACCTTCTGGCATGAGCCCGTCGGGCGGTACTTCGCAATTTTGCACCGTCCGCAAACTGCAGCTCCCGAGGCCAGATCCCTCGCGAGGCCAGCGTCCGCAACACGTCCAGAACCTTCCCCAGATATATATATGCATTGTGGTGTTGTGCACATCCATGGGTGTAGCCTCGCGGTTGCCATTGGATAGCTCATAAACGCTCAAATATGCGGACAATGACCGGCTTTCAGAGATGTTTGTTACTCTGAAATCAGGGGAAGGACAGAGCTCCGATAGTCCGCACATCCCGCGAACGAAGAATGTGAGGGAGTCGTTCCAGTCACGTGATCTTATGCAGAGGACAAAAACCTCCCCCTTAGACACAGAGTAGGGGATAGACAGCGGGAAACATGCAGTGGGCGGAGAAGTAGTCGTCTGGGAAAAGAGAAGACACTTACAAGACACACAAACGCCCTTCTTTCAACGTGCTATCGAAGGCCGCAGAGATACTTGGCTTGTCGACGTGGAGGGGATTGAAGGCTCCCTGGAGTTCAATTGAGATGTATGCTAGTTAATACAGACACTGAGATTAGATGTTCGGCGTTGAGTGGGGATGGGTATAGGCGCGGGTTTGGGGTCATGGCGGGCGGGAGACAAGGGCAAAGCGCGCTCGCGGCCCTCCTTGTGAGTTACCGCGACAGAGCGCCCTGGGCCGTCGCCCATGAAGCTGAAGCCCACGATGCACGCACAAACCTCACGAGGACGAAGGGCCCAAACGTACATGTCTTTTGTTTGTCTGTACTCGTACACGAACGCGACCGAGGTATCTAACAGCGTCCTCTCTCAGCTCAAGTTGCGGCCAATCCTCCGCGACGACGAGCACGCTCTTGCCGAAGTTACCGCCCTGGAGGACGCCGATGATCTCGTCCACCGCCGACTTGGACTCAAGGCCTTTCTTCTACACGACCTCGCTTCTTTCGATTCAGTACGCGCGACCCTACGCACACCTCGCGACCTCCTCATAACCGGCGGTAGTGACAACTCTTAGGCTCACTGTACCCGCCGCAACTTATCATCGTCCATGGCCACCATTCCGTCACCCAACTGGTTGAGGACTAGTCTTATCTCGCGAAGGCTGTGGTATCTATACAACAATCCCTCATTGGCGCAAACACGAGTGGCTTCTAGCTCCCAAGGATGTTGTGTAGTAGATGATCAGGTCCAGGGTGCATCGTGAGTCCGTCGCACTTTCCGCCATCTTCCTATGCTCTTACCCACGCTGTTCTCGCAGAATCAGTCGTCTCAATGACGATGTACTACTAGTACTCATTCAAATGCTTCGCGATGACTCCCTACGCACCCTCAAGTCGTTTTCTCAGACATGCAAGTACCTGCGAGCATTGGCAGTCCCCGTGCTTTTCTCTCGTTGCCGGACAGGCATCAGAACCCCGGACAACGAACAATGGAGAGTGCCACGCGCGGTGTTTCCCTTCATCCGGTGAGTCTTAATGTCCACACATTGCGTGTGGTGACTGAAGGCTTGTCCCTCAGACACGTTACCTTGCACTGTCTATGCCCCGATGCCGATGCCGTACAGCATGGTCGGCCTCAATGGGCCACCAACGTCTGGCTGTGCGGAGTTCTGGATCCTCCCCCGTTCTTCAAGGACGGCCTCATGCACATGCCTCATTGGTCATCCATCACGATCAAGAAGAACATGTGCCACAGACACGGTGTCCCATGGACGGCATTGCACGCCATCCTCTCCGTACCTGCTCTGCGCAAGCTCAGGGTGCATGGGATCTTGTTCGCTCCACGCAGGCTCACCCCATCCGAGCTCTTCTCTCCCGCGTCGATCGCTCCTCTTACGTCGTTCACATACACCTTTGGCAATTTACTCTCGTTCGACGACCTTCCAGCTCCCTCCGAACTTGAGGCATTGTCGGCCGTTCTCGAGGCCGTGTGCGGAACGCTGGAGTACCTCGAACTCACCGCGGCGTCGGCCCCGCTAGACACCCTGGAGCGTCTTCGGTGGCCCCGACTCCACACCCTCAAGATTCCTGGCCGCCGACCGCAGCCCCAACTACGCTCCTACGCGTCCCTCTTCTCCAACATGCCCCATCTCCGTGTCCTCGGGCTTGAGCTTCACGTAAAGGAACCTCTGGTCGGGCTTGCTGTCCCGTCACCCTCGTCGTCGCCGTCGTTTCCATGGCCGGAGCTGGAACACCTATTCTTGCCGCTTCCCCTCCCGGAGGACGACCCAATGTACTCACAGCTCCCATCGTCGCTTCATACGCTCTCAGTACTCTGTTACCCTCACTACGCACAGCGGGACGAGTACCATGTCGGCTCTTGTGACATCAAACCGCCACGGCCTACGTCCCAGGCCCTAGAAACCATCCTCGGGCAATGCCTCGCCTCTGCGCGGCTGACGCGGCTCGAGATCGAGTACGCCGTCCCGCGTCGACCGGGTGAAGATCTCCTAGGGCTGGTCGTCAACGCATGTCCCCTTCTGGAGGAGCTCAAGCTGTTTCGATATCGGCCCGACCTCGAGCCGGACGACCCGATCGGAGCTTCCACTCGGGCGTGGAAACCGCCGCACGAGCTCGCGGTACGTCCACCACCACCTCTATCTGACCTTTCTCAGTGCTGACCCCCTCATATAGGTCGACATCGCGCGCCAGCTCGCCCCGCTGACGCGTCTGCGCACGCTGTGGGCGAACCTCGACTACGCGCACCCGTGGAAGTTGAACCTCCGGCGGGCCCGCGAGGAGTTCTATGCTGCGACGTTGCCCGCGGTCGCGCTCGTCATTGCGCAGACTGTGCCGCCGGCCCTCGAGTCGGTCGCGCTGTGGATATCGAGCAGGAAATTCAAGGACAGGTGTCGATGGACGGTGTTCCGTGTCGAGCGAGGGGTGGATAAAGTCGCTGTGGGGGTGCGCGGGGTTGGGCTCGAGGTTGCGGACAATGCGGAACTGTGTTATCCGGGCTCATCGATGTGTTGAGCCGACGCCTTGCACCCTGTATCATACATAAATATCCATGGCATTAGTATACTTGTCGCCTGCGCATCTATGTCTAGGCTTTGTTGACAATTAATGCGGCTAGTCACGCCGTCACTTCGTGACGGCTTGAGTAACGCGTAATCGGACGTGCGCCGCGAATACCTTGCGTCTTCAAAGCTTCATACCTCTCCGTCCGTTCACGATGATGTTTCCCTGTACGATATTTCCTTCTCGCCAGTACCTGCGGCCACACTTCCCGACTCTTCTCATCTCGAAATCCACCCACATGTCCGACCCATGAAGAAATCGTGGCGGAGGATATTCAAGGTCGGCACTACATATGCATTGCGTCGTGTCTGTTTGCTCGCCGGTACGTAGTCTCACATCCGGAGGAGACGTTATCCTCACGCTGCCCGATCTTCCACTCCGCAGGAGCTTGGAATGAGCAGTCTACGACCAGCAGAACGTGGCGACTCGTTGCCTTCGCCCCACTCAGAGTCCTCACTCGAATAAAGACACGTAGTGACGCTAGAAGGACCTTCCAGTAGCTGTGACTGGTACGTTCTCGTCGTTTTTGCGGCACGAACTACGTTTGAGCTTGTTTTCTAGCCCCATGGTGCGCTGTGGCGTCGCGGCTACACTTGAGACGGACGAACCCGAGGCGAATATGAAGGTGCGTCCTGCTACATACTCCGCTGCGTCGTTCCATATTCACCTGTAGTGCTACCCCACAGTATGTGTGACGAGATGGAGGCTCCTTTACACCCTTAGCTCGTGTGGGCTATCGGTTTCCTGTGCAAGCTTGGGTTAGAGAGACTTGCAGACGTGTTCGTGGAAGCTCATGGTACGTTTTCTCCAGTATTCACTCTCATGCGTATCCATTCAAGCCCAAGTTTTCCCTGTTAAGCCAGGGTTACTTCAACGTCGCGCGAGGTTGAATTCGATGACCACCCGAACCGACCTCCACCGATGAGAGTCTGAAACATTAATACCGTCATCGGCCAGCGGCCTCATCCGATACCGAGGCGATAGAGGCGCAGGTCAAAGTCGTGCCAGGCGCGCACGAAAAGTTGACGACAAGTAGCGGGTCCGGAGGGGCCGATGGACTTAAGGGTCCGTGTCGAGGTATGTCGAGACACATTGCCTGTTTTCTGCCCGATCTGACTCGGTACGCACATGCAAGCTGCGTCTTTCGTCGGACATACGCGTCTTCCCGTACGTTCCCACCGCGTCAAACGCTGTGAAGTGCAATTCACCAACATGCCCCATCTTTGCGTGCTCGCGCCCGAGCTTTACACCACGGAACCTCTGGCAGGGCTCGTACATTGCTCCCGTCGGCGTTTCATAGTCGGAAGTCGAGCATCTCTTCCTCCCGCTCCCGCTCCTGAAGAACGAACTCCCCTCGTCACTCCACACACACTCTCTGCTCTCGAGTCCCCACTACGGACAGCGGGACGAGTTGTGATGAAACCGCCACCACCTACGTTCAAGGCCCTTCTATCCTCCAACACTACCTCGCCTCTGGGCAGCCCACACGACTCGAAATCAAGTACACCGTCCGACAGGAAGATCTCCTGGGGTTGGTCGTCGACGCAAGCCCCCTCTTGGAATGAGAGATACTCATAAGCGCCCACGGCAAGAGTTCAAATTCCCAAATTGCTTCGATGCCGAGCCGGACGACTCGCAGAAACGCTCCACTCGGCCTGCACGAGCTCGCGGTACGCCCTCCTACTCGCAGCCTCCTTTCTTCGTGCTGATCACCTCGCGCAGGCCGATATCGCGCGTCTGCCGCGAACCTCGATTACGCCGGCACGCCGTAATTCGTACGAAACCACGCCCATGGGAGCTTGTCAAGGTTGAGGGGTTCGAAGGTGCCCTGGACTTCAATTAAGCTAGTTACTACGACACGGATATGAGATTTTCGGCATTGAGTACTTGAGTGAGGATGGGCATAGGTGCGGGTTTGGGGTCATGGACCGACCGCCCCGGGCTGTTCCCCATGCACATGCAGCCCACGATGCACGCGCAGACCTCACGACGACGAAGGGCCCAAACGTACATGTCTTTTGTTTGTCTGTACTCGTACACGAACGCGACCGGGGTATCTAACGGCGTCCTCTCCCAGCTCAAGTTCAATCCTCCGCGATGACGAGCACGCTCTTGCCGAAGTTGCCGCCGTGGAGGATGCTGATGATCTCGTCCTCGGCCTTGTCGAGGCCCTTGACGACGTGCTCCTTGTGCTTGACCTCCCCGCTCTTCACCTTGGCCGGCCACGTCTGCCAGAAGTCGGCCGCGTACTTGGGCTCCATGCGCGTCATCAGGAAGCCGTACATGTGGATCTCGCGCCAGAGCATCAGCTGCAGGTTCTTGACGCCGTACGGGTTCGTCGCGTTGTAGTTCGCGATGCTGCCACAGATCTGCGTGCGCGCGCGCGCCGGGGTTCGGTTGAGCTCACTCTTCTCCTCTCAGGACACAGCGAGGGAGATGAGGGCTCACCATGATGCGCGCCTGCTGCGCGGCGTTCTCGACCGCGGCCTCGAGCACCTCGCCGCCGACGTTGTCCCAGAAGCTACGAGGAAGGAAGCGGCGCGGCGCGACGTCAGCGCGAAGCCGGGACGGGGGCGCAGAGAACGCACACGTCAACGGGGCCCTCCTTCTCGAGCACCTGCGCCGTCGGCGTGTCCTTGTAGTTGAAGACGACGTCCGCGCCGAGTGACTTGACGTACTCGCACTTCTCCGCGGTGCCCGCGCTGGCGATCACCTTGCACCCCGCCGCCTTCGCGAGCTGGACGACGATGCTGTCCGGTCGGGGGCACGCGCGTCAGCCCGAGAGGACGGGAGGGAGGGGGTAGGCTGAGAGGGCTTACGCGCCGACGGCACCTGCGGGAGGGGAGGGGTTGGACTCGCGCGAAGGGGGGAAGAGGAAGGAGACTCACCCGCCGCTCCGGAGACGAACGCGACTTCGCCCTGTGGCCCGGTCAGACTGTCAGCCTGCGCCTGCGCCTCGCGGAGGTCGGGCGGTGCTTACGGGCTTCGCGCTCGCGTACTCGGTCCATCCGTAGTACGCCGTCTTGCCTGGAGTGTGTGTGAGCGGCGACTGCGGAACGCGACGCGACGGTGGATCACGCACCGGCGAGGCCCAATACGCCGGTGAAGTTCGACCAGGGGAGGTTGAGGGTGTTGGTGATCGTGTAGTTCGCGGGACTGGGGCCGGGGAGGACGACGTAGTTGGCGAACGCTGCAGGGGTGGGGGTGGTGGCGTGAGAGACGATCGCGGGACGAAACAGGGGACACTCACGCAGGAAGTCGTGGATGTGATCGCCGGCCTTGATCGTGGCGTGCTCGGAGCGGAGGACGACGCCGACGCCGAAGTTGACGATGCTGGAAGACGACGAGGAGAGTCAGCGGCGGACCCCGCATGGACAGGGAGAGGAGGGCGCGCACGGGTCGTTCAGGTTGAAGGACGTCTGGGGGAGCCCGGTCAAGCAAGTCAACGGTCGCAGGTGGGGGCACTCACGATCACGAAGTCGGCGATGCCGGGGTTCATGCGCCGGCGGAGGTAGGGGTCGATGGAGACGACGAGGGCCTTGACCAAGTACCCGCCGTTGAGAGGGACGGTGTCGAGGTCAATCGTGCTCTCCGCCCAGACCATCGTCTTGCCCGGCACCGGGAAGCCTGCGGGACATCTTAGCTCGAGCCAAGAGCGCAGTGCAGGGGGCGCACCTTTGCCGGGCCATTCCTTGAAAATGAGCGTCTTGTTCGCGACGGGGGCCATCTGGGGGATGAGGGAGTGGTGAGGGAGACGGTCGACGGGCCGTGGAGGATAAGATGAGCGTGCAGCGATCACCGATCACGCGTATATATGTGCCCACGGGCGGCTGCCTGATGGCGAAGCATCAAAGGTCGGCGCCAGGGCGGCAGAACTCTCCACCGGCGACCGTGGCTTCACGACTTGGAGATCGCGGCGTGAGCGTTGCAAACGGGGTTCGTTCTGCGACACCTCGACATGCGGGCCAGACACGGGGCGAAACAGGCATCTCATCACCTTGGAAGTAGCCGAGTCAGTGTTCAAACGTTCAAGGCGCAACTTGAGAGCGAGGTCGGCCGGCCCTATCGGCCTTCTGATCGTGTTGAAATGTCAGGAATTCTCGCCTTCGCCATCTCTCATCTGCTATCTGCTTGTCCATAGCTCCTTCCGTCCGCGCCGGAAGAATGAGCGATGGCTAAAAGTATCGTCTAGTGCATTGAAGTTTGTGTGAACCATGTGCCCTAGATGAGTTCGAGTTCGCCAAAGCAGAGGCGAAACGACGGTTGCTGTTCTCGTACAATTCAACCGCAGCCGCTGAGTAAGTAACAGGGAGCGTTGCGATGGGTCCAAGGAACATAACATATGCCATATGAAAGACAGTCAGCCATCGACAGTCATGCACCGAAATGGTCATACTCACCTGGAAGCTCTATAGGGCAGTGAATTGAGAGGAGAAGGTGCTGGTTACAGTTCGCATGCGAGAATCAGCATCAGCGAGCACCATCATTGGTAGAGCTTACTCCCTTGCCACTGGCACCCAGCCAATCGGCCTTGTGGCCATAACACCGACAGGCTTTGCCCTCCCTTCCCGAACCGTAGCCTACCGTAGCCCGCGCCCTCGCGGGTCGCGGTACCAGAACGCTTCGCTCGATCGCGCGCTCTTGCGGTTCTTGCGGAGATGTCGAGATGGCCTAGCGCAACGCGCGCGCGGTATCGCTTCCGCGCGCCATCCTCGTGGGTCGCGGGATCATCATCCAACTCTCACAGACGACGCGCGCAGCTGCGCGCGACGTACCTAGAGACCATGCATCCAGACTCCAACGTTGACCGTTTGAACCCCCGGAATAGAGGAGCGTGTGGACGCGCGCGTCGAGCGCGAAGTTCGGTGGTGTGCATAGGGGTCTGTGGCGTAGGATCCGACTCAGAACAGGGCCGGGTCGCGCGTCGGGCCCGCGCGGGCGCGTCTTTGCGCGCGATGGTGCAGCGGACGCTTTGGCGATAAGTACTCGGGTACTTAGCCAGTGTGGTGGTGCACGGGCCCGGACGGCCTTGACTCCGACTTGGAAATTGCCGGGGAGGAGCTAGTCTCCCCTAGGTATCTTCTATCAAAGGAGGTGCTTCCTTGCCGGTGCGGGGTGACATTGTTGGCAGTTGCGGCTGCGATTGCGATTGCGGTGCTGCGTCAAGGATGTGTGAGCACATGTTGGAGTGGTACGCGAGGGGTGGGCACATGTGTACGCTGCGCCGAGTGGCGAAAGGTTCGTCTAGACTGAAATACCAGTTTGCGATTCGCCAGAGGGACATGTGCTGATGTTACTCACCACGTAGGCAGGGACTGTGCGAATGAAACGGCATCCCTCTGATACCCGGATGGTCTTTGAGTCATCCTGGCACTTTGAACCCGATGTCTTGCGTCACGTAGGATATGGCGTAGCGAGGCGTGTTCGGTAGAGGAGACCTATGTATATGATGACGGTAGCTCCCAAGGCGCGCGCGTGCTGGCTGTCCAGGGCCTACTTATGCGGTCCGATAGTAGATAGACGCCCTATCGAAGGCCGCCTCCGGGACGCGTGCAGATCAGACTCTCTCTTTCTCACCACGCGCTTCTAGCATGCCCAAAGGCAGGATGAGGACGCGCAGCTGCACACGAGCGACACAATCAGCGAGGATCTCTGGAAGGTACGTGCTCTTTTTGCACTGCACGCACTGTCTGTCCTCCGAGCAATGTTTCGGACACTTTTAATTAATAAGGCGAGCCGCATCGGGAACAGATGTACGGGGCCCCAGTAAAAGACGGCGCGCAAGTGCGCCGGGTTGACCACAACGATTACTGGTGCGTCTTGCCCACTGCTCGCTTCATCCTTCCGTCCCTGTGCACGCGCATGTTCTTCGACACCTTATCTAGACCCTGAGCATCTCCGCAACAGGTCAAGTGCTCGCTTCGCTGCATTTCCAGTGTTCCAGTAAAGGTGTGTTCCCTTTCCCCAAAGTATCTTTCTCCATTGAATCTCCCTTGCTGACTTTCACTCGAAGTCCCCGCCTGCGCGGCCGCCATCTATACAGATCCCGAACCCGGGCCAGCCCGGGCCGCCCTCGCCGCCGTGTCGGAGGACGTCCTCAGCGCGGACACGGTTCGTCCCTCTTCTTTTTATTCGACTCGCCCGCATCTAGCTCTCCATGAATCAAGGACACGAACGCACTTCCACACGCCTGCAATTCCTCGTCTGCACCGTCTCCGGGAAGACCGAAACGGTGCGGACGAGGACCACACGCAGTTGTGCCCGTCGCGGAGTGCACCGTCACCTTCCTCCATCGGAGCAACCTCAGCTGACTGGGGTCAGCAGCCACTCCGACACGGAAGCCATCGCAGGCGCCACGGCCGGCGTGCTTCTGCTTGCGATCATCGCGGGCGTGGACCACGAGTTCTAGCTATAGGCGCGTCGTCCCGCGTCCGTGTGTCGTTCGCGGTCGCGCGCGCCGCGGAGGCGAGCGAGAGAGACGTGGAGGGCTGGTGCGCGGGCGCAAGCATCCACAGCGCGGCTGGACGACGAGGACGAGCGCGCGATCGCCACGGACGGGGCCGCTGTGAGCGTCGACAGTGGGAGCTGTTGTTCGGGGAACCGGGCGAAAGGGCCTGAACCTGGCGCACCACGCGAGGTCGTCGCCTCCTTCGGCCACCATGAACTTACCCGTGGTCACTTGGCTCGAGGCAGTGTGGGTGATATCGTCGGAGTTGTCACTGGTCCCGGGGCCGCAGTAGGCGCACGAGTTGATATTGACTAGACATTACATGCCAGTGAGACTCTGAAGCCCTCCGAGAACAATATCGACCGGGATGGCGTGGCTCAGCAGGGTCCGCAAAGAGCGCAAGAGACTCGCGCATGCTGTACATCAGTGGTATGGTCATGAAGTCGGCGGTTTGAACGGCGTCTCCGGACTGTCAGCTATAGACTTGTAGGCTCCTGAGAACAATGCTATACTAAAGCCCGCGGAGTGTCGCCACGGATCTTCGCGAGCAATCTTCGACCCCATCCGAGAAAAGCTGACTACCAGAATCCCATCTCAGCGTTTGGACCTGAGAGTGTGCTTCTCAGCGGTCGCAAATTTCCCTTCGGCCCAACACGAAAATGTAGCAGAAGATTTTAATTAGCTTGATACGTGGTTCCACTCAGTTTTACGTCGCGTTGACGACTGGGAGTACAGAGGGAGGGACGAGGAGTTAGGGATTGAAAGTTCAACATTTGGCAGATTAGAGCCTGCCGCGCGCCGGCCCCCGCCAAGGTTGGCGCGGAGCCCGAATACGACTTGCGCTCAGCTCCGAACTGGTGCCATAGCGCGTGCGCCGCGATTCAAGCACTGGCCGCGACTCCTACTACCACATCTACTTCTGATCGGCCACCAATCAGCCCTCGAAATTCACCTTGTTGCTCTTCTATGGCCTCAGAGCGAGTTCCCATCGAAGTCGCCGAGCAGGTGATCGACGCAGTCGGCTTCCAAGCCGACCTTGCCACTGTCATGGGACGAGTCTAGATTAGATTAGATATGTTAGCGTAATCTCTCTCTCTCGTCCGGATCAGTTCTTTGTTCTGTTCATGTATATAAACGCGCTCCGCAGGAGCGCGGCACGATCCTCACTCTACTCTTTACCACCATCAGTCCGTGTGTGTTTCTTTGTCCGTTCGTCCGTCCCTTAAGTCTCGTTCATCGCGTCGCCTCGAACACTCGAGCGACGATCCAAGGGCTGTAGCCTTCTCTCGAAGAGCGCCCTGTCTGAACAACTGAGTGACTACGACGATCGTCAGGAGGAATCCTACGAACCGCTTCGCTGGAACTTAACAATTGGTGGACACGTCCGGGATTGAGTGGCGAAATAGATATCCAGTGGTACGTAGCCGGTAATCGTTGCGTTGCCTGTGACTTGTACTAATCGTATCTTCTGTCCTGTTCGCGGCCGCGGTCCGTCAGGTATTGCTTCTAACGCTCGCTGTGATATGAGCGTGATGTCGGAGCCGGAGTCGATGATAGCAGAGACAGGAGTGGAGTGTGGGTCGTGGAGGTGTACTGGAAGAGTGGTGGCTTGTGCGCCGAGGAAGGTACATCCTGGCGGTCGTGTCATATGCTTCCTGAGAGGTATGACGTTGTCGGTTTCTTCCGTAGCATGGGCTTTGAAAGCGGAGCAGAAGGTAGCGTCGAAATTGTCCTGTTCTCGACGCACGGCATTCTGGGTTCTCGCGATATAGGTCTGACTTTCTACCGCAGGCTGTTCCCTCGAACGTGACGGCGCTTTTCCAGGATCTGGAGGAAAGGCGTCAGAGGCCGAGGTTGCGCTCAAAAATCCGTCGATGAAGGGTAGGGTGTCCCTGCATCGCTGTCGTCGTTGTCGTCGTCCATGGACTCGAAGTAAGCTTCTTCATACTCTTGCTCACCCGCTCTTTCAGTGTCGCTGAGAGGACTTCTCGCTAGGTTCACCCGTGCCAGTTTCTCGCCCTTGCGCGCATGTCGACAATCTCGGTCCCAGTGCTTCGGATTCCCGCAGTGACGGCACGGTCGGCGGCCCCGCTCGTCCGGAGGGTTCTTCGAGACCGAGCGGTCGAGTGGGAATGGGTAGTCGTTGGTGGTTGGTGCTCTTTCGCTTGTGCCCACGTTTACGCGTGCGGATGGTTTCCAATGTGGTCGGTTGTGTGAGTACGAATCTCTTTCTCCCATGAAGGTCTCCATTTTCATGAGATGCTCCTCGTTCAGATGCATGTCCATCTGGAGCTCGGCTGCGGTTCTGTAGTCGGACCAGCGCAGGATACCGGTATGCCACGCTGTCGGTACCGTCTCCGAGATATAGCTGATGATGTCTCGGTCGTTGGCTTGCATCGTCAAGAGGATCAGTTCGCGTTTGCGAATGAAGTATTCGCTTGGGGTTTCCTTCTCGTGGCCCTTGTCGCGGTACCTTGCAGCGATTGCGTCTTTCTTGGTGCGTTCCATCCATGATGGGCTCATGTAGTATTTGCCTATTGTTGATCGCAGATTCGACCAATCCAGCTCGCACCACCTACGAAGATCCTCCGGAAGGGAGTCGTACCAGTCTGCTGAGCAGCAGTGAATCGCTAGAAGCACCTGTTGTGACTGCCTATCGGCAGGTGCAGATGCACCTGTTACAGGCGCCCATTGCATAAGCAGCCATAAATATCGCAAGCGCCAGAAATAATGGAGACACGGGAGTCGAACCCGCAGCCACAATAATAAAGGCTAGCAATATAGGCCACTACGCTATAGGTCTTTGCTAACAAGCGCATGTTTTTAAATTATACAACCTTTGGTGCATGGCGCAGACGCGTGGCGCGCATCAACGCGCCACGCGTCCTTCGCCGTCGCTGTCCTTGCTCTCTTCCACCTGCTCCTGCTCCTGCTCCTGCTGCTCCTGCTCCTCCCTCGCTGCCCCCATCCTCCCCGCTCTGTCCAGGCAGACGATAGCGACCATATGGTCGACTGTCGTCTGCTATTGGACCACGGTGTCACCAGGTGACACCGACCTTCCCTTCTCCGGCCGACCTCGACCTAGACCTCAATCCCGCCCTTCACCCAGCTTGCCGGCCTCAACGTCAAGAGCGCATGAGGACGTCCGGATGGACGTCTTCAGCATGGAGATTGGAATAGGGGGGCCGCGGCGATGTACCGTAGCCCCCACTTTGGTGAGTCCTCCGTTCCGCCCTCACGCATTCCCAACGCCCACCTGCCGCGTCGACAACTACAACAGGCCGAGGACGTCCGCACGGACGTCCTCCTCCTCCTTTCGGCCCTCCGAATCGCCCTCCTCCGCGCCGCTCTTCTCTGCGCACGTCGCCCGCGCACGCCACCTCCCTCTGCATCGTCCGCAGAGGCGTCGCCCTCCTCCGCTTGCGCTGCCCCCGCACGCCGCCCGCACGCCGCCCGCACGCCGCCCGCACGCCACTCGCGAACGCCGCCCTGCTCCACCCGCGCCGCCACCATCCTCCGCGCCGCTCCCCTCTGCCCGCGTCACCCGCCTCCTCCGCCCGCGCTACCCGCCTCCTCCATGTCGTCGCCCGCTACCCTCCAAATCGCGCTCCTCCACCCGCCTCGCCCTTCTCCGCGCTGCCCTCCACGCGCCTCGCCTGTCACGCGCCTCCGCACCGCACTCCTCAGCCCGCCTCGCCCGCCCGCCTCGCTCTCCTCTGCGGCGCCCTCCGTCGTACTCCGCCCGCGCGCGCCGCTCGCAAGCGCCGCCCTGCTCCTCCTCGCGCACGCCGCCCTGCTCCGCCCACCTCCTTCGTGCCGCCCGCCCCCGCTTCACTCTCCCTCGCGTCACCCGCCTCCGCGTCGCCCGCCTCCTCCGCCTCGTCCCGGCCCTGCCCCTCCTCCTGCAAGCCCTCCGTCATGTAGTAGCATACATTAAATATATTTCATCTCTATTAATAAACTAGTACGCATACAAAAGGGTGTTCGAAAACAATACAGAGACGACGAGCACGGATGGGCGCCCGTATGGCGTGCGTGTGCGCGTCTGGGGAAGTGGTGTGATGGGGGTGGACATAGCAACGGGGCCGTGCCTGAGATCAACGGGTGCATCTGCACCTGCCGACAGGCTATGGGAACAGATGCACCCGGCGATTCACTACTGTAGGTCTGCTGCGCGACCCACCAGTCGTCGAGGTACGACCTGTCCTAGCTGTTCCTGTACGTCCGCTGAGATCTTGGCTAGACCGTTGATGTAGATCAGCCATTTGACGAGCTTGGAGGTATCTCCGTCCCATGTGTTGACCTCGGTGACTTTCATTTTCATGTCAAAGCGTACTCCAAGGGATGACTTCCCTCCATCAGGACGTGGGTTTCCCCTTGTGTCGCGCGCGTCGCTTCCTGGTGGTCCGCGGTGAGGAGGTCCTCCCCCCGGTGGCCCGCCGTGCGGAGGTCCTCCGTCGGGCGGCCCACCGTGTGGAGGTCCTCCCCCAGGTTGTCCACGGTGTGGTGGTCCTCCTCCGAGCGGTCCGACGTATGGATGACCCCCTCCTGGTGGTCCGTTGTTCGGTGGGCCTCCGCTAGGGGAGTCTCCTCCAGGTAGTGATCACCACGGGTGGTGGCCACCCGTGCGGGTTGGCGGGTCGGGTGCCACGGGTAAGGGTCCGGGTCGTGCTCGGCTGACCCGTGCACCCGCAGGGTGAACCCTCGGCGACCCGTGGTGACCCGTAGGCTCGGGGTGCATTATATGTGCAATAAATAGTATTGGATCAAGTCAGAAGAGGGCATATACGGATGGGGAACAAGGGCCGCATGCAATGCGCGCACGAAGCCCGCGTAACAAGCGTGAGCGCGAGCCAGACCCGGAAGTCCACTCACTCTTCGCCGTGGCTGACCTCGAGACGGTCTGCGGCGTGCGCGTGCGCCTGGAGGTGCTCGCGCTCCCGCTTGCGGACCACGGTGGCGGCGGACGCGCGCGAGCTGGAAGCGCGGGCACAGGCCGAGAGCGCGGTGGCCAGGATGCGTGTTCTGGCGTATGTAATCGCCATACCGCATGCACCTCACAAGAAGGTGAAGGGGATGGGGCTCGCCGGTGCACTCGCCACTCAGTCGCAGCGGCGGCGCGAGCGGCAGCGTCCGCTGCCCTCCCCATTGTCTACCGCGGGTACGTCGTCGGTGGGCGCATGCTCGTCGGCGCCTGGCAGCACACGACTGCGAGTGCGCACACGGTCCCGCTCGAGGGCACGTCCGTTGTCTCCAAGGTCGACTGCCCGCATCGGGGGGCCGACAGGCTGGGGGCGTGGGTTAGTGGTGCGGCGGCGGCGGCGACAGCGGGCTGGAGAGGGTGCAGAGAAGGGCGAGGTGCGGGAGAGACCCCCAGGGGGTTTCTCTCTGAAGGGAGGGCACATTCGTGCGCTGTCCGTCGAGCGTGGCGCCCTCGATGTGGTTCGCGAGAGGACCGGGACATGGACCGCCCACTGGCGGGATCTGGACGCGGATGAGGACGACAAGGCCGTCCCAAGGGCGGATGTGGCCGCCGTAGAGCACGCCAGGCTTGCCAGTATCGCGCGGGGGTCTGTTCGTGCGTGCGTGCGGGCGGCTGATAACGAGGGAGGAGCCAACCAGAGAGAGAAGAGGAGGCGAGATAACAAAGGAGGCGGAAGGGAGGGTTCAGAGCGCGCACTGGGGAGAAAGTGGGTCAGCAAAGGAGAGCAGACAAATGAAAGTACGCAACCTCGCCAGTGACGAAGATGTCTCTAATCCCGAAGTACGCCCGCTCGATGCCCATGTCGAGCCCGTCTTGAACCTGCTGGGGCACGCGGTCGATGCGCACCACTCCGACCTGCTCTTCGCCCATTTCGTGGTCGTGGTCGTGGCGGCGGTCGTCGTAGTCGCCGTCCAGGTCCGCGGTTTCGACTTCGTCGCCCTCTGCCGCCATCTCCACCAAGATCTCCGCCGCCCGCACCCGCGCCTTGGCCTCCTCCTCCTCCCTGTTCGCCACGTACGTCTCGCACGTCCCACCGCCCGCGCCCCTGGTGCGCCAACCGCGTATGCGTCCAGGGAGGAGCGGGGGCGGCACACGTTCAGCACACCCCCAACCATCGCGTCGCTCAGCTCCTAGAGCGGGAGGGGCCAGCCAGGGGACACGCAGTGGTGCTCGTGGAAGTCGAAGACGAGGGCGTGGTCCGCGGCCGAGAACCGAGGGATCCCTCTGAGCCTCAGTTCCAAGACATGCAAGTACACATCAAGCACAGACGTGTGCATGTCCGGGTCCTACACTGTGCGAGCGTGAGCGGTAAAAGGAACCATGGAACACAAGAAACTCACGAGGTGGTGGCCCGGCCAGAGCCTACCGGGCGAGGGGCACGCTGTGGCCCAGGGGTCGAAGCACGCTCTCCCCCGCCGCCGACGTACTTGTGAAAAGGAGTGGGGAGGGCTTCGCCGCTCGCGCCGCCGCCGCCGTGATGTGGACGAGGATGATGAGGCCGTCCCAGGGGCAGACGCGATCGTAGAGCACGCATGCGTGCCAGGCTCGCGCGTGGGACTGTAGGTGGGGCCCGGGGAAACGGCCAGCAAAGGAGAGCAGACGGAGGAAAGTACATTACCTCACATGTCCACTCCATGTCCAGGCTCGAGTCTGTCAGACTCGCCGCACGCGGTTGCGCGTCGTCCCTCTCATTGTCATCGTTGTCCTCGCTCCAAACCGTGTTGATCAGCTCGTCGATGTCGAAGTCGGGCCTGTCCCGGACCTGCCGGCACACACAGCCGATGCGCGCCACACCAACTTGCTCTTCGCCCATCTCGTGGTCGCAATCGTGATGGCGGTGGTTGTGGCGGCGGTCGGCGTCGTCTTCGTCGCGGAGAAGAGGAACAGAGGCGGGAAGGGGGAGGAAGGGAGGAGTCACGACTGGCAAGCTGTACGCCGCGCGCGCGAGCGCCGACAACAGCTGTCACACGTGACTGACCCGTGGTTGCAAGCGCTGTACCCGAGCGTACCCTGACCCGTGAGCTCACGGGTCCGGGTTTCGCGGGTACGGGTACGGGTCGACTCAGAATTACCCGGGGGTGACCCGTGGTGATCACTACCTCCAGGTGATCCTCCGCTTGGAGGTCCTCCCCCTCCGGGTGGTCCGCTGCACGGGTATCCTCTTCCTGGAGGTCCGTCGTGCGGGGGTCCTCTGCCAGGGAGTCTGTCACGCGGGGTTCTCTCTCCCGATGGGCTGTTGAACGGAGGTCCTCCTCCACTGGGCGATCCGCCGTGAGGAGGTCCTCCTCCGGTCTGTTCATTGTATCGAACCCCATAGTACTGGTGTTTATCGCCGTAGTATAGCCCTTGTGAGTGCGAGGTACTCCTCTTCGTGTCATAGGTCGCGGAGTGATAACCCATCGTGTGTGGTTGGAACAGTCCCGGTGTTTGAGCTGTGGGGCGCTCCATCCAAAAGGCTCCCGTTGGTCGCTCTGTTTGTGTCGGGGTCCCCGCAGTTTGGTGTGGGTGAATCACGTTGCCCGGAGAGGAACGGTCCACGCGCGTGTCAGGATGGGCCTCGTGATCAGAGGAAGTCGTCACGCGGATTGAAGACGGGGTGCTCATCCAGCTCGAGTCCGCGTTGTACGTCAATGACTGCGCAATACGCGGTTCTGGTGCTCGAGGCTGATCCTCCTGCCCGAATATCTGTTGCAGTCCTGCGGTGTGCACAGGTGGATGTATTTGGAGTGATCCTCCCCAGCGAGCCTGCGTGTCTCCTCGTGACGTCTCTGCTTTGTGTTCTATTGGTGCGATAGGTACAATGTTCACGAGATGCGGAGGTGCATCACGGAGTATCGGTGGGTACTCCTCGTGGTATTCATTCCGGAGGGACGTCGTATCTGTGGGATACTCGTGACGAGCCAGTGTTGCCACGGGCTTGATCTCAGACACCTCATGCTGCCGTAGTGCGCCTTGCGTCGAGAGTGCGGCTTGTGCTCGCGTGAGAGCTCTCCCCACGATCTCCTTGGCAGGAGTCGGCCACTTTTCGGGCATCCCTGCGGGGGTGTAGAACTTCGTCTGAGGTTCCTCCCGCGTCAGTGAGTGTTCTTCGGCACACTGCTGGTAGGTGACGTTTGGTGTGCGTAAGCCGTTGACGGGGGAAGGAGGGCGGAATTCGTTCACGGATTCGGGTTCGCCGAGTCGCAGAGCAGGCAGGTCGTCATCGTCGGGCTGCTCGGATTTCTCAGTGAAGGTGTGGACGTCGGCTAACGTTTGTAGGAAACTTTCGACTTCGCGTTGAAAGCAGACAGACAGGATGTCGTAATTACTCTCGGAATGCATCCGCATGCAGGTCGTGCTGTCTCGGCCCCAAACGGGAACAAGCGGAAGTCGTCTATCGGCGATCACAAAGGATGGAGCGGCTTCCGCGCGACGTTGTCCCAACATGAGGGCGAGCTCGTCCATGTCGACAGGATCAGGCCAGAGACGATCCTTCCTCGTTGCTAGCATGCGCGGAGAGGCCACGATGTCAAGGAGAAGGTAACGTTCCTTGCGAAACACTCCGCTTCCGAGGACGAGTCGGAGATGGTTCTGTTTGCTGGGTCGGAGTGTCTGTCGTCCTGTGTATTCATGGCCAGCCTTCAATGCGGTGATCACGAACTTCTTGCGTTCCAGGTCTTGCAAGATATCGCCGATATAGTCGTAGACGGAGCCGTGGATTGAGGTAACTCTGTCCGCACGATATTCTATGGCATGTGTTTCCGTGGCGCTCGTGATGTCAAAGAACCCATCCCGTGCGACTGATGCCACTCCCGAGTGCACGGTGCTCAATGGAGACGATGTCCGGGGTGTGTGAAGGTTCTCGCCGGGCCACTTCGTCTCGACTGTGATCCTGGGAGGTGGAATGGTGATTGGAGTCGGCGAAACGATCGGGGTAGGGGATGAAATTGGAGTGGGTGTCTTTGTCTCGGGTGGGCGACGATCAGTCTCGTCCGGCGGCTCGTGGCCGTTGATGACTCCGTTAGTGGGAGCAGCGAGTTGTGGCGAGGGTGTAGTTGGTTGGGGCATAGATTGATGACGATTGTTCTTCTTCTTGTTGTTACGTTGAGCCATGGTGAGAGACGATCGAGAGAGGAACTCGGGGTGTCCACCAATTGTTACGATATGGCGGACGACGAGGATAAGAAGACAGAACACCAGCGCTACTCGTCACCAGACGGAACTCATCGTCAACCAGCGCCGGCTCACTCGCAACCGCGACAAAACCCCTCTTCATCTTCATCATGCCCTCCACTCTCGAACGGGAATCTGGTCGTATGGGATTGCCCTTCTACCTCTTCGCTACGATCCTCCTCTTCAACTTAGACGTCGCGGCATTAGCGCTCACGCGGGATCTTCGCGTCAACGACGATGACACGTGCGAGCTCCAAGTCACGCTTTCCGCCACCCTCCACGAACGCCTTCTTTATCTCCTCCGAGTCGTCCGCCTTGCTTCCAACGCTATCGTCCCCGACGAGATCGCCGCCAGCGCCGATGTGGACTTCAATCTCGCGGCTCTCTCCGAGCTCGGATCAGACTTTCCTCCTTTCCCCGTCCTCCTCTTCCTACAATGTTACCCGGACTACAACCAACTCTCCGGACCAACCCCTCGATCCGTCTGGGCGAAAACCTGGTACGACTACCAGCAATGCGCGCACGCATCCATGGACTGGATCGCGAGAGCCATGCGGACCTCGGTCGGGACTCACGGAGAGATGTCTGCTTGGAGGTGGACCCCGCATTCGTTCTCGCCCTCGTGGGTGATAATCGGAGAAGATTACGGCGACGTACTCTCGGCGAGGAGTCTCCAGAAGACTTGTCTAGGCGCGGATCTCATCGCCGAGGCGATGCGAAGCCGTGGCATCCTTCGCGCCATCGCCAACGTCCTCGGAGTCGCCGACATCTACGTCCTGGTCTACTGCGACGACATCCTCGTTGTAAACGCGAACCCCGGCGTTCTTCACGGGTTCGACCTCGTCTCCGTAGTATCCGGAGTTATCACCGAGTACGAGAGAGCTCGTCGCCCCGGCCGGTTTCTCTGGACTGTCACGCCGCGGTCGACTACACATGGATTAGTACCGACTCTATCCATGACTCCGCTCGAAGTCGGCATGGACGTTGATTAGCTTACTCTGCTCCCTTTTACGTTCTTCGAGATTCGATTCTACGCTGGGGGAGGCATGTCATGGGACGAGTCTAGATTAGATTAGATATGTTAGCGTAATCTCTCTCTCTCGTCCGGATCAGTTCTTTGTTCTGTTCATGTATATAAACGCGCTCCGCAGGAGCGCGGCACGATCCTCACTCTACTCTTTACCACCATCAGTCCGTGTGTGTTTCTTTGTCCGTTCGTCCGTCCCTTAAGTCTCGTTCATCGCGTCGCCTCGAACACTCGAGCGACGATCCAAGGGCTGTAGCCTTCTCTCGAAGAGCGCCCTGTCTGAACAACTGAGTGACTACGACGATCGTCAGGAGGAATCCTACGAACCGCTTCGCTGGAACTTAACAGCCACGCTAGCCTCCTGCGCCCGAGTCCACACAAGATGGCTACCCAGAAGCCGCATCCACATATGGGGCTACAGTAGTGAATCGCCGGGTGCATCCGTTCCCATAGCCTGTCGGCAGGTGCGGATGCACCTGTTGATCTCAGGCACGGCCCCGTTGCTATGTCCACCCCCATCACACCACTTCCCCAGACGCGCACACGCACGCCATACGGGCGCCCATTCGTGCTCGTCGTCCCTGTATTGTTTTTGAACACCCTTTTTGTATGTGTACTAGTTTATTAATGGAGATGAAATATATTTAACGTATGCTACTACATGACGGAGGGCTCGCAGGAGGAGGGGCAGGGCCGGGACGAGGCGGAGGCCGGTAACGCGAGGGAGAGTGAAGCGGGGGCGGGCGGCACGAAGGAGGTGGGCGGCGTGAAAGAGGCGGCAAGCGTGGGCGGAGCAGGGCGGCGTGCGCGGGCGGAGTACGACGGGGAGGAGGAGGGCGCCGCAGGAGGGCAAGGCGGGCGGGCGAGGCGGGCTGAGGAGTGCGGTGCGGAAGCGCGTGACGGGCGAGGCAGCTGGAGGGCAGCGCGGAGAAGGGCGAGGCGGGCGGAGGAGCGCGATTTGGAGGGCAGCGGGCGACGACATGGAGGAGGCGGGTAGCGCGGGCGAAGGAGGCGGGTGACGCGGGCAGAGGGGAGCGGCGCGGAGGATGGTGGCGGGGCGGGGCGGCGTTCGCGAGCGGTGTGCGCGGGCGGCGTGCGCGGGCGGCGCAAGCGGAGGAGGGCGACGCCTCTGCGGACGATGCAGAGGGAGGTGGCGTGCGCGGGCGACGTGCGCAGAGAAGAGCGGCGCGGAGGAGGGCGCGGAGGAGGGCGCGGAGGAGGGCCGAAAGGAGAATGAGGACGTCCGTGCGGACGTCCTCGGCGGCCTGTTGTAGTTGTCGACGCGGCAGGTGGGCGTTGGGAATGCGTGAGGGCGGAGCGGAGGACTCACCAAAGCGGGGGCCACGGTACATCGCCGCGGCCCCCCTATTCCAATCTCCATGCTGAGGACGTCCATCCGGACGTCCTCATGCGCTCTTGACGTTGTGAGGGAGGCCGGCAAGCTGGGTGAAGGGCGGGATTGAGGTCGAGGTCGAGGTCGGCCGGAGGAGGGAAGGTCGGTGTCACCTGGTGACACCGTAGTCCAATAGCAGACGACAGTCGACCATATGGTCGCTATCGTCTGCCTGGACAGAGCGGGAAGGACGGGGGCAGTGAGGGTGGAGGAGGAGGAAGAGGAGGAGGAGGAGAGCGAGGACGGCGAAGGACGCGTGGCATGCATCACAGCCACGCGTTGATGCGCGCCACGCCTGGCGAGGCGCGTCTACACGGGCGCGCATCACGGATCAATAGGTGCACCTGTAGCTGCCGATGGGCTATGGCAACAGGTGCTCCTAGCGATTCACTGCTGCTCTATGGGGAAGGATCACGGTCCGCACCGTGGAGGCACTAAACTCGATTTGTGAAGCATTTAAATGCTCCCCGGACTTGATTTTGTTGGTCCATACCGTCTGGCTCAACGGAAACGAGAAGTCGTTCCCCTGGGTCGCACCTGTGGTTCTCCTTCCGTATCTCGCACACATCGACACATGGGAAATTTCATCCTGCACAAATGGATTTCCTTCGACTGTCTTGGCTTGCTTTCGACGATACACTGCAGTCAAGACCTTGGTCATCAACTTCTCCAAATTTCCCACACCGCTCCATGTGTACCGACTAGCCCATGCGTTCCCCGCCCTCCAGTCGCTGCAACTGTTCTGCGTAGTCTGCAAAGCACCCTCCCCCGACAGAGCACTCCCCCCACTGAATAAAACATGCGGGAGCCTGTCACATCTCCAGGTGAGACGAGACGCCGAGTTGATCGCACGAAGACGACGGAAGAGACTAAATTTTCCGATTTCCACAGGTTTACCATGGCGTGCCATTCAGACTCACTAAAAACCTAGCCTTGCAGCTTTTTGAAGTCGCTTCCGGAAGTAGATCAACGCTCACACACCTTGATCTCAGCCTGAGATGTCTTAGTGTAGCAGGTACATGTAGTACACATCGACTACGATGGAGCAAGTTCTGACTCACCCTTTTCGGCACTTTCAGGCTTCCCACTTGCAATCTGTACCAGTCTTGAACGTATATCTGTACGATTGGCCGGGACCGACGATGTAGAACTCTTCTCCAAACCTGCGTCGCTCCGGAAACTGAACGCGCTAATGGACCTTGGTCTCCCGCAATCGCTACGGGTCGTGAACATCACTCTAGGCAAAAATATGGCCTACTACATTGGTTTGGAGCGCAACAGCGATCAACAAACGGCCCTCCGCAACTTCTCACGGCTTGTGACGGACCATAGCTTTCTTGGAACGCACGGGGTTCAATTCATAATTACAAACTCAATGCAGAATCTCGTGGAAACATGGAGGGCATGGTTAGAGGGTGCGTTTGCGTCGCTTCACAAGCTTAGGCTTTTGCAGGTTGATTTCGTGCCTTCTGGTGTGTATCTTCCTTCCCAATCAATCCGAGTTCAACCTCTGAGTCTAAATATTGCATTCACAGCACTGGGGTCATCATCCGAACTGTACGGGCATCCCACTCCAGTGGAGCATCTGACCATCTCTCGGGACGGGAGGTGGGCAGCGAGCGTCAGCATAGCACTCTCAGCGGACAGAAATATCCTTGCGCAAGAATCAGTCATAATCTGGGACGTTCGCGCCGGAGGGAGACCCGCTTTACAATGCTGGTATCCCATATCGAGGCGAGCCTCGGACCGCTTTGCAAGTGGCGCCCTCGTCTTCTCCCCGTCAAACACTCGCCTCTTAAGTCGTTCCCATAGTCAAATCGCCACTTTTTGTCTCCCTCCCATTGAAAAGGAAGGGAATGGCCCTGAAAGCAAGCCCCGGAAAACGGGAATCGTCAAGGCAGCGGAGCCAAACGAGATCGTCGCCGCAGGCTGGTCCCCGGATAGCGCCCAAATCCTCGCCCTGACGGACTCGACGGCCCTTCATGTTTGGGATGCGGAAGGCTTGACCCTCCTTCACTTTATTCGCTGTCCTCCTTTCCCGGACCCACTTGGCAGGAGGGTTCGTATGTCAATAAATCCCCCTTACGTTCTGATCCACCTCACTGGCATGTTGAATCCGTGGAACATCCGCAACCACATCCATGTCGTCGATCTGGTTTCAGAAGATATCAAGCCCCGTTTGATCAATCACCGAAGCCATTACGATGCCAAAGCATATGCGTCTCAAGCCGTGCTGCGATGCGACTCCGAGCGGGGCGACTTCCATGTGCTCGCACTGCCAGAGGAAGGCAGTACCCTCATGGTGGACCAGTGCGGCGAAGAAGCTTCTACGGCACCTCTGGTGTTCTCACCACTCCATGGGCTCACTCCCAAGGCTTTATCCGCCGATGGCACTCGCACGTTGTGTCTTGTAGACGCAGCGAGGCCTTCCGCCGATCATCCTCCGGCTGCTTCCCCGCAATTCTGCGTTGTGGACACCGCTACCGGGGATATACTGTCGGGGCCATTCGAAGGCGAGCTGCCTCCGGTAGTCATTGGTGAACACCAAGTTATGAGTATTGGGCAGTTTGGGAACTTGCAACACAGTCACGGTTCATCGTATCGCGGAGGATGGTTTTGGAGCGTGACGCTATATGGCAGGCTCTATCGAACTCCTGCCTTCGACGATGAACAGGACGTTCGTGAGGCGCCAACAGCGGAGCAGGGAAAGAAGGAGGGGAAGAAGGAGGGGAAGAAGAAGGGGAAGAAGAAGGCGGCGAGCTTGATCAAGGAGTCCAGTAGCTCCGTGGAGGAGTCGGGGAGGGCGGTGCGAGTCGCAGTCGCATACGACGGGTCGATGTTCGTATGGTCGGATTGGGACGGGAGCGTGCATTTCCATCGCACCGTAGGCGGCGTTTGAAACCTACAAAGGTGGTACCTCGACCGCGCCATGGCACGGTACTGAATTGCAGATCTTCTTGTTACTGATGTGTGTTGACGCAGAATTTAAAAACACCACGGAAATACCTAGTCTTACCGTAGTACTATCCAGCACCACATGTATTTATGCACCGTCGACTTGTGCGGTCGAAAGCTTTCTTGTAACTGCAAACTCCTCTAACAAGTCTATGTCCCACTATTACTTGGGCCCAACCCTGACTCGAACACCCGGTCCTCCTTCCCCCGCGCGCCGGCCCCACGACTGTCCACCAATCAGCGTGCCTTGACGGCCGCACCGACGGCCGCCTCCTGCCTTTCTACAAGGGCTGCGATTCGCGCAGCCTTTTGGCCAGCGTGACGCGCAGGCTGACATGCCTGTCCGCGACCATGTCGGAACCGGGGACAGAATCAAAGAGCACTGACGTATCGGTGGATGGTCGTCTTCTTCGGTTCATTGGGCCATTACTCGGGGAAGCAGCCGAATACCGGGCGTGGTATGCTGGCTATGGCGGCGGGTCAGCAGCAGAAACGCCAGGAAATAGCGAAGACTTATCATCGAGAGGCGTGGGGTCTGGCGGGGCCGATACCGGAGCAGTGAACGCTACACCTACACCACGCATTGGTAGTTGACTGTAAAGGGTTAACATAGAGCGTGACAAAGAACATCGTGCAGTTAAGACCGAGGTGGTCTGCGATGTGTCCAGTCTAGTACCTGATCGACATGGCGCAGCTCTTCCACATCCGACAACGCGTACCCGTCCTCACGCACAAACATACCTCCGCACCGTTCGACGCGAAACGCCACTCACAGGCATCTGCGGTTATGGTCGTTGGGTGGGGCCCAGAGGAAGATCGTGCGTGATGATGACCTGCCCAATCAGTAGCGCGACTGCGGGCACCATCGACGCGCGGAAGCGACCAAACGAGTCCGTATACCGATACGGTCTCAACTCGGGAGCAGACGAGTAATCGAGGTTCGCCCAGAAGACCCGGCGAGTGTGCGCGCGACTTCTCCCTACTCTGCGTGGTTAGCATGAGGTACGACAGCGCGAGTTGGACGAGGCAAAGAGAACGCACTGCAAGCTCCTGCGGGGGCTTCCAGGTGTGCCGTACTTCCGGCGTCGGACGCTCTAGATCGGGTCTGTATCGGAACAGCAAGTTGAGCTTCTCCAAGAGCGGGCATGTTCGCACGATAGAAGACAGGATGTCTTGCGCTGGATAGTGCGGGACCGCGTACTCGACTTCAAGCCGTACAAGCCTAGAGGAATTAGCGACGAAGGATCGTGGTGATCGCAGCGGCAGAGGGTCGTGGTGGCACGATGCCGTTCATGCGGGGGCCAGGCTGGTGGACCTGAGCGTAGTGTGGGTTTGAGAGTAGGGAGAGCGTGCGGACAGACGGGGAAGCACGCAGTGTCGCTCTCGGTGAGGGGAAGGGGGAGATATAGCTCTTCCAGATCCGGCCACGGGAACTCTGATTGAGGGATTGTGGACGCGACGGTAAGCCCAACGCGGTCGTCTTTGAGGTGAAGCTGAAGATTGAGCGTGCGGAGCTTGGACATGTTGGCGAATTGTGATGCGTACGATTCGGTCAGCGGTTCCTTTGGGCGACCGGACAGCTTCAAGAGGTTCGGCCACCGCAGGCGCTTCAAGACATCCAAGGGGGCAGACGCGACGGTGAGTTCGAGCGTTTCGAGGGTCTCGCACACGGCCTTTAGCAGGACGGATAGAACCTCGACCTCGAGGGGAGCTGGGTGGTCCTTGTACAGGGGATACCGATTGAGAGCGTACTTGAATGACTTCAAAGGGGCGATGGTCGTGAACTCGAAGGCTTCCGTCGGAGTGAGCCTGCCGAGAGAGAACGCGGCGGAATGTACGCAGAGTTCTCGGAGGGACGGGGCAGAGAGGACCACCTTCAAGGCCAGCCAGGGAACACCGTGCTGACCGACCCAGGGCATGGATGTCGTGACGGAGTAGAGGTTGGGCATGCGTGACAGAACATGCGTGAAGTGAGGGGGAGGTTTGAGGACACCACAAAGCCGAGGATTGGTAGCGCGACTACGTTTTACGCCTCACCGCGTCGACGTCCGGGCATGCGCACGTACTAAGAGAGAGCGAGTTTCCTGATCGAGAGTAAGATTCGCAGTTCTCTGAATGAAGAAGATAGCTGACCGAACGTTGCCACGGAGCGCAGACGGGACATTGCACCGATTCTCGTCCGGTTTCCTGAGGTTGATCGAAGAGCAGTCGGAGGACAGGGAGAGTAGGGAGAGCTCTCGGAAGTACTTGGAGGTTCGGTAGAGAGACTTGAGGTCGCGGAGGGACTGTGCGCAAACTATTTGGACCAGAGGCAACAACAAATCCTCCTTGAGCATATGGTGAGAGGGGCGAAGAGGAATTATGTTCGAGACTCACATGTCTAGCCGACTTCAAAGCTTGTACGCAGTGTCGTGGGTCAGTGCAATGACTTGAACTCTTAGGCGGAACTTATGGTTTCGATTGGCGCATGTCGCGACACTGGAAAAAGAGATCACACATCGGTCCACAGAGTAGAAGAGCACAACGTGCCTGGCGCGGATCCGACCAGCGGTGTCGCGGACGAGAGCGTTGGAGCGAGGCCAAGCGGTGGCTTCCGCGCTTGCCCTCCTACCACCATCTCCGCCCCCCCTTCGTCTCAACCATCGCCACCTACCGACACACACCGGCTGCCACCAACAAGAATTGCTCTACCCTCTTCCGCGCTTCCACTACCGAGTTTATAACAGTGTCTTATTGCATCAATCATCCGATTTTGTTGTTACCGCGTAGTTTCCAACAAACCAGGGCCGAACCCGATCTCAGAGGGGAGGAGATTGTGAGTTCATGTCTTTTGCAGCGTCATCCTCTTCTCGTCACACCCACACTATATCTTTCTGAGCTTCTGAGGGGGAGTTTCGATCGTTAGGATTAGATCACGTGACCCGTCCCCTTTCCGAAAAGCCAAGGTTGAAACGTTTCAGACGGGTACATGCACTCGAGCTCATTTTCTAACGTCGTGATAACTTATTCGTGAGTTAATCAGTATACTTCTTGTGTCATTTCCCGCGAAACCTGTTTGGATTCAAGTTATGAATCAGCGGCGCTCCAGCAAGGTGTGTTCCCGTTACAACAGTCTCGCCGACCCCCCTGTACTACAATGGCGATCACTGAAACCCCATCTCTCGCACGCGTGAAAGTTACTGGTCCCTCATCTGGAAAGCTCGAATCTGAGCCCCTCCTTGTCTGCTTATGATGTCGGGCTCAAGACCTGAAAGCGCGCCAAAACCACAGCGCAGAAGGTCGACACCAAGCGTGGACACTTACCTCTTCCCCGTGGAGAAGGTGGAGAGACAGACGAGTCTCGTCGACCCTCGACTTCTGCACCTTAAGCTCCCCCGGACAGTTTGCAAACGAGAGGACGGGGGGCAACGCATCCTCGACAAGGAGGCGATGAGGACACGGGCCCGTGGGATCGGCCCGCTCATCGGCGAACGCCAAGTGCGGGTGGGCTTGCGAGCTCTCGTTGTATCCTTCGGAAATTCGCTGATCTAGCAGCTAGCCCAGGGCGAGCTCCCAGTCATCGCGCTGGAGGTGCCCGAGTTGACCATTGCGCTGTTGCTGGGGTTGGCCATCGCGCCGTTTGCGGAGTTGGAAGCATATCCTTTAGGAACGAGACGGCCCTCCCACAGAAAACGGACGTCCAGTCACTCGGGTACCCGTCGAGTGCCGCCATGACGGCCCCCGTCCACGTGTCGTTGTCTACACCATGCGCCGGGACCCCCACGACGAAAGCTTCGTCCGCCAAACTCACCGCCGCAGGCCATTAGGCAAGTATAATTACAGCCGTCCGGAAAGGTCTCATCACTAGCCGGTTCGCCATCGGTTTTTCACAAGGTGGTTCTAGTCTCATTGACCATAAGATCATTGTCGAGACCTGCAGTGCCATTAAACCTTCGGTCGGAGGGCTGGGATCCGGGGTGAGGAGCTGCGTTCGGGTTTCTTCCGATATCTCGCTCGCGCAGCAGCACGCTTACTAGCCATCCACTCCCGTTGTTCAGAGATCCAATCTGTCGTTTAGCTACATATCTCACATGTCAAGTGGTTCACTCCCGTTCGAACTTTTTGCCGCAAACAGCGACCGCGTGTGCCGCAACGCCTTCACGATATCCGCATACAGTTCCTCCGTGAGTTTCTGACATCGCGTGTCAGCCTCCAACCCTACCTCATTGAGAAAATACTATTACTCTCCCTCGCCGGCTTGATCTCGTCCATGAACCCGACCCCCGTCCTGCTCCACGTCACCGTACACCCCTCATCCCCGCCTTGAACTTCGCTTGCACCTCCGCATGCTCCACCCCACTATCGATGTCGTCGACGATCGCGGTCCGGAGCCCGCGCCGGTCAAGGCCCGCCGGCCACCCGTGTGAGCGTACGCGCGGTGTCCGTTCCCGCCGCGCGCAACAGTCGCGCCTTGCCATCGGCGGGATACGCAGACTCGGGCGTGAGCACGTAGCGCGTGCCGAGCACGACGCCCGCGGCGCCCAGGGTGAGGTACGACGCGATTTGTGCGCCGGTGGCGAGCCCACCTGCGGCGAGATCGGGGGAACCGGATGGGCCCAGCTTCGCGAGAACTTCGGAGACGAGAGTGGAAGTGGGAGGCGCTGCCGCGCCGCCGTGCCCGCCCGACTCGTTCCCTGCGCGCGCGGCGACGTTGCTCGCGAGCGCCGCGGCGAGGAGAGCGCGCCCGCGCGCCTCGTCTGTGTCGAGCAGCCAGCTGATGAATCCGACGCCGATCGGCGTGGGCGCGGTGTGCGCGAGGCCGGGGAAGGACGCACGTGCGGCTTTCAGCTTCTCGGGGGCATCGAACGCTGGGGGCGAGTGGGCTGGGTCAGCGAGTCTGGATGTGGGACGAACGCGCGGTGCAGTGTGGTAGGACCTGCACCGACGAAACCGAAGCCGCCGCGGCGCTTCACTTCGACCTGACAGACAGAGCTGAGTCTAAGAGTCTGTGCATGCGTATATGTACATGCTGCAAGGGCTGTGGGAGCCGCACCTGCCATCGCGGCAGATACGATCGGCACACAAGCACCTGGGAAACACACGGGCCGCCTCAGCAAGCAATGTCCGTGATTTCCTTTGCGTTGCACTCACCGACAAGGCTCGTCAGGTTTGTTTTGACTATTTGTTGCCGCCGCTGACTGTAGGAACTGATGACGAGATGGTCGACGATCGATGTGCTTTTAAGTGCACAGCAGCCGCGGGGCGCTGAATTCTTGGAAAAAGACTGCACTGAACGGAAACTCAGTCAACGTTTGCTACGTCCGAAGGCTAGGTCCGATAGAGACGGAAGGCCGGGCTGTCGAGAACCCGATGAAAGTATCCATGAGGCGCAGATTTGAAGCAACCGTTTGAAATCAGCACGTCCGAGTGTTACCGATTGTAGCTCACCTCCCAAGCACCACAGTATCTTGCTGGCAGTCCAGTCCCAAGAGTGATTATAGCACGTCGGCGCGGAGGAAATCTGTAGTCCGTCAACCAGTGACGTGCACCGGTCACATGGGCACCCCCCATGATCAGGAAGCTCGATAAGAACGCCTTCGAAGACCAAACTCCAACCACACGCTGCTCCCCGAATATCCAAAAAATGCCCTCACCTAGGTGACGATTTCCGACCATCTTTCACGCACGCTACAGAGGGTTCTTCACCCAACGTAAATTTCAAGATCTCAGCGCGCGAGACGTAGTGAGTGAACAGCGCCGGCTTGGTGATCTTTAGTATGGATATCTGAAGCGCTGCAGAGCACCTGAGTGATCGGCTGCCCGCCCGGGACTAAGCGACTAGGAGCGAGACACGCACCTTGGTAGTTCAGATCGATGTGGGTGTGTAGGAGCTCTTCGGAGACGGACCAGGGCCTCGTGCCCTCCTGAAATGACGCATTTTAGCTCTCATATAGATGTTAAGTACTGCAGAAAAGACCCACACTCACCACGCCGAAAAACCCGACCGAAAGTCTCATATGTAGCAGCCGTTTCTGCCTAGCGTGGCAACGAGCCTGACTGTGGGAAGAAAAGCAAGCGTGGGAGTGCGCGCCACCAGATGCAGATGGCACCAGTGGTGGCGACTTTCCGTCCGTTCCCAGACATCTCTGTTGTCCATCCCTCTCTGCCCTCACACATATTACTATTCATCTCCATCATGCAACAAACTCCCTTCTCTCACCTGGACCTCCCGCGGCTGCCGCTTCCAGTGGGTCCCGGTGCCCATCCTCGCTACCCTGGATACCCTGTTTTACTATGCCCGGTGGACTACGAAATTGAGCCAACGAGGCGTAGCAGGAGATTGAAGATAAGGCCTCTTGGCTGCCTGTAAGACAGTCACGGCTGTATCCTTGAAGATCTTTTCTTACCGTTGCTTGTACAGGCACAACGTGAACAATGACATCATCTACGAACTGATCGATCTCGTGAGTCGACAATCCCTCGACGACCTCAAGTCCCTCTCTCTGAGCTGCAAACGGCTCCGGGCTCTTTGTCTCTCCGCTCTCTTCTCCCGGTGCGAAGCCTCGTTTCCCGATCTGAACGAGGCTCGGTGGATCGTTCCACCTACGCTGATTCCTTACGTTCGGTGAGCATCAAGTTACCCATCGAGTCGTTCATTCCGTGGCTGATTTCAGCTCAGTCAGCTGACACTGACCTGTATGTGCCCGGACGTCGACTGTGTGCACAAGTTCAGGCGTCCTCGGCCCAGATGCACAACCTTCCCATGGCTTTGTGGCGTCTTGGAACCCCCGCCGTTCTTCAAGACCACGCTCGCACGCATGTCCAATCTCTCATCTGTCACACTCACTATGCCCTGGGCCGCTCGACACGGTGTTTCTTGGTCTGCTCTGCAGGTCATTCTCTCCGCCCCCACACTGCGCGAACTCAGCGTAATCGCCCTCACCTTTTCCCCAATCAAGGTTTCCCCCTCAAACATCTTCGAATGCCCTCGTCGTCTTGCTCCACTTACATCGTTCAAGTATCTCCTCTGCTGGCATCCCGATAATCATTACCCGCTTCCTCCGCACGAAACCGAGGCGCTCTCGGTTCTACTACAGGCGGTCTGCGGGACGCTCACGTCGCTTGAGCTCAACGCTGCGTCTGCACCGCTAGACACCATGGAGCACCTTCTATGGCCGCGCCTCCACACTCTCAAGCTCTCGGGGAACCGCAGAGATCCCCAATACAAACCCTACACGACCTTGTTCCGCAATATGCCCGGGCTCCGCGAGTTGGTGCTCGAGCTCCATCTGAAGCGCACGCCTCGCGTCGGGCTCGCGGTCCCGCGCGAACTTTCACCACGGCCACTTGTGTTCCCCTGGCCCCAGATGGAGCACCTGTACCTCCCGCTCCCGCTCCCGAGTAGCGACGACATGTACCGACAGCTTCCGACCTCGCTTCGTACCCTCTCTCTCCTCCAGTATCCGCACTACGCCCAGCGACATCAAGAATGCGTCCGGGTCAACTCCATCGCACCGGAGCGACCCAGCGCGGCCCGAGTCGTGCGGATCCTCCAACGCTGCGCCGTCGCCGCGCAGCTCACGCGACTCGAGATCGAGTACATCGTCGAGCTCAAGCCTGCCGTCGACCCGCTGCACTTTGTCGTGCACGCGTGTCCGCTTCTGGAGGAGCTCAAGCTGCTGCGATACCGGATCCAGCCGCCGCAAGATCTGGAGCTCATTCGGGGGCGACCAGATCTTGAGGAGCAGTTTGGCAGCTCGCGGAAGTGGAAGCAGCCGCACGAGCTTGCGGTTCGTCGTTTTCACGCATCCGTTCCTTGATAGTACTCATACTCACACCCCCACGTCACAGGCGGACATCGCGCGGATCCTCGCGCCACTGATCCACCTGCGGGTGTTTTGGGCTAACCTGGACTACGAGGGCACACCCCTGTTCGACTCGTTCCAGCATTCTAGTGACCTCCGCACGCTCCATAATGTAACATTGCCGACGGTGGCACAGGTGCTCGCGCGGATGATACCGTCCTTGGAATCGGTGTTACTATGGCAGCCAAGCAGTCGGTATACAAGAGGCCGATGCGCGTGGATGTCGTTCCGCGTGGCTAGGGGATCGAGCGTCGTCGTACATATTGATGGGTACAAGCTCGCAGACGTGGAGGAGTTGATTATCGCTAAGTAAATACCCATTGCTCTGACAGCACGAAGATTCTGTGATGTAAGAGACTGTTTTGATTATGAAAAAACGGTATCGTCATCAATCTAAACGTTGTTGGGACGCCGCTTACGCCGGGGGGTGCGCGAAAGGGGTGGTGTGAGGGGATCGCGTGCGAGGCCGTCGAACTTGCACTACGGGGGCGGCCCGAGTCGGCCCGGCGCGACAGAAGAAGACGAGCACGCGGAAGTGAGAGCAGAGGACATGCGAAAGCAGCTGCCGGCGGTTGTAGCGGGAATCTGGAAGGGTACAAGACGGGCATGTTAGTGGGGAGATGATGTAGAATAGTCTGCACGAACGCAAAAAGGAGGAAAAACGAGTGTAAATTAGAGGCAGCGCAGCGGCCGGGTCCTCACAAGCTATGATAGCGAGACATACGGAGGTGGTTGGTAACGCGGAGAAGGTAGTACCGAAGGAGCCGGGATATCTTAAACCGAGACCGAAGGGATCGGCAACGGTGCAAAGAGAGAGATGCGGGGCATCGAGGGATATGGAGAGTGTAGTAGTACCAAGAGCCGTGGAAGTGGGGAGGTCAAGGAGTAGATATAAGGCGTGCGGGGGAACGAGTTCGGAGCGATCTGTGCGAGAAAGCGGTGGGCTGTCGGCGAGCGTATCGACCCGTTGGGCCGCGCGCGTGAGCAGCGGCGTAGTGGCGGCGATGTCGGCCAGTGCGCGCGTCAATGTGCGCTGTTGCGCGGGGCCTTGTCAGCGACCGCGCGCGGTGCGGGTGTCGGTAATGGAGCGGTTGGTGTGTGCGGCGCGGCGCGGGCCAGTGGGTGTGCGGTTGGAGTTGGTTCGCATCGTGTGGTTTGTTACGATGCGCGCGCCGCCCACGCGTGACCGCGTGGCGTGCGCATCAACGTATACGTTCCAAGTACAACGGTGGCGTCGAACGAAAGTCAGAGAACGCGGTCTCGAGCACCGCGTCTGTTGAAATGCAAAGTGTACAACGATTCTAGCCTATTCGCGTCGCTATCTGTCCTACTGAACTATTACCCAGCATGTTCAACCGCTCGAGGAAGACGATGCCGACCCGCAAGAATCGCGCTAGCTTCCTCGCATATCCCCGTCCTCGTTGACTGGCCTCCCCTGAAATTCAACCCTACTAAGAACGAGTGGAAGAAATTCTGTATTTATTGAGTCAGAAATCCTTGAGGACACTTATAGTACGCAGTGAGTGCGATTCATGAAGTACTCACCAAGCCAAAAATGAAAATCCCGTGATGCGGGTAAGGATGAGGAAGTAGCACGCCCTGCCTTGGAGTACGATTGTCCTCTGGCTTCGGATCCATAGCCAGGAAAGGAAACGCCGGACCGCGTACACGGATGGGTTGACCACCAGACGGACCTCTGAAGGTAATCTCCACACACTCCGGGTCCAGCGTGTGTTCCTTCGGGATACGATATGGGCCGGTGCGCGAGAATTTCTCCAAAGTTTCACGGGCACGAGCAAGAGTTTCAGGCGAGCTTCGAGTGTTATCCAGCTCCTCACTCTGGGGAAAGCGAGGGAGGTCACTGTTGGCACTGGAAGTCCCCCAGAATTTTCGTAGGCACTCAGAGACGCTTCGTGGCAGATATGAAAGCGCACTCCCTGCCATGAACATCGCGTATCAGCTCTGTAGAATATACAATCTCAAGATCACAAACCTGTATCGAAAAGAACAGATATTCCATGTCGGCAATCCTCTAGGCTTAGAAGCTCCGTCGGACTCTGAGCTCGGTGGTGGCCGTTGCGCTTCCACAGTATTCTTATGGAGATAACCTGAAATACCCATCCATATTCCGGAAAGCGGGGGCAGCGAGGTATCATATCACTCCAAAAGTCGTTTCCCACGAGGTGCGGGAACCCATTGACTGAGATGATTCTGGAAACATGAGTATTAACGAAGCCGACTAATCTTAGAATGAAACTGCACTCTCACCCTTTTTCGCCGCATTGTGTCCTCTCGTTGTAGAACATGTCGATGTACACCCACAACCCGTATCCGGTCTATTTGAGCGTGAATACGAGACGGCCAAACTAGAAGGGAAGTGTAACTTACCATGTCTCCCCTTGGAATGCGGTCACGAATTAACCCCCAAAGCGTCTGAGTGGAGATAGGATGTCAGTTGGATGTGCAGACCGACGCCTGAAACATGCTCACAGGAGCAGCTTCCGTATTGTGCTGCGTATATTCGAAGCATTTCTGAGTCCTATAGATACCGTATCCAACTTAGCACTATGCAAGGAATAAACTAGTCTTGAGTGAACTTGACTTGCCATGCGGGACCCGCTCCTGCAATGCCGTTAATCCCACTCAAATCCATGTCTTCAGTCATTGCCCATGCAACGGCCGGCTTGAACGATCTAAATATGAGCGGTTCTGGAGCAGAGACCCGCGAAGTTTCATCCCGAAACGAAACAGAAGGAAGAATCATAGTCCGTCTCGCAAACTCGGATGTGTCCAGACCGAGTACTACAAGTTGGTTCGCGTCACCCATTCAATTGCCACGATAACAAGATTTCAGACTTACGCGCACATCTTGACCTGCTGTAATCTAGTCCATAGATAGCCACACCGTATTTGACATGTGGTACGCGATCCAAGGTACCGGGAGGGTGCGCGTGATTTTGGAGGGACTCGTGGATCGCAGCCCGGTTGCCGGGCCGGGTGCCGGCGCTCGAAACGAGTTGGTGAAAACTCATATGCTTGTGAAGATCGCTGGGCTTGACTGCGGTCAGCAAGTGTCCGCCCCAAGATCCACGGAACCATCTGGTATCAATATGTATATCAATGTACTTATGAAAATGATGACGCCCAAAAACACATACAAATCTGTGGAACCTGTTCATCAAACGAGTGTTAATTCCGGTTCTTCGCCATTTAATACTAGAAGCTTGTCTTACCCGTGTCAAAGATGAGGTGCATGCGCCTTTCACCGGGCTTCTTATCGCGCCCCAACATGACTCTATCGGCGTATCTGTTGAGATCCTTTGGGTCGATGCTGGAGGGCTGCGGAAACGCCTAAAAAGTGTTCAGAACGTTCGATACATCGAACGCACAGATTGATAATACCAGACTCACACAAATGAGCATGTAGGCATGGAGGGAAGGCTGGTTCAGAACCCCTTCAGGAAGGAGGGTGAACTCCGCATGTTGAGGCACAGGCTCCCCTCGAAGGACCGGTGATTGAATGTGGTGTGGCTTGCTCGTGTTTTGGTGTTGGTTTTCTCGTACCATGTTCGAAACGTCTCTTGACGAAGCGGCACCGGGGGGAATGGCGCTGGTTGGCTGAAGATCCAAACGCGAATCTCCACCGTAGCCGCCGCGCCGTTGTCCTGCTAGTACATCGCCAGAACTATGGCGTGTATCCGGACGCCGCTCATAGTAGCTGCAGCCGCGCGTATCAGACTGTGGACTGCCCCGCACTTCAGGAGTGTCTTCGGGAGGAACGCGTTGGGATTTACTACCCGAGTGACGGCCCGTTCCGGAGGGTTCGTAGTAGTGGCGTGTGTCGTGGCGTCTATGACTGGAGTCCCGTGTACCAGCAACGTCTGTGGGAGGAGCACCCGGCGGGGGCGCCCTGCCTGAATGGCCCTCGTATCCACGGAGTACGCTGCCTGAGCGATGGTGTATATCCGAACGCTCATGCGTTTCAAGGGACTGGCGACGACCCCGCACTTCGACAGCGTCTCTGGGAGGCACGCTGCTTGAGCGATGGCCCGTGCCCGAACGCTCGTAGTCCCGGCCGTCCCGTACGCCGCGCGCGTTCGCGGGAACAGCATCCGGGGTTCGACTAGCTGGGAGACGAAACGGACGCGAAATTCCCTCCTGAGCGCGCGATACGCTGCCCGAGCGATGACCCGTCCCCGAACGCTCGTGGTCGCGATCATTGCTGCTTGAGCGACGATGGGGAAGAATGCGATTGAAGAAATTGAGCATGGAATCCGGTGCCCGACGTCCAAAGCGGGCACCACTGGGAGCTGCAGCCGGAGCTTGACTGCTCGCGCGATGACTCGCGCGCGGCGCACGATCGGACCCGCGCGGGGCCGGTTGGGGACGGTTATCCGAGGGGGTGGGGCCAGCGCGTCGCAGAAATTTGTGGTCAGTCTCGCGACCAGGACGCTCTTGCGCATCGGCTGTTGGATAGTGGTGGCTTCTCGACCTCGTAGCGCCTTGCTCGGGAGTCGCGTTTTGACCGCCGGTGTGGGCGACATGCTGACCCACGCTTTCCGGGGCGCGACGCAAGCTCGACGCTTGCGCAGGAGTAGTTCCAGGATGCATGCTCCCGCGAAAGATCGGCGTGAAAACAGCGGCCTGATGTAGAGTCGGACGGAACCGGGTGGGGTCGAGACTGAACTTGTTCTGACCATCGTGGTAATGCCCAGCGTCGCCCTTCAGAATGTGCGTTAAAAACGTTCAACAAGTAGAACAAGCATAATATTCACCTGTGGATTATCGAACGACTTATCCCGGGGATAGCTCTGTGTAACAGGGCTGCCAGAGACCTCGCCATGACTCGAGGACACGTTCAAAGCAGAGACGGAGGAAGCGATCGTGTCCACGGAATAATTTACAATGGACAGCATGGCGAGGACACCCATGCGGCTCATGTCGGCTGCAAACTTCAAACGTAAAATCAGCATTCGATTGTCCCAGACGAATAGATATAGGCTCGCCATTTGAGAAAAGTTGCTTCCCGGAGCAGGGGGCACCAGTTCCATGCTGTAAATCCGTGTCCCATTCGTAGAGCCGGAGGGTTGGGACGTGGTGGGTTGAGTGCGACGAGGTGGGGGACCCAGTGGAGCACCGTGAGGTGAATACATGGGGACACGAAATGTGGGGAAGGATTTGTGGGCAAATCAACAGGGGAGTTTGGTTCGAAAGTAGCATCAGTACCCGTGTTTTTATAGGAAACGTTCACGGTGGAGTGACAGATGAATGCTTCTCTGTGACTGGCCAGCGATGAGCGTGAATGCTGAAGGACAAGACACGACGGCGAGTGCAACCACGTTGATTGTACTCGTATCCGTGCTTCCATCTGCTAGAGAAACCCTCGGTTTCTCACACCGTGCTTCTGCGCTGATATGATCGCACGGACACACAGGCATGCGACGACACTTCTCCGACCACAAACAGAAAGCCCGCGAGTCACGTACAGACTCCAGAGTGATATCGCTGAACACAGAATCGGCACAAGCCACATCATGATCAGACCTCCGTGGACGGCGGAAGTAGCTCAGGCCCGTGCACAAGAATCGCGAAATACCTGGTTCGATGTTCGTAGTTGACTTATTGTGGCATCATCACCACCGCGCAAAAACGGAAAAACGGCAACAACAAACAAACGGAGATCAAATAGAAGGCATACTGTTGTCATGTCCAACTTGACGATTTGGGCGCATGCTACTGCCCGCTGGCAGGACGGCGTACACAGCGAAGGCTCGGAACCGTCGTCACTCAGTACTAGTAACTAGCAGTACTGCCATGTCACATAGAAGTCAACATGATGCAGGCGCCAAGTGGTGAAAACTCACCGGCGTGGGTCAGATAAGCAGAAAAAAGGTGCGTCCGTCGGATTGTCCTTGTCTCCGCTCTGAGGCTGATCGGGCTGAGTGCTGAGTGCTCGTGGTGCAGGCACCGCGCGGGTGACGGATCCGAGTCAACTCGGGAAGCGCCAGAGCTACGTGGAATCCGAGGCGCTGAGTCAGCACCGCAGCGATTATCTCGGATGGCGCCCGCGGATCCGAACCCGCGTCCTAGGACAAGAGACCACCTTGCATCCGTCTTCTTCGACTACGGGTTGATGAAGTTGCCTATATTCGGACTGAGGGCAGTGCGGTTCGTCAGCTGCTCCTAGGGTGGGCCCACGCCATACGACGAAGCAGTCCAGTTAGGGACTTTGTGGGCGCCCATACACAGAAGGAGTCAAGCCTGGGGCATCCCAACCAAGTCACGTCGCGCCCATGTGGTATCTCGTGTAGCGTCCTTGTCTCAAAGACGCTTCTATCAGGAAGCGTTCGATTGGTCCTGCGCTAGCTTTCCAGGACAAGATAGTACAACAACTCTGCCTATCCGTGATGATTGTTCATACATGGCGAGCACCGATTCACAGCGTTCCCTGAATATAATCATTCAATAAACGTATTCCAAGCCTCGGCGGAGAAGGGTATCGCAGCAACGTCTCTGTGATCGAGGCCTCAGGCGGAAAGTTCGCGCGCAATGTACCATGGCAAGCATTCAGGCGCGTTTTGCTTGTTGTACGAAGCCATGGAAGCGCAGTGCGCGGGTGGCAACTTCTAAATCGGTGCCCGTTGGGGTAGGGAGAGGGACCTTGCGTCAGGCCAGTCTCCCCTGGTAACGGCACGATTGCGCAAATAACGTGCGCCCGGGGGCCCCGGACTCCCAGCACCCTAACGGACTGGTAGGGCGGAAGCGTGGGTGCGATACTGGCCTGCAACGCCTACTAGATCAGCATGTACGGGGAGTGCGAGGTATACGGGCGGTGCGTACCGCGAGAGCATCTAGCGGCGTCCACGCCCCCTGCACTTCACCAACACGAAAATTGCAGCAGAAAAAAAGCGAGTGCGGCTACGAGTAGGTTACGTTGAACGTTGAACTGTAGATGGAAGCTGTCTTCGACCCTCTACATACCCGCAGATAGGGGACGTCTTATGACGGGTGATATACGGGCTAGGATGACGGAATTTGCCCTGCACGCCAAGTTGGAGGATGAGCAACTTTATCGATCCAACAAGGACGGATATCACCCACAGTTGTGGAGCGGGTGCGAGAAATTGGTAGAGGGTCCCTCGCGGCTGCTCAGTAGACTTGCAAAAGACCGAGCCCGGTGATGGAGTGGTACGAGCACTAGTTCATAACGTAGACGATCGCGGCCGAGGGTGGTATATCCATATAACCTTGCGCATAGTTGTACATAGTGATACATACACGTTCCTGCCGAGTACAATGTCGATACAAATTCCGATGACAACAGTAGTCGACGCACCCATGGTATCCATCCAACAGTCCAGCACGCATCCTTTCAACCTATCCCCGTCCGCTCTGCCCCTTCATCTCTGCCAACAGCGCCTGCACATCTACCTCCGGCGCGTCCGTGGGTGACTGCACTGGCGGGGTCTCCGCCTGCCGGCTGAGGCGGTTCATCTGGTTCGTAGTCGGCGGTACGACCGTCGGCGCAGCAGGAGAACGTCCTAGCTGTAGGTCCGCACGTACGCGGCTCGAAGGCCCAGCGCGGACACGCCTTGATGGGCCCCCGGCGTTCCCGCTGGCAGGCTGTGAGTTGAGGTCGACGTTGGGGTCGACTCGAGTTCGTGAGCCGCCGGGCGTCGGCCGTGAGGAGAGCGCAGGGCGTGAGGTCGGTCGCGGGAGGTCACTGGGATGCGTGTCGCGCGATGACTCGCCAGTGACGACGTTGATCCACGGGAATCTGATCGGCGTGGGCCAGCGGGAATGATCGAAAGGAGCTCGGCCCTCGCCGCGACGCGGGATGGGAGGCTGGTCGGGAAGGCGCTGGTGGACGGGGGACTGGGCTTGAGCCACGCGCGAGAGGCACTAGGACGGTGAAGAACATACCACGAGCCTGAACCGGCACACCTGGAAGCCGCTTCGACCGGTGTCCATCCACGCCTGTGCATAAAGAAGGAAGAGCCCTTGAGCACGGGGACGTAGCAAGAGAAGAGCGGACGCACCTGCTCCACGGTGTACAGGCCGTCGTAACGATACCCAGCGGCCGGCGCATATTTGGAGTTAGACTGGAAGCCTCGGACGACGCGAACGGGTTTCCTCGTCGTCACCGACATCTACACGCGGCATGCATCGTTGATGGGGGAAGGACGTGTGTAAGCCTTGGACGCACCTTTAAAGCCGCATTTGATCCATTCTGCCAGGTCTGATCACAACTCTGAGGTCCGTCTCGGGGCTGTATGGTGGGGGAAGCACTGAGACGACTCCAATGCTGAGAAAAGGGAGAGAGACCTACCGCTTCCCCGTTCTTGGTGATGCGGCCTCCTGCGCCGGTGTACGTCCTGGATCGATAGCAACAAGTTGAACGGGGGTGAGGGTGAAGGGATGCAGGGACTCACAAGCTGTCGCCTTCGTCCCGGTCGTCCTCATACCCTCCCGACATCACGATGCTCGTGCAGCCCTTCGACTTGGTTCCCGAGATCCCAGCCATGGTCCGCTTGTGGACCGCCGCGCGATACAAGCACGTCCTGCAAGACGGAATAAGTGCCTGCAGTCACCGCGATTACGCTGGGAACTCACCGGCTAGCAAAGGTGGACAGTACGGGCACCTGCTCAATGGCTCCGAACTCGTTGCTGTGATATAAGTCAATTATGTACGCAGAAGCTCTAGATAGGACTAGCACGCACGCAGGTATAATCTGTTCAAAGTCGGGCTGCACATGGGACCACGTTCTGGATCCCTGCGGCGCCATGTTAAAAGCTGGATGGTCGTCGGGGAGGGGTATCAGGAGAGGGTTGATGTTGAGTGCTAAGCAGTCCGCTTAAAGTCCGTGAGCAATCCATGTTGAGTGCGAGTCATGGCGCGTGTGAAGATGACCTAAGCGAACTGAGTCACATCAAGAATCCAGAGCGAGAGGTAGCGAGATGCGGAGGATGCGGGAGGATGCAGGTGGTGGGAGGTGAAAAGTGAGGCGTCGAAGAAAGTGCGTTCGCTAAGGTGTGGGCCCAACCCAAGGACGACCGGCGCTTCGGACTACGGAGGCTCGACGGCGAGCGTCCAGATCGACACCCTCACGATGCGTTTTACGCCGATATATTTCGGGCACACCCAAGGCTTTATGCGGAGCGCATGGATAAGGAATTACTTTTACATGAGAGAAAACAGACTACACTTGGTGTTCCTACATTCCGGTGAACGTCAACTAGATCGCCGCAGGCCGGAACACTCGAGCAACGGAAGAACGGCGCCTTCGATCTCGGCGACGGTTGACAAAGCGTCCTCACAGGCCTGATCGAGAGGGAGCCCTCTTTCTGGTGGACAGAGGGCTGGTGATCTCGAGAGGAATGACGGGCGGAGGGAACCCCAGCGCCCCGCCAGACCAGGTCAACTCCAGAACTTCGAGCACCATCTCTTCTTCGGTCAGCTCCCGGTCGCCATCGTCGTCTTCTTGTTCCCCAACAGGCACTTCCTCCGGCTGCGCGGGCGCGGTCGCACGCCGAGAGCCCGCCCGCGACCTCCCGCGGACCTCCCGAACATGGATCTCGCCAATGATGCGCTGCCACTTGGCCCGGTCGGTGAGCGCAATGTTCATGCGCAGTTGCGCGAGACGGGTTGCGGCGGCCTCGCGCTCGAAAGTGCCCTCGGGTCTCTGGGACAGCCTCCCCGAGTCGATCCAGAGAGGATCCTTGGGTTTCCAGTCGCTGGGAAACAGGGGTGGGTTGCGTCCGGAGAGCACGCTGAGAAGGATATGAGTGAGAGCGAGCGAAGACATAGTGCTGCACATACTGGGCATGTTTCATGTACTGGAGATGTCTGCCAAACAGCGTCGACGGCAACGGAGGATGGTCTGGCGAGAGCTCACCCCCGAGCAGAGGTTTGAGAGATGCCCGGGTACTAGTCATAGCACGAACTGGGACCGACAATGGTGGTCAGTATCGACAGCCACGACGAAAGCGTGCCAACACCTTACCGTTGGAGACCCCAGCTTCTTCGGCGCTCCGGGATCTGACTTTGTGGAATTGAGGCATCGGGAGTGGGACACGTGCTAGTCCCGACAAGGTGAATCATCAGGAGTGGGCGAGGGACATTGGCACATACTGGGGCTGGGAGAGTCAAGGCGGATCTCGGTGAGTGCCTCCGCGGGGGTAGCTCCCTCGTGCCAGGCGGTTTTGTTGTCGTCGAGCGCCGCCCCGCAAAAATCAAACTCTTGCAGCCCGCTTTGCCCTTCGCTGTCCAAAGGTACAAGGGGCGTAGTGGCGGGCAAGCCTTCGCCTGGCTCCTTGACGCGTAGCAGTTCATCGGCTGGAGAAATGTAAGACAACGTAAACAAACAATACAGAATATCGGACCCACCCAAGCTTGAACCACCGGCGGGCCGATATTCCGTACATTCGGGGGGACCAAATCTCTGCGGGTTGTGAATCGCACCACAGCGCGGGGCCCGGTTTTCACGACCCGTGTTCAACCTATGCGCTGAATTGAAGGTGCCCATGCCGGTGAGAGAAGGGTGTGCGGCCTGCAGGGATATACGTCAGCCGTAGGAACCAAAGTCAAGCAATGTAGCGTAGATGATCGAGGTGGCCATTGCGAGGCCGCGCAGAAATCCCCAAGCGGACGGTCAAGGTGTATTAATATCACGTGACCTCATCAAACAGACAAAAAGTTTCCCCTTAGACGAGAAGAACGACCAAACTCATGGGTCGAAAGGCTAAAGAAGAGGATATGCGTACAAAAGAGAAGGAACGCACATATAGCCCATGAAAAGCATTGCTCAACCGGAGGTCCTTTGTGTTTCCACCACCAAAATGACGAGTTCTATGACGCATAAACGGCTTCATCGGATGGTCTGTTTTTGCTAATCTTTACGCGGCTTCAACGGGATTAGGAGCGGTGATGAGGCTTGATGAGGAGGCGAGAAGTCCCATAACATTTTTGCATTGTTGATCTTTGTTGCTCAAGTAGTCTTCGTGGCGGACAGGATCGATAGAGCAGGCATTGATTCTCGGAGGAGATTGAGAGACGCAAAGAGACGCAGGCAAAAGAGATGAGGGGGCGCGGAAGCCAGTGACGGTGGAGGCAAGGAAAGGAAGCGAGCGCGTCTGACTGGCGTCCCTGCGGTGGCTCGTCTCCGCGTCTTGTCTCTGGCCGTAACGGTCCGGCGTCTGCCTCCAGGCTCTACTTTGTCGCACAAATGCATTCGACACCACTTGCGTCTAGTTCTCTGCCATCGCTTCCACTTCCGCTGCCAACGACCGTTTCATCCCGCTCTCTCCGGCCTCGCCCAAGCACCGCATCAAGACCAAGCTCGGTGTCGTCCAGCTCCCATTCGCGCTCACGCTCGCAGTCAGTCGCTGCTGAGTCCTCATTCTCAACTTTTCGCCAGGACCTGCATGGTCAACCGGGGTCTTCGGCCTCCCCCCGGACGACTCGTAGTTCCGGCACTCGCTCGGGGCGGAGACACCAACCGCTGCCGCCTACCAATGGCAAACCTAGGAGGTCTCAAGGAATATCAAGTGAGCTTTCTTTTCGGTTTGTGTCGTGCATTTTGCCCCTATATGCACCGACATGTTTGTTTCTAACCCGTCAAGCGGTTTTTGCGCACGAAAGGGCTGGCACAACACCAGTGGCACGACCGGCGAGGAGCATATGTGCTGGCCTGTCGCTTCACCTGTTTGCCCTGCTTTACTTCCCTTTTTACTCGCCTTCGATCCCACATGTGCAGGCGGTTCCCAACGGTGCATGCATTTTTGTCGCAGCCAACCATGCGGAATTGGGGCGCCTCCAGTGCATATAAATCGCTATGCGGAAATTTCCCCAGACATGATCCCACAATCTCGTAGCTTCACTCTCGATAAGACGTGCGCTTTAAGGCCATGATAAACCCTTGCGCGAGCGCAGGTCGGTCCGAGTTCATTGAGCGGCGGGATTGACGTCTTTGGTCCCAAAGAGCAGTGGTTTACAAAGCCTCCCCCTCGGCGAACGCCGTTGGTCATCGAACATATCATGCGTTGCGTTGCATTCGTGAAACACTTCTGGTGGGAGTGCGGAGCTCCTGCTGCGCTAGTCTCCCTCGTTCTATCCTTGTCTCTTAAGCTTCCACGAAAGCACCTCGCTGACGACGAGCAATAGATTTGGGTTCCTTGGACGAACCCTCGTTTGGACCTGCTCCGCAGAAGCGACATCCTTCGCCGGATCCATTGGACGAGATAACAGCCGGTCCTTCGAAACGACGTCGTAAAAATGTGAAGGCGGAACCGGAGGAGCCGTCACTGCGATCTTCGGAGGAAGGGGATGCGTTTCAGACGCATGCGCGAGGTAGCACCTCTGGCCGGACCGCAAAGGGAAAGGGGAAGGCGAGAGCCTCAGGTGCGCTATAGCCATGTGAATCTAGTATCGTCTCTCAGTGCCGACCAGATTCTGGACCCATGTCACCGATTGGCCCTGTAGGACCCGCAGGCTGTTCGACACGTATACAGTCTCCAGACACGGTTGCGACCAAGCCACACGCCATCTCAGGCGCCAGTTCCACGCACCCTGAGGATCCGTCTGTGGACTACGAACAGACGATTCATGAGCATAGCGATGCCATCTCCGCCGAAGCCCGCCCGTCCGTTGGTTGCCCTGAAACAACATCGCCCCCTCGCCGCCCCATGCCTCCTGCGGCCCACGACGACGGCGCATCGGAGGCATCCTCGTCCAGCTCGAAGGGCAAAGGGAAGGCGCGGCCTGCTCGGGTCCCGGAAGCAGTCCCGCTCAGCGAAGTCGAACCACTGGCCGAGTACACATGCCCGGTGTGCTTCTCTCCGCCGACGAACGCCACGATTACGCCATGCGGCCATGTGCTCTGCGGCGAGTGCCTGTTCACGGCGGTGAAGACGGCCATCCAGCGCGGAGCGTACACACTGCCGCCGGGCGAGCGGATGGTTGCGAGGTATGTCCCCGTGGTTATTGTCGAGTCGAGCCTCTGTCGTGACCGATCCGATATTTCACAGGTGTCCGGTCTGCCGAGCACCGATTCCCGGTTGGGACGGACGGGGTGGCGGAGTCATTGGACTGATCCCCCGTGCTGTGTTTAGTCTGTAGACAGGCGATGTAAGGTTCGTTCTTAATACTATCGGCGATCTCGCTCTTGTGTTCTGGATGCCGCGCGCCTCAACTGCCGAGTTCATTTTGTCGAGTAGAGACGGGTTTGGTCGTCATGCTGCCGCACTGCCGCCGCCGCATTTGACTGGCCGTACGAAGGCCGTCTGGTACTCCAGGTTGGAGGATTTCCAGACGAGGGTCGCGATGTCACTGACAGCTCGCACAGCTCGCCGCGATTGTAGTGATTTGAACTCTCAATGCGGATCACAGGACGCACTGCTCTGAGAAGACGAGCCTCGAGGATCCTGCGGAGGACGAAGGACTAGGTCGAAGCCCCGGTGCGCCTCTCATGGCTTCTACCATCTCGGTCTCCACTCAACCGCTCACTATGTCTCCAGAAGGACGTCCCATCACGTCTTCCCAACAATGTTCTCATCAGCCCGTCCAAGGTCCGGGCCCATAGGCGCGCGATTGGCCCCGTGCGGAATCGAACCCCCAGTGAAAAGTCCGGCGAGCTAGATCGAGTCAGAATGAATCCGCGCGAACGAAACGAGTAGATACGAACCAAAATGATTCAGAGTGCACGTCAGGCACTTTTTGGATGTGTCTGGCCGTGATTCGGACCTTGCCCTGTTCCCACGAGTGATGTCTGTCTTATCCCTGTCGGCGTCTCGTGTGTTCGCGCCATGCTCGCGCACGCACGCTCTCGGCGTCTCGCGTGTTCGCGCGGCGCGATGTGTGCACGCACGCATGCTCTTGGCGTCTATCTCGAGAACGCGCGGCCGTTCGCTCTTGGGAGTGCGCGTCGCCGGCCATTTGGTCTCATTCTGCGCGCCGCTGGTCCATGCAATCGACCACACTCTCTTTGCACGTCTTCCAATTAGCTTCAAATGGCCTCTTGCTGGTGTGAAGATTGTCAGGGTGTACATCGCTCGCAAAAGACCATCCATAAACATCGCAATCGGCCTCGTGCCGCACACCGACCAGACACACCTCCTCTCCCCATATTGCCCCCACTTCCCTCTGCCTCAAGGTCACGGAAGCGCGGTCGAAGACAATCTGACGATCCTCCGGGGGGGCCATCTAGCAGAGGCGAAGGCAGCACAGAGACCGCGGACGAGCCTCCGAAGCGCCCTCGGGTGCCGAGAGAGTTGGACGAGCTCGAGGTCGAGATGGACGGCCTGGTGAGTTGTGTGTTGCTTCTGCCATGTAATTGCGTATTTAATCCGTGTAATCTATGTCTAGAATCCATTCTCGGAGCACGAAGGTGGCCTACCTCTCCCATACTACCACTCCGACATCATAGACGACATTCCACAAGTTGAACCCCGCACCCCGTCTCCCGATGTGCCCACACCCTTCGAGAGTAGACCCCCCTCCCCCATTCCTGACCCAGCTGCTTTACCTCCCAATGATGACCACAATGAAGAGTCTCCTGATTCTCTCGGACTACCCGCTACTGCGGCATGGCACGACTTGCAAGTTGCCCTCGATTTCGTCAAAGCGATCGAGAATGCGACTCTGGAGAACGACGGCCTGGACCCAGAGACACTCCATAGACTCAGGAATCCCCTCACAACCCCGCTCCGAGACGACCCGTCATTCGAAGATCCTCTGTTTGAATTCGCTCTACGAGTGTTCCTCGACACCCATACCTCCGCAGATAGTGTCTACACGAGCGTTATCAGGAACTACGAGCTCACCCATCCTGGCACCAAGCTTCTCACCCACTGGCAGATGAAGAAAAAGGTCACTGAGCTCACTGGTATCGTCCCCCTCACACGCGACATGTGTGTGAACTCGTGCGTGGGCTTTACGGGGCCGTTCTCTGAACTCGATTCCTGTCCCCTCCCTACATGCAATGAACCTCGCTACGACCAGAGTGTTCTTTGCTCATCCCGGGGGAAGAAGAAGAAACCACGACGCACCTTCGACACCATTCCAGTCGGTCCACAACTCGCCGTTCAGCTTCGGGATGAAACAAACGCGGAAAGGATGCGTTTTCGAGAGAAGACCACCACTATCATCCTCGACCAGCTGAAGAAGGACCGTCATATCACGATCTTCGATGACTATCTCAAAGGCAAGGACTACCTGTTTCGAGCGTATTCGGGAACAATCAAGCCTGGTGACACCGTCCTCATGTTCTCGATAGACGGTGCACAGCTCTACCGCAACAAGCAGTCTGACTGTTGGATGTACATCTGGGTCATCCTCAATCTCGGTCCCGATCACCGATACAAGATCCGGTATATCCTCCCAGGTGGCTTCATTCCTGGACCGAACAAGCCGAAGAACGTCGACTCCTTCCTTTTCCCTGGGTTCCACCACTTTGCTGCTCTAGCCAAGGAAGGTCTCCACGTGTGGGATGCTTCGCAGGATACCACTTTTATCAGTGACCTCTTCCTTGCCCTCGTCACTGCAGACGGCCCAGGCATGACCTATCTCAACGGGTTTGTCGGCCACCAAGGTGCACATGGTTGCCGGCTGTACTGTCCTCTTCGTGGTCGTCACAAGAAGGGCGGAACCACATACTATCCAGCACTTCTCAAACCGGACAACTATGCTGTAGCCGGATGTGATCATGAAGACTACGTACTCCTCTCGCAGGCATCAAACATCGAGTCTGCCTCTGAACGTTATCGGAAGAACCTCCGTGAACTTTTGACAGCTCAAAACAAGACTCAGTATGAGAAGCTTCGCCTGAAGACCGGGATCGCAAAGCCAAGTATCCTGCTGGGATTGCCCGAGAAGTCGTACTTGGGTATTCCTGCATGTTTCCCTGCAGACCAGATGCATCTCGTTTCTCTCAACATCACCGACCTCCTCATCTCCCTCTTCCGTGGTACCCTGCAGTGCGAGAAGACAGACAACAGGGCAGACTGGGATTGGGCCGTTTTTAGCGATGACAAGGTGTGGAAAGCACATGGGGCTCACGTCGAAGCTTGCACTCGCTACCTTCCTGGTTCGTTCGATCGGCCGCCTCGCAACCCAGCTCTCAAAATCAAGAGTGGTTACAAAGCATGGGAATTTCTCATATATGTCTTCGGCCTCGGTCCAGCTCTCCTCTATGCCACCCCTCTTCCCATCAAATACTTCCGAAACTTCTGCCGACTTGTTTACGCTATCCGGATCACACTAGCATATGAGATTCACCGAGACGCCCTCAAAGACGCCAACGACCATCTCTTCGCATTCACAACCGAGTTTGAAGAGCTCTATTACCAGCGCAGAGAAGATCGCTTGCACTTCATTCGACAAAGCATTCATGCACTCTCCCACATCTGCGAAGAGTGTGAGCGCCTCGGGCCGCAGGCGTATTACACCCAGTGGGTCATGGAGCGTGTTATAGGTTCCTTCGTACAAGAGCTCCGCAATCACGTCGATCCATATGCAAACCTCGCCCATCGAGGTCTGCGACGCGCTCAAAAGATCGCCCTCACAGCAATGCTCCCGGAGCTTGAGCACAGCAAGTATGCCACAGGAGACCTTCCCGAGGGAGCGAAGCAGGTCGGCTCCGGCTATGTGCTTCTCCGTGCTGTGGAAGCTGCCACTCCTGTTACACCTGCAGAATCCGAGGCCCTTCGAGCGTACTGGGAGCAACACACTACACATGAGATACCCCAAGACTACACCTTCAGTGTTGCCCGTTGGGCTCGGTTGCTCCTTCCGAGCGGACAGGTGGCTCGATCACTCTGGAAAGAGTCAATGAAGAATGAGTCCAAATTGCGTATCTCACGGAATGTGAAGGTAAAGTTCAGAGCCCCATATCCGATAAACATCATCTCACACCGTCACTACAGATCCAGCACAACGAAGTTGTCTCATATGGCGAGATCCGCTACTTCTTCGAGTTCAAGCTCCCAGGTGGAACGGAGCCTCACACAGTCGCGATGGTCTCCATGTGGGGAACCCCAGAGCCGAAGATCCTCGAGTTGTCCTATGGGGCCATTCAGTCATGTCTTCCAGGTGGTGACGACGCACTCACCGTCCTCCCGGTTCATCACATCAAGTCTGTTGTGGCGATGGTTCCCCACCCGCAACCAATCGAGCACCGAGACGAACAGATTGACCTCACCGGTCGCTTTTTTGTCGTTGAGAAGCCTGGTCTCGGAGTCGCACATCTTGGCGGCGTGGTTGAGGGGCTCGGAGAGGGAGAGGGTGCTGCTGCCGGTTCAGGTGGAGGTGATGGCGAAGGCGGACTGAGTTAAAACAGTAGATCAGTGACTCATTGCATCGTGACGGGACAGAGATGAGTCCGGCGAGCACCAATGCAACGTTCCCATTACCGTGCCCATCTCGTCGAACCGCTTCGGCTCATAGTTCCACATCGCATACAGCCGCGCGTCGGGCACCAACCATCAGCCTGTGTTCTCTCTCGGAGCAGAGCAGCCCTGCACCCACGCAAGAACAAACACGCTGGACTCACCGAAAGAACGTGCCGCACCAGCTGAGGGATCCGCGATTCCTGCCGTGCAATCGACGGCACCACCCGGTCCTGCACCGCAGTCGTCTGCGCCTGCGCCCCAGGCAGCATCCGGTTCCCCTCCTCCCTGTCCACCTTGGCCGCGAGGGGAGGTGCCGCGTGGTGAGGACGGCGAGCGAGGACTGGTCGTGCAGGACGACCGCATGGTAGTCCACGGTCGAGGTCGCAGTCGGCATCTGCACCTACAACGGGGGTGTCGCGGAGCGTTCCCGCTTGACCGCGTCGTTTGGCAGCTGCAGCCTGTGCGCCCTCGGTCAACGGTGGACTAGCCACTCTCCGCGTGTCGGCTGGGCGTGGATGAGGCATTGGGCGTGGTGATGGACACGGCGGCGGGTTTGAACGCAGCTGCGCGCCCTCGGTCGGCGGCGGACTCGCCACTCTCTGCGCGTTGACGGCGAGGAATGAGGGCAGAGAGAGAGAGCACGAGAAGAGGAGACACACCATTGATTTCGGCCAGCTCCTCGACGTGTCTGGTGGAATGGACAGCGTAGCGGGCTATGTCGCGCAGCCCTCAACGGCGCAGTACTCCCTGAGCGCGTCCATGTTGGTGCCCAGTTCGCCAAAGGCTTCTATCGCGTCGCGCGCCACGATGGACTTGCAGCCGGCATGTTCGGCATACTTTGCGACGGTGGCGGAGAGATTGGCGAGGGAGCGGGAGAGGAGGGAAGCCGTGGGCGAGGAGAGTTTTGATGGTCGCGGTGTCGACGTCGTCGGGGCGAGGAGGATGTGTCCTTGGAGAAGGGGGAGCACACAGTTGCAAGTGTATGGAATGCGCAAATGGAGTGTAAAACATACCTAATGATACATAGCCTGGTCCAAGCACATAGCGGGAGCTCTTGGGGATGGGCAGAAAGGCCGTGGTGGTGGCAGAGTCTATAGGACCGGCACATCTGGGCAAGAAATGGTTAGTTATAGCTATAGTGCTGCATTCTAAGTGGTGGAATAGGAGACTCACTGTAGATATATGTCAGCATCTCCCGGTAGTGAGCAGATGAGAAGGCAGCAGACAGATCTAAGTTGAACTCGAGGCAGGCAGCGCGCGCGATTGCGGGGACGCGCATTGTCACGTGCCGTTATTATCCCACGGCTGGTGGCGCGGCGCGCTTGTGCGAGCCTGTGCCGCCAACCGCCAGCTTCTGCGCCGCCAACCACCAGCTCCTGCGCCGCCAACCGCCAGGTCTTGCTCCCTGCAACCGCCAAACATCATCTCAGACACTCAATCTAGAGTCATCATTCCAGTGAGTCTTGTTTCTTCCCCATACGCAGCATGTAGTATACGCTGCCCTAGACTGCCGATGTGCTGTCCACTGCTCACCATTTCATATCATTTTCGCAGCTCTGGAGTTGCTCTGGGCCTCTCTCCCTGTCTCGAACGACAAGGGCAGAGCCTCCAAGTGTTTCTGTTCCTGTCCCTGCCCCAGTAAGCGACCCGCGTATTTTAGTTCGTGCAGTTGAGCTAAAAACCAGATTGCCGTAGTTTGACCCTGCCCGGAGCAACCACGCAACAACCACGAGATCACTGGGATGGAACGCGACCCTTTCAGAACAGCAATGAACGACTAGTGGGTGTGCACGGGGTCCACACACTAAGGAGGATATAAGGCATGGATTTGTGAGGAGGTATGTTCGCCTCTCTCACTCTCCTTTCTTTTTATACTGCAATCCCCTGCATTCTCGTCCCGTTGCGGCCCTACCACCGTTTGTTCCACACTCTCTCTACCTTGATAATCTACTCCTCGCCCGTTTCGCTATGGATTCGGACGACTCTATCTTGCACTTCACCGGCAGTAGCGACCCTATTGGCGGCTCTGACGACTTGTCCTCACAGTTGTTCTTTCAAAGTCACACTTCATCAACGAGATACTCCTCGCCTTATCACTACCGCGAAGAAGACCTTCAAGAACCGGTGTTCCGTTCAGAACATGTGAGTATTCTCTTTGAAATCCAGTCACATTGCACAACGTGGCGGTCCTGGGTCCTACAGTGCGTCGCCTGCCCACTGATACATCTTCATCCCCACAGGTGCGGTATCAGACACCTCCCCCTCAACGCTCCGGCTACAGCCAGATCCCTCCCCGTCCACTTGGGGCTGCGCAACAGCTCTCTCATTTGCAACACCGCTATCAGGTGCTGCGAAAGCAATTCGACATCCTTCAGGCGGAGCATCAGCGAATGGAAGTCGAGTTGGATACCACCAAGTGAGTTCTCCGCTTTGCCATCCTTCGCACTCTCTGAACGATTTTTCCGCCCTAGGACAAACTACACGGGTCTGCTAGACGCGCTTCGGGCGGGCGGCGTGGTCACGGCCGGGGGTGGCGCTGGGTCACGGCCAGTTACTCGGCCTCCACTCAAGGACAGCGACTTTCCTGAAGTCACGACATGGTACCCCCACCAGTGGCACAAGATCCGCAAGACTCTCTCCACCGTCACGGACCCCCTTGCCGACCTTGCTGTCGACGCCACCAGCCCGAGTCAAGGTGACTCCGTCAAGTCAAAACGAGGCGGTGCACGCGCTGCGAAGGGAATCAACGTCACAATGAGGTTCGTGCAAGATAGTGACGGCGAGGTTGTCGATGGGTATCGGGCAAAGGCCATGCGCAACCGCGCTCGTGCAATCTGGTCGCGCTTTCGCGAAGGCGGTCGCACTATGCCTGCCACATGGGGTGGAGCCCGTGCCACTGTCAGGACCGACTACGCCAATGAGATGGAAGAGGCGTTCCCGGAGCTCCGATACGGGGCTGACCAGTGGAAAGCACACGCAATCGCGACTCTCACATATCCCAACTGGCACAAGCGCGGCGATGTCGATTCAGATGACGAAGATTCCGACGATGAGCAAGAGACGACCGCCTCGCGCAAACGACGTGCCCCTCAGCCGAAGCCCGCACGTCCCTCCAAGATTAGTCGCAAGAAGCCGTCGACTCCCCCATCCGGAACAGATGCGCAGACCATAGATCTTACTCGGACGCCTGCCCCGGCTCCCAGATCTCCCCTCATCATTGAGAGTGCACTTGGGTGAGGTTTCTATTGGATGTACTTGTGCATGCTTCACTGACAGGTCTTGGTTGTATACAGAGCCAATCTATTTGAACGCTGTATACGTATGAGCACACCACCGTCGCCTAATGTACCAGCCTCCACGTCCATCCCTGATGCCCTCTTCGGTGGCTCGTCCAGCATGCCAGGCGTCGCGGGGGCTGCTTCTGGACTGCACGGATCGTCTTCATATACGCCACCTACTGACCCATCAGCCATGCAAGCACCTTCCACGGCCGAGCCTGACACGTCCGAACCGGCATCCGTGCCGCAGGCAACACCCCCACCAACCTCGGTGCCCAGCGTTGGTACGTCACCCATACTCTCACAGTCCATGCCACATGGCTGACTCGTCATCTGCGCTCTCGCTCATGCTGCCTGCGACGACAGCGACTCTGCAGACCACATCAACAGGCACCGCGCTCCCAGTTGGCGCACCCGAAATGGATCGAGTCTCCCCGCTTCCGATGTCATCGGTCTCACGGCCCGCCGCACCCTCAGATTCGTCCCCGAGCTCCCTCTCCGCCTTGCGTTCTGTGAACTGCGCAACCCCGAGTGGGGCTGTTCCAGTATCCGACTCTACTAGTATCACCCCGTCGACTCTGTCTGTGCTCTCAGCTGAAGGACACCAGTCCATCACAGAGTCGGCTAGCAACGAGCCCCCTACGTCGCCGCCATCGCTCTTGGGTTCCATGCCTCCGCTTTTCAACTTTGCGGCGTCCGCACCCATCGCTCCACAGGGTGGCGCATCGGGGCACCTCCCTCCTACGTTTGGCACGTTGCACCCCTCACTACAGTCCCTTTCCACGGCGGCGCAAATCGCAATGTATGTCGTTAGTTTCAAGTTCATTTTGTCAGTCTACTCACGCTTTCATGGCAATGCCAAAACTGTCACTCGAAGGGATGGTTCTCAGCCACTTGACAGCTCGGTGACGACTTCGAAGGCTATAACCTCACCGGCCTCTGGGGCCGTCATTTCGAAGAAGAAAGTGAAGATGTCCGCCCTCTCGTCATTGATGACCATCTCGTCACTGCCCGGTAAGTACTGTGCACCGTGTATGCAGGTGTAACACCAAAGTTGACATCCTCTTGCACAGCGCCCTTTGCGCGAGGGAGTGGTTGTCGAAGAATCCTG